GTATTTAAGATCTAGTAAGTTTATAGTTTGATTAACTAAGAGCTTTTTTTTGTTTAGGTCTTTTACTTATAGATTTAGGTTTAATAAGGGAAGGTCTGGTGTGATAGTAGGTGAAATGGGATTAGGTGTAAGAGGGGTAGCTGAAGTGTTAGTTAAAGAGAAGGATTTGTTGTTAACTATAGATATTAATAGGTTAACCTTTAATAATGTAGTAACTAAGATAATTAACTGTAGTGGTATATTAATGATAAGTAACTTAATAGTAATGGTTTTTGTTGTTAATTAAGAATATAGAAGTAAAAGTATATTTGATGTTTTAGGTTTCTTAGTTATAATAAGAATGTCTTTATAGAAGTTCTTGATTAGTAAGTTATATTCTGCTATTAGTGCTTGCTAGGGTTATTTACTAACATAAGGTCAGAGTAGTTGTTTAAGTAGTTATTAGAGTAGTAGCTAGAGGGAGTTTAGGAGTAAGAGCGTGAATGAGACTAGGATAAGTGACTCTAATACATAGGATAGGTGTTGACCTAAGGGTAATAATAGTTGTTATATAGGCGATATTTTATTTGTAGACAGTAATTGTTATATAGGCAGCGTTCATTGTGTGTGCGTTAGAAATCATCTTGTTCTTGTTCTATGTAGTCTTAGTAAGCTAGGGTATCCTCTGTCTTAATATCTGCTGTTGTAGTGTTGTGTAGGCTGGTTAAGGCAGGTTCTTTTGCTTGTTTATTAGAGCAGGGACAGCATTCTTCCTGACGTAGGCAGTTATTATTATGGCATAGGTAGTTGTTGTTATAACGTGAATAGTTATTATTATGGCAGGAACAGTTACTATTATAACGTGAATGACTGTTATTATAGCAAGGATAATTGTTCTCCTAGTAATAGCTATATAAGGGGTTATTATACTGTCTAATGTTGTAGTTGAATTGTGAGTAGTAAGTACCATGTTTATTACGACGGTAATTGTTTCTGTAAGGGTTATAGTTAGATTGATGATTGTTGTGAGGGTAGTGTTAGGTATCCTGGTTGTTGTGGTAATAGCGTAGTGTATCTAGTCGTTTAATATGGCGTGTAAGTTGCTCTTGGGCGTTGTGGTTGGCTTTCTAGTTAGCTCTGGCTATATGTTCTTTGGTTGTGATCTATGACTTAAGATCTTGAAGTATGTTTTAATATAAAAGGTTAATTAAGGCAGTAAGGCTAGGATCTATGCCTAGGACAACATAACAGCATTAAGTGTCCTTATTAATCTTACTAGCCTTATTATATAAATATATCTTTTTATTAAAGTATATTTATAATAAAAGCTTATTTTTATTAGTAAAGGTGTGTTTAAGCTAGTCTGCTTTAATGATTATAGCTCCTTAGTCTTTCTAGAAGTACTCTTAAAGAAGTTATTTCTAAAGGAATAAATTAGTTATTATATTAAAACATTGGTACTAAGGAAGTGAGTTGAACTAATCTGCCCCATTAGTATCCTTTGACAGGATGCTATGGCCCAAGGTGCGTGTAACTACTTCCTTACTATGTGTTGTAGTGAGGTACTTGATCTTGCTTATGAAAGAAGAGATCAGGGTCTTAGTGCTGTTATAGGTAAAAATCTTGGCTTTAAGCTTCTTAGTGTGAGTTGAGCTCTGGTTAAATGAGTCATATTGTTTGCTGAAGGGACTGTTGTGTTAGTGACGCTACAGAGGATCTCGTCTATGTAAGCAGTCCTTGTGTGGTTGCTTTCCCTAGTCTTTGGACGTCTGATGATGCGTGGGATTAGCTATGGATAAGACGTAGGGTAGGAAAGCTAGGTTAGGTTAGGTATGTGGTTAAGGTATGTAGACAGGGTATGACAGGCCAGGTTAGGGGATGTAGTATGGGTTTACTAGGGATAAGGGATATATAAAAGTAGAAGGGTGTCTGGAGATTCTTTGGGTTTAAGGAGAGAGTTATAGTTAAGCTTATTTTTGATTCCTGTTGTTTTGTTGTAAAGTCTTAGGGTCTTTGCTATGTGGATAAAGCAGAGGAGAGATACTTCTGATTTAGTGGTCTCTAGGCTTGTTTTCCTGTTCTTTATCTGGTCTTTAAATCATTTATTATATTATAGTACTTAGATATATAAGTAAAGCTTAAAGGATAGCTGATGACTTATCTCTAAGGCTATTGTTTACTAAAGCTTAAAGATTATTATGGTTTTTAGTGGTAAGGGAACGTATTGCTTAATGTATATAGTCCCTTATGTTATTTAAGACGTATTGTTTTTATTAAATGAATTGATTGTTTTTTTATTGACTGTTTAGATAATGTAGAAGAGCTGTATTTATAAGGAATTGGATCCTGGTAATAGGGCCTAAGTTACTGGTTGCTATGGTGGGGTTTTGTAGGTGGGTAGGTTTTGTAGGAATAATAGGGCTAGGATAACTTAACTGTGATTTGTGTTGGTGAGATGGTCTGGCCTTAGAATCTCTTATTTTGTAGGGGTGTTGTAGGAAATTGGTTTTTTGTTTTTATATAACTAGAAGCTTTGTTAGGTAATGTTCTTTTTTGACTAGGGAATTAGGTTTAGAAGGCTAGGCTACTATTCTAGGGTAATCTGGGTATAGGTAATGGATCATGGGGATAGAATTGGTAGATGATAAAGGGGAATAGGAGGGAGGATAAGGAGAGATGGGAAGAAGGGGGATAGGTGAATTGAAGTGAGTTTTTTAATTACCTGGGATAGGCTTAGGTGGTGTAGATGGTTTGGATGTTGAAGGTTAGGAGAGAGAGGTGGGCTGTGCTAGTAAGGAAGAGGTTATTTGTGGTGCTTGTTAAGATAGTGGAGAGGGGGAAGTTGTTTGATGTGGATGAGCTGAGATGGGAGGTTATTAAGAGGAGGTTGAAGTTAAGTAAGTAGGTGATGTTTTTTGTACTCCTTGTAGTTTAGCTAAAGGAAGGGTCTGATGGTTAATTTAATGAATGTGGGAAGGTTATGCTATGGTTGTTGATTTAGGTAGGTAATGCCTAGCTAGAGAGGTTGCTGTTAAGGTGTTAGTGTTTGCTGAAGGGGTTATTAATGTTATGCTTATAGTTGTTTTTTAAGGAAATTATGTTCTAAATTTTTTATTAAAAAGGGTACTATTTTTTAGAGCTAGGCTCTAAGGATTAGAAATTTCTGACTGATCTGTTCTTTTCTTGTAAGTTTTTATTGATGTGATGATGTGTTAAGGGTATATTACTTGTCTGTTGTTGTCCCTAAGTGTGTTTCTAGTAGTAGTAAGAGTAATAGGTGTTGATTTGAGGATAGAAATTGATGGTGATAAGTGTGTAGGAATTGAATTAATTGAAATGAGATTATTGTTAGTTATAGGTGAGATAGGGATTGATGCTGAAGTAATAGGTGTAACTGGTTTGAGAGTGATCTTGATAAAATGGCCTTTTTTATCTTAAGGTTATTGGTTCTGAGGTTACTACACGTGTATTTTCTAATCTTAACTTATTACTATTGTTTGTTTATTTAAGGGTATTCATAAGCAAAAAGTATACTTATATGGCAAAGTTTTAGCTATTTTAATAAGATACTAATTAGATTAAGATAAACTAAGCTGGTTAAGGGTAAAAGGGGGTGTTTAGTAGTCTTTGCTACTGAAGATATTGCCTAGGGACTGATAATCCTTGCTTCTTAGGCGGATTAATTAAGGTACTGCTTTGGGGTAGGAATGCTGATTGTCTTGCTGGTGTTAAACTGAGGTTTTTTTGAGGAAATTGATAGTTGTTAAATCATTAACGAAAAAATCGATTCTTGATCAGCGAGGAGGTTATGTTACTATGTGAGGAGTTGAGAAGAGTCCAAAAAGAATAATTAGTGTACTGCCTAGTCTCAGATCAAGGGTCAATAACCGTGATGGGTCAAGCAAGCAGTCTGAATGGGTGTGTGTGTGTGTGTGTGTAAGTACAAGAGTGGGTTGCTGCAGGGAGAGAGTGTGGGGTTCAAAGGTGGTGTCCATGCTGACTCATCCCATCCCTTCCCACCACGTGACAGATTGTGTATCTCTACACGCGAGCGTGGGAGAGCACGAGTAAGGCGTACATGACTAACGGGAAGGAATATTGGCGCAGGGCGAATATTCACCACTTCCATGATTTGCTAGGGGAGTGGTCTGGGATGTTGAAGGATAGGGGGCTGAGGTGGATTGTTGTTTTTGGTGAGCTATTTGGGACTAGACAGTAACAAATGCTTTTCGGTAAAGTTACACAGGTAAGGTGTTGGATAAGGTAGGTCTTTTCCGAGTGATTGTATATTTGAATAGAATCACGTTAGATATGTGTTTGCGTGCCATAGTCTTTACAGTTTTGTTGGCGTTTGACCACGAGGATAAGTCACTCTCTGTGAAGGGGTTTGACATCGAGTAGTTACATTCGGCAGTAAATAAGCGAGATGAAAGTAAATGAGACTCCATGATGCTGGGATACAGGGGCTATGGCCTGTTGCCTGTTCACAACGTATAAATGAAAATGGGAAGTGAGATCATAGTTACGGAAAGATTTAGAGGGCTTCTCATCTCGGAGCAGCCGGCTCTCGTCCCGGGCCGGGCCGTGCCCATAGACAAGCAAAGAATGTATGGCATACAAAGTACGGACCACGGTGCATCAAGTTCCGATCACACCAGAAAGGGAGAATGATTGTTGATAAAAAATCGCACAAAAAGAAGTGCGGAATTTTCCTGGAAGGGGACTTGTAAAAATCAATGGCAGTCGAATACATATAGATTTGTTCGTCCGATGAAGTCCGAGTCCACACTGGCTGCCGGAGATTCCATGACATGCTTTCGGAGACCGAAACGGGGGCGGACGAAACCCCACCGGCGCCCCTCTTTCCAGCGTGATGTCACGGCGGGTCATATGGCAACGACGAGAGACATTCATACTTCTACCTCTTCGACTCCGAGACTTGCTCCGGAAAATTTTCTCGACTCACTCGACGATTGGAAGATTACGACTGATAGCTTCAAGTGAGACGCTCGTCGACTAACATGGCTCCCAACAAGTACACCCTGGCCACCCGGCTGACTGTGAGCGCCAACCTCGAGAAACGGACCCTGGTGGCAAGCCATGGACATGCGCTAACACCCTACAGCTTGCGAATGGCAAGACCATCCCCCAGATCCAGCTGGGGCTGTACATGATGTCCGGCCGTGAGGTCACAAAGTCCGTTCCCTGGGCCCTGGCTGCCGGCTACCGCGGCTTCGATTGCGCGCAGATGTACCACAACGAGAGGGAGGCGGGTAGGGCGATCCGTGACTTCCTGGCCAGCGGCGAAAACACCCAGGGCCTGAAGCGCGAGGACATCTTCTACACGACCAAGCTGGCGAGCAGCAGCGCGTCGTACGACGCCGTGCGCAAGTCCATCAAGCAGTCCGTCGACGTCTCCGGCCTCGGATACGTGGACCTGTTTCTGCTCCACAGCCCGTACGGCGGCAAGGAGGCGCGGTTGACGAGCTGGAAGGCGCTGGAGGATGCGATTGATGCCGGCGAGGTGATGATGGGCGGTGTCAGCAACTACGGCGTTGCTCATGTGAGTTTTGTCGTGAATAGCTCAACGATGACGGGTGACATCTGACAAGGATGCACAGATTGAAGAACTGATGGCTTCGAAGCCTCGGATTGCCCCTGTCATTAACCAGATTGAGGTTCACCCTTTCAACACACAGACGCACATCAGGGAGGCGTGTGCTAAGCACAACATTGCCATTGAGGCCTACGCGCCGCTGGCTCGTGGAATGCGCATGAAGCACCCCAAGATCCTGGAGCTGTCCAAGAAGTACGGCTGCACTCCGGCTCAGCTCTTCGTTCGGTAAGTATCATGACTGAGTAGCCCCGCGTATGCAGCTTGCATGGTTGCTAACAACGATATGACCAGGTGGTCGCTGGACCACAACATGATCACTCTCCCCAAGAGTGTGCGCCAAGATCGTTTGATTGAAAACGCCAACGTTTCAAACTTTGAGATCTCCAAGGAAGATTTGGATGCTATGGATGCACTTGACGAGCACTTGGTTACTGATTGGTAAGTCACAAAAACAAACCGTCATCTGCTCGACCTTGTTGCATGCGCGACAAATAGACCGTAACTGACAATCTACTCTAGGGACCCGACTGAGGCACCTTGAAGAGTGTATGTGATGGTGAAAAGACATGTGCGGGCTCAATTTAGCGTTTTGTAGAATTCATCCTGGTCCAACATGCGTGATTCTCTGAACTGATTTCAGGCCATTGGGCCGAATTCGATGCATATGCAGGTGCCTCGTTTGGGCAAAGGTAAGCATAAAAGTCACGTGGCAACAGATTGCGCCTCAACCAGGCTTCTTTTCAGCTCGAACAGGCTTCCTCTTATTTCATTGTAATCTGTGGAGCTGGGGCAAAGCTCCGCATATTTGGTCTTCAGCGCTCAGTTCCAACCCTACTTGCTTGCAATGCGGCTCATTAACGCCAAGACGCTGCAGTTGCAGGAGTTCTTCGCAGACAGACCAAACTATGCCATCCTGTCGCATACTTGGGGCGTGGAAGAGGTCACTTACCAAGACATGCAGGCCGACAGGGCCCTTATTCAACACAAGACGGGCTGGAAGAAGATCGAGGGCTGCTGTGCCTTGGCTCTCAGATGTGGCTTCAACTGGGTGTGGATCGATACCTGCTGTATCGACAAGACATCGAGCGCGGAACTTTCAGAGGCCATCAATTCCATGTTCCAATGGTATCGACAAGCCAACGTCTGCTTCGTCTACATGATTGATGTTCCGCGTCTGGCGTGCGCGCCATTACTGACGTTTCACAATATCGGCAACTTTCAGTCCGACCTTGCCAGCTCGGTGAAGGAAGACAAAACGACGTTCATGAGAAGCCGTTGGTTCACCCGCGGCTGGACGCTCCAAGAGCTTCTCGCCCCGCCCCTCGTCGAATTCTACACGTCGGATTGGTCGTACATCGGTACAAGAAAAGATCTTGCCGACATAATCGAGGAGCAAACAAAGATCAGCAAGGACGCCCTCAAGTTCAAGAACTTGGCGCGATTCTCCGTGAGGACGAAGATGCAGTGGGCCGCAGACAGACAAACGACGCGCGTCGAAGACATTGCTTACTGTCTCTTGGGGATCTTCGACATCAACATGCCGCTGCTCTACGGGGAAGGCAACCGAGCCTTCCGTCGACTCCAGGAAGAGATATTGAAGACCACCGAGGACTACAGCATCTTTATTTGGTCGTCAACCGGTCTCCGAACTAGGGTCGAACCGGGGCACGCGCCGGCACTTGCAAGCCAACCTGCGGATTTTGAAGTCTTGAGACTCGATGCAACGCACGTCCCGAAACACACGACGCATGATAACCTCAAGGGATCTGCCCGCCAGATAACCATCATCGCTTCCAAGAAGCCAAAAGACCTCTTAATAACTGAATCCCATACTGGTATAGGAGAGCCCTTTTCTCGTGCATTTAGTGAATACTCGGAGTTCAGCCAGCAGCAAGGAGGCTTAACTTTCTCTCCACCCTCAATGTCAGCACGCGGGATCTCGATCACCACATTTACCAACTGGGAAGAACGTACCGGGGAGCCTTGTGATTGGCTTGCATGGACTCTTCATGAGATCAGAATCGATGGCACCGACTATGGCATTTGCCTTGATATACAGACAGATAAACAGCCACTAAATCCAGGGATCAATGCGTCTCGGAAATGGCCTGGGTGGCTTTGTTTAGTCCCTATGCAAGCGGTGCGGGACTTCAAGCCGATGACGTTCCACCTTCGGGCTGTTCCCCTGGTAGCCAACCAGCAGTGGCGGACGACGTCTATAACAACGCCGGTACTCAGGCATCAGAAGGCCGGACTGAAGTTCAGCAAGACGAACAGGGTTGCGGCGGCCATTGCCCAGACTTATCCACCGTTGAAAGTGGAGATGATAGGGGACACGTATAACTTCTGGCATGGACTCAAACAAACAGAAGTTATGGCTTATGGTCGCAGGCACGTCTGGGCGTTTGTTATCGAATTCAGCCAACATGAAGGAAGCCCGTCTATCTGCGAGTTTATTGTCCTATTTGGGAGGCAGCTGCGGGAAAACGGATCGTGGGCATGGATCTGCGATGCTCTACCTATCCCAGCGGAGGGTCGCTCTCAGATAGCACTGCGTTCCCTTGTAGACCAGAAGAACAATCAGGAAGAGTTGCGGTGTGATTCAAGCGCACTTTGCTCGTTCGACTGGGGCGCGGTCGGAGCTGTGGTGCGGTCGAATAGGACGGACACTCACTGGGTCGTTGAGGTGATGATCCATCATCAGCGGTCTGTCTGATGGCCTAGCGGGTGAAAAGGCTCGGAATAGGCTTGGTCTCACGCAATGATGACAACACATCGCCTTTAAGAACGATTCGACCGCAAACCGTACTACGATACTATAAAGAAACGTCTCGCGGATGCACGGCGAATTCGAGTCCCCTGACCCTGCGAGTTTGAGATCCGTTTGGCGAACAATGTTCTATTTCCTCATGATTTCCCTCAGAGCGTCGACCTCGGCCTCTTTCCTTGCGAGTTGCAGTTTAAGCTGATCTCGCTCTTCTTCTACAGCCTTCAAGGCTGACTCCAATTCCGCGATACGGTTGCGGCCCTTCTGCCGATATCGCTGAGCAGCAATAGTATTGCGCTGTCTCTTGATGGCGTTGATGGTGTCTTCAACGAACGAGCCTGTCTCGTTGACCCTGGATTTGACGCTGCCACTTGATGGCTTGGGCTGTAGATCTTCACTAACTGAATCTTGCATGCGTTCCGCGTCGGTCCCGCCGGGGCTGAAAGGTGAAGCCCACTCGGAGGTCTCGTCGTAGGTTAGCCTTTCGGATGTTCCTTGATGGTTGAGCTGGAAGTCACCCATATGTCCGGCGAGAGGTATGTGATCATCTGCGTGTGGTAGGTTTGAATACAGTAGCAGCAACAAGAGGGGTTGTGAACACGTACTGTGCGGGTGTGTTGATAGAGAAGGCATGGTATTCATCTGACCAAGGAAGTCATCGCCTCGGCCATTGCCTATTTCATTGTGCGTAAGACCTCTCTCACGCTGAAATTGAATCTCAGGCACCTCATATAAATCAGGTTGGGACCTAGAGGCAGGTTATAAGTTAGTGGACGAAGCTCCGCGCTGGATTCTGAGGCATCTCCGCCCAAGACGAACATTGGCTCGAATGTATCGCAGGGCGGCGACCAGGCTGGCACGCCAATGTGGTTTAGACTCTTTTGGGTGTTGTTATCGGAAGAGGTCTAGGAAGTTTCGGTGAAATCCGATGTAACGATGCGATTCTTGCATTGCCATGGATTCGGACTTGATTGGTTCTTCCTCAACACGGAGAGGCAAACGGCAGGCTAAAAGTGGGCGGGTCTGCGAATCGGTGCGTGTGCTGGTTGCAGCGATGATCGGCCCAGAGAGGTATTGGAGAAAAATAAGTAAAAGAAATTTTGCTGGAAGGATTAGGCATATGAAAATGATGACCTGTGTCTTCCTCAGACAGCCGAAGAGTAAGTTAGAATCCTTCTGAAAAAGTTGAAAAAGGGGCTAGGCTTATGCGGTTATGGTCTTATTGGACGGGACTTGGAATGAGTCGAGATGGCTCATAATGATGCTTCTGCCTTTAACGATGTGATCTGATTGGTCCGTGCACACAGTAACTGATCTAAGGCCAGCCCTCTGGGGACCAGTTGTACCAACCCATATCGACCTCATCAATGACCCCCCACTGGTCGACGAACTGCTTCTTCTTGTCTTCCAAGCCCTCAGTGTCCAGGATTTCGAACACGGTCCTCCATGCGCTGTTCACGGCGCCGATAATCCAGGCGTGCCCAGAGCTCAGTGCCTCTCCACCGAAATGCATGTGGCCATCGGCGGCAGGCCTCATCAGCCAGGGAAGAGTGCTGCTGAACTGTCCTGGCCCAAAGATGGCGAATGCTCCATTCGAGTATGCCGATCCGTACCAGTCGTACACATGGTATCCATCGAACTGAGACAGAAGGTACTCATGAGACACGCCGTTAAGCTCTGCCAGACTTCTCAGGACCACATCCACCATGACATCGGCGCTCTCCGGCTGGTAGGGAGCCTGCGTCGTGGGATTGTGCGGGTTGAGGTAAGAACCCAAACGCGAGGCATCCTGTCCCCAGACGTAGCTGGCAATCATGGTTCCAGGCGCGTTTGGCACGTCAATTCCGTAGGAGGGGTATACGCAGCGGCGGATGGGCAGATCGGTGAAAGATTGACCGCCCTGGAATGGACCAGTCGTGAGGTTCTCCCACCTGAGACAAGGTCAGCGCAAAAAAAAAAGTGACATGTTTGACAGCAAGATTGTGCTTACCAGCGAGTCTTGAACTTGAAGCCAACTTTGGCCGAGGGATCGTAACTGTGTTTAGAAGCGTTAGCATCTTCAAGCATGCAAGCAAGGGATGATTGCCATATTGAGTCTCGCACTAAAGAAAAAGGCATACTTCAGTGTGCGGATGGCATTGTTCTCAAAGTAGCTCAGGTCCAGCTCTGTCATGTTGATTGCCTGAAGAGCGCCAAGCGGGACTGTCGAGATGACATGGGCGTAGCTATACTCTTGAGTGCCGTTGACGACAATCTTCAAGGTCCCATTGGGGCTCTTCTTGATGTCCGTAACTCTGTTGTGGAGGACTGGCTTATTCTTGACGATAAGATTCATGCCCTTCGTCAGCATGTCCATACCGCCATTGATGAGGGACCAGTCGCTTATATTGTAGCCGTCAAAAATCCATTGCTCCAGAACGGCCTGAGACATCGACATCATGTCGTAGTGACCAGTGGCGTCGTTGATAGCCTCCAGCCAGTCAATTTCGCTGTTGGCAAAGCCCTGGTCTAGGAGGAACCCTCGCACGGTCTTGGAGTCATACTCCATAAGTAGGTTGAAGCCAGCAGTGAAATCAGCCGAAAGCTTTTTGGTCATGAACTGGACTTGGTTCTTCCACAAATCACTTGCGGATTGTGTGTCGAAGCTTGAGTTGAAGATAGGCACGCCATAGCGATCGGGGGATGCTGAAGCGGGGTCTTGAATCAGGGAGGTGACGCCATTGTATCGTCTAAATGTGTTGTCCGCCTTGAAGATGTAGTGTTTTTTCAACCACTTGGTCGCGTTCGGAAACACGCTCGTTGATGTAAGGAATGAGACTCCATGATTTGTTGCCAATGATACGATCCATATAGGGCATTGGGGGAAATCGCATTGCTCCTACATCCTGTCGTCATATCAGCAGGTAAACGAAGAAGGTTTTCAGTTGAGGTCGCTTACATAGTAGTCATAGTATGCGGGATCGTTGGGCGTCGACTTGTCCCATGTTTCTTGATCGAAGTGGTAGGTGTAGATCCTTCCGCCAATTCGATCAGACACTTCGTGGATGTCGTAGTCAATTCCGAGGGAGTCTAGCAGAATGGCAGCGTAGAGACCTGCGGCTCCACCTCCGATGATGCCTACTTTCAGCGGGACGTCTTTTGGTGTTGGTACTTTGCTGGAGTTGGTGTAGCAAGAACCGTCGACAATCTTTCGGAAGAAGGCGGCGCGGGGATTTGCGGCAGCAAGCTCTCCGTCATTGCATATGTTCCTTTCCTCTAGCCGAGCTGGTTTAGATTCGACAGCGGGTAAGGCGAGTGTCTGTGCCAACAAAAGGGCAGCAACGAGCGTGCGGGGGTTAAGGAGTGGCATTTTTTTCTTATTCGGCGGTAGAGACTGAGATATTGCCAGTGAGATTGTAGCTTAACTAGAGTCAAACTCCAAGGAGGACAACGCGCTTCATATTCTTATATGTTTTCAGCTTTTGTCAAGTTACGTCAAAAAACAAAGCGCCAACTAATTAAGATCAAAACAACAATATCGAACCATCACTCAACCTTTCTCCAATGGACCAAATGAGTATCCGTGTCTCGAATTCAACCTGTGCTGAGACAACAGTGTCATTCCTCTCTTCCAACACCAGTTTCCTGCACGTGGTTTGCGAAAGCTCCGCATTGGAATGTTGATTATCGAAGAATTTACTTTTCACCAAAGCGAATGGCTCAAGCTCTATAAGGCGCACGGCGCGGGCCTTATTCAGTTGCGTGCCTCTCATATTACACTAGAACAGTATGGCTGAGTCTTACATACTTCCAAGCAGCCACAAACACTGCCTTGATTCCAGACGGAAACCAAAAAGCTGCATTTCCAATGAAACAGAACTGGGCGAAGTAGTAAGGGTGTGGTGACATGCAAACCCATTTCAAGACTCATGAAGCCTAGAATTTGTGGTCATCGTGGAATTTTGAGTACGTTCGTAAGGTTCATTGGCTATGAGTGAAATTAGCGTGGACTTCTTCGGGTTTCCTTGAAGTGAAGGAGAGAAAGAGGCCAGCGGTCATTACATAATTAACCCCGAAAATTCATCGCCTTATTGAGTACCTAGCAAGTCCGGGCTTGTCGCTTGATGAAATACCAATTTCTTGGGCTTGTGTAGTGGAAATTGCGATCTTGCAATGCTGCCACAACCTGACATGTCCAAGTTTTCCGTCTAGGCCTTTCGACTGACTATTTTCCCGGCGGCTCCCACAAGGTGTTCATTCTGGTTCGAAACCCTTAGGATGAAATCCCGCACAGCGTTTCTTAGTTTTACATTGCGCCATTGAAGCGATTTCTACGATCAATGTTCAATCAACTGGCAATATTTAGAACGGTCGCTATGCTTAGTAATTAGTATTAAAACAAGTTGACTTCTTCAGTCATTGATGACTGGATCGACTTTTGACTAAGTAGATGGGCAATTGGATGGGATGAGTCGTTCCCAATTTTGTGTACTCAGGTGGAGATAGTCTGGGTTGACATGTTAGTTTCGTGGGAGGGGGGAGTAGCACCTACTGATGGGGAAAGAAGTGTATGATGGATTTCCTACGAATAAGACATAGCCAAATAGATGCACTGAGGTTTGTAAAGAAGAGCTCGGACATTGATGACTCAGTGTATTGGAACAGAGCCGAGACAACTCTCTCTGTCGTGATCCCATCTTCCTATAAAGACACAAAGAAACCGGCTATGCATCTTATCTAATAGAATTATTGGCTGTCTCACGAGCCTGGTATTTCACTGCCGTCCGTTCATCACTATCACAAATCTAATCCAAAAAAAAACCAAAAAAACCATTGGGGAACGCCACTGAAAACACACTGTTGAATTTTTGGCTTGCTGTATGTAACTGCTGTAGGCAGTGGTGTAATGTCTGCACAGGAGATGTTCTGAAATCAATGCACTTCTTTGATGCATCTGGTTGAAAGGTAGGTGCAATTACCTAAGAGAGCCATGTCCAGCAGATGAACTTCTACAACCTAGTAACTACATTCGCTGGTCCGCTAACCACGAGAGCGCTTCCAATGGTCGTCAGGTTCTCGTCATCTGCAATAACGGGGTATATGCTGAAACTCTGGTGAAGCTAGGAGAGTGACACTAGAATATAAAGGCACGAAGTTATTAGCGGTTCTGGAGACGCGAAAAAGTGTGGGCAATACTGCTAGAGCTTAAGTTTGTCGCACTCTAATGCAGCGAGCTGCGCTCAGAATTCTTCCGGGTGCTAATAACAGCGGGTGAATCAGTAACCATTGAAGTCCAATCTTATGGCCAATTGGTAATAGGTACAGTCGCATTCACTTGCTGTCACATACATGCCAGGATCGACGGCACTTCCGATGTGTTTAAATGCTGAATAATCGGCACAGTGCCAAGCCTAAATAGATCCGTCTCTATCAGCGTACGAAACCTTCTTTCATGTTTTTCATCACTGTTCCCGGAAGATAATTGGTTTCGGAAACAAATTGATTCCGAGATATCGCAGTGGGGTTCCGGAACACAACCGTCGGCCTTGCCAATGTCCGCTCGCCGGGCGGGGCCGTATGTGCGGTCAGAGGCTGATTGATAATGCTGAGTGCGGTTCCTTAGTGGATCTCGCGTGCTATGTGCGCAATCATGCCAGATTTTGGAGTATTGCGCGATGGCGGGATCGAGGTGGGGGGAAGGTTGACAATGGCTTGGCATCAACAGTGCATATAAGTTGCTATTGTGTCCCAAGCAAAAGTCTAGAGTCAATCCAGGAACATCATTCTTTCGACTACATCAAACCCAAAAACCACAGCCTCAATTTTCCATATTAACTCCTCACTATGTCTGTCAAGAAGGTCACCGTTGTCGGAGTAAGTCACGTATCAAGGCCTTCAGGTCACACAAATTAGCTGAGCTAACTCCTACAGGGTTCCGGTAACCTTGGCCCTAGCATCATTGGTGGCCTGCTCGCTGGGGGATTCGAAGTTACCGCACTTTCTAGAAAGGAATCTTCCGCATCATTTCCTTCCGAGGTCACTGTTAAGAAGGTCGACATCAACTCAGTCGAGGAGGTTACCGAGGCTCTCAAAGGACAAGACGCCGTTGTTTCTATCGTTGGAACGGCCGGATTTGCTAGTCAGAAGGCTCTTGCCGACGCTGCGGTTGCGGCTAAAGTCAAGAGATTCATCCCCTCCGAGTTCGGAATTAACACCCGGGAGGCTCGCGGCACCAAGATTGGCGGTATCCTGACTCCCAAGATCCAGACTGTCGATTATTTAATCGAGCTTTCTGAGAAGAATAGTTCATTTACGTGGACAGGCATTGCTGTTGGACCCTTTTTTGACTGGGTAAGGAAGTTCCTCAGGTCCTTAGAATTTTCATAAGCATCGAAATAGCGCTAACAAAACCCAGGGCTTCAGCGGTGGTCTTCTAGGGTTCGACGTCAAGAACAAGACAGTCAACATTTTTGATTCTGGAAATGAGCCCATCTCACCTTCTACCCTCGGCTTCATCGGAAAGTCAGTTGCAGGTGTGCTGAAGAACCTCGAGGCGACCACTAACAAGTACATCGACGTTGCTTCGTTCACAACTACCCAGCGTGAGCTGCTTAAGGTTATTGAGCAGGAGACTGGTTCCGCTTTTACGGTTAACAATGTCAAGACTTCGGACTTGGAGAAGACAGCCGACGAGAAGCTGGCGAAAGGCGACTTTAGTGCTTTTATCCAGTTGCTTCAACAGCACATTTTCGGTGACGGCAACGGCAACGTCACAAAAGATAATGCCGCTGTGAAGCTTCTGGGTCTACAGGAGGAAGATGTCAAGGCCGAGACCAAGAAGGCTGTGGCTGCGTGGAAATAGTCGAGGCTTTACATAATATATTCAACCTGAAACCCCGATCAACGATGAATACTTTTTCGTCATGAATGACGATGGCCTTCTATTTGATCGCCAGACATAGTGATTGCCAATGGGGCACTATGGGCCCAGCGAAAATGTTGTTTCATATCTACAGCCCAAAGGTCTGCACAATGACAATACTGCGTCTTAATATCCTTAAGTTAGCCAATACACTGGACGAGGCTGTTCAAGTAGTCATTGTGTCTTCGTTGTGCATTAACGTTTCACATATTTGGGTCCTAATCTCTCCAACATCCATCAAAGTACTAGCTGCCAGTGGTTAATAACAGTGGTCGTTTCAATTACCTGACATTTGTGTAATATGGCGGTCCCTCTGACCCAAGATTGACCAATTTTATCAAGTTTCCCCGGCAGGAGGAAGTGATAGTCAGATCTAGCGTAGCCCGTTGAACAGTTTTCGCGCTCTAATTTAGCTTCAAAGTGATTTTTCAAGCGACTTTCTTCGATCGGATCATAGGTGTTGCTCCAAACCACTAGTTATGATTTCGACTATTTGCGGCATCAATGTATGGTTACTCAAGCGAGGCATATCCCATTGCCTTCGGCCTAACGTCCGAGGAGCTCTTGTGCGGAGTAAAACCAATGAAGACATGGGATTCCAATTAAGTTAGCCAATGAATATTCAAGTTTTTCTATACTTCCCTTCTCGATTCAATCTGGGGAAGCCGGAAGTATTAATTTTTTCCATCGATACACAGAGGCAGGCTAGATTTCAGGCAAAACGTTTGTATCGATCGATGTGCGGAGTAAACATGGGCAGTAAGATGGACTTGAATCTAGTGACATTAAGCAGCAGTCAATGGGATATATGTACTTGGGATGAAAATTTTGCGGTTGTCAAAAGTGCTAATGTTTAGGCCTCATAGACCTTGAATGTTCGATAATTAGTAGACATGTGCTCAGCTGTGTTTGCACTGAAACAGCGCAGGATACTTGTTTAAACTTTTCAGAAATCCCAATACAGCCACCTCAATTTTGCCTCAGGCAAGGTCAGTTTTTTTTTGGTTTTGGAGGGGGCATGGTCTGGGTCTTTCGAAGATAAACTTTGCTCATGCACCGACACGATATTCTTCAGCAGCGTAGTGATGCTATGGTAAATATGAGGACATAATTGTCCTATACTAATATACATGGTTATTTAACTTATACAAATGTCGAGAATGATTCAGGGACAATCCATATATTGAGCCTTAGGGAAGCGCGACCTCACCGAATGAGTGAACAGTATATTAAAGTGCACGATTTGCCACGTCAGCGTCTTCATCTGATTTAGAGCACGGAATAAGAACCCAATTGAAGCTATGGTAGGCATTTCATACTAAACTTTAATCATTTCAACAGCCTGCTAAACAGCGACTGCCCACCAATTCCTCCCCTCCATTTTGCCAGACTTTGTTTCGAAGCTTCTGCAAAGCTTGGCACGGAACTGGGCCGACTGACGTTACTTGGTGTGTGTGCCATCGCGTCACAATATAACTCGCCGTCTTCTTCCTAGAGTTCCAATACTCTTCAAGGTCATTTACGTCATTTTTGGAGCTGTCCCCTCTATCCATCGTGTCTTAGTATCTGGGACAACTTGAGCGACATCTGGGCAGATAAGCCGTTAACCGACGAGTCCACTTCCTCACAGCTATGCCCATCGAGATACGGACTGCCTTGGAGCGCGACCTCAAACGATGTGCTGAGATCGGGCATCAGGCATTCGGCAAAAGTCCATTCTTTAAGATCAAATTTCCCGGCTACGTACCGAAAGATGGGTTCCTGGGTCTCCGAGCCAACGACCTAGCGAAACAACTTCGGGAGGATCCGACAGCTCGTATGTTCGTAGCAGTGGACACCGAACGAAGAGGCGATGGTGCGATCGTGGGTTTCGCCAAATGGAACGTGTACCCAAATGGCATGCCTTACGCAAAGTCAAAGGCAGCCTCATGGGGCCCGGGAGCCAACCTCGAAGCATGCAAAATGGTTTTTGCTGGAGTTGAAGAGATGCGAAACCGTTTGATGGCAGGCAAGCCATGCATCTGTGAGTTCCTCTTACGCATTACGGAGTAAGGACTTTCGCTAAAACAATTCAACTATGGACCTTCATGTCCTAGTAACAGATCCGTTATATCAGGAGCGAGGTGTCGGACAGAACCTGATGGCTTTCGGCATACAAGAATCTCTTCATTTGGAGATACCGGTATATCTCGAGGCTACAGAGGCTGGTCATTCTCTGTATTCAAAAATTGGGTTCGATGATATCGAGGTTCATCGCGCTGACTTGGTCAAGTTTGGAGAGTCCCGGCCTCACTTGATCTGGGCGATGATTCGGGAACCTTACTGCTGGTTTCCATGACTCGCAGATATGGCGTCGGGCAAAGTCCTTCATCGTATTTTCACAGGAGTTGCGTCCAGCAAGTCACATCCAGAGGCGTCCAGTGTATCTTATATTTGCTATTGCTAAAATGGAAATCCATCTTGAATGCTAAGCTATACAGCCAGGTTCCAATTTTCTTCCAAACTTAACTCATGAAATATGGTCTATTGATAACATACTAAATGATAAGCGGAACCTGTCACGATATCCTCGTGGTGTGAGTCGATTCTACCTAGATAGACCGCCTACTTCCCACGCGACCTCGCCCAGCTTTTTCAGCGACCCCTGACTTTATAAGCGGCCTCGTGGTGAAATACACTTAGAGAATAGAAGCCACTTTCAACCTTATGACCCTACTGCGTACGGCAGGCTCTCAGCGATAGAACCACAGTAACAGAGGTTCAAATCAAGAAGTGTAATCAGCAGCGCGGTCAACAGCAGTGGCCTGAGCCAGCTTCCCGGTTGCCACCGAGACAGTCGGAATCCAACCTTGAGGGTTTACATCTGTACCCGTTGTAGCAATGCCGTCACCAGTAGAGTTGACACCAATAGTGATGTAACCAACGAGCCCGTCTTCAACACTGTCACCAAGAAGTGAGACGCTCAAGAAGGGGTTGTAGCCGTCCTCGCTGGCGCTGGACAAAACCGAGTCTTCAGCGTTGATCGTACGATTTAGGGTTTCGAGATGAGATGAGTAGGGGCTTACAGCGTAAACCTGCGATAGAAGATCTTCCTCGAAGAAGAGCTGTCCAACGTGTTGCAACGCACTCTGGCCGAAGGAAACGCCGTCGGTGGCGTTGGCTTGAACCGTAACGTGAACATGCATGGAGCGCGAGGCATAGTAACCAGGGAATCTGGTCAAGAATTCGATCATGCCCTGCTCATCGGAGATTTGGATGCCGCGAAGGAAGGTCTCGTCATCTGTGGTGCCATCGGCACGCTTGCCCCAACCGTCTAGAAGCTCCACAGTATTCGGATTAATACCAGTGAAGGAGGAATAGGATCCGGTAGTATTACAGGCCTGTCGCGATGCCCTCACGCGCATCGCGCAGCCTTGTGAGATTTGCGCCGGGCCCGGATTAACTATTAGTCCGGTCCCTTCGTGCGGATCCACCACGCAGGATACGTATTTATTCGTTTCGGACAAGGCAATCCTGCACGTAGAAATCGAAGCCGTTTTCCTTATGTCTTTTCCACCCTAAGTGGTGACTCTACGACAAGGCCCAAATAGATACCGAAGCACCCTGAAGCGGCTCGCAAATCTCTACATCAATAATCCCGATGTCGAGATAGAAGTCAATACCGGGTTGCGACTCGCGAAGGTCGTGGCGAATCAATTCGCCGTCAACGCCGTAGGGTCCAAAGATGGTGTCAGGAGCCAGTAGACAGGTGTTGTTTTGGATGCTGGTATATTGGAGAGTGTTCCGCTTAGATATGCCATGACTATTGGGCATGAAATCGCCGCTCTCGACGCGACGCTCGTAGAGACACTGGGAACGCTTGGCGATGATTTCACCCTTCCGCTTTTCGATCGCAGCAGCACACTTGTTGGTAGATCGACCGGCAAGACCAGCTTATTTCTTGGCCTTGTCCCTTGTCAGCTTCTCTGGATGAGCAATAATCTGGGTGGCGCCAAGAAATAGCGTAGTAAAACTGAGAACGCCGAATTTCATATTGTTGACTGTGGCTAAAACGAAATTGCCTGTAGAAGCTTTGATAAGCTGTACGGATCTCAGATAGATTAGACCTTAATCAAGCTGAGAAATGTAAAGTCTAGTTACCGAAAATCGTAACGAAGGGAGGGATAACAATGGAGATTATGTTATTGGTGGTGTCAATAGGATTGTCATCGCAGGGTTCAGTCGCACTCTATAATGCACTTTTGGGCTCGTAGATCCCACATGACTTGAAATTATACACTGTCCGGCATGGTTTATTTTCTCGCTTGACGTTCATTACGAATGCTCTGCGCCTCGATTGGGCCACTCTGACATTGCGTTGTGGATGTTAGACCGGAATCCTATATGCGTAATCCATCGACTTTGGTTGGTCTGTCATGTCGTTGTAGCTTGCCCAACGTCCAGGAATAGAATGTGGTCGTAGTTTGAGCATGAAATTTTTCCGTGACTGGCCATTGGACGTTCAGGGGCAAGCCCATGATGTTGCTCGGGATGTGGGCGATCATGTCTTCAGGAGATGAGGGACTGATCCCCGCGATTCCCGCATCGAGCGACTCAGTCTACCGGGCGTGGCCCAATAGTTGCCGGAACTGATAATTTATCCCGACGCAGCTTGCTGTGCCTTCCCGGCCGACGTGGTCCCTGCCCGAGGTGATATCTACCCGAAATTCATGACACTCTTGGTTGGATTTCCACTTCAACGGTCCCCACTGCAGAGGACATTCAGGAGGCGCAGGTGGGACAAAAAAGCAAGACTACAAACTGGAAGTTCAAGAGCGTCCGTATGGTTTCTTCCCAAGCCCACGTACACAATCCAGACCCATTGATTGGCTATTGACATACAATTTTTCCATTTGGTAGTGTGTTATTGTGGTTCCCATCCAAGCCGAGTTGCCAATCTCACATCAAGGACCATCGAGCTGTTGCTATTTCTGCAGACCACCGTATAGAGGTTCAACGAGTTCCAAAGAGAGACGAATATCACAATACTACTGAATTTCTACTAAGCAACTGGTGAGAATGCTGAGGACTTCTCAGTTGATCGACATTTTATCTTGTCTTTTCCCCCCATGCCTTGATAATTTTGGTTCGGCAGAAAATAGAATAAGCCAAACCATACCGCAACCTTGAGCAAATTAACTCAGAATGAATCGCAGCACTTACAATGAGTATTTGAGCTAGACTCATCAGAAAAACCTGTCAAGGAAGACATCAGTGTTGTGTTTCGTCATGATGGCGCCAGTTCTTGTGCTTTTCATGTACAATCTCCTCAAATTACCATTGATAGTCACCAGAGGATCATTAGTTCTATTTAGCCACAGATTGATATAAACGCCATGTAGAATACAGCATGCACTGAATATTCCCTAGTTTACAATTATTTAATGATTACCTAAGCCTATCTACCTGCGATAAGTAGACATTGAGTCTAGTTCAGGCGGCTCGGCACATGAGCGTGACATGCAAAGGATTTGTTTGTCTTTTTGTAAAATCCTTCGAAGTGGTTATTAAATTTAATAGGGCAAAACAAGAGGGAAAATCCTATATTGAGCTGAATATCCAGGTAAAGAAGCTAATGCTGTAAAAGTCTGTGTTGTTTCCCTCTTCTAATATTCCCCCCTTCCTTCCCTTCACCTTCTGATAACTGATTGACCTTACTTACAGCAGATAAGAAGGGACATAAACCCTTATGGGGATACTCAAATCAGAAACGAAGCAAAATGGAGAACACTGCTTTTGTAGCCCTTTGCACTACCAGTCTGATCCTAGCATTTGGCGCTCGTATCGCACGCTGTTGCCCCTTACTAGAGCCCCTCAACTCTACATGAGTAATGCAGCAATGCCTACTGCGACAGAAAGGGCCAAACTGCGCCAGGGATTAATCCACGACCAGTTCCAGTTGGAACTGGAACTGACTGTATTGACCTCGTGGTGGTGGCACTGGATAGAGGGCTTGCGACGGCAGCGACAGTCTGAAGTAACTTTGGCGTCGTTGTGTATCTCATAAGATCCGTCGCAAAAGATACGGTTGAGAATGGTAGGCTTGAAACGGAAGACGCATTGGGGAAGGCAAGTCGTTCAGATGCTGGCGCAGAGGATTGTAAGGAAGCTCGGTCGAAGTCTCCCGGGCTCAACACACTAAGAGGAAGCTAGGTTAGAACACACATTTTATGATGATTGCAACCGACTGACCTGTCAATTACGTGGGCGATACCATTGTATAGAATTGTATTGGGAAAAGTAATCCTCGCGTTGTTTACCCAAGCAGAACCATCTGGCAGGACGGTGAAAGTCAGGTTGGGGCCTTGGAGAGACGGGACTGTAACATTGCCCAAGGATGGCGAAAAGATGACATTGTTGGGGATAATATGGTAGCGGAGAACCTTCTGAAGCGTCTCTAGGTCTGTAGACTCAAGCACAGAGCCAATCGACTCGAAGGCCGCGTCGGTGGGCACAAATATGGTATAGTCAGAGATGTTGAGGCCTTGGACATCGGCTCCTGTCTCGCCGAATGCGAAGTTTAGATGAGCAGCTTCCAGCGCGGCATTCATTGCGAGGTAGCCCGATCGGAAAGTGAAGAGCTGGAAGGGAGCCCCAAATGAGAGTACCGTATCGACTTTGTGAATGGTAATGCCTTTACCTAAAGTGATATCCTTGTTTTTAGATGTCAGTTCACGTAAGTTGACATGTAGATCAAGGAAATACCGACCGCTTCGGTGACGGTAGAGACTGTCAGCTCTCCAGATAGAACGCATAGATCATCTCCATTCCTCACAAGGCCATTGTATGCGCCGCCAGTGAAGTTGGAAAATGGCTGTCGAGCAGTAACGTATGAATCGTCGAGCAAGGTCTGTGCAAATGTGGGGACATTGGTGATGACATTTGATGGGTAAACTCCTCGGAAGACGTGGTTCGCAAGAAGGGCTCCAATCGCGATAGTATCGTTCCGTAGCTCAATGGCCTCACCTTCTGGGACGTCTCGTGGCACGTTGGCAAAGGCTTGGTTTGTTGGCGCTATGATGGTGATGTTGGACGCCGAGGAGAGAGTGTCTGCAAGGCCATCCACAAGACTGACAAGCTCAAGCAGCGTGCTGAGGTCCCCTTGGGAGGCGAGAAATGCAGCAAGGTCACCCTGAGCTAGGCAAGAGCCTGCCATCACCACATATGACCAAAATGATGGACGCATGATAATGAGATTCAGAAACGTAGTGGCGACTGCTAAGATGGATATTGCTCAGGGAAGAGAAAACAAAGTATGTCGCAATGCTATAGTTATTCTCTCGCAATTCATTGAGCTATCGACCTGCTCTTTATACAAGATTTGGATCTGGGCTTCACAAGATAAAATCAGCCTTCTTTGTATCAGGGCTAACGTGCTGACAGTCATGACGACCGGCCAAGCTCTCAGAATCGAGAGACAGCCAACTGATCTGGCATTTTCCTCCAGGTCTTATTCCTCTAAGCATCATCAAATCTTACGATTTTTGATGCCAAGAACTGCACAGCCCTCGCCCGACCAAGTGCATACGAATCGTTGAAGGCTTCTTGGGAAAAGAGAGGGCCAGATCCTGCCGCGACATTCTGATGTAGAGAAGCAACTGGGCTTGATTACCCCAGACGACAGTAAAAATGTGGGGTTACGAGCGCCTATTCGAGTTTAGCTCGTTCAAAAGTTCATCTGACAGACGATAGGTAGTGAGTGCATCTGGTGGGGCTACGCTCCGTCTGTCTGTTTAAGCTTGGTTCTTACGTTGATATATCTCTAGCTCTATGTGGCGCAGACTTCATGTGTGGCTTGGTTCTGATGTCTGCCTAAATGCAGGAACTGAATAACTAAGTGAATGCCTTAGATGTCATACAATTCAATCCTTGTGTGAATTGAAACCAATTGGTTCTACTTCCGTTCAGTTGTACAGCGGATTAAGCTCAAGGCAAGTCTTTGAGGTTATGGTAGCCCCATCACCGACCTCCAAGGAAAATAACTAGCGTTTTGATATATTCTTGACTGATGTTTTATCAATTGCTATCCTTAAAATCATCTAATACTTCAAGTGAAGTGTTTGTAGAATTGAGGGTTCGTGGGATGACATGGAACCACACCGGTGTCCCTAAACCATGCGAGGCTTAAACGACTCATTGTAAAGGATGTGTAAAGTAAACTTATCTTGTTTAACACATTTCGGTGGTACGACTAAACACTAGTTTGAAATTGAAGGTACAGATGCAGTAAATTTATTGGATGTGCAGAGAGGACGATAAATACACACGCAGATGTGCGAGTGTAAGGATTGTGACGAAGGACAGGGAGAGATCACGGTTGTCAGTGTTGCTGAGGTAAGTCACACTATATAAGTCTATGGTGTGACAACTCATAATTTCGTGTACTCTTTCTTTTGCATTCAATCCTAAAACTTCAACCTCTCAAAATCAACTAGCACATTCAAAGATGCAAGTTTTGATCAGCCGTTAGCCGATAAAAGGTTCAAACATGAATTACCAGACGTCTCAGGAATTGCCCGAGCCTCGTTGCAGTTCGCAATGCAGCTCATCACCACCTTTGCCTGAGACGCTGTTCTGTTCCCTCAGTGCTGAAGTCAGCACTCTGCACCGTATAAGAATGACAGATTCGGCAATCACCAGGTTTCAGATCCGGAGTGCAGGATGCAGTGTTCAAGAGGGTAATCTCGGCTTCTGGATCACCATTAAGTCATGAGTTAACGCCTGCCAGTCGGTTTTCAATTCGTCAAGCTGTGAATATAGGTCAGTTAGTCGCGAAAGTTTTATCGGAGTGCTGTGAAGGTAGTTTTGACTTGTGTTGGGCTTCCACCCAGTATGATATTGAATACCGCGAAGTATTCGTGACGTACTATGAGGGAAGCAATATCCTGTATGGTGAGAGGCTTCTTCTAAGTTTTGACCATAAGCTGTACGACACGATTTGGTTGAAAATGAAGCATTTTGCAAACATTCCTTTATACTATTTTGAACTGAAATACAATCCATCATAACTTTGCAATGAGACTGGCATGTTGTGGTTCTATCCGGACTTTGATCGTGAGCAATGCCCGTCATGAGCATAAGCGAACTCGGTCAGACTGACAAGCTCTAAGAAATAGCACATAGACCTTCCTGTAGCCGCAGATCTTGTGATGTGCCTGCACCGCGTCTTCCCATCGCCGGGCTTGACTGCTGCCAAATGACTCCACAGAAACCTATGAGATAGGCGATGCGCTTAGGAACCGAGAGGGACATCATCCAAAAAAGGATAAAATAAAAGTAATCATACGGATACAGGACGAATATGGGATAGCTCGCCCCTTGGGGTTGTTGAGTCAGTCTAGCGTTTGGGGTGTGCAATAACCCATTCGGGCACGGTTCTGAATGCATGATGTCAGAAATAACAAGATCGCCGCTAAAAGCGTCAAGTCGTCATCGCGTCCGGGTGTCCACTTGGTTCAAATAACAACAATCCCCGGCAGCGCAACTGGAATTCTCTCGTGACTTGTCCATCTAAGCCACTGAACTGACACTGATAAGGACTTCCTTCAAGAAGCCTCCCACGTGCTTACCCAGTATTCGCAAACATGAGTTCTCAACCGATCGGCCTGACTACAATTCCGAGGTTGCTGCGTAAGTGTCGCTTCATGCATCACGAGAGTCCTCCCTCGGATGCTTTCCGTATAGCAAACTGACTTTTGCTTCATAAACAGCTATAACGGGCACCTTCGCTCTTCCGTTCACAGTGTACTACGCATTTCTCAGTCTGAGAGTGGTTGGCGAACGCCTAAAAGACGAGCACTATCTCGGAGAGAACTCTTCTAAGCCCGGGGCCGACACAAAGTCACTCAATGCGAATAAGCTATACCTTGCGTCACGGTCGCACACCAACTTCGCCGAGAATGTGCCGCTGGCATTTATCCTTGCCTCGCTTGTGGAGCTCAATGGAGGCAGCCGTAGGACTCTGAGCTGGCTTCTTGGTAGCTTCTTGGTCTTCCGTGTGCTGCATGCGGAGCTAGGCATCATGCAATCCCAGGGCATGGGATATGGCAGACCTGTCGGCTTTTTCGGCAGCATAGGTGTGGTTGGCACGTTGGCCGCCTATGGAGCATTTTTAGTCAAAGGATACTGGGGATATTGAGTGATAAGGAACTTAAAATCCCTTGGCGGAGAAGTATTATTGCTCCTGAAGCTATTCTCCCAAAAAAAAGCCTGTGTTTTGGGTTGTTGTCTTCCTCATAACACAATAATAGTCATATTCAAACCTATGTCTTCCATAGAAACAATTTTAAGCAACATATTTATTGTTTAGATACCAAACGTAGTTATTAGAATGGCGCACGCAGACTAACCCGTCTGTGCTTGGTCCTAGCACGAAACTCTCAATCTCACAATACATGATTCATTATATGCGCTATAGAATTGCCCTTTTGCCTTATCGCAATTAGCAAAAAGGACAGGGCAAGAGTCAGGTGTCCGTTAAGTGCAAACCTATTGGGAAACGAACCACTACGGATCAAACGTGCTGAGGATATGCATAATGAATCGGATTCTAAATTCATGCCAAGCGGAATGCATATGTACTGAAGAGCGATGAGGCTAACTGCACCGCTCCAGAACAGCAATTATGGCTCCCTAACTTTTAAGAAGTATAACTAAATAGAGCTAGCTATCGGCAAAAGGGTATTAGCGAGGTTTCATAAACATCAGATGTTAACACTAGATACAGTCTAGCGACCGAGACCTCTGTATCGTCAGTTTCCCTACCCTTCAACCGTCCAAATCACCGTTCGGGCTCTCTTGTAAATTTCGTTTTTCAGCCAAGTGTTGTTCAGGACAGCGAAAACTGTTGTAGCCGAAAGGAGGAGGAGTTCTAAAACTGATGGATACGGAGCGATTATTTGCCTCACCCTCTCAATCAAGAAAGCACTTGCTGTTGGAATCATAATGTATCACCTGGGAGTTTTATAAGAAAAAGCCCTAGATCTACCAGTTACCATCCAAGCTTTCTAAGTCTGACTCAGCCAAATCCTCGCGTTTCTTTTGCTGTGTCTCTCGTAGCTCCTCGACCATGCGCAAATTGCTTTGCTCCAACTGACTCAACTGTACATCATTCCGCCAACCATCAATTTCCTCTGGCACGTAGAGAAACGAATGAGCCAAGTTGTTCACAACATCCGAGGGCAGAGCGTCGAGCACGAGTACCTTAATCACCAGGTCGGGCAATTCCTTGATCGTTTGAGACAGCATCTCTATGATATCGTCTGCTTGTGTTCTATCTCCAAGCAACCGTGACCAAGAGTCGAGAATCACAAACACAACGTCTTTTTCCTCTAGTAAATTCAGGAGTCCATGGAAGAGTTGCAAAGCGTACTTAGACTTCTCGGCTGACCTTTTGATCAATCGCTTCTTCTGCAACTCGAGTAAAGAAATGTCGACCCCTGGACGCTTTCCCAGGCAGAAGTTCATCAGTTGACCGTTCAGGCTTTTGAGAACCGCCATCGGACCGCAAGATACAACGTCGAAAGTGTCGTTCGTTCGCAATCCACAGAAGAATGACAGGACAGGATAATCAGTCGACTTTTGGAGTGTCTCGGTGAGCAGAGCGGCTGTGAAGGACAGAGGGTGAAATAAGCCCTGCGGCGCGTTTTCTCCTCTGATGTTCAGAATCTTAGACTCGTCAAGGCGTAACCAATTGCGGACTTGAGAGGAAGACATGATCCATTCGCTCTTCTCCCTGTCCTCCAGTGTAAGTTGACCGACACCGGCGCGAATACACGCTTTGACGTGGTTATCAGAACCTGGGATGAAGTCTCCGATTGTTGCCTTCCATGCGTCGACGACCTTGCTGTTTCTCTCAGAAAGGCTGGCTGTGTCGCTAGATCCTTTGCTTTTCTTGGTGCTCTCTTCACCCGATTGAACAGTTAAAGAATCTGAATACTGCACTGCTTTCCTCGTAAGTATTCTTACTGGGATCCCGCATGCATAGATGAGCTTACCACCGCCGTTGATTGGGTTGAAATGAGGGTTACTTGCGAAAAAGCAATGAAGAGTATTGCATACTACTTCTTGAAGAATGTCTCTGGTAACTTCATTTGATTTGCCCTCATCCAGAGCCGTAGCAATTTCTGGTTGTTTGTCAGTAGATGCCCAAAGCCTTCCACCAGATCATAGGTGTTTTCGGTGGTCACTTGTTGACCCAACTTACTCCCTGCAATGTCCTCGATTCTCTGTATTCCTTCATGCATGCGACCCATACGGCGTTGAGAACACACATCTAATTCTTCCTGAAACTCGGAAATGCTGCCGTCTAGAGAGGCCAAGGCATTGGTGACTTGATCCTCTGTACTAAACTTCATCTTGGTTTTAACCTTGGCTGTTGGTCTGTTGTTAGTATATGAGACCAGAACGGGGGCTGCTGAAAACGAACTCGTGAAATCCATAGTCAGATCGTTGATAATTCCTTCAAAAACCACAAAAATGGCAACCAAGACTCCATCAGCTTTCTCATGTAAGCGTTTCGATTTGATGTGAAGATTTGATAGCCTCTGGACTCTGTTCAACTTTTTGGGTATATCGGCTAGAGCAGTTTCGATGGCTTGCCTCTTTTTCTCATGCTTGTCTGCGATCTAATTGTTGTTAGACGTTGGTCACACAATTGACGCGGCCCCAGGACTGCGCCAATTTTCCAGCACGTACCGCTAAGATGGTCATAACACCTCCCGAGATGACAGATCCGTAGACATCACCAGGGATCATGGACATGATAGCACCAAGAGCAGTATCTCGTTTGTTTGCGCTCTTGAAACACTTCCGAGCGAAATCTTTACAAGCCCGCAGACTTCCTGTCCCATCCCGCTGCTCCACTGCAGCTGTTGCTACTTTGTAGACGTAGTTAAGATCGCAACGTGCCGGGTCTTTCAAGTCGACGCCAAGGTCTTTGAATGCCTTTCGAGTCCCCATGTTCTGCACAAACCTTTTCATGGTAGCCTCGAAAAGCTCCAAGTGTTTCTTCGATCCATCGAAACAATTTGTGAGGCTGTCACTTGTCAGCCCAGCACTAGGCAATGAATGGCAGCAGGCACGGTGACAGACTCGGGAACCTCGCTTCGTGGGACGAATGCATCGAGCTCATCCACAAACACCAACTCTTCCACGCTACCAGTAGTAATGTTGTCACCTGTGGCCCTGTACGCGAAGCGGGCAGCGCTGTTTTTTGTCGTTACTAGATGGGAAGGGATTTGGGGGATAACCTCGTTATCCGGGGGTGCAGTGTCAACCATCTTGACGAAGCTTCTTCTCCGCTTGGCACTTGAAGCTTGATTACTTGGTCGTGCTGAGCTGTTCCATCTCGATAGGAAACACCTGGTGTAGAAATGAGAGCACAGGTCTACCCAGGGGCTCTAGGCAGCCGGAGAAGCTACTTGTAGCGAGCTGAGGACTAGGCTAGGGGCACAGTGGATTTGGACAGGGTCTTATGTCTTCTTAAAGCCTTCGGCCACTAAGGAAGCACAAGAGCCAATAGATGAAGCCCTGCAGCCTCGAAACCGTGCCGCTTGTAATGCAGCTTATCCGGAATTCACGGCTCTGCATTTCTCGCCTGCCTAACCAGCCACTAGAGCAGACCAGCCACCCCTCTCTTCAATCTACCAAAAGAGGATCTTGAACACCGCCCCCACATCTATCCTATTCAGCTGCCTAGGGATGGAGACCAGGCTGACCAGTAGCGTTTTTGTCGTCGTGACGAGAATGCAGGCCACGCAGCGAAAACCACTCTCCTGCATGATCCTGCCATTACACGTAAGCGTGGCCATGATCCAGATTAGGCCAAGCCCGGATAGGTCTCGGTCGGGTTCGATCTCGGGAAGCGCATGATAGGCGGCCGCCCTGAACGTAATAGAGCCTCTTGCGCACGTTGCGCTGTTGAAATTTTCCCTCTCCTTCTCAAAGCGAAAATCACGATCGGGCACCTGATCCAGTATCGGTTGCATGTTTCACGGCTAATCATCACGATGACCGCCCTGGTTGCTGACAACAGTCTGGGTGTCGATCGCATGGGCACCCAGAACGACGAGATCGCTGGCAACAGCGGCCTAGCTTCTGTGCAAGGAGACCTTTTGAAGCCAACCACGGTACTAGAGGACAAGACGAGCGATCCCAGCAAGATCGATAGCGAGCTGACCACGGAGACCAACGACAAACAACCCGGAATCCAGCCAGAAAAGCCTGATGATAGCAACGCCAACGAAGCCGGCGATTCTCTTACTATTGAAGAGCCAGCCTCCGTTGAGGATCCTGCCTCTCAGCAAAATGAGACGGTTAAGAATGAAGGCTCCAATGATGGGCCCGACACCGACCGCGCCCCCTCGCCGGTACCTACAGAAGATCACCCGCCTAGGAATCTGTACCGTCAATACCTGGAAATGATCAAAAGGATCTCAGCAGGCGAGACCGGAGAAAGCCTTTTGACTGGTGTGATGGATTACATGAAAGTTGTGGACGATCGTCTTTGTACGATCGAGGGGAAACTACGCAGCAACGGAGAGGACAAGAAAACGTCTGTCGCAGGAGATTCGTCGCCGCCAAGTGAGGCTGGCGACCCCGACCCCGAGGATATCCGGAATGAGGTCAAGTTTTTCGAAGCGGGGGAGGATGACATCAGCTCAGACGGCAACCTCATCGACATGGCCGCCGACCATGGACGGTTTTCCTCCACAAAGGACCACCCGCAAGTGCTCCGAGTCTTGTACAACAAGTTGTCAGACGACGCGACCGTCGACAAAGCCAGCCCGGAGCCGGGGCAGATCGACATCACCTATCTGACCATTCTATCCGACCCCATTGCATCTTTTTTCCGAGATGTGTTGGCCCTGGACTGTGGTCAAGGCCACGCCTGCATCCGCCTTTCGAAGCCGTTTCGTCCCCTGATTAGGAACATTAAACCGTTGAAAGACCACCTTGCGAAGCTCGAAAAGGCGTACGGGTAGGGGAATCTCAAACTCGAGGCACTGGACTGAATAAATCAACTGACGAGGTTATCCACAGTCATCTCAAGCTAGATCAGACACCAGAAGAAGCGAAACCTGGCACCGAAGACTCAATGAAGCCTGCCGACGACGACGCTGCGGGTGCTGGTGAGACCACCGAACCCACTTCAACACCTACGCCGTCTCCGCAGGGAGAAACCTCTGAGCAACACGAGATGCCTTTTCTGAGGCCGACCGCGCTTGCGCACTTCAAAACGATTGTCCAGTTTGTGGACCAGTACCTGCACAAGTCTCTGGAGCTATATGCGAGGTTCAAATCAGGTGAGGAAGACAAGGTGGCTTTCGAAAATATGTGGATGCTTTTCGACGCCGGGACCACCATCTTCTGTCCCTACAGAAGTGGCCAAGAGGTCTTCTCGACTACGGATTTGGACAATGATCGATCAGACAGTAGCGCGATCTCGTTTAGATATTCCGAGTCTCGTGCTAGATACTCTCCCCAGGCGTACTGCGTTCTCTCCACCCGGGGCGGCACCTTTTTGAAGACGTCGCTGATGCCGGGTGGGATTGAGGAAGACTTTGAAGAGAATGACTTCTTGCAGAACGTCGACGCCTTGTTGCGACTAGATCGGTGGGACCTTCTGCGACATGGAGATGCGGGAGGGTATCGCAAGGACATTGCACAGCCGCTCGCAAGACATGGCGCTGGAGGTGCTGCCGCAACGAGACGAAACAAAAACACAACGTCCACACTTGTCATTGCCTGTTTCAACGTGGAGTATGACGGTGATCGGTTTGGTACTCAACGAGAGCTGTTCCAGATCAAGCCTTACAGCGGCCTGAAAGATGTACGAGACATTGAGGTTTTCCCGGTGCAATATTTGAAGGACGAGGAGATGGATCGTCTGATGCAAAGAGGCCGAAGGTTTCTCGATCTCACGAACAACGCTCACATGTCTTACGAGGGCACCACTGCGGGAAGCACGCGAGAGACGGTATGCTCTGCCCCATATACGTAGATCCATCTTCTGCTGGCTAACAACTAGTGCGTTGCGCAGATCAACAGTGAGGTTATTGTTGACTTCAAGACTGCGTTCGAAAGGAGCAGCGACCTGCCAGACATTTCAGAAATCAGACCCAACTTCTCGTCCGGGAACGAGGTCTTTCAATGGCCCAGAACAACCGAGAGGGGGCAACGAGAAGTGCATGACTGGTACGAGCATGATGCAGTTGAGGGCGACCGAGCCGTCACCCATCGTTGGTGCTATGCAAACAGCTGCCAAAAGCCCACGTACTACGCACATCAAGATGCGCAGAGTCAAAAGGTTCTACGAAAGCTTGCGACAGTATTCGAAAGCTATACTGCACAACAGGCCAAGTCGAAGAAAGCCCGCAAAGAGTTTAGGCAGTATTTCGAGGAAAACGGCCTCATGAGCCTCTTCCCGGCCGTTGTCCCCGGTTATGCCTTGCGGAATCGCAAATGGGGTATGTTGGAGCGCACACGCACACACCTGAACCAAACGACGCCCATTTAGGACCCGCACTGATTTGGCAATGTTTAGTACAACTTGATCTGGATCGACTCCAGGACGTCCAACACGGCGATGACTGGAACAATCTCGTCCTGCCCAAAGGCCACAGGGAGATGGTGCAGGCGATGGTTGAGTCGTACACCAGGCGGTCAGATGGTTCCCAAGACACGCAAGATCAGCTTTCCGAGAAGGTCGACTTGGATCTTGTTCGAGGGAAAGGTAAGTCTGGTGTCAGGATTTATGATCCTCGCAAATATTGATCATTGAGTCGTACAGGCAAAGGATGCATCATTCTGCTTCACGGTGCTCCTGGCGTGGGCAAAACTTCTACCGCAGGTGAGACTCAACACTTTCTCCTGGCTGATTTCAAATTTCCCCGTTGCTGACACTGGAGATTTGTAGAGTGCGTCGCAGCATACACTAAGCGGCCGCTATATCCCATTACCTGTGGTACGTCGGAGCCTACTCTCACTCAGTAAATGATAGCAGATGGTTAATTCGGTATTCGTACCAACGAAACAGGAGACATAGGACACCTTCCCGACGTTGTCGAGGCAAACCTAGAAAGGCACTTCAAGCTGGCGCACAGGTGGGCGTGTGTGCTGCTACTGGACGAGGCAGATGTGTTTCTCGCGAAAAGAACGGTATGAATGGTCGAACGACGTGACCAGAAGGGAGCCCGCAGTACTAACGTTGCACAGAAAACCGACGTAAAGCGAAACGGACTCGTATCAGGTCAGTATTACCAAGCCACACCAGAAGCAAGCATGCTGATGACTTTGACCTAGTTTTCCTTCGCATCCTAGAGTACTACCCGGGAATCTTGTTCCTGACGACCAACCGGGTTGGTGCCATTGACGATGCATTCCGCTCGCGGCTCCACCTGACGCTGTACTATCCAAAGCTTGTGGAGAAGCAGAGCACCAAGATCTGGAAGAACAACCTCGGGAAGCTGAAGGAAGTCAACGAACAGCGACTCAAGAGAGGTCAACAGCCGATCAAGTACGACAAACGCGAGATCATCAAATGGGCGTCGACAAACTGGGAGAGTCTTCAGTGGAACGGCCGGCAGATCAGGAACGCCTTCCAAACCGCCATTGCGTTGGCGGAATTCAAAGCGCAGTCGCGAAAGTCTGGAAAGCGAAGCGGCGTCGACAACGCATCACCTTCTCCCAAGAAGGCCAAGTCACCTTTGCTGGACCAAGACACCTTTATGCTGATTGCGGACGCCTCGAACCAGTTCAACGACTATCTTTTGCAGACGCACGGTCAAGACGAGGAGATGACGGCGTCCAGGGACCAGGTCCGGCCGGCCAGCTTCAAGGCGAAGCCCACCAGGATCAAGAGGGTGGAGGACTCGTCCGAGTCGGAATCGGACTCAGACGCGAGCTCTGGGTCGGACCGTTCATCAGACTCTTCTGGGCCAGACTCTGACAGCGAATCGGACGCCACTGTCGACTCGGCGTCTTCCGAGTCCGAGTCCGAGACTGACAAGAAGAGCAAGAAGGCGAACGCGAAGAAGGCCAAGAGCAAATCTGAGAAGAAGGAGAAAGAGAAGGAGAAGGAGAAGGAGAAGAAGGCGACAAAGAACAAGAAGTCGTCAGACGGGACGGAGAAGACCAAGAAGAAGAAGAAAAAGTCGGAGGACTGAGAGCCTTCAATCTGCAGTCTTGAGTCTTTGACACCCCTTTTGGGACGACCAACCACGTTCTATCTTTCTTGCTGCCCAGCCGTCATGTACATAGCTATACAGAGTAGAAGGCCGAGGGAATGCATCATGATGCGTTGTATGTACCCCCGTTTGCGAATCTACCTGCTCGTGCAATTTCATAGGGAAAAAATCAGCAACGCGGGCTTTGATCCACGAGCTGCCATGCGCAGGAATCGATGCCAGCCTTGTGCGAAATGTGACCAGCACGACGGAAGCTACAAAACGTTCTTGCCCAGCTCTGGTGATCCAAAGTGCCATCCGTACAGACTCGAGCTGAACCAGCGACCCAAGCCTCGTACACTTACTCCAGGCCCATAAATCCCCCTCGGAAGGGAAAAGACGAGTTTCCCAGTTGCTGTCAACTGCACTGCGATACGTACTGGCGCGTTTCGCACTCCGACGCGGTTGTCTGAGCCTTCTCTCGTCGTGCTGCCCGCTCCTTCCGTCCCTCTTGCCACACGCACACATACACACACACGCCCGCCGACTCTTTTCGGCAGCCACTCCGTGCCGACGCACTGTGTGTGTCCACCTGCCACCCGACACGGATTCCTGTTTTCTTCACCAAGAATCCGGACCACCGTCCATCTGTGACTGACCGAGCACAGTGCCAAGGTCCAAGGTGGCCTCGGGCTTTTGCAAGATGGCCCAGCTGAGTGTGCCCGACCCGACTAGCGATGCCTGCTGAGGCTCCTCACGTGCCTGTGACCGGGAAGACCGCGCCTCTCACGGACCCCGCACGTACAAAACTAATGCAGCAAAGGCTGAGTTCATGGTCAAGATGATCTGGCCCCAGTACAGTCGCGGAGACGTGCCTGCACCATTCTTGGAGTGTCCTTCACTCGACAGCAATATCGAGGACGACAAGGGATTCCGCGACTTGAAGCCTGGAGAGCTAGCAAGTACGTTGAGGTGCATGCCGCCCCACAAGGCTGCAGGTGTGTGCGTCCAATCATCGTCTCCAAAGGGCTATCGTCCAATTGCTCTCCTTTCCGCTCTTGGCAAGGTCCTAGAGAAGTTGTATGCCAACCGGATAGCAGACTTCTTGGTTTCGACTGGCAAGCTCCCAGCAGAACGGTTTGGTGTCAGAGGGAGAAATACGACCCAGGCTCTCGAATTCATCGTCAAAGCGATTTACAGGAATTGATGTGTCGGCGAAGGAGGAAAAGCCGCGAAATGTGTTGTCTCTCTGATGACCCTCGATATCACCGGTGCGTTTGGTCGAATCCAACGCAAGTACTTACTGGATATCCTGGTCAAATATGGCGTTCCCTATTGGTTGATCGAGTTCATATGGTCATTCCTTTCCAGCCGCAGCACCACGCTCCGGCTTCCAGGGCATCAGTCAAGAAGGTTCTGGATCAATATCGGCATACCCCAAGGCAGCCCCTTTTCACCAATCCTCTTTGTCTTTTCCTCCATGCCGATTCTCGAACAACTCAAAGAGAGCAAATCGACCAAGAACATGCTGCTCTGTCGGTTGTGGGACTTGGTCATCACTGCATACGTTGACGACATCACCGTCTTGGTTGCATCCGAGTCTCACAAGGAGAGCAACAAGGCTCTGAAAGTGCTGTACACCTTGCTTGTAGGATTTGCGTCGCCAAACGGCACCTCGTTTGGCGCTGACAAGACAAAGGTTATGCACCTGTGTAAATCTCGGTCATCCAAGCCTTTACTAGTCATGCCTGACATCCAAGGTCTTCCCTCCAAGGCAGAGACGCATATCAAGATACTTGGGATCTTTTTATATAACCGTCTCGCATGGGTCGATCACAAAGCTCGCGTAAGTTTCCCTTACACAATAATGCTACTTCTCTTTGCTAAGCATGTTCCGTGTTGTAGATTCTCGCCAAGGTCAGGACAAAGATGTGGCACCTTCTTCGTGTATCCAGGTCTACTTAGGGCCCATCCCTCTTGGAGCTACGGCGGTTGTACATCACTAAATATTGCCTATAGTCCGGCAGTATATTCCTTACAGACCTTCTCTGCTCCGAAGCACGCTTTTGCTTGCTGATCAAAGAACCCATTGGATGGTCACACAAACGCACAAGAAAAGATTCCCCACTTGGGGAGTTGAAGAGTGTAGTTCGGGTTTTGGAATCTATGTAGAGGACTGATCAGCTAGCAAGTTGCCAAGCATAACCACTGTAGAGTGGGCCATCCATCCAGAAGCCGTGGATACTCCACTCGAATGCGACCACCATTCGTATAGCGAGTAGCACCGTGTGCAAGATTCTTTCACTTGAATAAATTTTTCCGCCTACGTTCCCGGCAGTTTCCATTATGCCTCAAGAACGGGGAGGCTACAAGTGTTACTGCGTGGGTGTGACTGAACGCGGTTTCTGCGGTTGTCCAAGTCTTTCACGTTGCTGGTTGCGCTTTGGTGAGCAATTCAAGAGCACGACAAATAGCGTATCTTCGTCGTGCGTTCAAGACACTGCTGCGTGACGCCTAAAAGAATTGCGAACCCACACCTGAAGAGGCCTCCATTCCTAGCCTATGGTCTTAGTAGCTGAGGTCGCTCCCCTCACCTAGATTGCGCAACATTGGAATCACAGGATCGTGATGGATTTCGTTATGCTGTACTGGTAAACTGCTATCTGGATTCGCCAGATTCCACATTTAGCGTGTGCTTGGCTACTGACTCGACTCTGGGGCCTAAATATGTACCGATACCCACCAATGGAGAGATTCAAAAGACTTGGTGATTGGACGAAAGGACCGCATCCCAGTTTCAAATGTGCCAGACAGGATGGCGAGTTTTGTTGATAAGGTTCAGCAGACAGCCTGGAATTCCAGCGTAGCGAGCCTGGTGCCTAATTCTCGGTTGGATCACGCGCTTGACAGTTGCAGGCTTCAGGGCTCCTGATAGACCACGAGATCAGTTGCTACGCCTTGTTGCCTCTTTAAGTGTCTGCCGAATGGATCCGTCCAAGGAAAGGCTGGGCCGGTCTCCGTAGACAGGAATGACAGACAAGGGATCGATGCAATCTATAATCACACATCACCGATGTTACCCAACGACGCGCTACACACCGCAGGTCTCTCCGAAGTGGCTTGCTGCCTGTCGCGGTTCCGTGTCACGATTGTTGCGGCGCAGCAGCCGAATGCGGCGTAGCTCCAACACAAAATCCCTCTACAAAACCAGCCACGCGAACCGCCACTTCGCCCATCTTACCACTTCACGTATTTCACCACTCAATCACGATTTACGAAAGGCTCAAAGATAAAACATCACCGGAAAAACGGTACAGTAATCGGTTACGCCAGGGGACTGTTCCTCAGCCAGGACTGTCGGTTCTCTATCTCCAACAATGCGAAACCCATTTAAGCCCAGAAAAGCACCAGCCCAGACATGGTCAGCAAAGAGAGCATCCGTCCTCTCAGCCGACGACCCGGTCTTTGAAGGCCTCGACGAGACAGAACGCAAGAGTCTGGAAGCGACCCCGCCGATTCAACACCCATCGAAGCCATTTGATGACCTTCCCAAAGAACCTCTTAAACACGCCGGTGGTGATGGCGCATCTGCGTTAGGCGGAGGGCCGAGCTCTCACGACAGCATCGCCACCGACTCCGGGCATGGATATGCTGCGGTCGCCGGTTCTTTCGCTGGTGCTGATCATTCCGGCCATTGACGATAAATATATGGCAGGCCGGCTATTTTTGGAGACGCGCGATGAAACTTACATAGAAACATAAGCAAGCAGAAGCAGTCATTTGGGAGTCAGGCCGTATGTGGATTGATCGCTTAGGTCGGAGTATTCCTTTTATGAGCATTATAGCACTGGGTATGTTGGACAGTTGAGCGATATTTTAAATCATCATTTATTCCAATGTGCGCCATATCTTGGTCGTCGTTCCATGCGTAGTGAGAGCGATGCGAACAGATTGGCGCACATCAACCTGTTAGAGATTTGGCCGAGGAAGCTCTACAGGTACGTCTCGAAAAGCTCCTGGTATTTATGCCGCGTCGCCTGATCACCGGCCCAGACATACTTGTTGTCATCAACCACCTCGACATGGGATCCTCTGAACGTCGCAACCATTCCCGCCCCGAACGCAGACTTGTCCATAAAGCTGTGTTCGTCCGGTTCAACCACATCGACGTAATACGGGTGGGTGACAAACGCATGGATGACCTCAACCGACGGATACAGCAGCATGGCAATACCATCAAACTCGACGGGCACGTTTGAAGACGGTGCATCTTGCCCGACCAAGGTTGGCAAGATTTGTCCGCTTACTTGAATCTGCTTCGGCTTAGCTCCGACGAGACGCAATATCTAACGCGGGCCATGTGAGTAACTCACCTGTTGGTAACGGGTGATACCAAGATGTGCAGCTAGAGGGGCCACTTTTGGTGCGTGCTGTGTCTGCCAGTAGTCCCAGAACTCGGCCCGGGTCAGATTCGAACCCCTCTTGAGGTAGGTGACCAGCTGGGTTTGCGCCGTCGTGGTGCCCGAGACGAAGTTCGTGGCGACTGTCAACGCCACAAGTGCGAGTGGAGCTGAAAGAACCATATTCAGTGAGATATCAGAGTGTCAAAATATGATTAAACAATTTGTAGAGGATTTTCTGACGGGGAGATCACTCTGAGAGCAGTTAATCTTTTGGATTTCTGTCAACATATCACAGGCCTGGCTCGATTGGGTCTTTATATATAGAAAGGATGCGGTGATGGTGAGTCAGAATTCGGTCTCTAGGTAGTTGCTAGATGTATCGGTAATGCCTCACTTCTTTCATTTTCTATCAAGTTACCACATGATATGACTGGAGGCTGTGCGAAACCCTGGTAGGCCAAGGTTCGTAGTGTGCCCGGGTGGGCTTGCCCCTCGTTCCCATGCGGCACAGTACGATGTTGGTATTCTGGTTTCCAACGATTTCTTCCACTTGAAACCTGACATTACCTTCCAACAGTACAAAACGCAGACGTGTTGCCCCACCCCCCCCCCTCCCCCCTGGGGCCCTGTGGTGCGAGCTACAGGCCAGAGACCCTCCTAACAACGAAGACCCTTGACGTTGTGTTGGGCTGAATTATCAGCTGTGTTGGTCTTGGAGATGTGTAACTAAAATGGATCGAAACTTTGTTGAAATGCTGCCAAAGTTGATAAATATGAGAGCATTCTCTCTTTACTCTATTCCCATGGTTTCCTTTCTCCTCTGGACAGATGTGTCTTGACCCGTTCGAAATTGTCAGTATCAAGGAAGATGAGGACGTGTTAGTTTCATTGTGTGTGAATCATTCCTTAAGGTTGTGCTGCTTTCTAAGATCTAGAGCTATTGGCTTCGCCAAGATCTCTGGAAGCCAACGCGCGGCAGACTTTCTTCGCGACCGAGTCTTCGGTAAAGGAGCGCTCCCACAGCCTCATTAACTAAAGAGAAAACAACCAGTCAGACGTTGGGCATCCCACTTCAGGGACGCGCTCGGTTGCTTACACCAATCATATCTAAACCTTACCTTCAACTAATCCAAAAGTCCTTTGGAGACTCCCCTGCTGTTATCTAATATTTCCCGTCTACCAACAGCCGATGAGGTCACGAGGTCATCGAACACTGTTTCTGGTACCCACACTGCTCTAGGCTCTTTGAACCCCCAAAACGGGAGTTTTCGTTCCACAGCATGGTGGCATAATACTCATGGCAATATGGTAAGCTCAGTTCAACACCACTGAGACTCATAGTATGAATGGCTGCTGCACGCAAGTTTCACTGGACTCTTAGAAAAGGTTTGCTTGGCAACGTTATCGTTGTTGCACAGTTTCTGTTTGCAACGACTGGAGTAGGCTTAACGTATGGCACATATGATATTAACCAGCTTTGAGCTGCCCTGCGAAAGGACTACGACCCCTAATCTTCTCTCCATAGATACACAGGAGCCACGGCACAAGTGAGAGTAGCAAGCCAATCCCACCCAAAAGACTCCCTGCTACCCCGTAACCCAGCTGTTGGAACATGATGTTGGTGAACAAGGGGAAAACCCCAGCCAGTATGTTCCGGCACATGGACTGCGCAGCGAGCGCGGAAGAGGCGTAGCGGTGATAGGTGTCTGCGAGATAGTTGAAGACGGCGAGGTAGACTGTGAAAATCCCGACCGTCACAGATACGATTGCGAGAGCAGGCACGACCCAGGGCACGTCGGGCGACGAGCTCCAGCCGAACCAAAACAGTCCTATGGGCAAGAACAAGGACTCGACGCAGGCGGAATACAGGCGGCCCTCTGGCGTAGCCATGCGCCGCGGCATCAGCTTCCTGAAGATGGGGTCTTGGAAGATGGTGATTACGGCGCCCACGATGGACCCGACAATGACTGCCGTGTAGACGCCGCCGATCTGGGTGCTGCTAAACCCGTGGATGGATCGGAACGCTAGGCCGATGCTGTTGAACTGCATGTAGAGTATCGCCCATGCGAAGGATACCCAGGCCGAGAACCAGAACACGACTGATTCGGTGAAAAGCAGCTTCAGCGGGAAGGCAAAGCTTCGCCAGATGATGCTCATGTCTAGTTTTGGACCTTCAATGTGTGCCTGAAACATGATTCGAACGATTTGAGAATGGCCCGCCAATGGAGGCCTGACGTCTCGCTTGAGCAAAGCCTCCTCAACATTGCCCTGGGGAGCAACACGCTGCAGGTCAATGTTTTCAAAGTGAATGTTTAGCGCTGTGCACTTCCTCCGCAGAACAACGTTGCTCCGCGTCTCGTCGAAGAAGAAAAAGATCGCCAGCGTGGTCGACCCTACTGTGATCATCTGCAGGTAAAATATCCATCTCCAATCAAGGTTATCAACGATGATTCCACTGATCATGGGACCCAGCCCAGTGCCGATCATGATGGTCAAAGAGTACAGGGCCATGGGCGTATTGCGAGTCTCCTTGTGGAACACGTCGCCGACGACGCCTCCCGTCAGTGTCGCGAACACGGAGGCTCCATTTCCCGTGACGAGCCGCGATACCAGCATTCCTGCAAAGGACTGCGTCACCGCACAGCCGAGAGTGCCGAGGAAGAAGACGGCGCCAGACCCGACAAAGACCCAGTACCGGCCGTAGATCTCGCTGATCAACGCCAGGATCATCGGCGCGAAGCCGAAGCCCAGGACGAAGAGCGTGATCCCGAGGTTGAACTTGGTCCTGGAGATGTCCCATTTCTCCGTTAGGGGGTCCGCGGCCATGGCGTACGCGCCGGCGGAGTAGGCCGCGAGCGTTGCGGCGAAGAAGGTCCCAAAGAGGACTGTCGTCTTTTTACCAAGGGACCACGCAAAGGGCGACTGATACTTTGCGTCAATGACTGTTGGATAGTCCTCTTCCAAGCAGCCTTCGATGCCGTTAGACCGCAAGCACTGCGGAAGCCGAAAAGATGGATCCAGAGCATCGATGTTTAGGGGGATTTCGAGGACCACTGGTGAGTCTTGGGCAGCTTCCCCAAGGTTCAAGGAAAGCGTGTTTCCCTTGCTACCGTGACGCCTATTGGTAATTTCGGCTACCCGTGACCGCTTGACACCAGGGCCAGCGATAGAGACACCTTCCAGCGGCGTCGTGGCCCTATCGTGGGTCGTGGAAGATGGCATACTAAACCATTGGGAGTAAATGGCTTTGAGACGTTGCAGAGTAATTCCACAAGACACCTGCTGCTGAGAAACGCTAATCCTCTGTGATAGTGACGGAAGACTTCACCACTGGCACTACCCCGGTCCGGTGGCGGAAACTTCTCCGCAGCCTGCAATATGTGAAGTCCGGGGAGGAGACCCAACCTCCGAAGATCGGAGCGACCCCAGTCCCCCTTTGCTGCGTCATTGTCCACATCCGGACATCTGCCACTGGCTTCTTGAGCTTGTTTGCCCGACTTTCGAAAGCCGCCGTATTTATTACCGAGTGACTTTCTGCGGTGCGGATGCCATTGGTCTCACAGCACCGTACTGCCTCTGGAGTGTGGGACGTGAGACACAATAGAGATTACCACCTCCTTAGTCGCCGCCATCCGCATGCCGTGCGGTATCACACCCCGTTTCTAAAATCAGACGTTCTAGAAGTGATCGGCTCCGCAGGAGAACGATCCGTCATCTATACGATCTTCGTCGATCGACTGATGGCAGGACCCAGAGTCCGTGTGGCAATCTACGCGGATAAGACCTCCGAAGGATCGGAGGCTGAAGGTCGTGGGCGGCACGGTCCGCGGCAACGGCACTGGGCCTTTGTGAACCCAAACACGTTGCCCTTCCAGACCCGCCAGCACTAGACAGGGGACGATGCAGCAGTTTATCCAGAGGACCGGAATAAACGGAGATGCTCAAGGGAGGGTAGCGACATGGCAGGAGGGTGTGCCTGTTTCTGGTGTAGACTGCGGCCGCGGAGATGAACCGGCTGTTGTTAGGCTCGGCCGGTTATCAGGACGCCTTCCTGGAACGAATGGTTTTGCGGGGCGTCCCCGGAGTTCTTATCTGAGCCCCTGCATCTCTTCGACATGTGCGATGGGCGAACATTCATTAAAAGGCAGTGTCTGCTAGAGTTCTCCGTGGGGTCAACGCCGTCGTTGGAATTCCAGTAGGCATGCACCAACGACATGCCACGTGGTTATGTGTTCTCCTTGGCGGGCGGAATCGACCAACGTCTGTCTTGTAGATGCGAGGCGGGATTGCATGCTCAGGAGGAGAACGATGCTGACTAACGTTGTATGTTTTTCACTTCACTGGACTCGTCCTACTCGGCATGTGACAGGAGTATCGCCATCTTAACGGTAGCTCATGGTTCTTCCGCCCCCCGAATCTGTAAAGCCACACTTTCATCAGCCACAGCACAACCCAGTAGTGAACGGTGAGGGGACTGACTCTCGTAGTCAAGGGGTGGAGGGATCCTATACAGTAGACACGGATACAAGCAAAGCCGAGATGCGGATGATTTCGGCAACGACCAAACCATGCTCCCTAGCAATGACCAAAGTGGTCAGCCCAAATCCAGGGAACGCTCTAAGGTATATCACCTGCGCGCCAGGCAGAATGCTGGCCGTCAGGTAGACGCACACGAGGTTCGGCAAGGTTTCCTAGCCATCGCTTGTCGGCGGCTCAGCGGCGCCATCACGCGATGTTGGCCAGGATGACTTCATGGTGCCGAGACCTCGCATGAGGAAGGAACCAAGACATCGAGACCAATATGCTTACCCGTATTGTCTATTCCCCCGGCGCGACAAGGCACCTTTGTCGGGCGAGGCACCCTCAGCTGAAGGTCGGCGAGATGTTGATTTGTCGAGGGGCCCATCGCTTCGAGAAAAACTCTTTCATCTGGCAGCAAGTATCACCCGGCGAAGCCGCAAAGGCGTCCAGCCCCTGAGTGACATGGAGGCTTTGCGCGGGATGAGGATCGGGCCCCTTGCCCAGGCTGCTTGCCCATGGTGCAGCCTAGAACTCGGTTCCAACCGATGGATGGATATCAACACCTTGCTGTTGTTGCAACATCAGCCTTGGATCTCACGCAGCCGCACCGCGACAAGTGTGCGACGTGTGATTGAGGCGTGAAGATTCATCACCTGGCGGGCCAAAATCATCCCACGAGGGCCTTGGGATTGTGGTGGTGTGGTATTGACCTTCCAGCTCCTGCCATGGAGGGAGGGATAGCTGATGCAATGTCCATCAAGGGAAGGAAAGATGGAGGAGGTTGCAGGGGCAAGTCCATCACTTTGATGAATCATTTTACCGCCAGTGGAAGGCGGCTTCCCAGGTACCTTCTGAAAAAAAGTAAAGTTTGGAAGAAAAGAGGCAAGTACACACAACACATAACTACCTGTACAGACGCCGAAGAGAAAAACAGTGAATAGCTTCCATACGAGTGAACCAACCTCGATCCGCCCATTCTCGCCCTGGGTTTCCATCGCCGCTCAAGCGACACGTCGCGGCAGCGGACAGATGCATCATGTAAGTTCTACGTTAGCGAAAGAGAGAGTGGATGCAGCTGGACGCCCGCTTTTCCTGCCATAATAGTGTAGTCTCATGATTGTTGTACATGTCGGAAGCCAAGACGAGCTACGCACTACTGGTGAAGGCCACAATGGAAGACTTGCAACTGTGCAGTCGTCATGCCGGCCGGGCATGTGAAGAAGTCTCGGGGATCCTGCAGCACCCTTGAAGGCAAAAAACGTGATTCTCACCAGACACCAGGTAAGCAGGTGCGGCGTTATGGTCTCACAATGAGCAGTGCCCGATCGATGTGGCCGCAGGCAGTTGCGAACGAGACAAAAAGTCTTCGTCTCAGCAGTGAACTTGACGTTGCTCTCTACTGGATTAGGAATGTCGTTCATCAAAGGTTGTGGCTGCCCGCGAACCACCAGCGACGTGCCCCCTCCCCCCCCGGATTTAATTGGGCCCCGCCGCCAAATTTTTCCCACTTCGACATCTTCACCTCAGATCGCGTCATCGGGCGAGTGGACCGCAGACAGAAACTATGACACAGAACTTCTCACTCCAGACCACTGGGACGCCGCCGGGGCATGGTCCCAAACAACCCTTGCGATCATCCCCTGGCGGCGTCCCAGGGAGAAGCTGGGGTCGAGGACCATTGTTGGGGGTCCAGAGACTTCAAAGAGGGTCTTGCATCCCAAGAGGCTCTGGATTTCCGCAAGAGAATCTCGCATACTCTCGGTCCACCATGAACGGTTACACTAGTCTTTTGGTCGTTAAGCCAATCTAATCCTGCGCCTTTTTTCTCTTACCCTCCGGGCCGAGTCCAGAGCCTCCAGTGGTCCTCTTGACCTCTTTTTGGCTCCGGCTTGTACATACTATGTACATGGCCTGCATGCAGGGGTCTGCGGCGCGCAACTTTTTCGTCTCCCAAGACGACCATCCAAGCAACCTACGCCGACTCAACCCCCAAGCAAATGGCTCGCCACATGGTGCCAACTCGGTGTCTCTAAGACGTGATCTGCTTGGCGGGGCCCCTTTCCCAAAGACATAAAGTCTTCTGACGGCCTTCTAGTTTGTCGGCCCTCCTGCTTGTCGGATCGTCTTCCGTTCTCCAGTCTTCCCTCCACGTCTGGTGTCACTTGCTGGTCTCTGATTACTGTACCCACGAAGAGGAAAACGGATCAGTAGCACCGTTCGTCAACATGTCCAAGCTCTTCGACAAGTTCAACGGAGTCTCGGCGTCTGCCACCGCCACGGGCCACAACAAGAATGGCGATCTTCCCGCCGCTACGACTTACGACAGCGAAGTCGGTATGTCATCGCCGCTTACCCGAGCGCCGGACCGTTCTTCGAGCGTCGTCGGCCTGTCTGGGACGCACCACTAATTCTGAATCCAGGTCGCATCGAGAACGCCCGCGAGGCCAAGCGGAAAATCGGTGTCACTACCGCCATCTTCCTGATCGTCAACCGCGTCGTCGGTACCGGTATCTTCGCCACCCCCGGAACCATCTTTGCCCTCTCCGGCAGTGTCGGCCTCGCGCTCTTCATCTGGGTCGCCGGCATGATTATTGCTCTTGCTGGAACCGCCGTCTACCTCGAATGGGGCACTGCCATCCCCAAGAACGGTGGTGAGAAGAACTACCTCGAATACGTCTTCCGCAAGCCCAAGTTCCTGACCACCGGTCTCTACACCGGATACGTCGTCCTCCTCGGCTGGGCCAGTGGCAACTCTGTCGTCTTTGGCGAGTACATCCTGCACGCCGCCAACGTCGAGGTCGACCGCTGGAACCAGCGCGCTATTGGCCTAGCTTGCATCACGACCGCCTTCTTGATCCACGGTCTTGCGCTCAACTGGGGCCTGCGTCTGCAGAACCTCCTCGGCTCCATCAAGCTCATCATCATCCTGATCATCATCCTCTGTGGCTTCATCGCGCTCGGAGGTCACGTCAAGCTGCCCGAGGATCAGAAGCCCAAGAACTTCACCAACGCCTTTGAGGGCACCACCGGCAGCCCCTACGGTGTCGTCACCGCTCTGTACAACGTCATCTGGAGTTACATTGGATACAGCAACGCCAACTACGCCCTCTCCGAGACCAAGAACCCCGTCCGTACCCTCAAAATCGCTGCCCCGTCGGTATCATTACCATCTCCATCCTCTACATGCTCGTCAATGTTGCCTACTTTGCTGCCGTTCCCAGAGAGGAGATCCTTGAGGGCGGCCGCTTAGTTGCCGCGTCGCTCTTCCGCAACGTCATGGGCGGCACCGCTGAGCGCGCCCTCTCCGTCTTCGTTGCTCTGTCCGCTTTCGGCAACGTTCTGAGTGTCATCTTCTCCCAGGGCCGACTCGTCCAGGAGCTTGGTCGCGAGGGTATCTTGCCTTGGTCCCGCTTTTTCGCCAGCAACAAACCCTTCAACGCCCCCTTGGCTGGATTGTTCGAGCACTGGCTGATCTGTGTCATCACCATGCTTGCTCCTCCTCCTGGTAAGACTGCCCTAGACAGCAATGGTTTTCCTCGACACGGTCGCTAACATAACCATAGGCGACGCGTACAACTTCATCCTCAACCTCATCAGCTACCCCCTCGCCATCATCAACGTCTTCGTTGCCGGAGGTCTGGCTTACCTCTATCTCAACCGCAAGGAGTGGAACTGGAACCCTCCCATCAGCGCCACTCTGCCTGTCACCATCTTCTTCATGCTCAGCAACATCTACCTTGTCATCGCTCCGTTCGTTCCCCCTGAGGAGGGCCAGAACGTCTACGAGAGCCTCCCCTACTACCTCCACTGTGTTGTCGGTATCGCCATCATCGTCGCTGGTGGCCTCTACTGGGTTGTCTGGGCCAAGATTCTTCCCAAGATCGGCAGGTACGAACTGGTCCGCGAGACCATCGTCGACGAGATCGACGGTTGGGAACGCAACGTCTTCTTCCGCCGGCCGTATGGCGAGTCTGTTGCTTCGGAGCACCACGCTATTTCCCCAGAGGTGTCCAAGTGAGCGTCGGACGCCCGGCCCTGTTTCTTTGATGGACGCAACCGCTGCAATGGTGTTTGTACCACCTTTAATGAGCACCGCAATTACGTCGTTTAATATACCCTAGATGCATACATACATAATAGAACAACCACTAATGTTCCACTGAAATTTTGTTTTTGTTGTTTGAATCATGTTACGCATAGAATATGTGGATGCTCCTACGCAGTCACTCTTATAAAATGAGACTTGAGTCAGAATTGCATGGAACAGTGTACCACTTGTCTGACCAGTAAGACTGTGTAATCTTGCTGCATGGTGAAGGGGCGGCTTGAATGTGTCTGCAGACCCGGCCCACGATTTGCTTTCGAGACCGGATACGGGGCCCGCTTCAAACTCCCAATCTCTGCTCGGCCTTTCAAAACAAACATGCCAACATCCGATGCCGTATCGTCTCAAGCATTCCCTCTCCTTGTATCACGCAGATATAGGTTTTGTACAAAACAACTGTTAAGCCTCCAGGTTTAGTTAGTGCTGAGACGGGTGATGCGATGAACTATGGCCATCCTCGAATGGAGAAGAGAAGAAGAACTCGCTATGATGTGTTTCAATACCTTTCTGGGGTGCGACAGCCGGTATGAGGGGCTTGAGTGGGAAAATCCATACATGCATCTCGTCCTTGTTGGCTCAAAATGGATAAACGTATGAGAGTCCAACAGCTGAGTGCAAGAAGTGGCTCTGCCACTCTTGGTTACACTAGGCAGAACGACTTGATGAATACAGCGCATATGCCACAATCAGGAAATGAATGCGTCTTACAGATACTTAACTCATCTCTCCTCGTGTAACTCGCCTACAGTGTAAAGACTGCCCCCGATGATGTCACTACGCTTGCTAAAACGTCTTAGACTTTCTCGCGTTTAGGTCCAGTAGATTAGAAACAATGCACGGTAGTACAACCTGAATATTCAACACTTCTAGAAGTAGTATATTGTTATTTTTCAGTGTACTCTGACGGGTGGACATCTAACAAAAGAGTCATACCAAAAAGTGAATGTTGAATTGCTTTTGTCTGTGCCGATGATCCCCCTATCTCCAACCCTCATTATGAAGTTCGAGAGCAAATGTTGTAGTCTCAGCGCTTTCGCAAAGGCCATGCAAAGGCCCCAAGTGATGAGCACAGCATGAAAGAGCCCAAGAAGAGAATCAACGGCTCGTAGCGACCCATACCGTAACCCCAGCTCACCGGCTTCGTCAACAATCCGGCTGTGATGGGACCCGTGGCCAAGTTTCCAATGCCTTTGCCGAAAGCCATCATGCTAAAAACTGGCTGCGGATCGTCAGAAAGCATGCCGCCGAACTTGGCCCAGAAGATCAAGAACCCTCCGGCAAACATGCCGAAGACCAGGGCGAAGACCAGCAACAACGCCAAAGAATGGGCGAAACCCCATAGCGTGAATGCCGCGACGGACGACACGAAGGAAGATACGAACATGAGAGCAAAAACATTGTCCGTACGATCGGAGAGCCATCCGAATCCAAGCTGCCCGAACACGGTCGCCAGGTTGTGGGCCGCTAGAATCAACGCCCCCATAGTGCCTGACAGCCCGATAGCTGATGCGTAGGAAGGCAAATACAGCGAAGGGATGTAGTATGCAAAGCCCTGGAACAGGTTCGAGAGCGCGAAGCAGTAAAAGAGAGGCTGTCTCAGAAAGCTGACATCGAACATGCGCATCGCGCCGCGGGGTGACGGTGGCAAGCGGCCCTTGACCATGTGAAGAATAGGCGCGACACACACAAACTGAGCTACCGCGACAGCTCGCAGAGTAGTGCGGTATCCGTACTTGGCCAAGAGGACCTGCAAAAGGAACGGCAGTGCGACGCCGCTGCATCCGCCCCCAGCATAAAGGACGCCATATGCCAGTCCACGGCGGGCAATGAACCACTCGTTCAACATGCGCAGTACCGGGAAGTACAACATGAGAAACCCAAAGCCGTATAGAACACCCTGGGTAGCAATGAGCCCTGGGATGGTGTCGGCGAAAGACGCACCGACCAGGGCTATGACGCAGAGTGCCCAGCCGATGACGACCAAGTGTCTCTGATAGACGTGAAATCTCTTTACGAGCGGCGCTGCGAGAGGCGCGCCCAGGAAGTAGATACTCGTAGACACAGTGCCTATGATGGCAATATTTGGGTTGTCCTCAAACTGCGGATGTGAGGAATAGTATTCCTGGAAGACACCGAAGGTCAAGGGGAAACCTATTTGGGTTAGCGATGCCGTCCCTGTAAACCCTCGCAAGTTCTGATATACCCCAGAGCAGCGCTTCGATGATGAAGCTAGATAACAGAAACTTCCATGCCGCGGCGCCCTTGTCTGTGGGTGGCATGGTCTGGATCAAGCTGTTGACATCCGACTCCTCGTCGCTCTGCTGCGCCGACAAACCGGCATCCGCATTCGGGAGGCGACGCAGTTCGACTGGCATTTTCGAGTAACTCTTCGCAGCCGGATGCTTTTGCTTTGAATGAAGATAATGAAGAGCACAGAACTGCCTTTACTACTTGGGGAGTTTTGCCTTTTCATGACTAACAAAAGTCTCTGGTCCGAGACCGGCTCCGGACCGGGACGGTACCCGGCTGTGGGTCAACTAGCATTAGACCCAAAAGTTCTCCAACGCAAAGGGCGTGAACCATTCCTGTTTAGTGCACATTTAGTACAACACCGGCATGTCATTAGGAATGTTGCGGCGTAAGAAAAGCAAGAAGTTGAGTAAAAGAGAGTCATGCAACCAAGTAAGGTAACTCGTCGGCAATGTGCTGCAAAGCAATACAAGTAGCGTTCCTACTTCGGTTCAGCTGATTGGTCAACATCTCGAATCCCCTGGGGCTCGTGTCGTTCTTCGCAACACGACGAGTAAAAGCGAGCCTCCACAGCGCCTCCTTTGCTCTTGGCGTCCACGTTTTCCAGAAGACTCCCGTTGATGGATACTCCACTTCAGGCCGTTTGAATATTTCCAACGGGACATCGAGCCTTTTGGATCTGAACACAAATGTGTAGCATCCCTAGGCATTGATTACGGCCCTGTCCTCACTTTATGACTGTGATCATTACGTGAAGGGCATCTACTATTGGGGTGGGATCACCTGCATGACACTCTAAACCCTGTTTCGGAACAGTGTGTACGTATTGGAGATTGTCAGACTGCGCCTTTCGGGACCCATATCTAGCCATGACCGCGGATAGATTCTGGATACCGAGCAACTAGGGCATGTCTGCACCATATAAGAATCGTACTCCGTCCCGCTATAAACACTTCTTTTTCTCACTCTCAGGGTATTTCAAAGCAAGCAATCAATCAGATTCTCAACGTTATAAAGCTGCTCAGCAAAAAGCATCCCACGTGTGAGGGGATTCCTTCAGATAAAGGTCACACATCGCGCGCATCTTCCAGATGACGAGGACGACGCATCCCGAGGACTTTGTGGTCACAGACCGGGGCGGCATCATCGAAAACAGACACGCTGTCCATGCTGCAGTCGTCGACTCAAATGGCAGGCTTATTTTCGCCGTCGGCAACCCGTCGCGCATGACCCTGGCGCGGTCCGCCGCCAAGCCCGCCCAGGCGTTGGCGGTTCTCGAGACACCCAACTTCGACACTTATGGATTCGATGAAGCCGACCTCGCCTTAATGTGCGCCTCTCATAACAGCGAAGAGCGTCATGTCGCAAGGGCAAAATCGATGCTGTCCAGAGTTGGAGCTCAGGAATCAGACCTGCGTTGCGGTGGCCATCCATCCATCTGTCCGGTCCTGAACAACTCATGGATCAGGGCCGACTTCACACCGACCGAGATTTACAATAACTGTTCCGGAAAACATGCTGGTATGCTGGGCGGTGCAAAGGCTCTTGGTGCCGGGTTCGCCGATTATCATCTCCCAACTCACCCAATCCAGATCAGGGTTAAGCAGATTGTGCAAGACTTGAGCGGTCTGGAAGAGGATGATGTTCAGTGGGCCATCGACGGCTGTAATCTCCCTGCACCAGGTCTCCCTCTGGTGTCCATGGGACGCGTCTACGCAGGTTTCGCCGCAGCTGCCAACGCCGTGGAGCAGGACGATAACACCGTAGCACCGAGAACCAGAAAGATGGGTCGGATTTTCAACGCCATGTCAACATATCCGGAAATGGTAGGAGGTGAAGGTCGTTTCTGTACGGTACTCATGGAGGCTTTCAAAGGAGCCATCATCGGCAAGGTGGGCGCCGACGGGTGTTACGGAGTTGGTGTTCGAGCTTGTGAGTATACAAAGCAGCTTGGTGCGGATGGCGCTGTAGGAATTGCCGTTAAGATCGAGGATGGAAGTCTCGAGATCCTTTACGCTGCAGTTGCGGAAATCTTTGAACAACTCCGCATTGGAAGCGACGAGGCGAGACAAAAGCTGGCAGACTTCCACCACCCCAAGAGGCTGAACACGATGGATGTGGAGACGGGCAAGGTCTCTCATGCTTTCCAAATACGGGAGAGTTGTTATTGTTAATCGTGCTGCGACGGTTCTTGATTCTTCATTGGAATGACGAAAGCATAGAAGAGGTAAATCGGAAGACGTAGAGCCCGTATGAAGTCTGCACGGCCATTATGATGAGAACAGTCATATGAACGATTGATGTGTGAGAGGATGCCGCTCCTATGCGAGCCTGTCTCTTTAGGAGCACAGCGGATCGTTAAAGGAGTCATTTTATGATAATTGATAACCTGCTGGAGAGCTTTTATTTTAAAGCAGTTTTAGCACTAAAAGTTCAGACAAAGTATTATGATACCCCGCCATGGAAGTCGGTAAGCAATTAGGTAACACAAGCTGGCGGGGTGTCTCAAACTTGGCCAGGGTAATGGTTCAAGCTTCCCCGCCTCTATTGCAAATCTCGTGTATCTCCGTCAGCTTCTTCTTAGTCGAGAAAATGTAACGAGTGGGACTGCGCAACGAAGTTAACCCGACTGCTGTAAGCAAGCTTAGCAATCACAACTCACAAATCACTGGCTGTGACAGGACGCCCCGTCGTCAGTGCTTGCAGCGTCTCAAATGGCAGGGTTTCAATCCCGACACATCAGAGGGTTACAACAACAGTGTTGACGTCAGTTCGGGAAAGTGACATGCGAGATAAGGTGTGTAAGCCGCTTGTGATACGTTGTAGCAGCTCCAAAGTTCCTGCACTGCAGCAATCTTCCGGGTGAAGGTCACCAAACCTTGCGGGCTCGACTCGTTTTCTTTTCTGGAAGGTTACAAGATGCCTCCATCGTGGCTGACTTTGTAATCATGCGAAATACCTTTTCTTATTTTTCTTGTTTGTCCTGTATATAAGACCAAGACTCACCCTTCCCTGGCTATTCTTTCATCTCCACAGAAACTTTAAAGACAGCAGGAGCACTCGTATTCGGTACAAAGTTCACCATGATTGCCAAAGACGATAAATCCTCACCCTCTTTCATACCGCTAGCCAGCGTTGCTGATGACGGCTGGTCCACCGAAAACGAGGCAACAGCGACGTGTCTTTGCGGTACGGTGCAGCTCGCCTTTGTAAGTCACCCTATCTTACACTATGATATCCTGTTTTTTCATGATGTTTCCAAGAAGGCAAAAGTGTCTCACTAACATTTCACTCAGCCAACTCAAGGACCAGGCCTGGTCGACCGTTTCCTCTGTCACTGCACAGACTGCCGCAAGATCTCGTCTTCGATGTTCTGCTCCAATTTCACTGTGGCGGACGGCCACCTGCGCTACATTCGTGGCAAAGAGGATCTCAAATCTTTCAGTCAGTCGAGGACGATTGCCACTGGCAATGATATGACCAACTACTTTTGCGGTACGTGTGGCACGCTGCTGTATCGGGTCAGCTCTGGACTGCCGGATATGAGCATCCTGCGTATCGGCACGGTCGACGACTTCCGACTTGCCGAGACCAAGTTAAAGCCGCAGGTTGAGCAGTTTGTCGGTACGCGTGTGTCTTGGCTGGCACCGGTTGACGGAGTGATGCAGATGGATAGGATGCATACCTTGGAGGATATTGAAAGTCTTCAGTAGACACCAGCTATAATTGGGGCAGCATCGTGACGAATCCAACCGACCCTAACCTACCGGTGTGGCTACAACTAGCAAGGACGTGAAACATTACCTTATCTTGTGTTGTTTATGTCGAACTTAGTGTTTCAGTGAACACTGGCATTGTGTCCTTGTAGTTTGCTGAGGCTGGCCGACTGACAGCATGTGTATCCACTGCCTTGACTTTGACCGGTTTGCTATCCATTTCCGACGAGGCCATCAGGTGTTGAAGCCCCCTATCGTAAACAATGTTGTCATACCACAGTATGTATTCCCTAATCCTTTCGGCGAAGATGTGGTAGGGTAATTTGCCTGTTAGAACAATGCCGACAAGCTTTCAAACCCTTCAAACAGCTACGAATCATGAGCGAACATATCTGAACTTTGGAAAGGCCGCTTGAGAAGGTAATGCCTGTAACTGTAGAGAACAACTTACCAAATCCCCGTCCGATTGACATGATTCAGACAGATAGAAAAGCAAAGGTGGTGTGAGTCCCTTCAGAAACCCATAACACAGTTTGCGAGGCCGTAGGTCGGCCGGGACCCAAGCTATTACATGGAGTAGAGATGTCGAGTGGATTCCGATGTCCGGGTGCGAGACTTTTCCGGCCCGACACATGCGAGAGTCTCGGCCCCAAGAAGCGTAATCCGGACGTTGAATGTGACATGTGGCACCGGTTTTGCGTGTACCGCCAACGCGAAAGCCTCGCCAGGTGGTAGCACGTATTCCGCATTATGTTGTCAATTGATAAGACCTACTACTGCCTTGCGAGCAAAGTGGATGATGTTGTCATAAAGCATTCATGTCGAACCATTCATAGCTTGAAAACGCCATCTAAGCGATTATTTTCTGATCAACATGGGAAAGCAGTACACAAAACTGCACAGGAATGAATTATGGCGGATTACTCTGAGACCTTGGCGTTGGTCCTCACACGTTCCAAGCGCGTCTAGAGATGCTCAGCTTTGGTGACTATCGGCATTCTGTAAACGAGCATTTGGCAAGGACTACTTGTACTAGAAGTTCTCCATGGACAAATGGTCCTTCGACCATCAGGTTCCGAAACGGTTCCAAGGATAAGCCCGTCAGGAAGCAGTTGTGTGAACTGAAATAGAGAAACAAGTATAACGGTGTCGGCCATTTTCAGCTCAACATTGTGTATCCATTGGCTTATCTCGGAGACGGCCAGTTGACCGAACCAATCACAATCAGCATGGGTACGAGTCTGTAGCCAATCAGCGCCGGGAAAGGAAGGGGGCCACACCCACAGTTTGAACCAATACTATTGTCTCAATTGTCCCTAACAGTGGACCCAAAAAGGTACAAGCTTGAGTCTAGCACCCTCGGAGAACCAGCATGAGAGCCTCACGGGTTGGCACAGGGTATGTAACGTGGTGTCGAAAGTCGTCCATTACTCACTTGGCACAACTGACTCGACAACTTGCGGTGTAATGAATATATAAGTCCTGTCGTATTCTCATGTCATCTCGAAAAACCTGTCCCAGGTTTTCGTCATTATTACTTTAAAAGACGTCTGGGATCACTCCGACGCGAAATAGCCTTCAAGACCATCAATAGGGGCCGGACTCCGAACAATAAACAACAAGCAACGCAAAAAGGTGATCACATCCTTGACAACACCAGTACATCCCTGCCCAATATATCCCTTCAGACTGTTCCCCGCGTTGCCCGTCACTAATCTCGGCCACTCAGCCAGGATCATCCGAACCCATCTCGTTCAACATCAACCCCTCGAGCCGCTCTGCTAAATTCCGTCCCTGTGCCGCCTCGGGGTCCGTCATGGCGAGATCAAAGTCGATGATCCACCGGGCCTCCGTCTTGTCCGTCATGCCCTGATTTGCGGCGTGCTGCTTCTCAATCGCCCCGAGTTGCTTCAGCACCCGCGCCGCTTTCCCCGTCCGTATTGCCGCATGTCGCAACGCCATCCCTACCATGCCCTGAGCGATGGACCCGAACACGGGGAAGGATACGTACAGGTCCTCAAGCCCGGCCAGGCAGAGATCCAGGTAGAACCGCCACTCCTCGCTCGGCGGTACATCGGGTGCCCGCACCGAAGTGCCGGCCTCGCGGATCATCGCGTTGGCAACGTACACGACAGCCGTTTGCCACAGTACCGAGAGGCCGGCGCTCTTGTATCGTAACCGATACAGAAGGAGAAGACGTTTGAGTTGTGTGACGGATGCCGCGTAAACTGCTTCTGGGGTCGCGAATTTCGTTGAAAAGGACAGCAGACGCTCATTGCGCGAGGGAGAGTCGAGAAAGGGGCGGAAGAGGTCGGTTACGACAGCGTGGAAATAGATGCTGTTTTACCAAGTGGGTTAGCTGAAGTTGCCACATGACCGGGGCTGCAAGAAATGCTTCGGTAAAACACAGAGCTTCGGGAAGAACTTGGCTTACTGCATCATCATAACGTTATGGCCACTCTCTTCTGCCCTTGCCAGCTGAAGAGGAAGCCCGCCCGCCCAGTCGAGCAGACGATGGTAAGTTTCTTCTGCAAACTTCAATGATCTCTCCTGCGAGAGACCACTACTCTGGGGGCCGTAGTAGGTTTGTACCACGCGATTGAAAATGGTCCACATATCGCTCGAAGCACTTACCACCTGCGCGTGTAGTACTGTGGTACTGTCCGCAGACTGGGATATCAGGTCTCGAGGTTTGGGGAGCAGGGGCGGCGTTTCAATTTCGAAGATATGGTAATGGAGGGAGTACACCCTGGAAAAGGTCAATGCATGTCATCTTGGCCGGTCACACAAGCCAGTTTCGCGACAAGACTTACGACACCCAGTTATAAACTCCCCAAGCAGTATAGGAGGCCGTTTTTGCCCAGTCTTCGTGGTTTCCTAGCCACATCTCTGCCGACTCGGATTGAGATGCAGCATCGAATAGGCCCATCAGTCTGCCTAGCCTTGCGCTTTCTTGCAGAAACTGCAGGCTCATATCGTCTTTGCCGTAGGTGACGGCGCACATGCTTAGTATCTGTAGGGCGGCAATGGTCGTGAGGCTGTTCAGATGAGTTTGTTCGGAGAAGTGTTGTTGCGCCTGAGTAAAGAGTGCCACGCTGTATGCGGCGGCTTCGGAATGTAAGGGTGTAAACGCTTGCTGTTTCTATCAGAGTGGGGCCCTACAGATACAGAAAAAGGGGCAACATACACACGACCAGCATAAGATGGCAGTGACTAGAAAAGGAGAGCAAAAGGAATGCTCGAGATTAACAAGGCCTTGTATAAATAGGTCGGCGTTGAACAGGGGTATCGTTGCGTAATCGTTCTCGAGATAGTGTGATATCGTACTGATGGCAAGGTCGTTTGGAATAGGAACCGGTGTCCACTGCGTTATGTCTACCATCCGAAGACGTTCGTCGAACAACGGACTGAACAGGTCGGCGTCACCGGGGTCTGGGGAGGCCATCTTGATTCCGGGCTCGTCGTCTTCTCGCTCTGGAGTCATGTACGCATGTTTAGGTGGAAGGTCTTGACATGGAGACCTATGTTTTGTCAGTGTACAGCCGCGTCGGGCCGAGCACAGAATCCAGTTTAAACGCGGGTATGCCGAAGCATGCTTGACACGGTTCAACGCTAGAGATCTGGGAATGCCCATTCGAGAGGAATCTCGTACACAATTTGTCCTCCACGTGTCCAAGGGACCGACATGGACTTGACAACCTCCTCATGGGGCAGGTCTGTGTACGAAACTGGGAACAAGGCCGGATACGCAACTGGGTGTCGTAGGTTGAGCTCGAAGCTCAGGCTGTTCTGGGTTGGCGGCAGCAGGCCTTGGAGATATCGTTGCTCGGACGGGACCGATACCGAGAGGGATGAGCTAGCCGACTCATTGCGAAGTTTAAGAAACAATTCGAGGGCTTGTTCGTGAGGAAGCGTCCGCAAACTTTCGAGCATTTCGCTTGAGCCATGGCCTCTGGACTCTTCTCCTTCGGTGACAGTAACTCGATGCCGGATACTATATGTGTAAGCGCAGGCCTCAGCCCTATGCTCGCACATGAGACATCGAGGCAGTCTTCCATCGCACTGGACCAAGACGTTAGTTGAGCCCGTACTTCGTGGGTGCAAAGCAACGGAAAGGTTCAAGGCTGAGTTTAGGGAGGTGTGCGGGGAACAATGCCCAAACCCACCTTGGTCTTGCGTTTTCGACAAGGATCGCAAGCGCTGTTCGTCTTTCGCTGTCTCGCGGGACGCTGGACGCTGAAGCGACCAGCATCGGCACCACGGTTGTCGATGGGCGATCCAGCGGCTGAGAGTGGCCGTGGACGCAGCGGACGAAGCGGCATCATCATGAGAGGATGTGGCAGGGACACATTTTGAGTAGTTGAATCATTCGTGAGATGGAGTCGATGAAAAGTGATGCGAATGCCAGCTATGTGTGCTCATTGAAACCCATGTGTGAAAGGGGGGCAGGAAAGACAGTGCTTCGCCGCCTCCCTGACATCACAAATAATTCAACCCCCGGCGCAGGCTCGGAGGGTGCCTCCGGGGCGATCCTGTCTGATGATTGGGTAGATGCCACGGGGCCCGGAGAAGGTCGGTGGTATCTCCCATTGGTTCATGGGGAGTTACCCGGGCACAAGTTCGGTCTCGATGTACCCTGGCTGTGCGAGCTGATAGTTGCACAAGCCAGGCTTGCGCAGTCTAGAAACTAGTTTGGGAAGCAGTTCTAGCCAGCTGCGAACCATCGACCAATTCATTGCAGGCTCGGCCGACTCGGGAACTGTGACACCAGCGTCTTTCACTCCGCGAAACCTCGCCGCTGTCTCCATGTCACACTCCCTATTGTTGAATTAGAGTGCAGCTACTTGCCAAGCCCACAACCTCTCGGAATAGCGGACCAGTAGCTATTCCTATAACAAAAGCATGCACCTGAGCTTGGCATCAGTCATGGCTCGAATCTGGTAGCGAGTGTATCCAGCTAACAAGACACTGGTATCAGCCGGGGGGCATGTGTCCCTCATGCAGGTTGACCGCCAGACTAAGCACCAAGTTCTCCGACTTGCTGGTACGCTGACACTAGAGTTGAAAATAGATCAGCCGAGACCCTGAGAAGCAGCCAATACGTTCCACTGATATTTGGATGTGTCAATTATTCCCACAGAATGGCTAATCGAGATACGAATTACCATCAGTAGAGAGTGGGGAAGAGAGTACAGAACGCTAAGCATTGACAGCCCTATGGCCTCCGCATCTTTTTATACACCCCGTATTTTACCTAGAGGTTTTGTTCTTCTCGTATATTGGACAGAAAGATTAGAAGCAATAAAGGGGCCTAGCCTAAAGCAGAACTCGAGGTCTTCCATTATGAACCAAGTGTTCCCTGCTTCAAGTGCAGGACGAAGGTCGTTTGCATGAGGACTGGCTTCCGGTCTCCATCTCATCCCATCCATTATCCGGCATCCCATCAACAATCAGCATCACGCTCACACTACCAACATCTAGCTTCGTTAACCTACTTTGAGGACCGGCATATGAGGAGCTCAGGGCTTATTTGCGTAAAACAAACATTTCGCATCATCTTATTTTAACAACTTCTCAGCTTGCACTAATACGCCTCGATAACTCGTCAATCACCACGCAATGAAACTGCTTGCGGTACTGCCGTTTTTGAATGCCAGGACTAGGCTAGTATTCCCACCAATGGCTTTAGCCGTAGCTCGCTCTAATGCCGTACCGCGTACAATCGAGCAATAGCCTTTTTTCCACTCTTTAGATAAACCTTCGGCCGTGGATGTGGTTGCTATAGCCAAGGGCTGATCCCACTCTCTAGCGCCTCTCGCGAGGCAGAACCACTTACCGCTATCGCCAAGAAAAACACACAGAAGCAGTTAACAGATGACTTGGTGGAGCTGCTCTTGTTTTGAACCACAAACAACGGATTATGTAAACCAGGCTCCGCAAAATTGAGTGGCGGCTTCATTGATTGCAGGCCCAATCTCGAACCACGACATCTACGTTGGTGCGCACATACATTCGACATCAGCGACCGACCCCTCTGGGTTGGTATTGCAAGCTAGGCCCCTCTCCGTTCAACCGGCATGAGACTCTTCGAGAGGAGCCGTCGTGCCAACGCGCACTCATTGGTTTGTTCGGAAATCGCCCCAGCATGTCCGATGATTCTCAGGCAACTCAAAGGGCATCCGCACAGATGTTTCGAAACACCACACCGATGAAACCCCACGTTCAACCCTGATCAGGAATCACGACGGACGTTCGTCTGAGTGATCGCAGCTCGCCGTCGCCTTGAAACTTTGCCTTTTGACACTTGCATGACAGCAGTATGCAAGGCGTCCGCTGTGTACGGTGTTGAATATTATCGTCGCGGCTATCATATATCCTCCCTTCTCCCCATCCTCCGGTCTCTCCGGTCTCTCCGATACCAGGCTCCGTTTGCCATGCGATGTGCGACCTGGAATCGCCGAAACTCGGGGTTAAGGTTTTTGAAGCTGCCTTGATTGCTATCGTTCGGCTTCCCCAGCTATCTACGATTTCTCTCTAAATATGACCCGGAATGGCATTGCTAGGGTGAAGACTGGTTGTACGACGTGCAAGTAAGTATTTGTTCGTTCAGTCAAACCCCTTAGATGTTGTTCCTACAATACAGCGCACAAACGACTCCTCTCCTCTCCTTCTGATGACAATCTTTAGAATACGCCGCATAAAATGTGACGAGAAGCGCCCATCCTGTTCGCGATGCCTCTCTACAGGTCGCAAATGCGACGGCTACACCTCCCCGCCTTCAGGCGTATACTCCTGGGCACAACTCCTCCGGTCATGTTCTCCGCGAAGGGCAATGACCCTCTCGCATTTGGATCGCGGAGGCGTCCAGGGAGCCGACCGCGCCATGCACTTTTATCACAGGGTAGCCGCGCCAGCCCTGACCGGATCACTAAACAAGATGTTTTGGACCACAGTCGTCGTGCAGGTCGCGAACCAGGAGCCCGTCGCTGGCCACGCCGTGCTGGCTCTTAGCTCTCTCTACGAAAACTTTTCCAAGGGAGCACAAGAAGCAGCGCCCTTCGCCGCATGGCATTATAACGAGGCCATCAGGCTACTCCGCACGACAAAGGACCGCGCCCTGGTCCTCTTCGTCTGTGTGCTCTTCGTCTGCATAGAGCTCTTCCGAAAGAACCCACAAGATGCCATCGCCCACTACCGGCACGGGATCAATATCCTCAACGAAATGCACTCTGAGTCCGACTTCCTTCGAAACCATGTGGTGCCTACCATGCGACAGCTGAGCCTTGTACCCTACTGCTATGGCGTTAACCCCAGGACTTTCCCGACCATTGATAGACCTGTTCCATCAGCTTCCTCGCAATTCGCGAGCGTCGCAGAAGCACACGCACGACAACTACCTCTACATACTCGCGTGGCCCGATTCTTGCGCATTGGCGAGGAGAGACGCCTTGCGAAAGGATGCAAGGGACCCGAGCCGGACAGGAAGTGGACGCGGAACTTTATCCTGCTGGACCTAGACAGCTGGTACGCGGCATTCGAGACCCTCAAAGACAGCCATCAACACGATGATAAGGATCAAGCTGTTCTCTACCTCCTGGAGACCCGATACCTCACAAGCAGAATTGAGCTTTCGCAGTCTCAGTTGGAATCAGAGTGCGATTGTGACGCCTACTTGGATGACTATCGTCACGTCGTTGACTTGGCATCTAAAGTTGCGGCCCTTTCCGCCGATCCAGGTTCATCGAGTGTTAAAAAATTGTACCCGGACGATTCAGCAATTGAGCTAGGGTTTAGTCCACTCCTGTTCACCATCGTGGCCAAGTGTCGGTTTTTGAGTGTGCGGACCGCCGCCTTGAAGTTGATGGGGCAGCTGGCGCGTCCGAGGGACAACATCTGGGCGAAGCGTCTTACGTTAGCGATGGCCCGGCGTATCATTGAAATTGAGCATCAAATCTCTTTGGGTGATATGGATTTGGATGGCCGGATTAAAGACGGAGAGCTTCCGCCGGAGGAGAGACGGGTTGTGCGTCTGGACTATTTGAGCGCGGAGAAAAGGAAGCGCGGGCCCTCGACAGTCATCACATTTTTCTTCAGAGATCCGGGTAGCGGCAACCTCATCCCAAGGGAGGAATGGGTCACCTTGGAAAAGAAGCCGAGTACTTCGCCATGAAAAGAGGTCGAAGCAGGTGGTGAAAGTGAGTGACGCAGTTGGCTTGTGGGCGCTGGCAATACCGCGTTGACGACCATCTCTGCAATCACTTGGGGGAAACCGCAAGGATTCATATGAAAGACCTTGGATTCTGTGAAGTTGGGCTTCGCCCCTTCCGTACCAACAGCTTAACAGGCCCATTCCAACTTTCAAAGCACACAACGAAGTCTCATTGACTATAGTTACTACTAGCTATCTCAAGCCCATCCCAGACAAATACTACGAATCAAACATTATCAATAGTTTGAATGAGATCTTTGAAACCATTAAATAACGTTGTAGAATGCATCTTTTCCGCTCAGTGCAACTGTTGTGTCCGAGTGCCCTCCATGGTATGTCTCGCGATATGCCGAGCATAGCACTCCACTTACCTTCGTGATCGTCCTCGAACGATGCATCTAAGATTCTGATTCAGTCTTGTTTTATCATCGTCATTGAGTTCGGACCTTGGAACGCGATGCTGACGATCCGGTCGGCTCAGGTGGGAAGAGACGGCGTGTCGACGGTGGCTATCTCAATCCAGTATGTTTGAACCTGCAGTCTTAAGTGCAGTTCACAGCTGATGTTTGCCCTGATCATGGTAAAACTGCAAGGGCTTGCCACTGAGATGGACATTCATGAACCAGCTGGCTAGATCAACACCACTCATTCCTTATGTTCTGGCCAGAGACTTGACACTTCCGGACTTCTAAGGGCACCCTGACTCGGCACCAGAAGCCTTCTCGATACCTGCGAGCTTGCCACCTCGGTCTAAATCGGATCAACCTCAGCGTCATCAACAACCAGCTCCTCCTCCTCCGCCAGGCGACTCTCACCACCCACCACGATATCCTCCTCCCGAGGCTCCTCACCCTCCGCCCACGCCTCGGGACCGAGATACCTCCTCGGCCAAATGTTCATCGCCGTCTTCAACCCCGATCCCACCGGCAGCCCCGCGTGCACGACCCTCTCGTCGCCCGTCCCGTTCTCGTGCAGATTCACCCAAAACACCGCATTTCCCCTGACGGGCCTGAACGCGAGCCCGCCGTCCTCGTGCCGCCTCCAATCCCTCTCCTCTGCCATGTGCTGCGGCGTCACGGCTCGGACCATGGGGAACCAAGTGTCGCCCCCCGTGCACTCGTCCTGCAGGATGGCAAAGAAACTCGCGATCCGGTTCCACCTGCGGTCCCGACCCGTCCGCGCGTCCCGCTGGAACGACTCGTACCAGTCGTGGTGCACGTTGAACCGCTGCCCCGCCGTGTACCGCACCAGCTGCGGCGGGCCGATCTCGTCCCGCCCCGGCGCCAACGTCGTGCCCATGAACCCTTCCGCGCGCTTCAGCACGCACTGCACAGCGGCGTTGTCGATCGGCAGCCCGGCGGACCAGGATGTCCGGTCCGGCGTGCCCTGTGTGACGCCGTTCTTGACGACGTAGCTGGGGCGGAACTCGGGCTCGCCTGCCTCGAGGAGGCCGGCGATGTCGGCGTCATTTAGGAAGTCGTGGATGTAGATGACCAGCGGGTTGAGGGAGACGATTTGGGTTGTGTAGTTCTGGGCGTGGCAGACAAATGGCTCCGCAGGGGTGTCTTGGACGAAAGTGTCGTCTGCCGGGGGCGAGAGGAGGGTGTCGAGGGATGCGAGGAGGCGAGAGGGGATGTCGTGCTGTTGGATGTAGGGAAGGGTGACGGCGACGAGGCCTGTGTAGGCGGAGAGGCCGAGAAGCTTGGCGAGCAGGCCTGTCATGACGGGTGGTTCGTCGATAGCCTCACAGACGACATAGGTGAAGCGTCAAAGACTGGCAGACAACGCGACAGTAACAGACATCGCGTCACTAGCCAAAGGGGCACCAAGAAGCAGAAGCGTTTGCTTAAGTACCCCCAGCAGAATACCACCCTCCCTCAACGCCAGTTCATTTACCCCAATCTGTCCAGTTCCGACACCCCGAAGGCGCATCAGATAGATCAATGGAGCTTCGTCCTCCGGCTGGGCGGAGAATCTCATGCGCAGTTCGGCTGATTGGACGATCCGCCAAGGATGGCCCATGGCCCAAACCCCGGAACCGCACCCCGTCTCCCCCGCGCGTTGCGGGTGGGGGAATCTCACCGAGGCCTGCTGAGCTCCCGATTCAGTGGGAGGTATGAAGCTTCGCATATGCCGGCTACACAACGATGTTTCCGATGGCAGTTTAATGGTGACGATGAGCCAAGCACAGGATGACCCCATCACCCTGGTTGTGCGTGATCCGCTCATCATCGGAGGGTGAACAAGAAGTCTTGTTTCTTCATCCTCCCAAGCGGGCAAGCAAATGCGGCCGAGTAGTTTTGGAGGACGGTATCACGGGGGGGCTGTCTGCTGTTGGCATCGCTCGCCAGAGGTTTGCATTCGATTCAGTTGATTTCGTTATTCTCTTTCTGTTCCGCAGTGCTTGCCACAAACCACCGTCAGATAAGATGCCCACTCCTATGCATCGTGGTACAAGACCAAAAGCACTAACGATTTCTTCGAAACCCTTGCAAACCAATCTGGCGCTCAAGGCAGATAAAATATCAAACATCGAGCCAGAGTGGCTGAAGGGGTATCATGCTATGGATGAACTTAGTCACAGTCGAGTTAGTACAATATGTACATCCGTACAATGCTCCTCGCTCCCAAACACAGTAAGTTTGCGCTCCAGGTATGTCAACCAGGCACCCAGAGCCTCCCAGAAGGTAAGCAATATGCACCGCCGTCACAAGGAAGGATGTCTCCCTCTCAAGATGGATCTTCGCGTCGAATGTGTCACCCTCGTGAGGCAATGGGTGTGGCAACGCACGTCAGGGAACACCGGGATCGTATTACGACAAATACCCTTGACACAGAACAGCAGACGCTCTCGGAGACAATGCCCCAATTCGCCTATTACAAGCCTTAAATCTGGCTGTGGCGCGCGCGCTTGCGGGCGCTTCCGGTGGATGATGAGGGGCGAAGCTTGTCGTTGCGCTCTCTCTTGAGCTTCTCGTCGAGAACACGGGCTATTGGCAGTCAGCAATGTCGCTCCACGCAAGAAGTCGTGCCGCAGCGTACTAAGCACGTCGTATCCGAACTGAGGATACTGCAAGCACAGGGAGCGGAACTCCTCCTCGGCCTCGGCGCGCAGGGTGTGTGATCGGGTGGCCCAGAAGCTCGCGACGGGGGCGCGTATCGTGGTGTCGTCCTTGCTGGTGTAGGCGTACACGTAGCGGGCGTAGGCAATCTCGCCCTTGGCTGTCGAGTTGACGCAGTGGATCTTGGAGCTGGCGAGCGACCGCAGGCCGGGCAAGCCGAACTTCTCGGCCAGCGTGTAGACACGCGCATGTTTCAGCAGCTGGGTGCCGTCCGTGTCGACCTCGGGGGTAGCAGGGTCCGCTTCGAGGGTGCGCGAGCCGGCGACTTTGCGGGGGAAGTACTCGCCCGTGTAGAGGTACTCGAGGAAGCAGCCAACGGCATCGAGGTCTTCGCCAGCGAGCTCAATCTGACGCGGCTGCCGAGCGTTGAGTTAGTGAGGATTCGGTTGGGCCGGCGCGCCGGTCAGTGGACGCGTTTTCCGGGGGAGCTACTCACGCTGCCGTCGTCGCTGAACTGCGCGCATGCCTCCTTGAAGTAAGGGCTTTGCATCAGGAGGGCCTGATGCGCCGTGACAATGGATTCCGACTCGCCCTGGCCGACTAACAGAGTGACCACGGGGCTGGAGAGGTAGCTGACGAAGGTGGTGCGCGGTTCGACAGGGTCGCTCTCGTCGCCCTCGGCGAAGGGGAGGGTATCGACATTGGCGTTGTCGCCGTCCTCGGGGGCCTCCATCTCGACATCCGCGACGGGGTTCGCAGGGCCTCGCTGGAGATTTCAAGGTCATTATTAAACTCTTCAGCCATTGCGACGGTTCGCGACTGCGCGATCGGGTATCGTGGTGTTTGGCGACCGGCCTCGTGCGGCTTCGTACGGCCTCGTGTGGGGGAGTGAGCTGGACTCGACTATGCTTTTAAGGCCGAATTGTCGGGCGCCGCAAGTTGTCCAATAGGTCGCGTATTACCGGGAAGAAACGAGCGCCGAAAGAAAGATGGAAACGATTGTGTTGACCGTCAATGCAGGGCCAGCTCTTGGGTCGCTCGTGGGCTGGAGATGAGAAAAGTAAATGCGCGAATCCCGGCCGAAAACACAGACGGAGAAAGTTCTTTGGGGTTACAGCTTCGCAAGTTTGGGGGAAGCTCAGAGCTCCAGCTGCCGCATCTCGAGCTATGACATCCTGCAGCAGTGACTGGCCGGTGCCTACTATCGTACCTGGGTGCTAGTCAGTGGGGGAACACCCTAGGACCTTGACACCTTTAGGGATAAGATGACAGATAGCATATCAACATGATACCTTATCGATACGACGCTAATGGCACAAAATTGACAATGTCATTAACGCGTGCGTGTCTCGAGGGTGGGAAAGAAAAGACGCCTTTGGGCGAAAGTAATGAGCAAGGCTTATAATTATCGTCCGCACGGCACGGTATAGCTACACGTGGGGCCAGCATATGGAGGTGTGCCAAGCCAATGCGCAACTCAATTCGATCCAAACTACCTGACTCGAAAGCTCAAAATGTTTTGGATTCTCCAACACCAACGCCGGGTATCGTCGACTTGCGAGATGCATTTCCAGCAGAAGAAAGACCCCGCCCATTCATGCTCAATCAGTATTCCGCCCAACGCAGTGCCATGAAACAGATGATATGGTTTGAACGTTACAAAACGTCGCAAAATGCAATTTGATCATGATGATGCGCTCTCTTCTTCTCCTTCAAATGCCACCAACATGCTGCAGAAACAGTGTCCCTCTGACCATATTACTTCGTCTGGATTAGCCCCTCATCTCATTTCCACTGATTCTCTTGTCGAGATAATCCCGTTTCCCCAGGCTTCCTGTTCGAGGATAGACTCGGCAAGCTGGGGTGCATTAGTCTCAATGGTTGCTCTTGCTTGAGCACCTCCCAGTGCTTCTTCAGCGTGTCTTCCCGCACCACCAGTTCAAAGTTTGCTAGGAAGCAGAAGCTGATCTCCAACCGCGCCAGCTCCAAGTCGCTGACGCCTCCGACTTTGGCCATTTTACTGTGCGGATAGCTGAGATCTTCGAGCGCCTTCATTGCCACCCGCAGGCCCGCCAGCACCAGCCGATGCGCATTCCGCCTTGTTACCGGTATCGTGCGTTCGTCGACAGCCAGGCGGTGGATGTATAGGCTCGTCGCAAGATACACAGCAGTGCTCATTGGACAAAACCTGTGGATTCGTGCGAGATATTCTTCGATGCTAATAGGCGGAGGCTTCTTGGAGTAGAACTTGCGTGTAATGGCGCTGTGTTGAAGATTGATCGGCTGCGAGTTCTCCCCGATGATTATGTACGGTTCGGGCGGCCTCGACGGCGGCGGAGGCGTGGGGGTTTGGGTCTGTCTCAGGTGGACGCCGTCTATTAGTTGTGACGAGGAGCTACTGGAGCCGCTCATTTGGGACATCATTGACGGCCGGCGGGGGGAGGGATGCGAATGACCCATCGCGGCCTCGGCCTCCTGGCGCATTCTCGCCAGGTTCTTTTCCGAGTTGGAGCGAATGAGTGCCTTCTCGGCCGCCATGCCTCGCATGTTGGGCAGTGTTGGGCTCGTGGGAGGTGGTGTCGGGGGAATATCGCCAGTAATTCGGACAAGTGCTTCGATGCCACCGCTCAGCAGCTTCATTGCTGAGCGCGGTGACAGCTTGAAGACATCATCGTTCTCGGGGGCATTCGGCGGACTTTCGCAGTCGGCGACGCTGAGCCTTGGGTCGGACGAAGGGTTGGGCGGCGGGGGAGGTCGGGGACGTCGTTCGCGTTCGACTCTGTAGGATGGAGAGGGACGCCCTCTTCCGGTTTCGGGGACATTACTGTCTTTGGTTCGTGATGCTCCTGAGGGAGGCACCGGGGTTGAGTATTAAGCGCCAATGACGTTATGTTCGAGCTGGAGAACAGAGTCTCGACGGGTTCGACGTGGGCGATAGAGAGCATCTAGTGCTTCAAGAAGGCGACAAACACAGACGATGGCGAGCAAAGCCCTTGGAAAGGGCTGTTTGATCCGTGTACCCTTGGGCAACAAATATCATGATCCAAAGTCCTATCCTTGCAAAGATGCAACTTCCCTCGGCCTTGTTCGGCTTGCGGGGGTCGGAGAGTTATTCGTAGGTGAGCCTCGGCTGGGCTGGACCAGAGGCGTGGTTCCGGGCCGTTCTGGGACAGACTAGTTCGTTCGGCTTGGGAGAGAAGTAACGGTTCGGTTCGTAGAAGCCGGTCGTGGTTCGAGTGAAATGCGACTGTGGTCGTTCGAATGCGGAAGATAAAGGGTGGAAATAGGGCAAAGCACGACGTGGGGCAATGCTGCTACAAGGAGTACGACTTGGAGAGGGGCCGCGACGATGTCGGTCACTGATTGGCGGCTGAGAGACTTGGTCTACAAGCACCACAGGTGGTTCGGTTGGCAAAGTCTTGCTCGGGGCAATATCGTTGGTGGTGACCGTGGTGGTTCTTGGTGGTGGTGGTGGTCCTTGACCTTGCAACCTTGTCGGTCGATTCACTGGCAGAGAGCGAGAGGTGCTTTGTGGCAGAACGCAATCTTTGTGCTGATCTCGAAGCTAGTGCGGGGAGCTGCAGGCATGCGGTAGGCGAAGATACAGCAGAGGGCACGGCATCCCCGTCACAGTGGAGGGATCGGCGATCGTCTCAAGTCTCGAGCTGCAAGGTGCAGTAGTAATTGAGCGACACTGCAGATGGTTCGGCAGGACTGGAGTCGGGGAAGGCGGCTGGGTGCTGAATGCTGGCTGGGAGGGAGGCGAGGCGAGGGCCTAAAAGTGCTGCACGCAGATGGGGAGCGGACCTGCAAGAAAAGCAATGGCGGGACCAAACAGCAGACTTTCAGTGGCGTTTGGCTGAAGTACTCTGCTGCTGGCGCGATGCAATGCAGCGGACGTCGCCGTTACAAGAAGCAGAAGCGAGGAAGCGCAAGGTAGCGCCGTGCAGGGGACGGAGCGAGAAGTCGTATTGTTGCTGACGAGGGCGACTCGACCGGGAACGAGCTTCGCCGGATCGTGTGAGCGAACGGACGGGACGATGAATCCGCTGAAGCAGCAAAGGAACGGCCAACAGATTGGCGCGCGAAGACAAAGTATCAGTTGACTGCCAGCTGACGACCCGGGGATAAGTCCAGAAATGGCTGACAGGCAGGCCTAGGACGCCCGGGGGGGTGTGATATTTGGATATGCAGGAACACAACGATAAACAACAAGCGACCCGAGGTGGCGAAGATGGCAGACCAGTAGTAGGTAGCAGGAACAGCGAATACGAACAGGCAGATAAGAGGTGGACAATGGGGGATTGTCGAATTTGCCAATCCTGGATTGTCCTCGCAGTCGTCGTAACGTTGGTCTGCAGGTAATGTGAAGGGAATATCCGCCCGTGGGTTGGGTCGGGATGGGAGTCCGGGAGGTATTAATTAAGGTGAGCAGCGGGCAGCCGGCGTCAAATTTTTTGGAGAAATTTCATCTCTTCGGAGGGGACACCGGGACTCTGGGATTCTGGCAAGATGAGGCGACGGCAGAGTGGGGAGTGGAGAGGGATGGGTGGTGGCACATGGGAGGGAGGGAGGGGCTGGTCCGCACTCCGAACGATTCAAGGCGGTCCTCGTCAAAAAGATGGATCGTGGAAGGGAAAGGGAAGGAAGCAAGAATGCTGGAGGAAAAGGTCCATCTTGCCTCCTGTGGAGGTTCTGGCCCAGGCTTGCCAGGCGCCCTTCCCGTTTCGTCCGTTGGCCTTGCTTCTGGTCGTCCTGGTCACCCGTCCTTGCCTTCCTACCTCCGCGACGCGTCTCTCTCTCTCTCTTTCCGTTCCATGCCATCTTTCAGCCTCCTCCATGCTTTGTTTTTGCCATGCGCGGCATGCGAGGTGCTTTTATCTACCTTAGTCTGGACTGCGCTTTCCCATCCCCCTACTAGGTTCTGTAATCACACACTATCGTGTTGGCAAGGACCAAGCAAGAGAGCCTGCTGACCTTGACTGACTTTATGCCACCCATGCAGCTGTAACCTCCGCGCGCAAATTGGGTTCGCATTACTTGTTACCAGGCAAGCAGCCGCAGATGTCGCCCAGCCTGCTGGCAGTGGTGACTGGTGACTGGTGACTGGCGACTGCCAAATACATCGTGAACCAAGTGAGGGAACGGGGGATCCCTTACCTTACCAAGCAATCCAAACCAGGGTTATAGGGTGTGTCCACGGGCCGATAAGAGAGGAATTCAAACTATCGCCAGTCACCGTCCGCTCAGAGCTGACATCCGCTCGCCCTTCGTTCCTTCTCAGTCGCAGGTGCTCTACCTAGATAAATCTCCCCCTCATCGGGGCACCTTCCCTACATCCATGTGGTGGTGGTGATGTTGGACAGGGGTATTTCACATTGGTGGAGGGCACAGACATCGGCCTGGCCAGTGCTTGCACCCCACTCCCCCCGTTTTATTTTGGAGGCAGGCGCGAAAGGGTGGCTAAGGGTGGGGTTTTAGGGGTCTTTGCTTGTCAACTGACCAAAGTTGATGCACGGACTTGACGCGCTTCCAGACCCCCTCAGACCTTGACTTGCCGTTTTGGCCAACTTCTCATGTCAGCGTTCTGCATCGTCGTATTCATGTTGCATGTTCACGCGCCGCCTCAGACTCGGTACGACGGCAGGCGGACGATGCCGATGGTTAGTCCACTGAGTTTTCTGAAAACATTGGGCATACAGGGCCTTGAATTCTTTTGTGAATCATCCGCCAAAGGAGCGCACACACACCACTTCACTCTGCCCAACACTCAGACCAATAACGTCTCCCGTCATTGATTCAACACACCGGTCAGAATCTAGACACCACCACTTACAGGCGGATATGACTTGTGCCGGCTCTACGGCAAGATCTACCCGCTGGGTTAGGTGACGCCACCAAGCCTGTGTTTCCCGAAGAACGTGAAGCGTGATCAACAAAAGACACGCCCATTGCCGTCTCCTCATCCCAAGGTCGGCCATGTTCCTAATACTATGGTACCTGTGCCATTCGCCGCTTGGCCATCATCCTATGCTCTGGAAATGGCATTTTGATGACCAGACATTTTACCATAATCATGGGAAAACATGCTACGACAACTCGAAGCCTAGGCGACGGCTTGGACTTCTCCCACTGGGATCACCCATGCACCGTCGTACAGGATTACACACGCCATCGTGTCCCAACAATCGTCAAATGTCCGGTGACTCTATTCTACCGGGTTGGACCCACGCCTGTCTGTCTACGTCCCCGTCTGCATCTTGGGATGTAGCAAAACCGAGTCATCACATCCGTCCAATCTGCACCTTACCACCTCTCATTGCGTCACCCCGTGCGGATACGGCCTTAGTTCTCCACCGCCCTCTCTTCAGCCTCATCTTTACGAACCCATGGCCACCTTGATATCCAACACAGCCGGCTGCCCCCCCTGCACTGTCTCGATCGCTTTCTTGAGCACTCCCTCAAGCTCTTCCAGCTTATCCACACGAGCAGCAAACAAATCTCCACCAGCCGCTGCCTTGGCGATACCGGAATAATCAGGCGCCGGGTCAAACGAGATGTTGATCTCCTCGTTTGTCGCCCTGGAACCTTCACCGTCGGGGTGCACCAGCAGCAGCGACCGTCGGGGCGCGTTCCATCCTGTCGAAATTGTCAGTCAAACTTCGATTCACGGTCGGGGCTCCTTAGCACTCACCCTTGTTGTTCAAGATGATCGTCAGTACGGGAATGTTGTAACGCTTGGCAATCCAGTACACACTGCCTGGTACCGAGAAGAGGAACGTGCCGTCACCGACGATTTGGACCACAAACTTGCCCTTGCCACCGTTCTCGAAGTCAGAGGCTAGCTTGATGCCAAGAGCGCCACCCCCAGACCAGCCGAGGCCACCACCACCACAGTTGATCCATGAGCCGGGCAGCGTGGGCTGGAGGTTGTCGTGGACAAAAACAGTGTTAGTTACGGCTTCGATCGCCCAGATTGTGTCCTCGGGGCAGAGTTTCTTCAGCGTTCGCGAAAGGTGGCCGGTCCCAAACTCGCCATCCGCTTTGGGCTGTGCCTTTTCCTCAATCTTGGCCAAGAGCTGTTTGTGTGACTCCTTGACCTTGGCTTCACGCTCCTTGGCCTCTGCCGACTCCAGTTGCGCAGCGAATTTGCCCTTGAGGTGAGAAGTGATCTGCTCAATTGATTGCAGGCTGCTCGCGCGGTATCTTGACTGCGCGGCGATGTAAAAAACGGGCATCTGCTGCTTCAATGGGTCGACGTCGATATGGAAGATCTTAGCGTCCTTCTTGGGATGGCACAGGGTGTTGATCCACGGCACGTCGCAGTCGAGAACGAGAATGACATCGGCCGTCTTCACAGCTTCGTCAATACCAAATCGAAGACCCAGCCAGCCAGGGTGGTCTGCCGGGAAGCACATGTCGCTCCCGCCAGTGTCGACAACGCGCAGGCCCTTGACCGTGTCGGCGAGCTCAACGAGCGCAGCCGGGAAGTCGTGGTTTCTGCCGCCGAAACCGGTGATGACAAGGGGCTCTTTGGCACCAGCCAGCGCCTCGGCGATCCTGTCAACAGCGCTTTTGGGAAGACCACCGAGCTCGACCGGATCCCATTCATCTTGGCGAATGCTGTACGGCTCGATCTCGGCCTCCATGACCTCTCTTGCGCCGCAAAGATACACGGGCCCCTGAGGATCAGATCTGGAGAATTGCAGTGCGCGGTTGACCATCTGTTTGACGTTGGTGGCCGTCTTGAGCTCACCGGAATACCGGCAGTACTGCGATACGATTTGCTTTTGGTCCGGGACATCCTGAATCCAGTGGATGTACTCGGTTCGGCTGCCTCGCAACTCACCCTCCAGAGTAAAAGGCGACAGACCAGCGAACACCAGGATAGGCGCACGGCCGCATGAGGCGTTGTGTACTGCAGCGCCGAGGCCCTGAGTGCCTACGTCGACGTGGACAATGACACACTGCGGCTTTCCAGTCAGGCGAGCATAGCCATCAGCCATGGACATGGCTACCATCTAGGTTCATTGTCAATACGACAACTCGACATTAATGTGGGTAGGAGGGGTTTATTACTTCATTAGGGCATGTGATGATTCTGGGAAAGCTTCCTTTTTTCTCTCTCAGACCCTTAACCATAGCCTCAATGATGCTGGGGTGGTCGGAACCCAGGTTCACGAAGCAATGGGTGACACCGGCATCCCATAATGACTCGAAAAAGGCGAACGACGCGGTATACATCTCGGTTGACTGTGACGAAAGATTCCGGGCTTGTTCGATGGTGGCCTTGTATTCATCTTCAACGACGGGCCGAGACGACGGCTTTATAGCAGCATTGAAGGGTGATGAAGATCCTGTTGTTGATCCCCCACCTCGATGCAGTGGGGTACCGGATGAGAATCCGGCAAGTTGGCGACCAGGGCCAGCAATGACTGCGCTGGCGGCCAACGTCTGCTTCAACCTGACCAATCCCCCTGCTCTTCCACCTGCAGGCCCGGCAACACGCAAGCAGCGTGCTGCCATCGGCCCCGGCAATTGTCTGAAAGGCATGGCGAAAGGGGGGCAATAACAACCAGCAACGGCTATGGAGAGCGGGGTATCAAATGACGGATTGTTGTGTGGTTGATTGCTTCACAGTGTTATCAAGCCCTTCGGGTACAGACAGGCCGTGGCAGGATGTGTTAGTGTGTAGTCAGGGTCGGGATGCCACGACGAACCAATGGACGGTGGTTCGACAATGATGCACTACGGCGGAGAAGTTGCACAATGTTGGGGAGTATTTCGGACTGAAAAGGCGGTTAGGTTTGACTGAAGTCTGAGTTCCCCGTGACGGTGACGGGCGGCAAAGACACTTATACGTTCGGGACTAGGATCATTCCACAGACCGACGGTGGTCTTAGCATTGTTCCCCAGAATAGGGAGCATCACGCCCTTGGGGTTAACCCCGCAATCGGCTCAGGGACCGGTTTCATAGGGCGCTTGCAGTCGGCTCATTGCAGGGTGTCACTGTTGGCTAGCTTACTGGCCCCAACCCGCAGATAAGGAGCCAAGGGAGCACAAGGCGCGCATGGCTCCGTACCGTGTGAGCAATCGGCCATACCGATGACTGAGCTTGCAAAGAGATGAGAGCTCGTAGTAGATTGGAACACAATTTATGCACATGAGTTGAGTTCTTTCGATACTTATCCTCTCCTTCCCAACAGAGCTTCACGGGGCCGATGCGTCAGCACTGGGGCGGATCATCGCCTTTAGGCCGAGAATTACCGTCGCAAGAGGCCGCGAGTTGAGCGGGACAGGCACTTGGAAACACCGTGTCTCACGCCGGTTCCCCGCAACAAAGCGCGTCCGGGCGTTCCTGGAGACGCCAGCTGATCCAGCCGATGCGTCGAGGTCGTGCGGGGTGCAGGCGGTGTTATCTAGCTCTTAGCTAATGGGATCCGCTCCGGCTCTTGGGCGTTCGGATTCCGTGTAGGGAAGCCAACGGGGGAGCAGGGGAGTGAGAGGTAAGTTCTCAATGTGCAGTGCAGTGCCATGGTAGCTAAATGGAGCTTCATCCCGTGTGCCACTCTGACGTCCCTTCTGATAAATATCGCGCTTGTTGGCACTTTTGACAGTGCGTTGCAACACAGTAAAGCTACCACTCCATGCCGAGCTTGGAATCCGCGCATCTCTAATGGATTCGACGTGGTTTTCAGACTGGGCGTATATCAATGGAAGCTGCGTTCAAACCTGATCAGGTGGATACATGGTCTCGGACAGTAACGGTTGCTTTGGGGAGTTGGCTTATTCACCTGCAACACCCCGGCATGATATCCAGGACAACTGCGCGTACATCGTACGGGCCAGCAGGTTCCGAGCGAGTTTGATAGATAGGAGGCAGCATGAAGGGGGCAAGAGTGAAGTCGATACGAGAGAACGGCCGGGTTGTACATGGTATAAGGCGCTTTCGCTTCATCCTTTCCCCAAACACGCGCGTCTTAAGCATTGATGACCCGGTTGGCAGATGTTTGTCCAACAAGTCCATGTCATGACGACTGAAGTATTGCAAACACATGCAGTTCCATTGGCTTGGCAGTGCCGGATGACCAGCTTTGCACTATTTTTCCGACCTCAGTCCGTCTGGCCAGATCCAACCCAGGATTGACCCAATGCCGAATGCGGCAAGGCATATCAGAGCCGTCAAAGCCATAGCACCCGCATACTCCATGGGCTTTAGGACGGGCGGTTGCGTCCTCCTCATCCCCGCTGATGACTGCGTCGTCGCTATCACCCTCGCAATAACAGCAAACTGCCCCGAAGAAGACAATCGCCCGACTGTCAGCTTGCCATACGGCGGCGTCTCGGGCTGCTCTGTCGTCTGGCTCGACCTTCTCAACGTGCTCAGCGCGCTCGACTTCCTCATTAACACCGCCATTGGGTCGCGGGAAACCCGGACACCTTCAAAGATCTTGTAAAACATCGAAGAGTAATAGAGGGAATACCAGGGCTTCATCCCGCCGCCATAACTTTCCCACTCCGCCCAGGCGGGGATGATAGTGTTGATGAAAGTAAAGTAGTTGGATCCCGCAAAGCCCTGCTGATTCATCTTGGCCTTGGTACCGCTGAAAACCGATGTGTTGACGCCGTACTCTTCGTGCAATGTGCTGAGGTCTGCAGACACGATGATCGAGGGAGTTGTCCTGCCGAGGGGGGTAGGGCCGTCAATGTAGCCTGTACGTTCGAGCACGTTGGTGAACCTCATCATGAATCGATTGTTGTGCGGAACGGATGCACTTGCATGTCATCGCCCATGTGCCGTTATCAGAAACAACTCATAGTTCTCGTACAGCATGTCCAGGCCCGTGGGATTGCGACATACGGCCAAGGTCTCTCATCAATGAAGTTCGGGATGGACTCATAGACGAAGGACTGCTTTCAGGTGTCAGAGCCGATATCGATCTCAGTCGCAACACCGGCAGTTGTTTCGTTCAGGGTGGTAGTTTTGATAGCGGAGGCGGAGGGCAGGGGAGCATTGCTGTGGTCGGTCCTCATGCGGGATGCACAGGCTGACCTTCGAAAGCAAGGAGGCAACGAAAGGACTGGAAACGAGGACCCCCCATGTATGCGACAGAGGGATGATGACACAAGAAGCCATTGCGATTTTTGCTAAGCGTCGAAATTATCTAGGGACTAGTGTTGATGATGAATGAATTAGGATGCTTGGCAAGGAGAGAACACTTAGCTCCGGCCTCGTTCAGTGAGCGGACGTTGCCATCGAGACTCCGAATAGCACCTGGATGGAGGGAGCCGATGATGGGTCGGTGGTGGAGCTCCACTTTCGGCAACGGTCCGGCGGGCTGCCGCTGCTTCAACTATACCCCCCGACCCGACTGACCAACCCAACAACCCACCATTCGATCAACATAGCAAGTCTTCTCTTTCCTGTTACGCATAATATAGCAGGGTTACAGTTCTCAATCAGATCAGGTTCTTGATGTCTGGTCTGGTGAGGGAACGCCATATAATAAATTCGCATGGCCTAGGTCCGCCGTGATCAGAGACGCTTGATGTGGTATAACCATATCGGACCCGGGAACGAGACCTTGTCTATATGATACGACATTGTCTTACCTCACGGCCACAATAACTTGACCCTGCTATGTTCGGTTTCATAGTATTTGGTTTCATGGTGTCAATCGTTTGCTCAATAACGGATCCGAGTCCAAGAGTTCCTTTCCACTCTATCAGCCTTCCATCCGGACCATCTGACTATTCCACGCCTGAGCATATGTAGCCACACGGGCTACATGGGGATGGATTTTTCACTTCACATGAGGCAACTTTTTGACTTGAGTTAACCATCGTAATCAATTGCATCCTTACATACAAATGATCCACTGACATGACTTATTTAAACCAGAATTCGCGTAAAACTTAAGTCCACGTGTGGAGAAGAAAGTCCTTTTCAATAATGACTGGGATTCCCTAAGCCAAAATCAACTGCTGACCGTCCTTTGGTCCTCGAGGTAAGGGGCCGAGCCATCTACTAGACATTTACAACAGTTATATCGGTGGCGGCTCAAAGGACGTTCACGTCAGCAAGGCCATTAATTGTTCCGACTCGAATAGTTAGGCAAAATAGATTGTTAGATGATTCAAAGTATTCTGCCTAACCGCTATATTGCAATGGAAAATGAATGCATGTTGGCACATGATGTTATACGCGGCACTAACACACACCCTGCTTACCTCGCTCCCTCTTGTGGTGCGGCCTTCTGACACCGGTTGATCCGACTGCATCTGAACCACTCAGCGAGCAAGCACACAAGCTCTGTCCAACGCTTGCACCGTGCTCATTCGCCTCGGAAGCGTTAAATGCGCTCGCTCGTTATTCACTAGCGGCTTTGACGCACTGGGGTATAATAGGCTCTATGTATTGACTGGATATTGAAGGTGCACAGAGTAGAAGCTCGGGCGTCCCGGACGGCTGGCTGCCCCAATGCGACCCCGCTCGCATCGGAGTGCCGCATCAAACTTGCTTTGAGCACGAGTCCTTGACAGAGCCGCATGACCGGCTTCGAATGTTCAGATGAACGCTGCGTAAGATACATCACCTTCCCCTCATTCAAATATCTCACTTCTCACCAAACCTGACCTTCCCGAACTCGACCAATTTTTGTTATTACTCTATCTCTCGCGCAGAAATATTATCGTCACTTGAAGGTACACCTAAGCAGAATCAGAAATTACGACATTTCAGCTGGTTCGAGCCAAAATGTCCCTCAACTTAACATCTCCTTTCTCCCCGCTGCCGAGTTACGCTCTTGGCACGGGCTTGACTTTCATCGGCCTTCTCGGGTTCGTCCGCCCATTCGCCATCTACGACGCCTTTGGCATCGCTCGACCACTCTCCGCCGAGCCTGAGGCTTTTAGCTACGCGAAGTCCGCCCGTGACTTGGCAACGGGTGCTTTGTTTATCCTCCTAGAGACATACCAAGAGGGGAGCGGGAACGAGGACGCCGTCACTGCGTTGTTTGCGGTGACAGCGTGTGTGGGTATCGCGGACTGGTTGATCGTCAAGAAAATGGGTGGAGAAGGGGGACGAGGGGACAGGAAGAAAGGATTAGTGCATTTAGGGAGCGGAGTTGTGTTGGGTGCTTTTGCTGTTTGGAGGTTTATGTACTAGGAATGGTTGCTGAGTCAATGTACTTGTCCCCGAAGATGGTTTTCTAGAACGAATTTTTTTGATGGGGAAGAGCAAGTTGATTTTACTGAATAGTTGCTAGGAAGGAGAAGACGAGACATGACAGAATAATCGACCTAACGATGGCCCATGATGGACGAAGCCGTCATAACACTGGAATGGGAGTCCTGGTCGTATCTGTAAACTACCATAGTGAGCTTAAGAAAGTCTACTGGCAAATATATGGATTGCGATATCTCTCATGGAGTTGGCTTTTGTGCCCACTTGTCATCAGTTCGCGGTATTCCAGGCTCTTCCGTAAACATGATAAGCATGTTCTTTTCCTCTGAGCCAATGGACATTCACCTGTTCACATATACTCTCGTACGTCAAGATCCAACACTATTTTTACCGACTTGGCTCAAAGGATCAACCTGAAAACCCGCCAATTAATGTTCAGCCAGTATTGAGCTGGAAGTGGATGGCAGATCGCTAGTAAATACAGTTCAATAGCCAATAGCAAGTACAAGATTTTGCTCTTTACCGTTTGGATAAACCCGCATTTTGCATTTAGCTTCACCTTCCATGTTGACGCAAATAAATCTCAGGGCTTTGAGGTATTTGAATGGTCGATTAAGATGACGCTGACGCTGACGCTTATCTTTCAAGAGGCAAGATCGGCTTGTCACAAGTTCGTCTCTGGAAGCCCTGGCAACGAAGAAACGGAATGCGCGACAAGGAAAAATCAATGTAAAATGGTGTGAGGAGAAAGAGTAAGAAAAGCTAGGGTCTCTGTAAATGAATAATTAACAATAATCACAGAACAAACTATTTGTGAAATGCTTCGCAACCAGTTGTTCTTAGCATGCTAATCCCTTAACAAAGGGTGTGGAGTTTGCTTTGCACAGGTCAAGGACAGCGGCATTGTATGAACATAGTTTGCATTGTCTCGTGAGGAATATCAACATGGTTGACTTGCAATACTGTGAGTCTATATAACTGCCGCAATCCTCATGCTATTGTCCTCTGCATCCAAACACAAACAATCAACCAACCGATAACAACTGAACCACAACTTATAGTCTCTTACACTTTGATAACTCATCAAGCTATCTGACTTAGGATATTCACGCCATACCTCAGCAAGAAAACCTGCACGTAATCGATTTTGACCTCAACATATTTTTTTCGAGTAACAAACACTGCTTAATTCAATACATTTCCCGCTGCAACGAAGATGGCTCCTGAAAAGAATGACCGCCCGTGCGCTCGGTGCCACTCAATGAAGACCCGAGCTATTTCCAGAGGGGAAGATGGTAGCTCGAACAATTCTCATGTCTTAACTCCCAAGCCTCAGAACTCCAATAAAACTCGGAAGCGTAGCATATCAGTTTCCGAAGAGCCAGAGGCCTCATCGTCTGACAGGCGACCCGGAAAGCAGCCAAAAATCGAAGAGCGGGGTGCCTCAACTTCCATAAACATCGAGGATGATAACAACAAGACCAGGAGTCCCCCGAAATCTGGGGGAAATCAAGTTGCGGTAATGCTCCTATCGAAGAGTCCTCGCCAACTTTGCATGTGCGCTGCGATGGGTTCTGGCCTGCGATTCGCGACAATTACTTGAGCTCACTGGAAGACAAAACCATCAGAATTGACATTCCCTGTGTCATCTGCGGAGACGAATGCTTCGTGGTGGGACAAACGCACTGGAGACTGCAGAGGCCGGAAGGGACATGGACGGAAATGCCCATGATTCTTCGTTGCGGGCACGTAGTAGGCGATGAATGCCTGGATAAATGGATCGAGGCCAAACAAGCAGAAGAAGAGCCGCTAAGCTGTCCTATATGCAGGAGGTCTTTGCATTGTTCCGACTGCGGGTCTTCATTGACAGGCTGGTGTCTCACGATGGATATCCCAGCGGCGAAAACCAAGACTATTCATGAGGGGGGCCACCAAGTTGCACGTTGCAACACTTGTGAGGCAGATAACCTTTTTGGACAAGCGATCAGGGCGGAAGATGATGCCGAACAACATCACGACGAGTCTCAGCCTCTACTGGATTGGTTTCACATGATGAGGAGCCATGTTGGAGCAGAAGTGCGGACGGGTCGGTATAAGAACGTTGCACCAGGGGATATTCCCGATCTTGTTTTAGGCAACGTCTTTTCAGTAATGAAGCAGGCCTTGGAAGACCTTGAATCCTCCGTACGTGAAAATACGGAACATGCGCTGGAAAGAATCGAACGCGAGCTGGACTACATCTTGCCATGGAATCATCCTGATCCTTTAGATTCAGGTTCAGAATATAGCGAGAATAAGGAGTTTTTTTGGTCAGAAGATAGCTTTTAATTACTGCTTTTTGGATAGTCTACACTTTCCTACCCATGACTTGAATTTCACTGGCGAAAGGTCTTGAAATATTAATGGCAGACGTGATGATACCGGACATATTTCTAGGGGGATTACATGTAACGCATTCGAGAAAGATCTAACCGTTGGTAGTGTCACGCTCTCCATCTGCGCCGGTAGTACAATTAATCTTCAAGAGGCTCTTGTCAACATTCTTGCATTCCCACACAGGCGACTTTCCACTTGGAACAGTTACAGTGACGTTTTCAGCTCGGATGTTGCTGCAACGCTATCGGATTGAACGTGGAACTGTTAGCAGCCTCCCTCTAAGGTCTTTCGGTATGAAGAAGAGACTTACGTCTGGAGCACTACAAACTAGCGTACCGGCCTGAGGATCGAGCTTCTTGGAGGTTGTTCCGTAGATATTCTTGAGTGTAATATCAGAGATGGTTAAGTTGGCCTGCGTGCAATGTAGTCAGCGATAGTGTTTCGTTTCTCGAGTGGTCGCGATCTCTTGCGGAATATCATTACCGGGAATTCCTCGCAGAGAGTCTGGTTCTTCTGCCCGTAGCACTGCGTAATGGTGATGGCGCGGTCATTGTTGATGTTGTTGAAAGTGTCGTACGTGACATTCCTGACGCGGCCGAGACCACCTCCGCCGTTCAAGAGAGTCTGGAAAGCCGTCTCAATGCCAGGCCAGACTTTGATGCGTGCGGCATCACTTGCGTCTGCCATGGTGGTGTTGTAGATGTAAAGGTTCTCCACGATATCGGTCTCGCCCTTGTACTGACCCAGTGAACCAACACTCATGCCGTGGGAGCCAGTGCAGTCTAAGTTCTGGACGACAATGTTGGTGCTGTTTGGTTTGAATGAGACACAATCTGAGGAACGAACAGATCAGTATTTGCCCTCCCCATGCCCTGATTATGGAAGCGATGAAGTGGATAGACCTCCGTGATATGGTTGCCCTTGTAAACGAAGGATGATTTACCGTCCGTGTTGATAATGTATGAGTTTTGTATGACAACCCGATCAGAGCGATAAGTGTCCCAACCGTCTGAGTTGGCAATTTTGACGCCATTCTCACTCTATTGAGATATGATTAGAGAAGCTATTGCACTATCTTCGAGACCCATGTTGACTTACAATCGCCCGAAGATCCATATCGCTGATTATCACATCTGTACTGTTCGCGATCAAGTTGAACCACTGCAATCGTAAGCCATGTACTACATCCTGTTGAACAATAAGACTCACATTAGGCGGATTACGCATGCGGAGGTGGGACATGGTCGCTCCGTTGACGCCATCGAAGGAGAACAACATCGGTCTCAAGAGCTGATATCCGTGTTAGACAGCTGTCAGTGAAGGTCATCCAAACCCACTTACACTCTTGTTGGTTTCAATTTCCACCCAGTAGGCTTGGCCACGGCCGTCAATGACAGACTTGTCGTTGCCAAGATCACCATATATGTTGACATCCTCGCCACCGAGCTTCCAAAATACTGATTGATTCTGAAAAGCAAACTTGAAGCTGTTCTCGGCCCAGTAGTAAGGGTCATCGTTGAAGTGGACCTCGCCGGTGATGACAACGTCAATGTGCTTCAAGAAGGTCAAGTCCAGCGGGGAGCTGATGAGATACTTCTTGTCCAACACTACAGTGCCACCGTTGTTACACTCCGTGAATGCTCTGAGAATCTTGGGCGCGTCGTCTTTACCCTCGGTGCAACTCGGCTTGACGTAGCAATATCGACCTTCATCTCGAGGAGGCGAGTATGGCATGGCCTTTCCGGAATTGAAGGGGGCTGGCTCGACGATTGGCCGCTTAGGGATGTCACTCTGGGCTGCAGCGGTTGGCAAAAAGCCAATGGCCGCAGCCAAGAAGCCAAAGGAGGTGATCTGCATGGTTGGCAAGTCTTGAACACACGTTGGGAAGGGAATGCCAAGTTCGGGCTACTCGATGAGTACCATTTCCAATCATTAGTTGTGAAATGTCGTGCTTCAAATACCCGCGTTCCGGAAAGCACCAGAACCCAACTAAGTTGAATGAGATGTTACTGGCGTGTAAACAGACTATCATCGCCTATGACCTGAAGCAACAATACGTGGAAGATTTGTGGGGTCCGCGTAATGCTGCTCGGCCGGTCGGTGCAAGAATTCGCGGACAGGGGTACAGATCAGTATGCTTAATCTTCCTTAAATGGCGATCTCCTCCCGTTTGGCGGCAGCTTATATCCCTGCGACCAAATCTTGGACATGCGCCTCCTGCATGTCTTTCCCAGTTCCACGCGGGGTAATACGTTGAACAAGAAATGCGGAGAAGGGCCCATGGATATGTGATCCGTGAAGGAGTGGGTGTTATCCGCTTCGGTGTTCCGATCTTGGTACCATTCCGTCCACAAGTGGAAAGACTCTTCCAGCCTCTCGGTTCCGGGGCATCATGCCATCTTGCGGTTCGCTCGGAGCGACATCTTGGCCCGTACGCCCTTGCTCTTCAAATCAGCAACTGCGACGAAAAAGTCGTGTTTACAGATGATATCGTCGAGAGTGGTTTCGAACATTTCCCACTCGAAGCGCCTGATGATGGTAGCCAATGCAAGATACATTTCTGCGTAGGCCAAGCTGAAGCTGCGTTAACGATATCTAGAAACTTGGGCGGAGACTTTCTTACTTCATGCCAAGGCATTGTCGGCTGCCTTTGCCGAAAGATACGAGATATCTATCAAGCCGTTTGCCTTGTGCCTCCGCCTCGATCCAACGTTCCGGTCGGAATATTTGGGGTTCAGGAAAAGCAGACGGGTGCATCAGGACGAAGTATGGAGTCTGGGAAACCGGCGTCTAAGCTTGAGTCAGCACCTATCACTCACATGACACTTTGTCGGTCAAGTACCCACCCCAGCAGGTATTCTATGCCCATTGTACTTGATGTCATAGTGGAAAATCCGGGGCAAGCGAGTTGTGACTCCATATGAGAGTCTCAAGCCTTCTCGAATGACGGCAGACTGAAAGCACGGTAGGTCAGACGACAAGAACAGATTGGCAAGGTTTGCAGGGCGCGGATCCCGGACTGGAACCCACAAGATAGGGGAGCTTCTGCAGCTCGCTCCAGGGGGATATGTCGGCTGCGCTTGGCATGGCCGCATCCAGCTCCCCTTGAAGTCTTTCCAACGCGTCGGGGGCATGTTTGAGATAAAAGAGGATTCTCGTGAGCGTCTGCGCCGTTGTCTCTGAGCCTGCGCCTGTCAATATCTCAGCTTCGTCGCAGAGCCGCTGCAAAGTCTTCTCCTCTGGAGGCAAACCGCTGTCGCGTAAAGTATGGAAAACGGTTCTTGTGGAAGAGCCTTGCTTGGAGAGCTCGTCCGTTCGTTCCAAGATCGGTCTGACTTGCTCTTTAACGCCCACTTGCCAGCTGAGGAGGTGACCAACGGAGGGGTTCATCGTGGACACCAAAGAAAGCGGGAGCCGCTTCATGATCGGGAGCATCCATGGGAACTGCCGACCAATTGCGCCGCCTTCGAAAGCCCCTATAATTGTCTGCTTCCACAGGAGCTTAAAGTCCGGTTCGTCCAGATACTTGCGATCGTGAGCGAACGCGTAGTCGCATATGATGTCCATTGTCAACGCCATGAATGCCGCATCCAATCGTACAATTTCCCCTGTCTTGACAAGCTCCCTGAATCGCGCCGAGAGCTTCTCCACCTTTGACTCGATCAACGGCTCCAGCTGGACCACAGAACGCACAGAGAAGAAGGGGTTTAGGGCCCCGCGACGCAGCCGATGCAGGTCGTGCGGCACAGTTGAAAACGAGCTGCCGTCTGCACCTGCCAGGTTGGTCCACCAACGATACTTGTCTGACTTTTTATTGGATGAGTAAAGCTCGTCGTAAAATTCAGGGTCCATGATATGCAATTCATATGGGTTGATTCGGACAATGGGGCCTATGGTTACGAACCGTGTCAGTAAAAGTGAGACTAATTCCGCGACGTTCGACGGCCGGATGATGGCTTCCAAGGTGACCATGAGCGCGGGTTAGAGTCTGACCGTAATTCCGGTGCATCTCCTCGATGCGCCAGATAAAAGTTCCGCGCTTGAAGACATCCCAATAAAACTCGTTCCACAATGTCAGTGCCGCAAGTTTGGACCCTGGAAAACTAGCCAAAGGGCTGAAGTAGACTCTTTGGACGGCGACGGCAACGAGATAAAGCAGAGAGGCCGCTCCGAGTAGCAGCAAACCCGTGCTCCATTCCATGATTATAGGCATGAGTCTCGTCTCACTATCGTCCAGCTTCGAATGATCCTCCGACTCAAGCAATCATGCAGATGTGGTAGGCGCAGGAAGGGTGCCTATGGGTTTTGAGCATAGGGCGACCCCGTTACCCGGTTTATGGATGACAGACATCTCACAGAATTCCAGGCGATGCAAGGAGATTAAGCGGTGAGGGGTCATGTCGAATTATCTGTGTGGAAGCCAAAGGCCGCTATCGAGCCGCCTTTCCTATTTATTGTCAGAAACACCACTAGCAGGGTTCCGCATGGAGCACAACAAAACTCTAAGAGACGTTCCCGGCCGCTGGATTGGATGACACGTTGGTATTGCCGCCGAGGCGCTTCCATCAGACTGGGTTACTTGCTCACATCGAAGCGATATCTTCACTACAGAGGCAAATGAGAATGAGAAGCCCCAGAATCCTCCTACAGTCTCCACCGCTTTCGGCCGGTATCGTTCCGCTGACCCCCGGTATTGCCTGTCACCTCGTTCCCTGACGCCACATGGCGAGACCTTCTCTGCCCCTCTTGAAATTGGCAGAAAATCCCAACGATGACACCTCCTCAGGGTTCTTTGCCTTTCCTTCTCCAAGCAGACGCTCGTCGCTAGGATAAACCGCTGCTCAAGTCGTTTCGCCTCGGCGCGACAGGCCCGCTAGCTACGTGCAAAGAGTTGCCCTCATCATAGACGCTGTGGATCTAGCACTACATCCGGATTATCCACATGGCGTCGGCAGGCGAACCCGGGCAGGCTGCCGCTGACGCTGGGAGCTCTCCCAAGTCTACCAAGTCCGCAAAATCCCTCACCTCGGCACGTTCGCCGGTCCGCTCACCGTCCCGATCCGCACAGGCGTCGGAACACGGATCTCCTCCACTGGGAGCAGCTCTGGAAGAGGAGCATCCTCAACTAGAAGCTGATGTAGGCAATATTCGAATGGCGACATTACTAGTAGCAAAGGACTGACTCCACACTGTTGTGTAGCCCGACGTGGGCAGCGACACCGCTTCCAATTACGCCAGTGATGTCTCAGATACAGCGAGTGCAACATCTTCCATCTTCAACTACCAGTACGAAAATGGCCGCCGCTATCATGCATACCGCGCGGGACAATATCTTCTGCCCAACGATGATAAGGAGCAAGAGCGTTTGGATATGACCCACCATGTTTTCCTTTTGACGCTCAAAGGAGAACTATGCGTGACTCACTTGGAAACCCCACAGAACATCTTAGATCTTGGCACAGGCACAGGCATATGGGTACGTAATTTGCAGACTTCAATGTATGTACAATTGTTTTGACAAACATAAGGCCATCGAGATTGGAGATTTATTCCCCTCCGCTGAAGTTATTGGCACGGATTTGAGCCCGATTCAGCCCGACTGGTAAATCGGTTTACCCGTGCCCTCTTGCGTGTGCAAGGAATTGCCACTGATACAGTATCACAGGGTGCCCCCAAATGTTCACTTCGAAATTGATGATGCCACTATGGAATGGACGTTTCCGAAGAACCACTTCGACTTTATCCACGCTCGTACCCTCGCTGGCGCCATTCAAGATTGGCCAGCGCTCATTCACCAATGCTACGAACACTGCAAACCAGGTGGCAGCATTGAAATATCAGAGGGCAGAGCCAACTTCTTCTGCGATGATGACACTTTGAAAGAAGACACTGCAACATGGCAATGGCTTAGTGAGTTCAGAAGACTTAGCACTCCCCTAGGGTTTGACATTGCACCAGCGCTTCCCGACATGCTGAAAGCCGAGGGCTTCGAGCAAGTCAATTTGATACAGAGAGTCGTGCCAATGGGCACTTGGCCAAAAGACAAAGAGCACAAAGAGATCGGCCGATGGTTCCGGGTCCAATTCTTGGAAATGGCATTGGAAGCCTACACCTTGGCGCTTTTCACTCGTGCTGGGAACTGGAAAAACGAAGAGGTCCAAGTGCTCTTAGCTTTGGTGAGGGGAGAGTTGAAGTCTGAGAAGATTCATCTATACACCTACACGTGAGTTACAGACCTTTCTCTGAGGGAGTCACTAAGCTAACAAGAAGACAGTGCGTTTGTAACGGGTAGGAAACCATTGGCTTCATGACAAGCATGGATTCAAAAGGTCATCTTAGGTTACCCGTGTTGCGTACTACCAGAGATTACCGTTCACTCGTTTGCCTAGTCCACATGGTTGACGCCGATTAGTAAACCAATGATTCATAGGAATCTATATCTTTTCAATTTGTTGTCTTGTTCGGATGTCATTGTGTCATTGGGGGTACTTGTAATTACCATTGCCTCTGGGGAACACGAGTATTTCCCACAAATCACAAACGCTTCCTTCCAGATGGGCTGCGGCACGAACCCATAAATCTTGTTCACCACGGGTAATGGTGTAGTGTGTCTATAGTCAAATGAAACCGATCAAAAATTTACTCATTTTGTTCTGAAGCCACCTGCTATCTTTATTAATGGGTCATTTTTGCTATGTGAGTAACATATCTGTGGTACCCGCTATCATGCAGATATAGCGAGAGCAGCCGCTTCCAGGCTAGTGGGTGCTCATGAATTAGCCTACGAGCTCAAGTCAGTGGAGTGCTTCACCATGCAGGCAGCATCATCGGAAACGTTGGTTGGATGTTTATCCAACCGGGGGCAACGTCACCTATTGGTCGTTGATTGGGTGGTTTCGTACAGAAACTAACCCCTCACTACAAATTTGCGCTTCAAATTAGCATATTCATGGTGAATGATATCAGCCCCGAGCTTCATTAATTCATTTTCCTCAATTCGTTATGGCTGAAGCGGTAGGGTTGGTATCTAGCATTGCTGGGCTAATTACTATGGCTATGAAAGTCACCGAGCTCAGCTACAGCTACATATCCGACATCCGAACTGCACACAACACACAGAAACAGTATCTTCGCGAGATTTCTGCATTGACAGAAGTGCTCCTAAGAAGTGAGGAAGCGGCTCAGAGTCTCGAGCAGGAAGATTTCGGATTCGGCCGACCGACAAATCTATCTAAGAGCACCGTGACTGAGTGCGCTCAAGAGTTAGACGGGCTATGTTCCGAGCTAAGAAAGCCATCGCCAAGTATATTCTGGCCGATCAAAGAGAAGAGTTTGAGGAAACACATCGAAGACCTTCATCGGTTCCGGAGCATTTTCATGGACTTTCTGTCCGCACAAACTCTCGCCGTCGCAACTGCAACTCATCGAGACGTTGCACGTCTGAGCAATCACCAAAACCAAGAAGACCTTCTGGGATGGATCGGTGACCCCAAGGGAACATCTGGCTCGGTTCCAGACCCCCTACCAGGTACTGGAGAATGGTTCCTGAGGTCGGAAGCCTACAAGCAGTGGACTGCTGGAAGCGGACTTCCGCTTCATTGGTGTTATGGTCCTCCAGGGGTGGGAAAATCAATGCTCGCAGCTGTGGCTGTTCAAGACCTGAACGCTCGTTCTGAATCCATCTCTAATTTGCGTTACTTCTTCGATTTCGGAAATCGGAAAGAACAAACAAAAGAAGCAGTCTGGAAGGACCTTCTACGTCAGATCATTGCAGAAGGACACGAATCTACGCTTCAGGCGCTCATCAGTCTACGAAAGGAGTTGGGCCTCCATAGGCCTGCGTCTACCAAAGACTTGTCTGATGCGTTGAAGACTGTCTGCGCGGTTCGAGAATTTTATCTCGTTCTTGATGGTCCCGACGAGATGGAAAAAACAAAAGACCTGAAAATCATCTTAGCTCCTTTCATCAAAGCCAACTGCAGAGTTCTGATTACTAGTAGAGACTTACCGGAGATACGTTCCGCGCTAAGCCACGCATCGACGACGGAAATACAAGCCGACATAAGAGACTTGAGAGCCTATGTGATCTCTCGATTTGAAGAGAACGATTTTGATGAGCTGATTGGTAGACATCCAGACCTGGAGAAAGCCATTCTCGACAAATCCCAGGGAATGTGAGTCGCTCAATTGCCCAATGGACAGGCAGTGCTAAAACTGTCTACAGCTTTCTTCTTGTTCGACTTTTATTAGATCATCTAGTCGATCTCAGTACCGTCAAAGAAATGCGAAAGGCCTTGCAGGCTTACCCAACTCATCTCGACCAAGCGTTTGAATCGAGCCTAGAGAGGATCAACGCTCAGTCAAACTCACACAGAGCTCTAGCACATCGGGTAATGGGGTGGATAACCTCCGCTGAGAGAGAGCTGCAGATGTCAGAACTTACTCACGGCCTCGCTACCGAGGAAGGCGTTAGTATGATTGATGAAGAGAACCTGGTGTCACCGAGGACTATTCTGAAAGTATGCGGAGGACTTGTCGTTTCCCAGGGGACTACAGTGAGAATGGTGCACAGCACAGTTTACACTTGGCTGCGCAATCGCTATAATTCTCTTTATCATAAAGATCTCGCAAAATCGTGCTTGCGATACCTCACGATGGGTTCATTCGCAAGTGGAATCGTTCACACAGTGGAAGAGATGGATGCACGCATAAGCACATTCCCCTTCTTCTCATACGCTGCCCAACACTGGAGAAGACATCTCGACAGGGCAGAAGATACCGACGCTATCAAGTCCATCGACCGGCTACTCGATGACTCGAGATTTCGATCCGCTGCTTTCCAGGGCTCAAACTACAAGAACGGTCTCAAATGCCCCGTCGTCAGGACGGCGGCATTTGAGACTATGCCTAGTGGTCACTCGGCTTTACACCTTGCTTCATTTTGGAACTTGCCGACAAAGGTTGCGAAACTTCTGTTGAGTGTCGGAGGAGAAAACGCCACAGACACACAATTGTGGACTCCACTGCATTGGGCGTGTTTTGGTCAGAGTCATGAGGCTGTTGAGACTCTCGTTTCTCATAAGGTGAACACCAATGCGAAGGATTCGGTTGGATGGACTCCTCTTTTCTGGGCAGCTCTGAATGGCGACACGAGAACAGTCAAGCTTTTACTGCAAAATGGAGCGAGTCATACCGAGCACGATATTCACGGCTGGACAGCGTTGAGATGGGCAGTGTCAAGTCTGCAGGTGGATATTGTCCAAATCTTGCTCCAGCATCATAGCAAAAACCTGCCAAATTTCCGCAACGGAGGTTTGTCGGATTTAAAGCACCTTAGCTTTGATCAGGCACGCCGCTATTTCACTGTCAAAAACATCAAAAAGGATCTCATAGACGAATTGGAGATCAATTCAGCCGGGTCGAGTGAGTGCGGAAACGATTACGACGACCTCCTCGATGTCTTTCATGAGAAGTCTTTCGACATAAGAAATCTATGGAGTAGTGGGCGTTTTGATCCGCCGGTTGGAAACGCATGGAGAATCATGAACAAAGCAGAAAGATTTCAAGGTGTGGATTGTTACATCAAAAATAAATCTGTCCTGGAGGGCGAGACGGCAATATCTTGGAAATCAAGAATGCTGCAGTCAGCTATTAGGGATGGCAAGCTCCTCGCTGTGAGGCTTTTGCTAAGTGCCGGCGCGGACGTCAATCGGGCGGACAAGCAAACAGCCTTGCATACGGCAACATTCAGAAAGGACTTCCGATTCGCAGAGATTATTATCAAGCACGGAGCTGATATGGAAGCCCTCAACCTCCACAAGTTAACACCATTACAGCAGGCGGTTGCCAACGGCTTCGAAGAGACCTCCAGGCTTCTGCTCGAAAGGGGTGCAAACGTAAACGCTCAGTACGTGCGCACTTCGGATGAAAGGCCATCTAGACGGGAAGATACCAGTGCTGCATCTAAGACTCCTCTGATGCTCGCTTGTGGTCTATACGTAAGTAAGGACGACATAGATCTTCCAGTTCGAATGATTCGAATGCTTCTTGAATTCGGAGCCGACATCCACATCAAAGATACTGGAAAGGATGGGATGAATGCCCTTCACTATGCAGCTAGGTCAAGAAATCCGGGAATCTTAAAGCTCCTTTTCGACGCTGGTATCAACTCTGGAGAGTCTGACAACTTTGGAAGAACGGCAATACACCAGCTCGTCCTTGGTAGTGCCCAGCGCAACTTGAGGTTATCCTTTGACTCCGAGCGTAATTGTCTTCCTGGACAGGCCACAGAATGCCTGGATATCTTGATTCAGAATTGCGGTTCAGAGTGTCTGAGCAACAAAGCCGAATGGAAGCAACGTTACAAAGAGGGCTACAATTCTTGGAATTCAATGAATTCAAAACACACCCCGCTCTCACTCGCCGTAGTCTGCGAAGACTGGGAGATCTTCCAAGCACTCCACGATGCTGGGGCAAGCTTTGAGACCAACGTTCCGCTCGACCAATGCTTGGATGAACCATTCCTCCGATTACAATTGCCAGCGGTAGAGGTACTTGTTAAGAACGGTGCAAAATTTCCCTCCAGAAATGGATCGTCTGGATCGTCAGGCACGAGTTGTGGATGGATTGGCCAACTATATCTCTTTTCTCACGATCATGAGATAACATCTGGCGAGCTTGACCGGTTCAAAAAAATCTTGGAACTGCTTATTCCACGAGGTTTTGATATCAACGCTAATGACTGGGATGGGCTCACGCTTCTACACAAGGCTACTCAGAGAGGGGCACTTGAGCTCGTTGACTGTTTGTTGAATGTTGGCGCCAACCCCTACCACGAGAGCGGAGCGGGAGTAGACGCTTTCTTGGCTGCTTGTTTGAGGCAAGAGCTTGTCCTCTTGGAATATCTGCTTGGCCGTAGTGAGAATCACATCCTCTCGGCTCATTGGAGGCAGCATCTTGAAACGCCAGAAACTCCGGAACATGGTGGTCTTCTTGCTGCCATGAGCAAAGCTCTCAATTCTTCTGGTCAAATCAACAAAACGTATAAAGAAGGAACAATACTTTCTCAAGCTGCAAGTTTGGGTAATTTGGCCTTTGTCAAAGAGCTGCTGGTCTGTGGCGCGGACCCAAACATTGGCGATGAGAAGGGACGACTGCCAGTCCATTTTGCAGCTCAGAATGGCCACGCATCCGTCGTCGAGATCTTGATAGACTCGGGCGCTTGTATCGATATCCTAGGTGACTATCCATGGACCCCTCTCCACTTCGCAGCATATCAGGGACATGTGGGAGCTGTCGACGTACTGCTGTCAAAGGGTGCCAGCCCTGATGTGACTGATTACCAGGGATGGCGGCCACTGCATCTCGCAGCTTGGTATAGCCACACAGAAGCTGCCCGTCTACTATTGAAAGCTGGCGCGTCTGCAGGGCTGGCCACTTCGAGACTCACTGACAAATCCGGCGTCTTTGGTAACAGACCATCGGGATTAGACAGTGGGAAGGCCTGGACCGCAACACCTCTCCACCTCGCGGCTATGGCTGGCAATGCTGAGATTGCTCGGCTGATACTGCAAGAAAATGCGGACGTGAACGCAAGGACGGATTCTTTTGAAAAAGTGGGTGAAGATGGATACAATTATGTGCCATCGCCTGGAGGTGGTCCTACGGCTTTGCATATTGCTCTCAGCACAGGAAAACACTATGGTCGCATAGGGTGCGAGCTGGACAAGGGACGGTTGGAAATTGCTTCGATGTTGGTTCAACAGGGTGCAAGTGTTGAAGGTGTGGCAAACCACTTGCGGATCAATGACATTGCAAAGTTTGAGGAGTTTCCGGAGCTTTGGGATGAGCTAAGAGTAGGTATCACAGTCGAAGATCGTGACGGAAAATTGTCTGGCTGATTATTCAACATTGAGGCAGAGCCGAAGGTCACTTTGGTGCAAGAAGAGGCTTGAGAAAGTATAGTCAACAAGTCTGAATACATGGCTATTGAAATGATGTTTATGACGCTAGAAAAACCGTGCTCTGGCTAGGCGGGTATCAGGAATCAAGATGCTCATTACTTAATGCTCAAACTCCCTCACAATGCTTTGTTTCTTCATCCACAAATCCCGAGATCCCATCCAAAGTGTTATCTGTTTCTCAAAGCGTTGCTTCCACATTAATTAAATTCCGTCTAGCTTATTATACCCACCGCGTTTGCGATCAAGGTACTCTTGTTCGGTATCGATGAGGCGCTGGTGGCTGTGGTCGACGCGGTGGGCCGTTGTAGGTAGGATTCCAAGCTTTGTAGTGATTGACTTGAAAAGCCGGTGGCGGCGGCTGGGGCATAGGGAATGGCGGCTCGCGGTATCGCTGACGTCTTCCTGGATGCAGCGGCCTCACAGTAGGCGGTGTACTATTGGTTTCGGTAGATGAATCATCACCATACCAAGAGGTGTCATAAGGCATCGGTCTTCGTTGTGTCTTGTTTTGCGAGACGCAGAACCAGGCGATGAGAGCGATGGCCACGAATGCGACGATGCCTCCCAGAATAGCTCCAATCTGAACACTCGACAGTGAACCGCTAGATCGGTCTGGAGGTGGTGGAACTCCCGTTGAAGAGGCCACTGCGGGTGGTTCGGCTGGATCTCCATCGGAATATGACGTTGGAGGCCCACTGCCCAAGGTCACGTACGTGACAAAAGTAGTGCTGGGGCGATAGATAGTCTGAGTTATGACATGAAATCCTGTATCCTCCTGTCGGGCAGCAACGGGAAGAGGGGTTTCAAGGAGTAGCAGCGATATAGGAGTCGGAGAGGTAGACATTGCTGACAGAACCGCATCAGTTTGATTGGTAGGCTGGCGGTGGGCGAGGACGTGAAGAACTGTATCAAGGCAACTGTGAGCGTGTTGAAGCCCAAATGGCATGGATGAATGTCAGACATCGACAGCCACAAAATGGAAAGAAAGAATGTGCAAAACGTCTTAGTTTTATCAAAGAGGTAAGAAGCAGGCTGTGGTCTGCGGGACGACCTGCGTGCCATCTTACATTTACAGCTTGCCTGCCAAGGAACACCCAACATATACTTCACAACGCCAGTCAAAGGGCTACATAGTAACGGCAACGCCGCTCCCAGAAGGCACTCAGCAACGCAGGCAGCACAAGCCCCAGGCCGCATCGGACAAGACATCCAAGACGCGTCTAACCTTGTTTTCACACTTCTTTCCTAGCTCATGGATGCCGTACGGCCGCGCCTGACACCTCCGAAGACACGCAAAACAACTGCAGGCCATCGAAGGTGGCCAGTGAGAGCATGACAACATTGTGTCATGAACCTGCAAAATGTCCACATGATTCTACCAGTCAACTTTGCGACAGCTGGGCTCATGAGGCAGGATCCACCAATAGCACGAGTTGGTCGGGCTGAGGTGCAGGAGTCTTGGCCAACCGAGCCAATACATCCAAGTTGCGGACAACCCTCAGCAAGTACCGCGCAGTAAGACATTGTATACACACCAAAACGGGGGTCGGCCCGTCGTGTTGGATCCAGTGTCCGGCAAACCCCTGCCGGGTTGCTCATGTGGTGAACGCGGTGTATATCAACCGTGACGACGTCTTAGTTGATGGCCCTCCTTCGCATGTGCGAATCTGGCCCCCAACTGTTCTTGAAAACGCAGACACTAATGCGCTTGTTGCGTTGGCCGCTTCCTGTTATCTGTCATCACAGTCACCGAAAAACAGAATCAAGACCTGTCGGTCACAAAATGTTGGACAAATCCCGACGAAGTTTTTGCTACCTCAACGGATGACGCGATGCCGGCTACATCGCTACTATTTCCAGGTGTCGTCACGTACTTGATCGTGCTCGATCAATCCTTTGCACCCGTGAACCCAAAGCGTCAGTTTTTCCTTTCCCCCCCAAAGTTACGCCTAGCCTGGAAAAGATTACATGCCCCAAAAGTACACGAACGAAAAGAAAACAGATTATCAAGCCAAAGTGCCAGGAAGCTGCGCGTGCGCGGATTGCCGGAAAGTCCGCGATGGAAAATCATCGCTTGAGAGCGCAATTGCGTTCGATCAATGGGGCCAGGCGAGCGAACTTCAAACTTCTCTGACAGAGTATCAATGGCAACGTCTGGGTCGGTCGAGTCAGCGCTGTGTTCTTGTTTGTTCCAAGAGGAGAAGACAAACTAACTTATACTTCGATCGGACTTTATAAAGATTATGCGACGGCTCTCCCCGCGGTGAATTACTCCCGCTATGCCTTTCCTGCTGCCGCGCCGCCGGCAGCAGCCGGGCTGTTTTCGACGATGATACCGACGCCGGCACCGCCCTCTCCGTTTCCGAGCTGGATCTTGGGGCCCTTGGTGAGGGCAGCCTCGGCGTACGTCAAGGCGCGATCGAATCCGCTCTGTCGCTTCTCGACCTTCTTGTTGTCTCGGCCCGCAATGATGCCGCGTTGAGCAGCTCCCGCGGCGGCGGCGGCAGCGGCTGCTGCGCCCTCGCCAGCGGTGCCTCCTGTGGTCTTTCCAGCCTCTGCCTCTCCGGCCCCGAACGTGAGCGCACCATCACCGACCACCAACGCAGGGGAGTATGCGCCGAGGTTGATGTTCAGGGGTGCGGGGGCGGCGTTGATGCCCACGGCCAGAAGGGCCAGGGTCATGAGGGTGCCAGTGATCTGCATGGCTAAGGATTTTGAAAGTCTGAAAAGGATTGAAAAGATTGGATATCGTGTCGGCGCAGCCGGTAGTCTCTCCTCTGGAGGATTATTACGTCGTACTAGGTTGAAGTGGATAGTCCTGCTAGAAGAGAAACGAAGACGAAACAAACAGCACAGCTGAAGTCGAGAGTAAGGATAGACGGGAAGTAAGTAGAAGCACACGCGTCAACGAGTGGCAAGGCAGATTGGGAGGAGAGAGCGTAATGAATGAAATCCTCACGGAGTGCCAAGAGGAGGTTCAAATACTCGACGTGGAGAATCAAGGAGAGGCAAAACGTGGAGTTGTTTGTGAAGGATGGCGAGGAGGCATGCGTCGATACGGCAGCATTCATGGCTGCGACTGCGACGCTGTCATGCGTGTCAAGACCTGGCGGTGCCAAGGCCAAGCGGCTCTATCAAAAATAGAAGCTCATTGCAGCGGCGGAAGACACGAGATGATGGGCCTTTTGCGACGTTGCCATTGGACACTCGGGGCAAAAGGGACCAGGAGAGGGCAAAGAGCCGCCGTGCAGGGCCAGGGAGCCATGGGGTAATTTTGTGGTCTCTGGTGGTTGCGCGGGCTGGGTGGAGAACTGGAGATGTATGTCTGAGCGTAGGTGAAACGATGCAAGTCCCATGAGTGCCTTCGACGAGGTCTCCCCGAAACCATATAAGGGCTTGGCAAAGGACCTCAATGTGACCGATGCTTACAATGAAATTAGTTTCCCTGGACCGGATGTGCTGCATCCCTTCTCGGATCTCTACACCGTTGCGAGGTAAAGATAGATGAAGCCGATGTTTGACGTTGGAGCACGAGGGGTTAGCAACCGAGAATCCGATCTGCGACCTGCCACAGGCTAACGACTACAGACCGTTTTACGACTTGCAGCCCCAGGAGAAATATGCCGCTCAAGTGCGTTGCAAGATGCATCGCTTGTAAGCTCCTCGGGCTTGGCCAAGACCATCTAGGGGGCCAAGAGATAGGCGTTTCCCAATGCCAAATGATCCGGCCAGCGATCGGGCCACCAAGGTCGCATCAAGACTTCCAAGAGATCTCTCGCTGTCACTGATGGAAGTTATTTTTCTCTTGCTTCTTTCCGTAGCGTAGCATACGAGGGTACGCTGTCTCCATACCAAGAAGTGTTTCCCAGTCTTGGAGGCTGATTGGACCAGACGATGTTTCTTGAGGGCCCATATCGAAAACGTACGCACCTACCGACCCGGGCCGACGGAGTCAGTACACCCACATACCGACCAACATCCTTAAGATTCGTCTGTAGTTTACATAGGGCGAGAAGTTTGGCAATGGCGATCCGACATGACAGCTCTTGGTGAAGTTCAGTTTGGAAGACTGTTGCGCGGGCAGAAAAACACCCTCGCCGGCTTGTTTTGTGCGAACTGCAGGCCCATGTCGAATCTCACCCTATGGCGCATCGACTGGCCGCCGGTGAGAGGGAATGGTCGCTGATTCTGTCCGAATTGTTGGTTCAGAGTGATATCGAGGCGTTCCACAACCCTTCCTGGTAAGGGCGCATACGACCGGCGGAAACACATGGGAGGGGTGCCGCCCTAGCTCTGCGAACCTGAAACCACTCGCAACAAGGGATTTCTCTACAGGTGATTCCTGACCCTCGAGCGCCCATAGCTTGACATGGGTACGGATGGTCCTTGGCCAACCAGAGGCTCTGCTTCAAAGTCAGAGTCGTGCACCAGGTAATGACTAATGTTTTGCAGCCAAAGGATTCACGTGTTGCCACCATGATCGCATACGTCGACGCAATGAATCATGTAAGATAATGCACAAGATATTACTCGCAAAAGTGCGTCTTTCAACAAAACTTGTTTGGAGATGAGGATGCAAGTGTGGTTTCCTCAGTGTTGGTCTGCTACAAAGCCCCCTCAGACAATGGTACTGTTTGACAAGAATCGTTCTAGTCCTCTGAATGGGGCTTATTGGAACCCCAGGTCGTCTTGTGTTCGGGACTGTCTGAAAACTAGGCCAGGCCTTATCATAGATCGGTACTATAGACTAAGAGATGTATATCATGTCAACCCTTGCACTTGTAATAAAGCATTTGCCAATCACTAACTTGGGATTTTGTGGTCCGCCTGAACCTCCGTGACTACGCTGGCGTTGCACGGTAACTGAATCCAGTGTCTGCGGGGGGGTTAGCTGCCGCCAGTTTCATGACTGGTTTTCGAGCTTCATCCTTCGAACCGTCCAGCGCATGAAGGTCGCTGCTGACATGTTTCTTCTGACAGATTCCCGCTCCGAAATACTTGGCAATCCCATCACCACATGCACTCTCTTATTGCAGTCTTGTCATATTGCCAAGATTAAGACTCTCTAGCCAGTCGGTGTCCAGGGTGGTCGCTCAGACGACCTGACACATGGTACTTCTAATGACCGAGAACATCAAACAGTCGCTGTGTTCATCCAAAGGGCGATATTTTAGTACGTGAAGCCCGAGAAGACTTCAGTCTTTTTCGTCTACCCGTGTATCTTGCTACCTAACTTAACAATCTACTTTCCTTGCAAACCCCTAAAGGCCTTGTTACACGATACTTATTTCTTTACCCTGTACTTGGTTTCCTCAATTAACCTTTACTGCCGACATCCGTAAACCCCATGCTTCTAAAAACCAAGGCGTAAGTTCGATCTTCGGGTCTATTTCACTCGTCAGCGTTACTGGCAGATCCTTCTGCCCTTCAAAGCGCCTTCCATCTCAGCCTCTCAGCCTTGGCCAGGACGAGGGCGGGTGTAATCCCGCTTCTCGGCCCAGACCTGCGAGTAGTTGTTACAGTGGTCTGGCTGCAGCCACGTGTACTGCTTATGAATCTCGGCACTGTGGACGGTGTCTCTGAGCACGGCCAGGAATCGATCCAACTCAGGGACCCTGACATAATCGCTGTAATCCTTGGTGTCAGGCTTGTGATCGTTGGATGGGTTCCAGACCGACCGAGCCTTGGCGTCGTTGAGGATGTGTCGAACCATCTTCTTGGTATCTCTCTCAATTCGAAGGATGCGGCACTTGGAACAGCAACCAGGCAGTGAACCTCCTTCGGTAGTGGTACGCGGGAACCTCCTGAGTTCGCCCATATTGCTAGGCAAGCCCAGGCCAATCATGCCCGGGTTCTTGCAGCTCCCGGCGCAATCGATGTACTTGCCTACAGGCAGCGCGCAGTACGGACACTGTTTCTCGTTGGTTGCGATGCGGGTGATGCAGCCATCGCACATCATGTGACCGCAGCAGAGGATCATGCAACGGTGCTGGGTGCCGGCCTCCGCGGCGCTCATCGAAATCGCGCACCGGGGACAAGGAATGGTATAGTCTAGAAGGGCTGCGTCGGATGTGAACGTGGGTTTGATGTTGGGCCAGTAGGCCTCGATTTGGTCTCCACCATTGAGCCCGACGCTTCCTTGTGTGGCTTGCAAGCGTCCACTGGAGACCGGTATGCCTCCGTATCCAGTCGGCATATGTTGGCTGCTGGACACGCTACCGGCAACACTTTCGGCCATATTGTTTCTCCAGTGCGAACCGGCTTGGCTTCCGGCTACACTGCGACTTCCAGCCCTTGGGTCAATGTGGTTGGCTGGCTGGCCAGTCGCCCAAGTCGCGGTAGAGCCAGCGACGGAGCCCGCGACGGAGCCTGAACCTCCGCCCCTTTGAAACCCTCCGAAAGCATCCTGTCCGAGGCTGAGTTGCTGCTTGATATGGAGCTCTGCGAGTCTAATTCGCTCCATATTTTCAGCGCCGTACTTTTCCATGTTGGCTCTACGGAGTCTCTCGAGCGCAGGTGGTCCGTCACTGACAATGGTTGCGTCCGAACTGGTCTCGGAGGGTACTCGTGCTCCCCCCCGACAACTGTCACTGTTACGACTGCCGCTGCGACTGCCAATGCTCAAATTTCGGAGTGCGTCTAGGGTGAGTTTTTCCATGTTCTCTGGTCTGGTGGTTCCGCTTTTGGGTGATTTTTTGTATGTTGCTGCTGTTTTTTGCAATGGTGGCAAAGTCGGTGCTAACGAGCTGCGTTCTGGTACGTCTTGGGAATATAATCAAGTCAACCCGTGGAAGATGTTGCTTAAGTTAAGTATCATTCTAAGTGAATACCGAGTAGGCTCAGATGTCTTCTCCCTTTGACTCTTGAAATCTTTGTTCGCGCAGGCAAACTGCTTGCCTTCACGTGTTTCTCCTAGCACCATGCGTTAGCTGGTCAGAATGGAACTTTTGCTTTCAAGTTCGTTGGCTTCAAGCTGTTTGATCTAAAATTATGCCTGGATCTAGGTAGTCGTTGTCGTGGGCGAGTATTGTTCTATATGGTATTGAACTAGTCGAGAGTGCTGCCCTTGTCCAGCCAGTTGGTATTTCCATCAAGCTCCGCAACTCGTATTACCGCATAAATCGAGCTTCCTTTGTCGCAACTGGAAGGGTAGCCTGGTCCTACACGAATTCAAACCACGCAACTGGATACAAGCTCTTTGAAACTCACTGACCATCATTCATGGAGTAGCCTTTCATCATGTCAATTGGATTATCTTGCTTGAATTGTCATGTGGTTTTTTTTCGGGGGGGGGGGGGGGGGGGGGGTGGGGGGGGGTTTCTTTTTGGGTTGGTTTTTTTTTTTTTCCCTTATGATGCTATTTTTCGGGGCTTTCTCCATTGTGCCAAGACTCGGGGTGAGAACCGGCTGGGGTTGATTTCCTGATCCGGTTTCCAAGACATTCTCCTTTTGTCTTCTCTTCCCAACACCTTGTCTCCCTTGCCTTCGAGGCTCCAACGGTAGATGACGGACGATACCCAGCTTGCCAATTGTCTTGGTCTTCCAGTCAAGACTTTGTACATCCGACTTTGCCAGCCCAGCACTGCTACGCGTAAGCCTCGGCCTGGGTCGACAGGCGGCATAAATCCGAAATACTTGATTTAGGTTTCTTGCACCACAACCAAGCGACTAAGATCCCTCCCCACCTGTGGAACCTGCCGAGCCGCTGGCGCGGTGGCTCGAAGCGGGAATTATGTTATGAAAACTCAAAACCCAGGACGCCTGCCGTCATCGAAGATTCGTTTCAACTCAGCCCTACGGCATTCTGGGGACTGACGTCAACGTAGGGTTCCGAGAAGCCGAATGCATAGCGTGGAATGCTGCAAAATGCTTCTCTTGGCTCCTGTACACTTGTTGCCTTGCAACGCGTCACCATGTAGAAATGGCTTGGGGGATGAACACCTTTTAAGTAAAGTCGATTTCCTGTGCCTGTCAATCAACTGCGACCCTGCAACTTCTTACTTTATCGATACCCCCCCTACTGATACCCCAAACTGCTGATTGATCGATTGGATCACACTGAATTTCCACATCCCTGCCATCATTATCAAACAACAACAACCCTTTGCGAGGCGTCTCAATAAACATGCACAAGGTTCAGAAGTATCCCGCCCCAAACTCACCGGTGGTACGCATGATCGTGCTGGAAACGGACGAGCCTCACCCCGATACCCACGCAACCAAGGGTAGCTTCGGGGAGATTCTACACAGTCATTTCCAACATGCCGGCGCCGAGCACGATCCCCCATTGGGAATCGACACCGATCAGAGATTCGTAGTGGAAGACAAGGGAGGCACAGTCCCCACGTTTGAGGAGTTCGATAGCTACCAGGGCGTCTTGATCACTGGAAGCATGTACGATGCACACGGCGACAACCCCTGGATTCTCAAGCTTCTCGATGTTCTCAAAGGTATGTGAACACAAGTCAGTTTTGCTAAGCTTTGCTCGTGTCTGACACGAGGGAACCTCAGAACTATGGGAGCGTCGACCGGATCTCCATCTCAGCGGCGTGTGTTTTGGACACCAGCTCCTCAATCGGATGCTCGGCGCCGACGTTGCACCAGCTCCGTCACAAGACTGGGAACTCGGTCACTGCAGGATTGACCTCTCGCCGGTAGGCATGAAGCTTTTCCGCACAGATGACGACCACGTTTTCCTTCACCAGATGCACCAAGATCAAGTAGTCGCGCCGCCAACGCATGAGAGCTCACGAGGGCTCCTCAAGCCCGGCACGAAGGTGGATATCTGGGGTCACAGCGACCACACGAAAGTGCAAGGCATATATATTAAGGGACGGCTCTTTACGACTCAAGCCCATCTGGCTTTTGACCAACACATGGTCAGGAGGCAGATTCAAATGAGAGTCGATAGTGGAGGTATTCAGGATTTGGAGCACGCAGACCAAGCATCAGAAACGGCGCACCTGGATCATGATGGCGACATGGTGGCGGCTGCTATCTTGAGATTTTTCCACGGCGATGACGATGAAATCGAATGATTTCCTCACTGAAGAGTTTTTATCGATAGCCACCTTGGTGTCTCCGTCGTTTATGTCTGACTCTCTCACAGGGTGTAAAAATTCTCGGAAATTAACGCATTAGGCATGTTTTAGTCAATAGATATCATTAAGTCATAGTCATCTTGAAAGGTTGAGTCGAAAGCTTGAGTTCGGTGGCTCTTATTCACATCACCATACGAAAGGCTGAATAGGGGAACTAAGCGGAATAGACGCAATAGATTCTAAGCATACCATAAGCCTTCTCTATGCACAAGTTCTAGGGAAGGGCAATATGCAAATGTGATAGTTGTTGCTAGTTCAAGACTGAAGCGCATCGGGACTGTGTTCGTTAGCTGGCTGCTCATTCGTAGTGAAATTGAGCCTATTCAACTTCCTTTCGGCAGTGTATAATAGCATTTGACGGAATTACTTGGAACTAAGGTGTAGTTGCCCATGCTGTCATGACAATGTTGAACTGATAGTTTTAGCTTAGCGGAAACATATCAATCCTGTGAAGCTTGACTATGCCGTAATGCCAACCCCGTCTTTCCCAGTAAAGCCCCTCTCCCACTTCGTTAACTTGATGTTTTGATGTTTCCGTCGTTACAGCTTACTGGAACCAGTTCTGAGCTTGCTAGGGTCTGTCCAAAGCCTCCCTTGAACCTCTCCTTTGTCCTGAGCATTGAGTCCAGCTGGGATATCTTCGAAAGAAATCTCTCCTAGTTCTGGCTCAATCTCCATCTTTGATAGTAGTTCCAAGACGTTCTTCAAATCAGCTTCGTTGGCACCGAATGACCCAACCAACTAATGCTGCGTCCGACCAGGTCGGTGCTCGAGATTGTGACTTCCCCCGCCCCCAGTCCAACAACTACAACCTTGCCTCCTTCCTTGACACGCTCGAGGGCCGATCTCGTGGTCTCTTTGGCACCGACAAAATCAACCATAATGTCGAAAACATACTACCAGCCTCTTCCAAGTTCTTGTAACATCCGCGAGCACCGAGTCATTTAGCATACGTGAACTTGTAGTCCACAATGTCGATACCGTACACTGTGGCACCCTTGAGTGCTGCAAAACCAAGACCTTGCATCCCCAAACCGCCGATACCGATAATTCCAACCGTTTTTTCAGGGCACACGCCAGCTTCAATCATTACGGCATGATAAGCAGTGGCCATCGCGCCCGTCGCGACCGCAGCCCGAGAGAAGGGAACGCCATCAGGGATTCGAACTAGTCGACTCACTGGTGCTACTGCGTACTCAGCATACCCACCGTCGAACCCGAGTCCAATGGCCATCTCCCAACCCCGGTCTTCCAAGTCGAGTGGATGCGAGAGGAGCGACACGGCGACGCGATTGCTAGGGCGGTACCTAACCACGTTGGGGCCCACCGCAGTAATGATTCCTGATACTTCGTGACCCAGCGTGATGGGCTTCTTGACGAGCACGGCGTCGTACCCTTTGATGAGATGACAGTCCGAGTGGCACGATCCTGCTGCCTTCACGCGGATCTGCACCGAATCGGGGCCAGGCTCGGGTTATGGGATTCGACAAAGCTGTAGGCCTTCTTTGGGAGATTCGTACTGAAAAGCTTGCATATTGGCTAAAGTCGGGGGGCTGCTTTAAGATGTATTTGTTCCTAAGGTTTGGCTGCTATGGCTACTGGAATGAACGGCGTTTAGCTGACACTCTGTGTTTCTGGGATAGACTCCATTATCCTTGGCATGAAGGATGGAACGCGTGACTGTGATGACGATCGGTTACGCAGCTTCCCGGCATGTTTCCACGTGGCAGAGCCTGAAAAAAAGTAGCGTTGACGGACTTCGAGATTACAGTACCTCTTTAAGCCCGGAATGTTGTTACCATACAATTTTGTATGTACAGACGACAACGTAAATGACAACGAAACCATACACCTTCTCGGTGGAAAATAAGCTGGTCTCGTCTCAACCTTACGTAAAGTTCCGAGGCATACCCGTTGATATCTTAGATTGCCATGCGCCTAACGCCAAATAGAAGGCTTCGACTGTATGGTTGTTCAGATTCGGTTTTCAAAGCGCACAGCGCTTTTATGTCCCCGGAGACAGAGATCTAGGTATTCAGATCGAAAGTTATCCACCTCAGTTGCCAGGCTATTCTCGAATATCCACACTACTGTTCGGTCGGGGTTTGACTCATTAACAAGGGTAAATACTTTCAAATGGAGCTCCATGCCTGACGGCAACGGGCATTATGAGAAACCCGAGCTACCGTTTCAAGTTTCCCAAATTCTTACTTACCTGGAGAGACACAGGTTCATTGGCCATTTCCAACGTTACCACTCACAAGATTGTATTGGAGTAACTATTGGTGTATTCAAGACTGCTTCAAATTTCTCACTGTTAAATACTCTCAAAACAACCTACATGAACAACCCAGGTTCTCAGAGTTGGTGCTTGATTTGCTACCTAACTCCTGTTTCGCTAATAGGCGATCGAGAATACCCTCGAATATATAATTGTCCGTTGAATAATGTGAGATAGATGCTACTTCTGGCCCCTATATGTCTAGCGAGTTTTGCTTCTCATCATGTGTCAAGGACTTTGCGCAATCCCATGTCGGATAAAGATAAGACAAGTATAGACAGGTGTGTTTACAGAGGTAGACTTGATCTATGTATCAAAGCCTGGAGTCAGAAACGCCCCAAGCCTACGATCAATTAGCCACATCTCGATAATGCTACGTCACTTGGAAAGGCGAACTCACCCAATGATGATGTAACAAGCGCACATCAACGCTCCCTTCAGCCTACTCATCTTCAACACACTACTTGAATCGCTAAGGAAAAAGAAGTTGACTAGCACGGCCGCTCCGACTAATGCAGCCGCATCGAATAAGTTGAAACTAAGAGATAGCTCTCGTCTCATGATCCACGCTGCGATGATGGTCAATGGAGCCACGCACAGCGCGATCTGGACAGACGAGCCAACGGCAACTGCGATTGCGAGATCTAGTTTCTCTTTGTGTGCCACCGTGACAACGGTGACAAGCTCGGCCACGTTTCCAACAATGGGGAGTATGATCAGGCCGATAAAGGACTCGGATAGATGGCCTTGATGCGTAACCTCATCGATTGTGCCGACAAGAAACTCGGCACACATCGACATCAAGGCCGAACTGATCATCAACACCAAGACAGATAGCGCCTTCTCGCTATTTGATCTCCGAACAATTGAGCGCTCCTGATCCGTATTACCGACGCCTGTTCCACTACTGCGTGGGATTCGTAAATATGTTAGGTCAGATATCGAGAGACTTTGAGAATCAATGCTTATGTTGGAGGGATATCGGCTCCTGCGACCTTGCGTAGAAGAGGTGACTGGTTGAGAAAAGGAGTGATTGCACAAACACACCACGTCATCGCAAGAACTCGACCGACTGCTACAGTTTCCTGACATCTGAGCTTTACGACCACGCATTACTTCCGAGGTTGCATCATCAGAGGTGAAACTAGAGATAGAAGCGTCGATGTTCCTTAGCTCAATATGGGACTCTTCATCGCCAGTCGCAGTTTTATTTTGTTTTCGATTACCTTGATCTACAAATTGAATTGTGCGTGATGGAAGAACCGGGGAGTCGAGCGAGTTGGTTCGTGGGCGAGTTGAAGGGTAGATCTCGACATCAGCCGCCTGCGACAGAATAGGGCTATATGGACTCGGCGGAGTGTGAACCCGTAGCTTATAAATAAAATAGAGCGTGTAGATAACCAAAACAACAAGAGCTGATGCTCGACTCATTCGTAGTTTCGCGGCATCTGCCCCTGTAGTCTCGTCCAATGTGGAATTGAAGGCAGCCTTGGATCAGTGAGCTTGAACCCTGGGCTATGAAGAGAATGAATCGTGCTCACTGGTATCAGAAGCACGAACACTGAGACAAGTAGGAGACAGCTTAAAAGTTGCGTCTCGACAGCATTTAATACCGGGTCTTCGTGGGTTACACCGTTGACGCAGAGAGCGGCGCCAAGAATTGGGAGCAGGTTGACGAGCATCGAGCCGAGAATGGACGCCTGAACAACGTGAACCTGCTTGTGTTTGAGCGCAACACTGAGTCCGTCAGCACATCTCGTTCCTACTAGGCGATTTACGCTCGTACATGCTTCGAGCGAATGAGGTTAGCAAGTGCGCTGAGTTCCGAAGGCATAGGGTTGTGACTTACAATAGGATAAGCTCTACCAGATTCCCCAGTGTAATGTTCAGTAGTGCTCCAACCGTGTCTCCAGCATCCTCAGCAATCATCTCGGTAGCTGCGGTGAGTAACGATGACAGCGGCACAATAGCAATGCCATTCGTTATGAAGACAACTAGAGGTGCCTTGTCTGATAAAAAGGCCCATAGGCCAACTGGTACGAAGACAAGGAGGCCGTTCAGCCAAGAGAACATGTTTGCTCGAATGGCTATCTGAGGCTATAATCACGATGAAATAGCATGTTGTGATAAAGATTAGTTTTCGCTGATCAAGGGGTGCTTGCGAGTACATTGGCTTCAGAACCGGCAGCGCCGGAGAAGCTCAGATATCTTCTGTTCCCGAACATCCGAGAGGAGAAGCGTTAACATTATGCAAGGACGATTTTCCATCTATAATAATGTGCAGAAAAAATATGGGATGAAACATTGATAACCGCTGGACTTCCTGTGAGTGTCATCCCAAAAGGTTTTCTGTATTGACATCGCTAGCGCAAGCGTATGCGTCATGAGCTCATGACTGTCACCAGGCGCAACTCTGCAGACAGACTGCGCACTTCTCAACAAGTCTTCCTATAATTATTTCTTATCCGTGCTCGTTTACCATGGCTTAAAAGCGTTGCGTTGATTTTATATGCTGCTTCCAAGGATGAATTTGCAATAGCGCTAGATAGCGGTCCCAGGAGGAACCAAAAGACGATCGAGATGCACTGCGCCTTTATGAGAGGTGTTTCCAGCAGAAGGCCTCGTTGAAAGCAGTTTCCGCCCAGAAATCTGCAAATGCCTTGAGATCCCATGTGGAAACGCTGTTGAATCCTCTCATGTTATGCCTTGCTGACTTCCGATTGGGATTCGTATTACTATGTTTTGCTTGGAGTGGACCTTAGTGAACCTTCACGCCTCCGATGGTCTAACTGTTCTGGTGTATGCGCCTGCGCCCGGTCGAACTTGGGCTGTTGGGGCCTATGAGTCTCCGGTAATTACCTGATCTTCCTGGTCGGCGTTGACAAAAAGAATACAAAAGCTGCAGCCCGTTCCTGTTCATTCTTTGCGTTAGCAAGAAAAGAAAGTTAAAGTAAAACGGGCCGCTGGAAATGTAGATCATGCCTGTTGATCGACGGAAAGGCTGGTTTCTGCTGCCACCAAAATTGCGGAGCAGGTACCGAGCTCGCTGTTGGCCTGCTGCTAATTAATTATGCTTCACCAGACCTCTTTACCCTTGCGGCACACGCTTAGCGAAGGTGTTGCAGTTACCTATCACATCTAGTAGCAAGATGCCAGTGTTCGCTCGTTTTGCAGATGATGCAGCATCCCGAATGTAGCCTACTTTCCATCCAATAACTACTCACTAGACCTACTAGGTTTGCGACCCGTTCCTGGGTTGTTGCATCAGTGCTGCGTTGCATGCTTTGTTTGATGTTGTTGTCCACATCACGCCTCATGTAATCGCGCCCCTGGTACATAGCATCCACCCCCAACCACACTCCGCGCAACGGCGATGTTTGCTATGCATAAGATCACTCACTATCGAAGACAGCTGTCATTGATTCAAGCCAACAATCAGGATATCGCTGAAACTGGGGTAGACAAGCGGTGTGTCAGCGGCTGAGTCCAGAACCCCGCGCGCGCAGGGATACACGCCCAATGACAAAGCTCAAGGGTGAACTGAGCCAAGCAAACTTGTACGACATTCGGTGCATCTCCGCAGTCTAACAAGTGACGTCAACCCACTTTCCATGTCCACCTGCCAAGGAACACGAACAACAAGCCACCACGAAGTCTGGGCATCAAAAGCGCGCACCTGTCGTCTCCCTTTGCAGATATTGGGCTCCAGCTTTACACCGTAGTCTTCGCGAGTTCCCTGATAGATCTCCACCTCTGCAGTAAACCGGCCCCACTGTCGTGGTACCTTGACTGATATATCAACATTATCCTTTGAAGTTCTTCGTCTTTTCAAGGCCTTACTGCACCTTACTTCATCCCCCATTTTTACTACCAAAGCACTTTCAATCAACATGGCATCACTCGTCGACAAACTGACCGCCTCTGGAGGCACCGAATCCGCAGGTAAGAGGGCATCAGACCCATAGTCAAGGGCACTCGAGATGCGAGACGTGATCTGACGAACGTACAGGATTCCTCAACGACATCATCGAACAATTATGGCCCAACATCAACGTTGCTGGGTGCAAGATGGTGAAGGACATCGTCGAACCTATGTTTGCCACCATGCTCCCAGGTCCTCTCTCTTCCCTCAAGTTTGTCAAACTTGACCTTGGTCCTGTTCCCATGCGTGTCTCCGAGGTGGATGTTCACAAGGCCGACAACGGCGGCATCAAGCTCGACATGGACGTAATCTGGGAGGGAAAGAGTGACATTGAGCTCGATGGGAAAATGGTTCCAAAAATGGTGAGCTCATCACCACAAGCACATGGACTCACTTATACATGACTCAGGCGTCGCTAATCTGTATTATAGGGCATCGAACACGTTCATCTGAAGGGCAGACTCTCAATCTTGCTCGCACCCTTGACCAATGTCATTCCTCTGGTATGAATCACTTCCTGAATGCATTGTCGGGCATCACAGACTTACAACTTGCCAGATTGGAGCTGCACAAGTTGCCTTTATCAATCCTCCTGAGCTCAAGCTCGATTTCACCAACGCAGCCAATATCGCTGATTGGGCCTTGGTTGACAAGGCCGTCCGAAAAGTCATTCTTAACATTATCTCCTCTATGGCGGTTCTTCCCAACCGCTATCTTGTTAAGCTCGACAACAACAACGACTACTTCAAGACCTACCTTCCCCACCTTGGTGCTCTGCGACTGACTGTCGAAAGGGCAGTTGGTATCAGCGGTCCCAAGAAGAGTGGCGCTAAGAGGTTGTTGGCCAAGATTGTGAAGGATATACCCGACTGCTACTGCAAGGTCAATGTTGGCGCTGAGGATGAATGGCGTACGACAGTTAAGAAGAACGCTCATGATCCAGAATGGAACGAGACGCACGACTTCCTTGTCGCAGACCACGACCAGCAGATCTTCATTGACATTCAGGACGATGATCTAGGAGGCGATGACGATATCGGCATCGCCTCTACCACTGTGAGAGATGTTCTGCTCAATGGCGGTTCTCAGCAGTTGGATCTTACTCATAAGGGAGAGCCCACCGACGCCAAGGTTCTCGTCCACGCCAAGTTCTTCAACTTTGTAGATGACGCCGGTGCCATTACATCCACGCAGAGCCAGAGCGAGGGACAGATCGTCGGTCTCGCCACAGTTCTCATCGCTAGCGCTCTTGGACTCCAGGGCCAGCGTGACGAGCTGAACCCCAGCATCAAGGTGACGTGGGGCGCAAAAGAGTTCCGCACCGCGGCCAAATCCTATACCCCTGGAACTGACATCTTCAACCCGTCCTTTGACCAGGCTTTCCGCATTCCCGTGACGGCAGACTTGATCGCCAACCCAGCAAACTTTAAGATTTCTCTTCTGAACAAAACCAACGAGACCGGTTCTGTCGAGATCCCCTTCGAAGACGTGCTGCGGGCTCCTGGCCTGGTTAGAGAGGAGAGTTTCGACGTTGGCTCTGGTGCTACGGTTAGAGCCAGCATCTCTCTTCGCGGTTTGCAATCAGCTCATTGAGCAACCTGGTCGCGCCGACCATCGTTAGATTTGGTGTCTTTATGTAACATTATACGAGTATATACGATTAAATGAGACTTGTCAATTATTCGAGCAATCTGCGGGTCTTGTATGCCAAACAGCAAAGACAGTGCTACGTTCTGAATATGAAGTGGTACTTATTGATGTTCGAATACAGTAAATCCCTCATCCTGCCACGGAAAATGCCTCCCATCTTTCTACGATGTCGACTTCCGTTTTCACAACGTAACACCTTAAACGTCTGTGATATTTCATTGGCTAGGATCAATGTGTGGCACCACGTCAGCGTTTGTGATTGCGGCTGAGGTATTAATTAAACATTGCCCGCATGTAGACTCCCCTGTTGTGGAGCTGTCACTGTTCCACCCTTACACGACAGCTATCTTGACATTGACTATATCAACAATCCAGGGTCAAAGGCCCCTCGGCCGATCTCATCGAAATGGCCGACCAAGAGCATTTTCAAAACGCAAACGCCTTGCACGTGCAGTATCGAGACCTGGATCCGAGTAAGGCAGAGATTCGTCTGGTTGAGTTAGACCCTTTCAGAGCAGCGGAATTTACTTCGGACTCTGGACATCAACCAGTAGTGCGATGCCGCTTGAAACATCACAGCCTCAGAGAATGGCCTTGCCACTACACAGCGCTGTCGTATGTTTGGGGAGACCCTAATGTAACGAGCCCTATCTACTTGGATGGTCTAGAAATCCAGGTCACCAAGAACCTGGAGTCGGCCTTAAGACACCTAGCAATCGAGCAATGGAACGATACTGATTCGAGACCAACGCTCTGGGTTGACGCCATCTGCATCGACCAACGGAATCAGGTAGAGAGAACACAACAAGTCTCTCTAATGAAGGATATCTTCCGGAATGCATACCAGACACTCTTGTGGCTGGGCCCTGCAACCGGAGACAGTGACCTAGCCATTGATACCCTGCGCCAGATGAGCCTAGCAGCGAACTTCCCCGGTCAGCACTTCAATTCGTGGTCCAAATTCCCCTTCACCGATATCACATCTGACCCTCCGATGGCTACCATTCGAAGCATTCTCGACAAGGCCCTCGCCGAACTATGTCTGGATGATTTTGCCAGGTTGAAAGCAATAAGCTCTTTATTCGACCGGCCATGGTTTCGTCGGGTCTGGGTGATTCAGGAGCGAGTCTTGTCACTGAACTGCGTTGTCTGCTGCGGCCGGGAGTGGGTTACGTGGGAAAAGTTCCGTGAAGGATTCTGGCTGCTTTGTGGCATACGCGATAATCTCAATATTGTCGGCAGTGACACGGGGAGGCAGGACAGCTCGGCGCTGGCGACTTTCCTCACGACAGGTCTCAACAAAGTAATACCTGTGTCTTTCACCCGGTCCAACTCTTCCCTATTGGTTCTCTTTTCTCTACTTTCCGGTATGGCAGCCAAAGCCCAACTTCAAGCCTCAGATCGCCGCGACTATGTGTTTGCATTATTGAGCTTGATCGACCTGAATCGAAGCCCGTTGATCCTCGCCGATTATACCAAAGACTGGAACGCTGTCCGGATGGAAGTCGCCAAAGCATGCTTGATTTACTACGGACCAGGGTTCCTGTCTTTTGCAGGTCTCAGTCAATCTACGGAAGACTCCGCTTCGCTTGGACAGAACGTCCCATCTTGGGCACCGGACTGGTCATCGGCATATTTACCTCAGCCTTTAAACATCCCTTCCATGTTTGTAGTCAGAGGCAAAAACAGAGAGCGCGCCTACTCAACGTTGCTGGGTTTCACTCAGAACCTCTCACAGGCCTTTTCCGACGATAATCGACTGTTGTTGGACGCTTTCCAAGTCGGCGATGTCTCAGAGCTTGGCGACCCATTCCCCGAGGCAGATGACCTTGCCGACGATACAGCTCGTGTTGCTTCTCTCAGACTCTGGCTTCAAGGTCTCGAGGCCATGATGCCATGCACTAATCGAGTTTACTGTACTACAGAGGAGGTGAACGAGGCCCTGTGGAGGACCCCCATAGCAGATCGGGCGTTTGCCTACAACTGGGAGACCGAGAGAGCTTCATATGAGACACTCTCGGCATATCGTGCGCTGAAGGCTGGCGAGGTTTCCGAGGGTGTGAAATATGCAAACATTGCCAGCATCAAACTCCTTCGGAGACGCCCGTTTGTGAGCGCGAACGGTTTGATCGGGCTCGGGCCTACAGGGATGTCCATTGGGGACTCTGTATGGGCTGTACCTGGTGCTGACGTGCCATTTGTTTTCCGCTCAGCTGGTGCCAGTAGCTTCTCAGTTGTCGGTGAAGCCTATGTTCATGGTATTATGGATGGTGAACTCCGGCAGCTGCTGCCGGCGATCGAGTTTCAAAGAGTTGTGGTGGCTTGAGAATAAACATATCACATCAAATCGTCCAACTCCCCAAACCATTACAATTCATTTGTAAAACTCAGCCAGGGGAAAATGCCAAATCAGTCTGAGTTTACTCACTTTTGTGTTTCAAAGTTAGGAAGTTCATATCCAACATGTCAGTAGGGTACAAATTCATGAAACCTAGGCTAATCATTCCAGAGTACTACCTGTGTTGCATCAATGGTAACCAGTGGCTTATGAAATTAGCGCCTGGAACGGCGGCCCGTTGAATGGCGGATAACCAAAACAGCAATAGGGTTCCCTGTAGCTACTTGCAGCAATACTTATAAAGCCTGTGCTCTACCAAGAGATGCAATGCATCAAGGCCAAGTCAAACAAGGACTACTTAATTGTGTGTCGAACATAGAAGATCGATACTATGAGGAACACCCTGGGTACAAGTACCCGGTTTCAAGGAAGAGATAACCCCATATGCTCTACGGTCGTTGCGTTGACGAGCATTTAATACTTGTGGCCATGACAAAGCCCCAGATGTTCCTGCAAACGGGGTGGTCCTAACGCTACGTCTCAGTGGAGACCACTGAAGTACCACCGGTTCAACACGCGTCGGGCCAGTTGGGACCGACAGCACTTCTCTCCACGAATCATCCTCATTTCATCCCGCCGCTGTAATGCACCTCCCAACAATGCATCTTCCGCATCTTCAGTGCTATCAGCACATGATCATGAGGCGGGGTTCAATAAGGCCCGTATACATACTGCTTCAGAGAACAGCTGCATGATGAGGACGTAAGGAGACACGCTATCATAGTCTTGCGACGGCAAAGGCTCATCATGGCATCTCAATCCGGGTTCGACGAGTCCATCAAGGGCGCTTTGCCCGCCGACTTCACTTGGGGCTTCGCAACAGCCGCTGCCCAAGTCGAGGGAGCTTGGGACAAGGACGGCAAAGGCGAGTCCATCTGGGACAAGTTCGCACACACGCCCGGCAAGGTCAAAGATGGAAGCTCCGGAGACGACGCCGTGCGGTCCTACGATCTCTACAAGACCGATGTGGCCCTTATGAAGAGGTACGGCGTCAGCGGTTACCGCTTCTCACTGTCGTGGTCGCGCATCATTCCCCTCGGTGGGAAAGACGACCCGGTCAACGAGGCCGGCATTGCATACTACAACCGCCTCATCGACGAGCTGCTCGCCAACGGCATCACGCCTTACGTCACCCTCTTCCACTGGGACACGCCGCAGGCTCTCGAGGACAGATACGGCGGCATGTTGGACAAGGAAAGATACACGCCCGATTTCATCCGGTACGCCCGCGTCTGCTTCGAGCGCTTCGGGGACCGCGTGAAGAACTGGATCACGTACAACGAGCCGGGGGTCTACACCCTCGCCGGTTACGCCGCCGGCGTCCACGCCCCAGCCCGTTCGAGTTTCCGCGAGCTGAACGAGGAGGGCGACTCGTCCACCGAGCCGTTCATTGTCGCGCATACGGAGCTCGTCTCCCACGCCTACGTCGCCGACATGTACAAGAAGGAGTTCCAGCCGGTGCAGAAGGGCAAGATTATGATCACGCTGCACGGCAACTGGTCCGAGCCCTGGGACGACTCGGACCCGCTCGACGTCGAGGCGGCCGAGCGCGCGCGCGAGTTCGAGATTGCGTGGTTCGCCGACCCGCTGTATAAGACGGGCGACTACCCGGCGTCGATGCGGGCTCAGCTGGGCGATCGGCTGCCGCGGTTCACGCCCGAGGAGAGCAAGCTCGTGCTCGGCAGCTCCGAGGTGTACGGGATGAACTCGTACTCTGCATTCTACGTGCGTCACCGCGACGGGCCGGCCGACATCAACGATCACAAGGGCAACATTGAGCAGTTTGACGAGAACAAGCAGGGCGTGCCGCGCGGGCCGAAGAGCGACACCTACTGGCTGCGCACGACGCCGTGGGGGTGGGCGAAATTGCTCCGCTGGATCTGGAACCGGTACCATGTGCCGATTTATATTACGGAGAACGGCACGACGGCGCAGGGCGAGCACGACTGGAAGCCCCGGGGAGCGGATGATGTGCTCGAGGACCCGTTCCGCATCGACTTCTTCAAGAGCTACCTGACCGAGGTGGCCAAGGCTTCGCAGGAGGGTGTCGTGATCAAGTCGTACTTTGGCTGGACCTTCACCGACAACTGGGAGTGGGCGGCCGGTTTCTCGGACAGGTTCGGCGCGACGTGGATCGACTTTGAGAGCCCTGAGAAGACGAGGTACCCGAAGAGGTCGGCTCTCTTCCTGGGAGATTTCTTCAAGCACTTGATCCATAAAGATTAGGTGGGAATCAGGCTCTATCCACTTATGCACTCATCACTTAAAATCCATGTACGCCCGTGAAGCGCCGTGCAAGCCAGTGAGTGACATTTGAGGCAAATAGTCAACAGAGAGATCATTGGTCAAGCTCGACTTTACTCATCTCATAAACGCAGGTAAGCAAAAGATGAAGAATGTTCTAAAAACAAAAGGATTAGAACCTGCCTCGAGGGCGAATCGAACGCCCGATCTTCTCATTACGAGTGAGACGCTTTACCACTGAGCCACCAAGGCTTGTTAAATCCTGGCTATTTCTGGCGATAACTCGCTCCATGATGCTGGAAGAGAATTTCTTAATGGGTCTTGGATCCTGCGCTTCTGCAATACGCGATCGCTTGTCGGGGTTTGAACGGATGTTTCTGGGGTTCATAGCTAACAGGGATACCTCCAAAAATGGCACATGTTGTGTGACGGGCAGGGACAACGGACAGAGGCCCAAGCTCTTCTTTAGTGAAAACAAGGTTACTGAATGAATGAGATGGGGGCGAAATGTGAACATCTCACCCAACATTCCCACGGTTAAGTCTTCGACAGGCTCAATCGGCAGGGCCTTATAGTGAAAGCTTCAGGCCGAAACGGGATGATTGATTACACGTGCGACTGCATTTTATTGACTGCGAACCACTGCCTATACCCACAGACGGCCTGCATGCATCAAGGCCATCATCCAGTCCTTCTTCCAGCCGGGTACGCCGTCGTAAGCCAGGTTTCCATAACCCATCTTGGAGTGCAACACTACAACTCGAGTCCATCTCCGTCACTCGCCGTACTAACTGACTAGTTCTTCATCGTGGTAGCCTCCGTGACCTTGACCCAAAAGTTGTCCTGCATGAAGAGGTTGAAGTTTACGCTGTGCCACGGTTTCGCTGGGTTCATTATCTGGAAGTCAAAGTTACGAAGGAGCTGGTAAGTCGCATCAGCATGGTTCTTTCACAACAGAACGAATCGGAGTCGGAACGGATCTCACCTCGACGTATATCTTGCTCAGCTCCAGGAACGCCACGCTCTTTCCGGCGCAGCCCCATCTTCCGTACCCAAACGCCAGCTCGGCCGTCTTCTGCATCTTATCCTTGGTCGCCGCGTCCGCCTCGATCCACCGTTCGGGGCGAAACAGATCCGCGTCCTTGCCAAAGACGTCAGCGCGGCGGAGGGTTCCCCACACATTCTGCGCGATGCGGGTTCCGCCTGGGATGAATCGTCCGTCGATGGTATCTCCTTCTGCGGGCGTCTCCTTGGCGCAGAGGCCGGTGAAGGGGGCGTTCATGCGGAGACCCTCGTAGATGACGGCCTACTCATGTTACGATGTGTCGAGCATATGGTAAGGGTCCTGGGGATGGGAAATACCTGGAGGTAGGGAAGCTTCTTGCTCTCCTCATAGGTGATGGGTGACGAGACGTGGCCCTCGTTGATGGCGGTGGCAATCTCCTGCTTCAGCGTGTGGTATGTGCGCGGGGAAGTCATCGTATACAGGAACGTTGTGCGGATCGCAGTGGCAGTCGTGTCGGAACCGGCGATGATCTGGAAGAGAACCTCTGTCTCGCACTCATCCTGGGTGACTCCATGGCGAACAAATGCACCCTGCGGTCCCTTAGCGTTGGGTCCGTCTAAGATGGGGATGGCCTCTTACCAGCATATCGCGTTCTTCCTTGGCATCCGGGCCGAAACGCTTTGCAACAACCTCTTTGGCAACTCTTTCGCCTTGTCAGCATGGCCCTGTCTCTGGAAACACTACAAAACGTACCCCATCAGCTTGCCCAGCCCGCTCTTGTCCGTGTGTTTTGGCCCTAATGTGCCCAGGACGAGCTTCGAGAACATAATCTTCTGGAGGTAAGGCACCTCGCTGCAGAGCTGCAAGTAGGGAATAGCCGCCTCCGTCGTACTGATGTAGTCGTGCACGTCCGAGTCTGTGGCCAAATACCCAAACTCTTCGCCGTATGCAAGCTTGGTAATCGTATCCAGCGTGAAAAACTGCGCAACCTTGCCCAAATCCATGGACTTCACCTCGTCACCAGTGGTAATGTACTTTCTCCGGATGAGGTTCACGGCGTTGGCGATTTGCGAGTCGACACCATCTTCCAGCGAAGGGTTTTCCTTCCCGGCGTACCCGCCTGCGCACTTGGCTTTGAGCTTGTCGTGGGCGCCTACGTCCAGCAGGCTGAACATGCTGTCCTGGTGGGGGTTCAACTTAGTCCCGTTGTACCACGACGAACGGCCGTACGTGGATCGCACGGCATTCATGCGGCGGAGGATGTCCGGGTCGTCGGTGACAAGGTCGTTGGGACCGATGCGCACGAGGGAGCCATATTCGCGGTTCAGCTTGGTGAAGTTCTCTCCCGGTTTCCCGGACCGGGCGTTGGACATGATCCAGAAGTAGGAGAACTTCCCGACGAGCGGGCCCGGGAACTCGCGGAGGTGGTTCCATGCGATGATTGACGAGACAACATAGTAAATGATGAACGCAACGGCCGGATACAATAGCGCTGAACCAGCGTCAAAGCTCGAAGGAAAGTCGAAAAGAGCCATGTTGCTCTTTGATCTGCCGACACGCAAAAAAGGGCTTGAAGCCGGAAAACATGGGATACTCAACAATCAACGCACAAAAGGAGACGCCCTCCTTTTAATTGGGACGAACATCACTGCCTTCCACATCCCCCCGCTCTATTGCCGAGCTTGCCACGCATATCATGTCGAAAGGCCTGAAGACCGGTGCCCCGCCTCTTGTTACATCGCCTCGAATAGTTACCAGTGTCTGGAAAATTGCTCCTCATGCTTCCATGCCCAGATGCCGGGGGTCGTCGGTTAGTGGCTTAATAATGGCCCGGGCCGCAGCCTTCGGTCATTGCAACGTTGATAACGAGACTTTCCAATACTCGCGTAGACTAAATCTGACGGTTGCATCTGATAGCCTTTAGCAGTCTCGCTGCATCAATCATGCCCTGTTGATGGACCTAGCAGCGCCAATCACGGTTTCAGGTTCGTACCTAGGCTATGGCACGAAGCGAGAGATCTGCGATTGGGGCACATAACGAGATGTGCTAATGGTTGGACGATCCAGTGAAGATATTGGAGAAAAGAGGAGACTTTGGGACATTTTCCTGACAATTTGCTCCGGCGTTGTGCGACGCCAATCTGTTGCGTCACAGCAACCCTTGGCGTAAGCACTGAGCTTTCGCGAATGCCGCAGCGGGCCATTGCCGCGTTTTGGAACGGTATCGTTGACCTTTGAGATGCCCATCAGAGAGTGGACGTGATGCCATACTAGTAAGCACCCGTGGATGGGGTCAATATGGGTTGTGAATGTGACTGCTCATCACGAATGGGTACAAACTGCTCAGCGACCCATACAGGGCCCATAAAACGGGCAAACGAAGGAGTAATAGCCCCGATCCCATTGGACAAGATGGGGTCGCAGAGATTCAAGAGAAGATGCCTTCAAAACCAAGATGCGCGGGCAGACGGTTGCAAGCTTTGGTGATTGGTGAGAGAATTATTGGTAGTCTGGGCTTCAGGACAACCCGAGGCAAATGCAAAATGAACCGCACGGGGGAGAAGGCAGAAGTAACAAGACATAGTGAAGATATGGATTCCCTATGGAACCCTCAGGTACAGCATTCCTCGACCAAGAGAATTCACGGGTACAAGTTGCACCGCAACGGAGTTACCTCGATCCCTGAATCGTCTGGTCCTCGATCTGCCAATAGAGTAGATTGGCCATTCAAGGGCCCTGTGATTGTTGGTACACTGTTGTCTACACGTATTGTACATCCGTCAGACCGTCGCGATGAAATTCGGTTCCGCCGGAGAGCCCTCAAGGCGCTTTGGTGCGCAGCTGGACGCCGTGCCACTGCTTCATCATGTCGCCCAGCACGGCGTTAACCATGCGCTGCTGCTTCAGCATGTTTGCGCCCTTGAACTTGGCCGAGGTGATGTCGATGGCGTACATGGAGCCGCAGCCACCCGACACGTCCTGCACGATCAGCTCCGAGGGTGCGAATTCGGTAACCAGCTTATCCCATATCGTCGATTCCGCAGTGTCGAGGTGGTCGGGCTTCTCGAGAGCTGGCGATGTGGACGTCTCTGAGGAGTAAAATCGCTTCGAGCTCGTCTGGGTGTTTTGGAATGGTGATCGGGTGACGAAGGCGGAAAAAGGGCTCGATCGGGCCACTGAGGCAGATTGGGAGGAGTAATGCCTTGTCGCGATCGGGAGGCTTGTGGTGGAAGCTCTGGCGATGATGTGGTTCGGGGAGGTTTTGGAAACCGCAATTACGCGGCGGCACGACCTACAGAGCATCTCGGAGGTTGTGGAGGGCTGTACAATGGTATCGGTCTGGTTTATGGTAGTTGTCTTGTCTCGATCTATGGGTACTGCGTCTTTTGGTGGACGTCAAAGTCAAAGTCAAGGTTGTGTACACACCCAAGATAAAGGTAGCTTGGTGTTTGGAAGCTTCACCTCCAAATTTCTAAGCTCGGCCTGGTTGACGTCAACAGTACCCGGCCGATTTGCCGGCGTTTGGCCGAAGATCATGTAAGCAGTACCGTGCGCAGCTTGAACACTTAGTATCAAGTACTGTGCTATACTCAGATGCATGTTTGTGAGTCTCAGTGTGAGAATTTAGAATTACACGCCTAAACTAACCTCTCATATTTATCATCGGCCATCTTCCAAAGCTCATCAACTATCGTTCCAACTTCATAGTAAGCTAAGACTACACATTGAATTCAAGAATAGGCTAAAATATCTTTGCAGGCTCGCCCTCAGTCCAGGGGCTTCTTGCAAGGGCCACTTTCATCACCCTGGCTTCATCATCACTCTCAGCCTTCAGGCTTCACCTGCATAGGGACCCGCCGCTACAAGCCACTCGAGACGTCGGAAAAATGTCCTTTGCATCTCGATGTAGCCTGGCTGCCCGTCATAATAGCCGTCACCCGGCAGTCGCCCAAGTTGAGATTGCCGTCTGTCTGACCCCTTGGCCATCGACAGCGTCCCCCGCATCCCCGCATTCTTCTCCAATGATTTACCCCAGATCGTGTGCGCCAACCTGGTGCGACGCTAGCAGCTGAGAGAGATGAGGTCGTCTTGCGGCTCTCCTAATTTCCTCCAATCAAAGATCCGGCCGGCAACGCTTTGCCAGCAGTATGGCGATGGGCGCATCAAGTCATGGCGGCCGCGATGCTACGCTGGAGGCCGTATAAATGCTCTCTACATAAGAGTGAGGGCAGTTTGCTTGGTCTGGCAAGGCAGTTCGCTTTGGTCTCCTCGTTCTTGTCCTCATGGCTCGGTTGTGTTATCTGCTTTCGGCGGCTCTGGCCTGTCTCGGGACAGTCGCAGCTCAAGATCCTACGGTCCAGGTCCTCAATGGTACGTATCGAGGTCGTCATCTGTCGGAATGGGACCAGGACGCCTTCCTCGGTGTTCCTTTTGCGCAGCCTCCGGTTGGTCAGTTGAGATATCGGTGGCCACGGAGTCTCAACTCTTCCTTTAACGGGGTGCGAGATGCCACCGAGCAAGGCTACAGCTGTATGCAGTTCAGGGGGAACTTCAACATGTCGGAGGACTGCTTGACGCTCAATGTTGTCCGGCCAGCTGGAGAGCACGAGAAACCACTCCCAGTTCTTGTTTGGATATTTGGTGGCGGTCTATATACAGGCTCTATTGTAAGATCTAACCCTCTTTCTCCTTGCTGCTGTGACTAAGAATTGGTGTGAAGGCCGACCCGCAGTACAATCTCTCAGGCATCGTCAAAGTCAGTCAAGACATGGGCCAGCCCATCATTAGCGTGGCCATGAACTACCGCCTCAATATGTACGGCTTCTTGCAAACCCAACAGATCCTTGCAGAAGGGTCGAGCAATGCAGGCCTGCTCGACCAGAGGTTGGCTCTGCGATGGATCCAGGAGAACATCGCGGCCTTTGGTGGAGACCCGGAGCGGGTGACCATCTGGGGCGAGAGCGCTGGGGCGCAGAGCATCGCCTACCAACTCTTCAGCTACGACGGCCGGGACGACGGACTCTACCGCGCCGCCATCCTCGAAAGCGGCGGGCCGACCGGAGCACAGGTCCAGAACTTGGCTTACTACAACGCTCCCGTCGAGAACCTAACGCGGTCCGTCGGCTGCTGGACCGCCAAAGACCAACTGGCTTGCCTCCGTGGCTTGAGCCAGACACAACTCTTTGCAGGAAACCCCAGTCAGGTGTGGAACCCGCTGATTGACGGAGACTTCCTGACGGGATATCCAAGCCAGCTGATTCGCGAGGGCAAGTTCGTCAAGGTGCCTCTCTTAACCGGCGCCAACAGCGACGAGGGTATCAACTTCAACCCGAGCAGCCCCAAGCCAAACACGGAAGTAGACCTCTTCAACGGCTTCACCTACTGGCGCTCCTACTCGCTCTCGCCGCCGACAATCCGCAAGCTCTTCGAGCTGTACCCCAACGACCCCTGCACTCAGCCGCCGCTCTCCATCACAAACTGCTCCGTGTACCCCGAAAAGGGCCTGCAGTGGAGGCGGGGCGCCTCCATCGGCGGTGACCTGGTCATGATCTCGGGCCGGCGCAAGATGTGCGAGCTCTACTCCCAGCCCGAGGTCGCCCAGCCTGTCTACAGCTACCGGTTTGACCAGCTGCTGTGGAACCGGAAGCCGATAGATGGCGTGCAGCACTTTGACAACGTCGCCTTCAGCTTCCAGAACATCTCGGGCCTGCTCGGGCCGTCTCCGCAGTATGACAGCCACGTGCGCCTCGCCCGGGCTATCGGACAGGCTTATGTCAGGTTTGTCTATGAGCTGGACCCCAATCCGCAAGCTGGCAACGGGACGTACGCGAACAGCACTGGGCTGTTGCCGTACTGGCCCAGGTACGACTTGAGTGCCCCGAAGAACTTGGTTCTGAACGTCTCAAAGAGCTTTGTCGAGGATGACACCTGGAGGAAAGAAGGCATCGACTTTATCAACACCTACGAGGTGGCGAGGGAGCTCCTTGCATGAGATACTGAGCCGGTCGCCAAATTTGGGACTATTGTAGTCGGATGGATATACCGGGCGATACAATGGGCCCCAGTGGCATTTGGGACTCTTGTCGACCGATGAAACCTTGCTATAGAGAAGACGTGAACCACAAAAAGGATTTAATAAGCAGAGTTAAGCATGCATTTAACCTTATTCTATCATCTTGGGTCCAGTGGACCGCACGAGTTCGCCATTTGACCAAAAGGACGGGGCAAGTACACGTCACGCAACGCAGCAGCCCAGTCGACACCCTTCCAAGGCGGGCTGGCACGGTGACATCGGCAGATCTGTAAGGTGCGGTCCCATTCTTACCGGAGGGCTGGGTTGGTTGTCTACAGAGAGCATTGGCATGCATCCAACAACGTGCTTTGTTGTTACTGCTTAGGGTAGTCCCGAGGTTGGCACCTTGGCAAACCAGCACTTGTAAATTAGCGCCGGGTCTCTTGTTGACTGGCTCTCAGGTATGAGCACATGTTGTTGAAGATTCGTCCTCGTTGTTGCGTGTTAAGTGAAGCTGGGCATGTCTTTGGACACAAGTACGAGAAACAAGATATTGGTTCGCAATGTCAAGCATTTGGTCTTTTTTAAACAAATTCAGCCGTGGCCCCAACTCAAATTGTACGAGCCGGTAGATTGTGACGAAAATGAGCCGCATAATATCGACAAACGGCGTATAACATGCACTACATGAGAACCCCATTACAATGAATGAACTTATTTCTCGCTTCACCGAGGATTTGAGCATCGCAAACGATGCCCTTCAGAAAACCACCGACCTGTGGTTGAGCAGAGTTCACGCCATAGTAAGGTTAAACGGCATTGCCTTTGCCAATGTTTTATGATCCGCGACTTTCGCGTCCTTTAATAAGGAAGCCCCAGGGCGATCCCAGCTGGATGAGAGTCATTGGCCCTTGATCTTAAAGTTCACAGCTAGTGCTCGGCGGAGCCGCTGTTCAATGAACTGTTCATAAGCCTCCCCGCATCCTCAATGCAGTCCGTCAGGAGATATGTAAATGAATCGTGCAATCCTTCTCTACTATTAGTACTGTATTTTTGGAAGCTAGGTCCTGCATTTCAAAAGTTCTTCAATCATGAGCTCAACCCGGCCTCGACCAGGATAAGAAGCTTTCCATGGGAACACCGAGTGGATATCCCAGATCGCCTTAGCATCCAGCATGGCCGCGCGAACCCCTTTTTGGCTAAACGTAAAAGGGGCCGGTAGGCGTAGGTCCGGGCGTATCAATGATGGGGCCGCGCTCATAAATCAAGACTTGTTCAGCCTCACAGCTCATCATTCTCATACGCAATGATGCACCAAAAGCAACATCTCGCCCATTCATTTTCCCGCGTTGAGCCAGACCAAGACCAAGACCAAGACCAAGACTCGACCGACCTTGCACCGGAGAGATATCCAGCGTTGCCTTGCATGGGCGCCCGCATCCCGCGAACCTTTGTGTCCGGTCTAAAGCCGGGGGGGTGACCACTGGGTTACCTATCGTCTTTTCGGCAGGTGAATCGGAGGAAGGCCCAGAATAATAATGGGGGAGTTGTGGAACATGGGACGACAGGTCCACGTTTGTTTTCTAATCTGTGCGGAGGTCTCCCTGCTGGGCTCCGTCGCCTCTTCCCCTCACCTTTCTCCGCCACTTCTGGGTTTAGCTCTCGCTCTCCTTCGTGCGGGGGTAACACGAGAAAGATGATTGAGAGCATTTGACGATAGCGGCTAACAAAAGGCCCTTTGCCTCTATCTCCTGCCCAATGTGAACAACCTCGGCCGCTTGTCTGTCGGCTGAGACTCCAAGAATGCTATTGTGTATGCAAACTCGCCTCCGGTCAGGATTGCTACTGGCCAGTTCATTAACTTCCTAGTGGGTGTCAACAGCCACTACTCGACACTGACGTGCCGAGAACAATAAACAACGCCATCGAGCGGTCTCACTGCGCAACCGGGATGTCCGTCCCCGCATGGATGCTGCCGTGGTCCTGTGCCTGAGCATTCTAGAGCTGCTCCACAGCACACGAGCTGCAATTCAGGAACGCACCAAACAGAAAGCCGAAGTGCGCTGCTTCCACGGCAGTAGAGTTTCCTTGGCCTCTTGGCCATGGGGATGCCGTTGCATCGAGCAAAAACATCCTCGGGGGTTGCGAGACGTCAACAGGTTGTGTGAAGTCCGATCAACAAGAAACCCCAACGCGCAGGCATCTGAGGAGTGATCAAGATGTTCCTCTTGTGCCCTGATAAGAACAACCGCCCTCGTTAAGCAATCTTCCGTCCCAAGCCACCGAGACCGAAAAACAAACACCCCGCGCCCAGTTACTGGGCGAGCATTTTGCCGTTGCGCATCCACATGGAGCCGTTGCCGATGGAACTCGAGCCATGCAATGTCCTTTTGCCATCTGCAACTGCAGGCCCTTGCTGTGCAACCAGAGCTAAACCCCGTCGGCGCCTTTCTTCAGTCAGGACACAACGTTTGTTGGGGGCGCCGCCGTGCTCGTTGCCCAGAGATCTGAAAGGGCACGAATCCGATCTCCCGATTCTGCCAATCGCTCTTCAGCGATAGCGCGACGACAGCAGCGAGCCAGGGGCAACCTCGCCACCGACGGGAAGACGCGAAATAAGAGTGCGCCCCAAAGCAGAAGAGACGAGACCAAATCCCGGTCCAACACGGGTGAGGCAGCGACCGGGACCGGCCCTTCATCAAGCTTTCGTGACTTTAACAACCTGACCAACAACAGACGGAGACACATGCCTAGATAGGAAGGCCATCTGGGCGGGTGGGCCACCCAACTTCTCCAATGACAGCACCAGTTCGGTTGAATCGATTTTGGCTTTCCTCCCTACCACCAAGGACCCTCAAGAAGGCAGCTCACAAGGCGGGCCCAATATGTTGATCCTCCTGGAGCTGCTTTCTATCGCTGGGGCATATCTTCGTACCGCACACTGCATATTGCCTGCAAGGCAACCTATCGCTCCCTGCAATCTCCTACTTCCTGGTCCCGGTGTCCCGTTCGCTTGTCCTTTGCATCCCTCACGCCTATCCGTGGCTCATGATCCCCACCCATACCTTGAACGGTTATTGCATGCCGCCGCGCTTGTGCATCCTCGCACTTTCATCTGCGCCGGTCTCTTCCTCCACCTGCCTGGCCGAGCAAGCGTCTGGTTCCAAATATGCTCCCTTTCATATCATGACGACAACGACAGGGTCCCCGCAAGCTGTTATAACGCCCGCCAGATTATAACCGACCTGGCTCAGGGGGAAGGTTCACAGGCCCCAGTCGAGCAGGCCCTGCCATAGGTAGCTTGAGCTACATTGCCACATTGTTTTCGATGGACTTATATAAGTGAATGCCGCCGTTGTCGTGAGATACCTTTCGTCTCCCCAGCTCCGGTCTCTCTCAGGTCATCCGTCAGCCAAGCACAATGGTCAGAAGCAGTCTCTTGCTGCCGCTTCTTGCGGCGGCTTCCGCCGTCCAGGGCAAGCTCGCCGCCCCAAAGACCGTTGCCGGTGCCTTCATTATTGAATTGGACGACAGTCAGGTTAGTCGCTGCCGAGAAATCCACAGACCATGCAGAGCTCTTGGCTCATCGCCTCTTTTGACAGGACACTTCCGACTTCTACGCCGACATCGACGCCGACGTCGAAACCGTCACCCGCATGAACCTGAACTACACTCTGTTCAAGGGCGCGTCGATCCAGTTCACAAACCTGGACAATGCCGAAGCGAAGGCCGCCAGGCTGGCTCGGCTCCCCTCGGTCAAGAACATGTGGCCTGTCCGCACCTACAGCATCCCTGAACCTGAGGTTATCTGGACCGGCCAGCAAGGCCGTGACTACATCGACCTGAAGAAGCGTCAATTGGGCAACGACACCTTCTCGACACACGTCCAGACCCAGGTTGACAAGCTTCACCGCAACGGCGTCACCGGCAAGGGTATCAAGGTCGGTATCATCGACACCGGTATTGACTACCTTCACCCGGCTCTCGGCGGCTGCTTCGGCCCCGGCTGTCTCGTTAGCTACGGATACGATTTGGTTGGTGACGCCTACGACGGCTTCAACGAGCAGGTCCCCGACCCTGATCCCATGGACTGCGGTGGTCACGGAACCCATGTTGCCGGCATCGTCGCCGCTCAGTCTAACCCCTTTGGATTCCTTGGTACCGCTCCTGGCGTTACCCTCGGTGCCTTCAGAGTACGTGCTTTTTCCCATTCTGTTTTCCCCCTGTTTTCATAGAGTTTCTACATGGGGAATTGGCTCAATTGCTGCTGGCCGCTTTTTGGCTTATTGTTGCCCTTGCGAGCGCCACAGCTGCACTTGGGATCTGATGTGAGAACTTCGGTTCCCGTGAAGGATCCACTATTCCCGAGGCCGTCTCCGGCGACACCGGTCGAATTTGGCAACGCGTAATGTTCTGGATTGTTCGCTCACACGATTTTGAACAGGTCTTTGGCTGTGATGGCCAAGCCGGCAACGATGTCCTGATCGCTGCCTACAACCGCGCTTACGAGGCGGGCAGCGACATCATCACCGCCTCCATCGGTGGCCCCTCCGGCTGGACTGACGAGCCCTGGGCCGCCGCCGTCTCCCGAATCGTCGACGCCGGTGTTCCTTGCACTGTCTCCGCCGGTAACTCTGGTGACCAGGGTGTCTTCTTTGCCTCTACCGCCGCCAGCGGCAAGCACGTTACCGCCATCGCTTCTTTCGACAACGCCATCACCCCCGCCATTCTGATCGAGAACTTTTACACCATTGCCGGTGGCGCGCCCAGCAAGTTCTCTTACACCCCGGGTGAGCCTTCTGAGTGGGCTGGTGTCGAGCTTCCTCTCTGGACGCCCACCACCGACTCTACCTCGACCGCCGCTCTTGGCTGCGACCCCTACCCCGCCGACACCCCTGACCTGAGCGGCAAGATCGTCCTCGTCAAGAGAGGCACTTGCACTTTCGTCGTCAAGGCCCAGAACGCCGCTGCTGCCGGTGCCAAGTACCTCATGCTCTATAACAACATTGCCGGTGCCACCTCTGTTACCGTCACTACCGTCCCTGAGATCTTGGCCGTTGGCATGACCACCCCGAGCAGGGTGCTGTTTGGCTCAAGGCTATCGCTGCTGGCTCGGAAGTCGTTCTCCAGATGACGGACCCTACTGAGGCCGAGCAGATCCTTACCGAGGCCGTCAACACCGCCACTGGAGGTTCCGTCTCTAGCTTCAGCTCCTGGGGCCCTAACTGGGATGCCCACCAGAAGCCTCAGTTTGGTGCCATCGGAGGCAACGTCCTCTCTCTGTACCCCAGAGCCCTTGGTTCCTACGCCGTTCTCTCCGGAACTTCCATGTCCTGCCCCCAGACGGCCGGTATCATAGCTTTGATCGCCGAGGTTCGCAAGACCTTAGACCCCGCCACCATTGAGAACCTCCTGTCCGCCCACGCCAACCCGGTCAAGTTCAACTACGGCACTGGCCCTGAAGAGCTCCTTGCCCCTGTCCCCCAGCAAGGTGCTGGTCTTGTTCAGGCCTACGATGCTGCTTACTCCTCCGTCATCCTCAGCACCTCCAGCCTTTCTTTCAACGACACTGACCACTTCATCCCTGAGCTCAACTTCACCATCAAGAACACTGGCACTGCAGATGTCTCCTATGACCTGAGCAACGTCGGCGCTGCTACTGCCTACACCTTCGCTGCTGCTGGCGACCTGTTCCCTGCTGTCTTCCCCAACGATCTTTCAGACGAGTACGCCACCTTGGCCTTTAGCGAGGACAAGGTCTCTGTCCCCGCCGGCGGAGAGGCCACAATCTTGGTCACCCCTACTCCCCCTAAGCTCGATGCCGGCCGCTTGCCCGTCTGGTCCGGCTATATCGCCCTCAACGGCTCGGACGGCTCCAGCTTGTCACTGCCTTACATGGGCATTGCCGGCAGCCTCCACAGCCACGTCACGCTGGACCAGGCTCTGATGACCACCTCGACCAGCGCCGCGGCCACGGTCTACGATCCCGTTCCCAGCAACTACACCTACGTCCTGCCTCCCCCGGGCACCGCCAACGCGACCGATGCCATCGTTCCGGCCCTCGCTGTCAACATGGCCTTCGGCTCTGCCATTGTCCGTGCTGACCTGGTGCCTCTCACCACCTGCCCTCCCAACGCTACCAAGGAGGTCTTGGGCACCACGACTCTCGGCCAGCCCCGCTCTTTCCCCCAACTGTACGTCTCCCGCGGCATCTTCTCCGTCGACTGGGACGGCCAGCTGGACGATGGCAGCTACGCCCCTGCCGGCAAGTACAAGTTCGCCATCAAGGCTCTGCGCGTCTTCGGTGATGCGTCCAAGATTGAGGAGTACGATACCACCGAGACCGAGCCTTTCCGTATCATCTACGGAGCTGTCAACGCGACTGCCCCTGCGAGACATTAAAACGGTGTGTGTGTGTGTCACGATAGTATTACATGTCTATACGACATTTCTTGTAATTAGCTTGATAGGGCAGAAATAATGTCTGATATCCATAAAAAGTCATTATGTTCTGGACTCGTGATGTCGCTTGGCCGACTTGCCAAGTATCTCTTCAAAATGATTCAACAGATTTTGACTCGATGCCATCACGGTATGATCCATGGCTTCTACTGAGCCTATAGTATGTTCAAATAGCTCTGCAAGAGTTGGTATTCACTGGTGAATCATGGGAAATCTGGTTATGATCAGTTCCACAGCCTTGTGCGGGCAGATAATGTCGAGGAGTGGGCTCTCATTGCTAAGGTAATGAAGGTGACATTCCGTGATGGATAGTCTTCGTTGCCCCCCTTCCCGGCCGACTAATCGTACTCGGCGAAGTTGCTAGGATCCCTGTCACTGGAAACTACTTACACCTCACTTTTCCTAATGAGCATCTCAGCACGTCTTTGGATGCAGCCACCAGAGAGCCAATAACAGCGGAGTGATCAGGCCCTGTCTAAGTTTGCGCCGAGAAGCAAAGTCCCCGACGGATCGGTTTGCAATATCACATATGAAAGGTGGGCCTCAGATGAAGTCTGTTGAACTATACAGAGGATCCGCATTCGTAATCTCTAATAACCCTTATCATCCAAAGCTTCGTGGTCAAACCCGCCAGTATCACCTGCCCCGCTCGTCTTTCTTTGGCAAGCTGCTCTTCTCCGCACAGTTCACTGCAGTCGATTATCAACTTTAAACATTTATATCAAATTTCCCCACGGCCTCTTAGCTTCAAATCCTACCCGTGGAATAGAGTATTCAGGGTCCCCGGCACTGTGCCGGTACTAGGGCAGGCGTGAAACTCGATATCCAATAGGTCCCAGCAACGCCTCGGGTCAACCCGGAACCGGTATCAACTGAGGCCCAAGCGACGAAAATCTCCGAAGAGCCTCGCTCCCCTTGACAACATTAGGCCGCCTTGGCATAGCCGGTAAGGTTCCATCTCAGCCTTACGGGTTTGCCTCTGTTTCAGCTGGTGATTGCTTGACTTCAAAAGTAAGCCTATCACAATCTTCAAAGCGGACTTCCTCGAGTCTCGTGGAGCAACCGAGCTCGAACCGCCCATCCAGAGCTTCACAGAAACGAGAATGGCTGCACGGGAGGAGGAGGCACGTTAAGACGCACGTGGGAAAGCTTGAAAGAGTTTGGGTTAGGCCCAGCTATTGCCTTCAACATGAGCATACCTTTTTTCAAACGAAGCACACAGAACGCCACAAGACGCTTTCACCTCGTCTAATCAACCAAAGTTCTCCATGCTTGAATGGAAGCTTGGAGCGAAGCCCGGCCCCTCCGGCTGTGCGGTGTTCTTTTTCCCAAACCTAACGGATGGATAGGCCAGTTGGTGTTCATGATGAAGTCAATGCTGGCAGATCCCCAGCACTGAGGCTGGAGCTCAAGAAGCTCAAGAAGTTGAGCCCCCCCAACTACTTGCCCCCTTGTCCCAATGAGCTCATAGTTCGTCCCATGTTTTAGCTATCCTCTCCGACCGGTTTGAAAGAGACATCTCAGATCGTCCCGTCTCATCCCCTCGACCTCAATAGTTCGCATCCTCCCTCTGACACATGTCCGTCGCCGATTCGGGCCAGTCAAAGCTCCAGGGAGATGCTTTCCGTCCGAACCTGAGCGAATTGTATCATTTCCAGGACGAAACACTCGCAAGCTCTCATTCGCCCGAGGTGTGGGCATGTATAAGGCCTGTGAGCACATGTCAAGCAGCCGAAAAAGGGCTTGGCATTGTATTGGAAACAGACAGCGCTCAATCGGCGCCAGCAGCTCTCGAGCGCATCTCAACTTTGCTCGTTCTTTGCCAAGCAATTTCGAGTCTCATTTGCTGAGGAAACCCCGTTCGCCGCTTAGTCAGTTGCTTCGCCGAACGGGAGGCTAGATGTTACGGTTGTGCCAGTCGATGGAAAGACGGGCTTCCTAACGGTCCTAGACTGACACAAATCCCACCCGAACAAAGCGGCAGACGTAAGACCTGCAATCACGATATGCATTATTTGATTGCCTTTTTGGACGATTTGGCAGAGAAGCCATGAGTGTACTTTGTCAAGTTCTTGTGTGCCAAAGAATGACACGGCGGAGTCTGCTATATCGCCCATACTAGAATTCACTATCTGGAGGCTTAATATTGATTTCAGTAGATGTCGCTAATGATTATATTAGCGTTTGTAACACGGAACCGATCATATAAATTTGTAACATTCTAGTCAGTGAGAGCAGCATTCATCCAGTATAGCGCTGACTGCAGTTACTTGGACTGGCTCGATGGCCTGTCGCCATGTATGAATCTGCCTGATGCCATGCGACAACATGGTTAAGTGTGGACAATAAGCAAAAGTCCTTTACAATTTTCCACTGCACATAACCGAACACTGAAAAATCAACATACCTTCTTGCAATGATGTTGATAACATCAGACCTTGTTCAAGTCGGAAAAATTGGAATGTCAAATATGGTTCATTTGTACTCAGGCTATAGATATCTCATTTAAACAACTTAAACATGGTCTAATACGTGGTATTGTCATGGAAACTGAGCTAAAGGATAATACATGTAACCCAAGATAGAAACTATCAGTTTTATTCTAAATGGATTCCTCTGTCTTTCTCTGCGTAAGTCTCCCGTTTTGGAGTCACATGAATACCCGGTCTCTCTAACAAGAACGAAATATGTAGAGATTCCCTTTTGAATACTGTCAGATATCACAGAGACACAAATGGTGTATCAATCAGCTCTTGGCAGATGGTTCCCCTCTCTTAAACATATCTCAGTTCACGTAGTTGCAAAGCAAAACTATAGGTTTGCAGAGAACATTTGGTTAGAGACTGGGCGTCTTTTAGTATTCACAGATTGTCCGAACTTTTCACTTTGACGATTTGTTTGGAAAAGTTGCGAAAGTAGTTGTCAAATACCGTGATATTCTAAACCTATCTTGGATGGTCAACGCAACGGGCTTCCCGGCGACTCGAACGATCGTAAGGGCTTTGCAAGCTCTCATAGGAGCAATAAATTCGAAAAAAGAGACTTCATTTCACGCACATGCTCGCGGTGATAGCTGCTAGGTAATGACATCCAAGGGCACGGTAGGATTTGATGAACACGTGGTTGCTGCCGTCCATTGCGACACTTCCCTTATTCTAAGATCCTTCACCCGAGCCAACATGGGAACTGTTATTGCTGATTCCATGACACTCCCGACTGTGTGTGAAAACAGGTATCATTGGAAACTACTGAAACCGAAAATTATAGGCCTGAAAGAGTCGTACAGCATTCTATAACATTTCACAAACTCGAGTGAAGCACAGCGCCAGAACAGCCAATACTAGGTTATCTGAGCAGGAGATAACTAATAAGAGACTAATTGTATGTATCCTGGTCTCACATACCAGTGGGTCAAGGTTTATGGGAGTCGAGCACCAAGCTGCCAAAACGGCACCTCGGCTTCCAAGGGCCATGCTCACCCCCGTAGCCGCCGTGCCGAGCGGCAGAGGAGGCCGGCGACCACCGAACACGGAACAGAACACGGTCGTTACTCTGGTATGTAAAGCGATATGGCCTTATTATTGGTTCAGTATGCAGAACCCGATGACGATGCTGGGTTTCCGAACACAGCGGTGCCGCAACAGGTTTTTCTCAAAGCACCATGATTTGCAATTTGCAATGGGCTGCTGTTGTCTTTAGAAAGACACCAAAGATACAGAAACGGCAGAAGAAAACAAAAGGCCCGACATGCCCGATTTTGTGAGCAAGACACTACTCAGCTCCGCCGCGTCTCCAAGCAACCGGCTCCTCCCAGTTTCACATCTCTGATCCACGAGAGAAATGGTGGCACCACAAGCTCCTCTGGCAAATGATACTGATATCGACGGCGACATAGCACTACATCTGTCTCAAGCAAAATCACCCGCGTTTGAAGAACCACCGAGCCGAGTCCTCGGTAGTCGCAGCAAAAGAAACGCGGTCCCTCGGGACGTCCCGGCATGATCGGCGACCATACAGCCCAGGACGCCAGAAATAACATTATGGTTTCGGAAGAAGAAAAACTCAGCGGCTGGCAACGCCTTTTGGACGCACGATGAGGATACTTTTGCTTCCCAGCCCCAGGCAGACCCCGACGCGAACTCGGTCAGAAGCAAACGAAGACGCCTGGAACAGTCGGGGGAAAAAGCATAACCAACTGGGCCTGGTGTCGATGATACATTCGACGCGTAACATCTGTGACTGCAACCCGAGCGACACACCGCGCGCTCGAACCCTATGCAGCACTGATGGGCCCTCGAGGTCCCAACGCAACCGTCTAAAACGTTTCTTTCCTACGTTTCCGCCACGTCCAAATTTGTGTCAAAGAGCACCACCACATCTACCAGTTCTGAGTCGATGATTCCTTCACAGAAGCCAAGCAGTCACCGCTGTGCTAGTTCAAGTCTTGCGGGTATGGGGCACCGCATCACGTCATGGATTGCGCCGTAATATTGTCAGAAACAACTCCCTATTCGCAACAGGATATAATCAACTCAGGCCTCGGTAACTAGCACATACGACCATACCCATTGGAAAACTCGGGATCCCGTCCGCTCTCCCATAGATAAGCCAATGAGGGCCGGATTAGTAGTTGGGTCGGTGACGACCAGCGAATACCTGGTGTTGTATGTTTTTTGCTCTTTGCCCAGATTCCGTTTTGCTATGTGCTGTAAATAGGTTGGCGACGATACTGCGTTCGCTCCTCTTGAAAATCACGTAAATACCACACTAAAAGCCATACGTGGACTGTGGTATTGGGACTGAAAATGATCGATGCGGTTTAATATTGTAAGATTTCTATATTCATACATCGTAGAAGGTATATCCATGTCACATTCTAGACCACTCCTTCGCCCTTCGATTAGCAGCTCCTTCAGCGGCCTTGGCATCTTGTTGGACCGTGGCCGCAAAAACAAAGGGAATCCCTAATATCCCAAAACCCCATCAGCGCCAACCATGATATTTGTCTCTCGCCCATGCTGTCTTTCGCCTCACCACGCCTCTCTCCAACCAATCCTTCTAGTTTCGCCAATCTGCCTTCCACATTACAGTCGCCAGTCACCGTTTCTTACGGCAGCATCGTCGGCGATGAGCGTCCAGAGCAGCTGTCCTCGTCGACGTAGCCCTTCTCGTTGCTCGAGTCGATGTCGCTCTCCGTCGCCCACCGGCCAGGGCACCCGGGGATGTCGCGCTCGTGCTCACGGTACTGCTTCTCGCGGCTGCCCTCCTCCTTTCGCTGGCGGAGGTTCATCGTCAGGGACGGCGGTTTGGTCGACATGGGCGCGTTGCTCTTCTTGGTGTCGCGCATGTCGACGTCGGGCATGCCCATCTTCATCATCATCTCCTCGTGCTCCTCCTCCTCCTTGGCGGCTTCGAACATGGACCGCAACAGGTCGGCCTTCTCGGGCGTGCGGACGATGACGTCGAACTCGAAGGCCGCCGGCTTGGCGATCAGCAGAGGGGTGTAGTCGTTCCAGTGGACGGGCACCTCGGTGCCGTCGGCGTTGCGCTTGCGCTGGATGTTGAAGGCCCAGGCCATGCCGCCCATGGTCAAGAAGAGGTCCTGGTCGACGATGGGAATGCCCTGGCATGTTCTGCGACCGAAACCGAACTGGCTGAAGCCGTCGAGAGTAGGGAAGCGCGTGAGCGGCTCCTTGTAGGTCGGGTACTCGGGTTGCAGCCAGCGGTCGGGGTTGAAAGACTCAGGATCAGGGTAGATAGACTCATCACGGGTGATGCCCCTGGGGATTAATTAGTTTGGGCCAATTGGCAGAAGTGCCGTGGTACTCACCACTCAAGAGCGTGGATGGTGGCGCCAGCAGGGATGAAGTAGCCGTTGTAGACGTCGTCCTTTTCGACAGCGTGGGGGATGCCTGCACGTCATCGTCAGCCAGCCGAACCTAAAGTAAGCTTGAACACACCACCATTTTCTCAACGTACCAGTAGGGACAGGGGGTCTCCAACGGATGACCTCCTTGACGACAGCTCTCAACATGGGAAGCTTCTCACGATCCGCCCACTGCGGGCAGCTGCCTCCGCAGACCTCGTCAATCTCCTTTTGCAGCTTAGATTGCCACTCGGGGTAGTGCAGCATGGCGAGGAGGAAACTCTGGATAGGGCTGCCGATGGTCAAAGCGCCGGCGATAGCCATGAGGCCCACGACGTTCTGGGCCTCCTTGAGGTCACCCCATTTGCCCTTTTCGTTTCCAAGGCCCTCGTTTATGAAGGTGCTGATGAAGCTGGGTGCCGCGGTGCCCTTCTCGACCTGATCCTTGACGAAGTCGACGTTGCTGGTGAACTGTTTCGTCTCGAGTTCGTGGCGTTCCTTCTCCTTCTTCTTCCACGGGGACAGGACTGCCGGGACGTGCATGAGGAAAGAAATGACATTAGGGAGAGCACCGGCAGGCGAGATGGTCTCGAGCAGGCCAAAGGTGGTCTTGCGAAGGATACGGGCGGGATGGGCAGTGCCCCAGGACAGACGGCTGACAGTACGGCTGGTGAACTGCTCGATGTACTCGCGGTACTCACTGGGCTTCTGGTACAGGAGCCACAAGAAACGATCGCGCTCGCGGGTCGGGTACTCGTGGAGGTCCTGCTTGTCACTCTGGTTCATGAGGTGGTGGCAAAGCTTGCGCTGGCGCTTCCATGTTTCTGTACGAGTGTCAGTCGACGCAGACATGCCACTTCATGTGGATGAGTATACCTGTGCGGCCGAGGAGGGCAAGGTAGTCACCGCTGGTTCGGTTGTCCGGAAGGTTGGGAATCATGGGCCGGTCAGAGTAGATGACATTGCGGCGGCCGAGGAGGTCGTGGGCGACCTGCTCGGAGGAGATCCAAACGTGGACCGAGCCGAACATCTCTTGCTGGTAGATGGGGCCATACTCCTTGCTCCACTCGTAGAACTTGAGCCAAGCTGCCTCGGCGGGCACATCATGGACACGTCCGATCAGGGGCAGACCTAAAGTACGGTAAGCTACGTGAAGATAGCCAGCGACGTCGAGACCACGTACCCTTGGGTCCGGGGAGAGGCTTCGCGCCCTCAGGAAGCTTGTTCTTGAGCTTGATAGCCGTGTACAACCGCCATGCACAGAAGACGATGAAGGCGAGGAGAGCCACGCCTATGGCCATGATTGCAAATCTGGTGTGAGTTGCACAGTAAAGAAATCAAGTGTCGTCGATGATGGGGGAAAGGGGGGGGAAGGGGGATGGATAAGGGTAAAAGAAGTCGACACTAAAAGGTCGAGGGATGAAAAGAGTGAAGAATGATTCCTGCTGTTGCAGGAAAGCAGAAACAAGAAGAACCAAGACGACGGGTCTGGAGGACGGTGTGTCTCTCGACTGTTATTAAGAAGAGCCAGGACCAGGGTGAGCCATCCGGTCATGGGCGCCCAAGCGGACCGACGGGGAACGGCCAACGGTCCCTTTGTCTGGAAACATGAGTGAACCGCGTGTGGACATACGCCGGATTCCCCAAGCGCCATGGCAGATACCACCTCGTCGCCCAATGACCAATTCACTAGACCAACGCACAGCGGGCGGCAGCCAACATGTCAGGCCACATCTCCGTCCACCGTCCCGCAAATAACGCCCAGAGTCTTGGTCCGGCCCGGATGATGGTAGGCCATCTTTTCCAAACATAGCACACGATAGTAGTGTTGCGCTTGCATACCTACCGTCCTTGCTGATCGCTTGAGTCCTTTCCCAATCAAGCGGTTCGTCGAGGTCTGACATCTGCTGGGCACTGAACCTCTGGGGAGGAGATGCATCAGACACCCGGTTCGCCTCGATAAACGAACATGGGGGAAGCAGAGACCCGAGGCCCTCCCCCCTCTGGAGCTGACGGACAACTAGCAAATACCGACGCCCGTCCTTGCATCTGGTGCGCGAGGGCCAACAGCTCATAGACGTCAGCAGGGTTTGCCTTGGCTGTTTAGGGCCCGAGGAGACGGTTAGGATTTGGGTTGACTGTAGGATGCGTTTTGCAGCCGCGGGAGCTCCAAACACAGGGGGCCAGAAAGATTGGCCGAGTCGACACCTCACCGCTGCAGGGAGCAAGAAGCAGGCAAGCTGTTCCAGGTCGACCCCCGTGGCGAGAGAAGGATCATCCTCGTCCTACTATCGTCTGAGCATCTGAACCTTGCGCCCTGACACCACACCGGCTTCAGGTAGAGCTGCTGTGGTGGGTTGCCGGAGTCGAATCGGGAGAATCGGGCTCGTCCGGTCTCGGCACAGACACCGAGCCATTTCGCCGGGCAGAGACGCTGGCTTGCAGCTAAAACCTTGGACAACATACGAGCGGGTAGGCTCCCACATTTCCTCCTGCATAGAGCTGTCGACGGAGCCCTTCCTTTGGAAGCATTCTAGGCCAGGCACTCCCGCTGTGACACTATCTCTCGTTCCTCTTGTTCCTCGTTCGCGCCATGTTCAGAGCCAAGAGTGAGGACCTCACAGCGAGGCCGAGGCGCATGGTGCTCCACGCCGGATGCACCAACAACATCTCTGTTCCGGAGCCTGGGCAGAATGCCAGTCTCGGGCTTGATGGTCTTGGGAAGTGTCCCAATAAAGCAAGGGATAGACAGGCAATAGTTGCTCCCTCCCAGGCAGTCTCCAGAGGGAAATGTGTCGAAAAGGATATCACCAGAGTCATCGACTCTCGATGTGGAGGTTAGCAATGTCGATCACCTGCAAGCCACGGCGTCGCGGCTGCTGTCCAACCGGAACCCAGGAGCCAACAGGCTTCCGCAGATGGAGCGAGAGCCAGAAAAGGCCAGTAAAAGCCAGTCAGAGCCGTCGAAAGCCATCGCAACTCTAGCGTTTGAGCCTATGCAAGATTCGGCGTTGGCAGGGATTTGGGACGCCCTAGCGGGATCCGAGCGGGAAGATCATTTTCGTTGGCGTCCAGAATGGGACTCCCCCACGCAGGTCACCGAGCGTCAGACAAAAGCCACTTGATAGACCGCCGACGCCTCTCCAAGGGAGCTAGGGCAGCGCCAGGAACAGCCATCGTAGGCCTCGCGCTTCTCAGCTCTCGCTGCACAGAGTCTGCTATGACAGTCAAAGACGGGCCAGGCTTTTCTCACCTGAAGAGACGGGGTCAGTTTGCTGCTCCATGCGAAACACACCCGTCGCGACATTCGACCTGTGCCGTGCTGTGCTATGCTTTGCTTTGCTCCTCTGCTGCAGAGAGCAGCCCTACTGGGATTGCCGCCGCCGCCGCCACCTGCACTCTCAAATGTCATTGCAGTCATCTCTTGGGTCGTCTATAGTCTTGTGCGTGGGAAAAAATTTGTGTTCAATTATTCAGCACTAGTGGTCTGGTGCATGCGAGTCCTGTGGCTCATTGCCGTCTGTCCGACGACGGCCGCGGAGGCTTCGAGGACACCGAGACGATCGATGGGCTTCCTCTGATCGAGGCCGTCTCTTTGTACGACGCCACAACGGCTGGGGCCGCCGGGTCATCGTCGAGTGCCACCACGTCGTGGCTGATAGCTAATGGCCGTTGTGCCGGCGCAGCTCCTCATCCGTATCCTTCATTGGCACGAATGCTGTCGGCGCCGTTGGCATTTGGCTCACGATTCCGACACTGGCTCTCTCCAAGCGGGCTTGGATACGCCCGGCATTTTCCTCCACTCTCCTCCCCCTCCCTTGCGGTAATGGTTCCGTCATGGTGCTGACATTTTTTACATCCTGTTTGGGTGGTCAGCACGAGGTTTCACATGCAAGACAGAAGGGGAGCTGCAGGCACTGCTGCAGCACATGGCGCGCACTCACCTCTCGACCGGGGACAGTCCCAACAGACGCATGCCGTTGTAGAGCACGGTCCTGGCAGCAGTGTACAGCGCCAAGCGGGCCTTCTGGATCTCTGGCTCGCTTCCGACGATACGCAAGTGATCGTAACTGCTGCTGACGACGTGCGTCAGGCGGAACAGGTAGGTCAGCACCGTAGTGGGCTCCAACGTCTTCAGCGTGTTTTGGACAACGTCGGGGTACTGGCTGATGACGCGGATCAGCTCGATGGCATGCTTCTCCGTCAAAAGGCTGAGGTCGGCCTTGGCGACCTCTTCTTCCGGGACGCCAGCCTTGCGGAAGATGGAGCACAGCCGGGCGTGGGCGTACTGGAGGTACGGACCCGTGTCACCCTCGAACGAGGTCATGGTGTCCATGTCGAACTTGTAGTTGTTGATCCTGGGCGGAACGTGTCAGTGCATCCAAAAGCGCCAGTGAAAAGTACGGACGACATTACCTCTTTCCGCTCATGTCCTGGACCATTACACTGCTGATGCCAAGGATGTCGGCTGTGGCCTCCGGGTTCTCGACCTGGGAGTACTTTGTCTCGTTCTTCCTCATCACCTCGTGCATCTTGTCTCCAACGTCGCGCAGAATGTCGTCCAAGAACTTGACGGTACCCTTTCGGGTGCTCATTCCGAGCACCATGCCAAAGTTGATGTGCTGGCACTTCTTTGCCGTTTCCGGGTAGCCCATCAGCTCGATGATCTTGAAGAGTTGCTTCAGATGCAGGTCCTGCTGGGACGCCACGACGTAGATCATCTGGTCAAAGTTGTACTTCTTCTCACGGTGCAGAAGCTCGCTGATATCCCGGGTCAGGTACAGGGCTGTGCCGTCCTTCTTCCGGATGATGGGGCGCTCCAGACTCTTGCCGGCCTTTCCGGGGATGTGCTTGGTGAAGTCGATGATGACGGCACCCTCTGACTGCTCCGAGATCTTCATCTCCTCGAGCTTCTTGGCCGCCGCCTCCATGTCCTGCTCGGAGACCTGGCTCTCGCCCGAGTACTCGTCAAAGTGGATGTTGAGGCGGGCGTACGTCTCCTTGTAGCGGGTGATGCTGAGGTCACGGAAGCGCTTCCACTGCGCAACGGCAGCCTCGTCGCCGGCGACCATGGCCTTGAAGTACTTGCGGGCCTGCTCGTCCAGGCTGTTGTCCTTGAGCGCGGTAACGTCCTCGCCGGCCTGTTCCTTGGCGGCGATCTGCTCCTTCTCGTCGCTCATGGCAGCGTTGATCTTGACGTAGACCTCGTACAGGTGGTTGATGGGGTCGGCCTTGAGGGCCTCCTCGCTACCGAAGCGGTCAAAGCCCAGGGCCAGGAGGCCGTACTGCTTGCCCCAGTCGCCGAGGTAGTTGATGCGGGTCACGTCCCAGCCAGCGCCGTCGTACAGGTTGGCGATGAAGCCACCAATGATGGTGCTTCGCAAATGGCCGGCATGGAAAGGCTTCGCAATGTTGGGGGAGGAGAACTCGACAATGATCTTCTTCTTGCCCTGGGAAGGGTCCTCGGGGTTCTTGAGGCCGTTGTTGGGGTTCTTGCCGAAGGTCTGGCCGCGGCTGCGGACCTGGGGGATGAGAAGCTGGGAGAGGGGACCGGTCTTGAACCAGAACTGGAGGAAGGAGCCGTTCTGGAACGAGATGGGCTTCTCGATCAAGGGGGACTCGGGGAACTGCGAACGAGGGCATGTTAGCCGACTTGCTCGGAGGGCGCGCGCTGGCTTGCTCCACGATGCCGAGGATGGGCGATGGAGGGCTGAGACTTACCTTCTCGAGCCACTCGGCAGTGAGCTCGGCAGGCTTCTTGCCCTTGATGCGCAGCGCAGGGACAGCCAGCACCAGGTCACCCTTGTCCAGGCTCTGGGTCCATTGCAGGGCGTTGTAGATGATGTTCTTCTCGACGCCGGTCACGTCGTACAGCAGCGAGGTGATGTGGGAGCGGTAGACGTCGATGGGGTTGACGTCGGGGTAGCAGCCGGGGAAGGACTCGAGCTTGCCGATGGACAGCTTCTCCAGCTGAGCCGTCAGCTGGTCGGCCATGGTCGCGAGATTGGCGGTGGTGGGGTTGTAGGGAGGGTTGACGAGGGGGGATCGGCTCGGGGACGAGGTCGACAAGAGTCGCGTGGTCGGTCGCAGGAGGTGGAAGGTCGAAGGCGAGGCTGAAGAGGCTCCTCGTCCAAGGCTGGCGGTATAAACGTGGGCTGAACGAAGTGAAGAAGAAGGAGAGAAGAAGAAGCGCGCAACGCTAGTCATTAAGAGACTTGAATGGGTTTTTGCAAGGGGGGTGTGAGTGGAGGGGCAGAGGAGCGGAAGGGGAGGAAAAAGACGAACGAGGGGGAGGGGTCACGATTCGCTGGGCGCTGGGCTGCGAGGACTCACACACACACACACACACACAAACATGGACTGACTGGTAATAGCTTTGTCTCCCGCAATGAAAAAAAATTGCGGACCGGGCCCCAACCTGAGTCACCAACCCATTCGTGCCTGTGGTTGGCTGCTCACCGAGAGTGTCGTCCTCACCGAATGAGGGGTAACAGTGACATCCCGAGGGGCTCAGTGCACCGAGAAAATGCCCCGCCATTGACCGATCGGGAGGGTGGGGAGGCTCGGTGAGGACGTAGACCTCTGCCCGATGACTACTTTTCGTCTGCTGCGTCAAGAACACTGCGTTGGCTCATCGCTGGATGAGTTTCCAACGTAGGACCCTAGCAATTGAGTCATACTAGGTCCCAGAAAGACTCATCCTGTTCCTTGACTGAGCTCGACTGAACTCGTCTTTCGATCACGCTGACTATTCCTGAGCTCTGATACTTTGATTCTGGGCTCTACAGAACCATACTAACTGGTTGGAGGGTCAATTTTGTACATTGGGAGATCCGAAGGAGACATCTATATTCATCAGAGTCTTACTCGTTGATTACTAATCTATTCCCGACTTCATTCATTGCTCTCTTACAACATACGTAACTAATCTTCATCTCAGTCTTCAACGTCAACATCAAAGGCAGAATGTTTGCATTTGGACAGGCTCTGATAATACCAACATATCATAGGCCTCAGTGTAAAAGCATCCAGTCTAAATTGGCTGAGTCTAAAGTCTCGCCGCACTCGCCCGTACCAACGACTGCGCGCGGTGGGGTGGTTGTCAACCTTGACAATAGATGAGATTCACACCACTCGGACGATTATCGACTCACTTGACCACACGGAGAAAGCATGAGATATCTTCAACTGAAGTCTTTACATTCTGCTGAGCGATTAGCCAACTTGCTTCACTCCGCCTCCATCGTTTCTTCGGCGTTGTCCCTGGGCCTGGTCTGCGGTCACCTTGGCAGCTTCCGCGAATCGTCTTCATTTCATCATAGTCCAATTATCCTACGAACCCGTTGGTATATACCTCGTCATTACAAACATGCAACTAGAACGAATACTCCTCAACAAACAAATGAATACCCTGCGCCCCCGTCCCCTTGTGAACGGCCCTCTCGTCCGACAGCGCAGCCACGCAGTTCCTGACCGAGCTCGTCAACGACTGCCCTCCGCATACCACAACCGACGTCTCCCCGCCCGAGGCCTCCACCGGCTGCCTGATGAGCTCCTCCAGGTCCGGGCGGCAGTAATACTCCCTCACCGAGCCCGTTGTCGAACCGCTCCGCCGCCGCGGCGTCAGGGCCACCGCGTCCCCCTTTTCCAGGTCCAGCACCCCCTTCTCCTGACAGCACTCCCCGTCGTCGACGGAACCCTCCGACACGGCCCTGCGATGCTGCACCGACGATGAGCTCGTGCCGGAACCCCCCTCGCGGTCCGAGTACAGTACCGTCGTCGCCGCCTCGCCCTCCCTCGCCTTGCCCGACCTCGTGATGGCGATGTGCACCTGCAGCTCGATGCCGGCCTGCTGCGCCCGGTCCATCGACTCGCGCAGCCGGTGCGTGTAAAACTCAATCTCCTCGCCCTGGCACGCCAGGAGCACGAACTCGATCCTCGTCGTGCACGTCTTGCGCCGGCCCTGCACGATGCTCTCGAGGATCGGCAGCGTGAACGACGCCCCCGTCGACGCCGAGATGAGCACCATGGTCTCGTAAATGTCCCACCGCGGCGGCGCCCCGTACGGGCCCATGACGAACCCCGTCAGCGTCTCCTTGTTGCCGGACGCGTGCGCCTTTTGCGCGTACCGGTGCAGCCGCTTCGAGAAGCCCCCGTGCGCCCGGATGACCAGCTGGATGCTGTTGCAGATGCACGTCTCCGGCAGCTGGTGCGCGCAGGCAATGGTGTACGGGTGCGCCTCGAAGGGCCCGACGCGGGGGAGCCAGAGGTACAGGTGTTGTCCGGCCTTCCAGGAGAAATGCACGTCCTTGATCGTCAAGACCGTCGTCGACGACCCTACCGCCTGCACCTGCACCTCGTGCCCGACGCGCTTCATGCCCTTGCACGTCGACTTGTTCGGCCGCAGCCTCGTGTTCTGCCAGGCGAGGAACGCCCACCTCGCGAGGCGGTCGAAGCAGATGAGCGCGACCGTGAACCAGAGGTACTGCCTCGCGTACTCGGGGATGTGGACGTACACGAGCCAGATGAAGATGACGCCCGAGAGTATGTGCTGCGCGACGAACAGCTCGTACGCCATGCCGCGGAGCGGGCGCATGCCGGTGAGGAACGTCCAGATCAGGATGCCCCACGCGCCGAGGCCGTACTTGATCACCGGTAGGATCCTCAGCTGCGTCTCGACAAAGTCGGCGCGCACCCACTCGGTCCAGAAGTGGAACCCGTGCACCGTCGCCGTGACGAACATGGTCCTCGCGACCCAGCGGTGCAGCCAGTTGAGCCGCTCGTGCGAGATGCCGGCGATGAAGCCGACGACGTTGACCTTCATCGCGAGGAGGTAGACGAGCGGCATCTGCATGACCGTCACCCAGGCGTTGCGGAAGCCGATGCGCTCCCAAAAGTAGGCGTCCTTGATAACGGCGTTGTCGGCCATCATGTAGATGATGACGGCCCAGTAGGCCAGCAGGACGAGCACGCGGCCGAGCGGCGGCGGCGTCGCCCATCGCAGGCCCTTGATGGGGATGTAGAGCTGCGGGTGGCCCGCCTCGCGCACGATGGCCGTTGCCGTGGCCCATATCTGGGTGATGCGGTTCGACGGGCGGGTCGGGAACCGTACGGACTCGGAGCGACATCGTCTTAACCTAGAGGGGAGTGTTCTGTTGAGTTATCAAAGACGCGAGAGCGAGGCCCGAGAGCAGGAGAGGTTTCTCACCTTCTGAGGCCTTCGAGGTAGTTGATGCCCCGAATGATGCCGAGGAACCCCACGACGCCGGCGATGATGTACCAGAACGACTGCGCGAGGTGGATGTTGGTTTCCTGGAATAGCGCCGTTCCCATCGTCATGCCGCCCATTCCCATTCCCCCTCCGCTTCCTCCTCCATGATTATGGCTCATTGCGTTGGCGTAAGATTAAGAGCCCCGAGTGGGTGCGCGGCAGTTGTAGGCTCCAGGCGCGAGGGCTGTTCCGCGTCCGCCTCAAATGGTCGACGATATCCAGCGCCGTCGGTTACGAAGTGTCCGTTTTTTACAGTCGTCGGCCAGACTGTATCGAGGAGCGAAAACACCCGATGTGAAATGTGGTAAAAAGGCAGCACCGCGCCAAGGTCATGAGGTAAGACGAAACCACGAAACCATCTCACAAACGGATCGAACCGCCCTCACTTGCCCATAAACGTGAGTAAAGTGTGCCGACTCTCTGCCCGGAACGAAAACACAACCAGCCTACGAGAGTTCCAGCGGCCCGGCGTTGCTCGTGTTTGAAGTCGGGGAATCCGATCAGCGATGAGGTGAATTGAGCAAGTTCAAGAAGGCAAAGGCTCTCGGCAGCATAAGCAGGATGCCAGATGTGAGTAAAGATCAGTCAAAGGTAATTATGGAATGGCTCGGTAGCACAGGAAATGCGCGGGTTTAGGAAGAGGCTGCCGGAGGATCGTTGCTAGCGCGCTGCGGCCCAGGACGCATCCGAACGGGCATGGTCATGGCATGAGTAGCGGGAGGGCGGGATGCCTCACATGAGGCGGCTTGACGTGACGATGCGTCCTGCTGGAGTACATCATAAACCCAAGGCCACGGCACGACATGCCTGTTCCTTGGTTGTCGAGGATGGACGTCTCGGCTGCACTTCCACTTGACACTGGGCAAGGCCTTGTTAAACGACCTGCCAGATCCCAACTTTGGAGGAAGTTTCTCTGCTTTGATGTTCGGAACGCTTATTCGGAGGGGCCGGTTTGATAACTTCCTGGCCGTCAAATCTTGTTCACACTTACACCCAGCTTGGTCGTCTCTAGTAGCCCGTCCCTTCAAATGCTTATCCTTCACATCTGCTCTCTTTTACTTCCCGCCTTTTTTTTCAAACAGCCGCAAATCACCAACATGTTTGCCCCTGACATTCCCAGGGTCTTCAGCACGGCACCCGGGGCCATCCAGGTATTAAACCCGCCGGACATGTTGCCTCAGAAACATGCTCAGGTTGTTTGATCCCTCATCCCACTTGGTCTTCTTTGAACTCACCCTGAGCCCAGAGCAGGGGTGCTCCCAACCCGCACGCGCGCAGACGCCACAATTTGCTCAAAACCTCTCAATGACATCCCCTTCCGGCCCTGTGATTGGTGCGACCCTAGTCAGAGAGACAACGAGCCCCTGCGCACATCTCTGAGCTAATCCGATCAAGGTTAACTACCATCCCTCCCACTTTGGCTCTTTTGCAACGGTATGTGTGCCCACCCCTGCGACGTGTTTCTTCTCGTAGTACGGAGCAGTATCATGGGCGGTCAAGGAGACGCCGCTGAAGACAGCTTAAACTGCATATACAATAGTACTATGTATTATATCGAGGCCTCGGGATTCTCTTTGCAAGAGCCTCGCCGTCTGGCTTGGGTGTACTTACATTGTAGAATATGGCCCTCCAGAGCAAGCCTGCGCAGAGCCGGGGCGACATCCCGTTGTCCCTGCATGTCATGTTAGAAGGAGGCGAACATGCAACCCCCATCATCGTGAAGCTCTGGAGCTAGTCGGCGGAGCATGCAGTGAGCAAGTTTTACCTCATCTCTCTCTCACCAGGAGGAGCCAAGCAGCCAGGCCAACCACGGCCACCTTCCTCTAAAGTCTCGAATTCATGTGCCGTGTTCCGAGAAGAAAGTGGCCGGCTCGTCGTATCTGACCTCGTCGTTTATCCCCGGGATCCCAGAGCTCCGTCGTAGGTAATTCCCTTGGCCGCAGCCATGCGGCAGCACTCGCCATTCTCGCCACGACTCGCATGTACCTCGCGTGTCCGTCGACAGAGTGCTCAACACAGTCCGACGAGGTCGGAACACGAAAAGAGAGCTTTGCTGTTACCCAACCTAGGCTCGTTCGAGACAACCGGCGCAACCAGGCTAGCCCTACAGGACAGGACAGGACAGGACTGTTGCTCGGGACAGTTTCCCCCTCCCCCAATTGACCAATTCCTATCCTCGCGCCGCCGTTCATAAACAGCCCGTGTGGCCCCGTCAACCTTGTCTCGGTCCTTCATCATCTCACCTCTATCCCAACTCACAATACATCTGAACTCGCGCTGCGCGCCGTCACGTCCGGATCTACAACAACCAAACCCATACCGTCTAATCATCGCCTCGTCAATCAAACACTCTATCCAACAGACCCTAATACAATCCCATCAAACAACCGCCACAATGACTCGCATCCTGCTCCCCCTTCTCGCCCTCTCCTCCCTCGCCACGGCGCACTTCTCCCTCACCCTCCCCAAGCCCCTCGGCGACAGCGACGACAACGAGGCCACCGCCCCTTGCGGCGGCTACACGGCGTCGTCGTCCTCCGAGACGACCGACTTCTACGTCGACGGCGACGCCATCGGCATGGAGAACGGCCACCCCCAGACCAACTGGCTCTTCCGCGCCACCCTTGACCGCACCGCCGCCGGCGGATGGACCCAGATCTTCCCCATTGTCCTGCAGACCGGCCTCGGCAACTTTTGCGAGCCAAAGATCGCCGTGCCGTCCAACTTCACCGGCCAAAAGGGCATCATTAGCGTCGTGGCGCACTCGCCCGACGGCCTGCTGTACACTGTAAGTCATGTGAAAAAACCCTCCATGTTTCCCTATCGGAAGCCTCTCCGGGGATCCGTGAATGTTCGCGGAAAAAATGAGCCTCGACTAACACACCCGCGCGCCAGTGCGCCGCCGTGAACTTTGTCTCCGGCACGGCCCCCACCCGCTCCGACTGCAAAAACGCAACAATCACCGCCGACTTTACCTCCGACCCGACTCTGACCGCCCTCCTCACCGGCGGCGACGCCTCCGCCAGCGGCACGCCCTCCAGCTCCGGCTCCCCGGCCAGCTCGGCCTCCACTACGCCCAACGCCGCGCCCCGCATGGCCGGGAACCTCTTCTCCGTCGGCGCCGCCGCCGGTGTGTTTGCGTCTGTTGCCGCTGCTGTTGGCGGAGCCGCCATGCTTTTCTAGATAGTATTTTGCAAATGAAAGCTTCGAGGTTGAGAGAACCTGCCTGTACATTGTAAAACATCGGACTATGAGGTTTGCATTGGTCGAAAAGAGGGACGCCGGGCAGTTTTGTGCTATGGGGCGAACCTGCGATTGTCTATGGAAACAACGAGAAGACATTGAGTGCCAGACACGAGACATGGACTACTCGCGATCCAGGGCTCTCAGAACACGTACGTCATAGTTGCGCCTCGAGTTCTGATGTGTCACCCGCGTGCATGCCCAGCCGAACAAGAACGCAGAGCTGCTAGAGCTGGATATGAATAGGACACTATACTCTATGTATATAGGGGATGGGCCCCCTGTTCTGTACAAGTTACACGAAACAACATCATTCGCCAGATGCCCTTTTCCTTCTATGATCATGAGTGCACAAGTCAAAACTCCTCCATAGCGGATACGTGCCGCATTACAACCGACCCCTAACTCTCCAAGGGCCACGCGCGCCCGCTGCACCAGCAGCGCCAACCCCAAAGTTGTGAAGCCTCTCGCCAATCAGGTAGGCCTCATCCCTGATGCGCGCCTTCCAGTTGTTGAACACGCCCACGATGCTCCAGAAAGCCATTGCTGCCAGTGCGCTGAACGCCGCGGCAGGATAGGATAGACGGTAAATCATCTTGAGTTCGTGAGGTGCAGGTCCAGGTGCTCCAAGGAGGCCGTGAGACTCCATCCAACCCACCGCGTAAGGAGGCCCAAAAATTGCCAGGCCCCCGATCAGGAGCCCAGGCACGACGAACGCTCTTGTCAGTACGAGCACGTCAGGTTGCAGCCAGCCGCGACGTAGTACGGCGCGGACAGCTTGGGCCATGCGAGTGCCTTCATACAGACTGGTGATGGCACGGGCACCAAGCTTGACGTAAAGCAGGCCCAGAGTCCATGACTGTATGACTCTTGTCGTGTGCTGGTTGGTGACGACGATGCCGTCCTTGAACTGTCCGCTATGGCTGGTCTCAGTGATGTAGGGCGTAGGCGGATACACGTAGGTGTGGAGGGGAATGAGGCAGTATAGTTCCATGAGCGCCGTCAGGATCAGAGGGAAGACGACTAGAAGGATGGTATATGCATAAGCAAGCCTAGCAACTTGAATGCCCATGAGCGCGACTCCCATCGGAGCATCACTCTGCCACACGGACTGCAGAGTAGACGAAGCCCAAGCCGCCATCTTTTTAAACACGGTGCGGGCATGGAAGAGGAAGTAGGCGGCCGAACCTAAAATGTAGATGCCGATGCTGAAAGCATATATATCGTTGGTCCGGATGTGAGCAGGGATGAGGACCTTAAACATCTTGCGACCGAAAACGAGAGGCACAATTGTGAAGCTCACGCCTGTAACGGCGGCAAAGATCCAGATGAACATGATGAACAGGAAGACCCTGGCCCGAAAGTGCGGCGGGATGTACACCAGCTGATATTGGTCCGTCGAGTAGAGGTCTGTGTCGGGGGAGTCGGCTTTGCCGTCCAGACGCGAGTTGTTCTCAGAAACCGGCATAAAGACGCGTCTTCCCTTGGGTATCTTGACCTGGTCCGACGCAGGTGTGCGCACAAAGTGACCATCTTGGATCAGCTGTCCGGTTTCGACAAGGCGGGCTTTTCTGAGACTCAAAATGATCATTTGATCATTTGGAATCGAGGATGTTGGCTTGGCTGTGCCACCCTCGAAGGTGTCTTCCCATGTCTTTGGTACAACTTTGTTCTGCTTGTTGACCTCCAGAAACCACCGCCTCCACCATGGTAGATTCTGAAGATCCGAACCTGGACGCAAAGCCAGAATCCCTTCTTCGTCAATGCGACGCTCGCCGAATAGGAACCAGGTTAGACGCAGTCCTCGAGCGCATTTTCGGAACCACCAGGTATACATAGCGTGTAAGCCATCGCTGGGCTTGAAGAATTTGACGGCCAGAGGCATTGCAAAGTTGTAGAACAGCAAGTCGACAGGGAACTCCAGCACAGGCTCGTTGGAAGAGTAGTGAATCGGCAGAACATTGGGGAGACTGAGAGCCAGGCCCCAGACCACACCGCCGAGGCAAACGATGACAAGCGCTCCGTACACAAAGGCAGAGAATAGAATCTTCCGCAGCTGGGTCATGACGTTGCGCTCCAGTACATCACGGACGGGATGGAACTCCGGGTCATCGGGATCACGAATGAAGTCTGTCAGAGTTAGCAGGCGAACGGATAAGACACAAGACTGAGAAACTTACAGAGAACGCCTTTGCGCATGATCTTGCGGCACATGGAGACGAACAGGGCAAAGTGGAACATGTACCCTGTTCCCACGAACCAGTGCACAAATATCGAGGTTAGCGGGAAGTTGATCGTGAAGGCGACCCGTGATTTGAGGGTGGTAGCCTCGAAGAGGGGGAGAAGAGCCACGTCCAAGAGGAGACCGCAGTATAGCGGGAAAATGAGCATCTCGATGCTAATGATAAGAATGACTTTCATAACGCCGCTGGCCTGGTTAAGCAAGTCGATCAGCGAAGCCTCCCATTCCTGGCCTGTCTGTCCAGTGGAAAATGGGGAGCCGCGTCGCAAGTAGAGCGCACTGATGGCCGAGAAAGTGAAATATCCGCAGAGAATCGCCCAGAATCTGTCGGTGCCTGACCAGTACGATAGCGCGGGATTGACGGCCGTCGAGGGCTCAGGCACACTAAAGCTGATCACCCACGAGCCAGGGTTGAGGACGCTGGGGGGAAGGTCCTGAACCGCGTTCCACGCATACATAATTGCGTTCGCCAAAAGGGATGCCACATGCCTGGTGTTTGCTACGAGGTCGCGGTCGAAAACAGAGCTCAGGATGTCGCCTACAGCAACAAGTGAGTCAGACAATGAAGATTTGAAGTTTAGAAGTGCTTCGTGACTGATGGCGGAGAAGTTTTGCATCTCGGTAGTTGAGATGATGGGCAACTCGCTGGTGAGGCTTTCGAGAACCCGGCTAGACGCGCTCATGAAGATGTTGAAAGTCTTCGTCATGAGTAATCCAACACCGTTTCCGGCCGGGAAGCCCATCATTCTTCCTGTCGTGTAGATGAAGGATAAAGCGAGACTGCCCAGTCCGGCCATGACACCGACAGCTACGTCTTGAATGAACTTGGTCATGCTGAAAAGCATACGGACGAGGCGCATGGGGTTCATAGCTGCCCAAACGCTGATCCGTCCGAGGTTGTAAGGTACGAAGACACAGACAAAGATCGTGACTGAAACGAGCACAACGCAGAAGATGGCATTTTGGAAGAGGCCGGCGATGGGTCCGCGCATACCGATTAGTTCCATGATACCCTCGAAATCTTCAGCGTCATCGATGGCTTCAGGGTCAAGGCCGGCGGCCACGGCAGCTTCGACGACCTCGCGGTCCTGTTCATTGCCGTCCTGGTCATCATCGTCCATATCGTCCTCGAAATCATCGTCATCGCTGTCATGGTCGTGGTCATGGGCGGCCTCATCATCGCGTCCACCTATGTCCAGCTCTCGAATCTCGATATCCCCCCACATGAAGTCGGCAACTCGGTCCATGACTCCTCGCTGAAGAGGCGGACGCTGAGCCACTCGACTGTCTTCGGCTTCTTGGGGCATGCCGTTGGTTTCATCGACCGCTTCGACGGCGATGCCAGTGTCTCGTCGCGGGCCAATGCCGTCTGCGGGCTGCGCCTCCAGCTCTGGATGATCGAAAATGCCGTTCTCCTGAGAAGGCTCCGCAGTGCCGAACCCGAGATCCAAGTCGGAGCCATACTCCAGGCAACTGGTACGGGGTGTAGTGGAGCGACCAGCAGAAGGTCCAGTGACACGAGCTCGAGGATTGGCATCGAACGTTTGCAGCGGCTCTTCAACCTCGGGCTCAGCTGGAGGTAACGAGTTCAAACCAGAGAAAGACCAGCTGTTGTTTGCCAAGGGGTTGATGGTATCATTCCGTTGTGGGCCGTCGGAGACAGATCTAGGTCGAAGAGGGCTTTGGAAAGGTGTTGACCTCAACTCACTTGCACCCTCGCCGCCAGCAATAGGTTCTTGGTGATCTTGCTGCACGGCCTTGCCCTTTCCTTTGGCACTTTCATCGGTGCTGCTTTCACCTGAGGCATGGATCGGCCAGGAGAACTGAGGCGTTGAAGGGGCGGGTAGCTGAACTGTGAATGGGGGCGGGGCTGGCGAACCTCCAGAATTCGAGGGTCCATCAGATCTAGAGTCGTTGTTTTTCGGCTGCGGGACGCCCGTCTCTCGGTTCTTATCCATCATAGACTTTGTGATCCTGGCCCAATAACCCAGTGGCTCATCCAAGTCCTCCTCCTCAATGATCTTGAGAATCTTTTCAGGATCGCCATTGGCTTGGCGATAGATGCGAAGGTATTCATGGACAGTGGCGACAGGAGTCTGCGCATCCTTGTCCTTGTCGGAACTGCTCTCTGGTGGCGTGTTAAAGTCAAAATCTGGTTCAGCGTTACCGTAAGCGCGTGGACCGAAAGCATCAAGTGGCCTTGGCAGTGAGGATTCCGCGACTTCAGCTGTCGCTTCTTGGTCACTCCAAGCCACATGAGGCATGCCGTCTTGACCTCCAGGTCGCTCGCCAGTCGTCGATTCGTCATCCTCATCACTTTCACTCGGCCCTCTCAACTCCTCGTCTGGGAAGTTATTTAGCATGTCGACGTCGTCATTAGGCTCGTGATGATGATGCTGATGCTGATGCTGCTGTTGTGCCTGAGGCTGAGCCTGCTGGTTATCGTTGGCAGCGAAGGCAGCCCGCATGTTGATTTCCGGCTGTTGCTGGACAACGTAGTCGCGAACCAGGATGACGAGAATGAATGAGATGATGACCAAAATCGTAATGATCTGACCTTCGAGCACGCCAATAATGGTCCGGTTTACTACTGGGTATCTGGTCATGTTACGCAACCACGACACGCCGCTTAAGAGAGACGGGTGGCGATCCAGAACAGGGTCACTGCCCCCAGCGAGTGTCGCGGTTGAGTTGTTGGAGCCTGAGGACGTGATGGACCCGAGCAGCATTCTCAAGAGCGCAGCCGACATGGAATCATTGGTTGTGATATTGACACCGTGAAAGGACTGGCTGAACGGGAGTTCCTGGCCCTGGATGATATCCTTCAGCATGCCTCCCAAGTTTGCCGGCGTCGTGGTCGGTTCCAAAAGAGGTGATGCCGGGCAAACGTTGGAGTTGGCAACAGAGAAGGCCACCGAGACGCCTCGGCTGACGGTCGCATTCGAGCTGTTCCACAGAGCGCCGCTACCCAGTCCTTCATCGCTGACCCAAAACAAGAAAGCCCAAACGGATCGCATCAGGTAGGGCAGCCAGCAAAGCCAGACACTGATGACCAGCGCAGCCCGCAACCACACAAGTACGTTCCTGAAGAGATACTTGGTCATGTGGCCGACGAAGACGTGGGCAGGCAACGTCTTGGGCATTTTTGGCGAGTACAGCTTCGTGAAGCGGAATGGCGTCTTGCAAAGCTCGCAGTGTTTCTTTTGCGAGTGGGAGAGCCATTCCATCAAGCAGTCCTGGTGGACGTATTTGATGCTGCCGCTGCATTTGCACGGGTAGAAGAGCGGCTCTTCGGCGGTTGCCTCTCCTCTGCAAATGCGGCAAGTGTCTGGATCGAGTGCGCCAGCATCGTTCGCTTGGGATCGTGGCCTCGCAGTATCGTGGAAGGCAGAGACAGTCTTCGAAGACGACAAGCGCCGTCGTGAGTGCGCGACAGCGTCGGCGGCCATGAGTGGCTCCATCGCGGGGTCGTCCATACTGATTGAGTTGGAGTCAGAGTCGGAATCGGTGGTGGCGGCGGCGGCGGGGACGTAAGCCCTTTGCTGAGATGCAGATCTATTAGGAACGCATGAGTGCCCCTAGACGATGGACAGTAAAGAGGTCGAATGGACAGAAACTCGTAAGCAGGGTTGACGATGGTCGCGGCTCGGATGGGAAATTCGAGGTATGGACACGTGAAGAGAAACTCGCAGGGTTCGAGGTCGAAGTCGAAGTCGGAGCTACGCAGCTCGAGAGACAGGAATAGATTGCGGGGGCAGGCGAGAGCTACTTGGCGAAGCAGATTGCCGCACAAGTCGACAAGTGATGAAGTGACAAGAAAGAGAGGACGAAGACGAAAGAGGTTTGGGTATCATAAATCGTCAAGGCATACAAGCCACTCCAGAACATCCGTGATACTGGGGATTGGATGGTGGATTAATTAAATCGACCGAGATCCCTTGCGCTGAGATGGCTGAAGGTTCAGGTCCAAGTGGCAGCGGCAGTGGCAGTGGCACATTGACCCAACTGGCTGGCGGGTCCCCGTCGAGTCCGCAACCGCGGTCCGAGCAGGGGTCTGGTACATGACCCGGATCTTTGGATCATCCGCCCCGTGCCGGCTCCGCTGAGTGAGTCCTCGCTACCTAAGCTAATCCGAGGTGCACGTGACCCAGTTCCTCCAACTCGAATCCCCCAATTAATTGGTTTGGAGAAGGAGGGCCAAAAACACAATAGTGTAGAATGGCATTGCCTGCTGCAGCATTATGTCATTGTGCCTTTGCCATGTTGCGGTGCACCTCAACGTTTTTGATGATTCTTCCCACTTCGGCGTCATTGAAGATCAAGTTGAGTACTCGACTGGCGCGAATGCACAGAATTTAACGTTATGCGAAAGGAAGTTGAAGTGCAAGTAAATATCTGAGCAAATTAAGACCACGTCAATACTGGCGCAGTAACAGAATCACCGTATTGCACGAAAAGGAAAAGCACATGCCAGACCAGATGGTGTTTCTTGTCGTTATGGAACTTCGGCTAGGCCCTAGGGTCCAGAAGTTGGGTAATCACCTCGGATCAAGACAGCAGCAGCAGCAGCAGCAGCAGCAGCATCATCGTCGTCGTCACATGGGTCGTGCAAGATGGTGCAAGATGCCCGGCCACTCGGCTGCACATTCCCGAACTCCAAAAGTCCAGGGAATTCAAGCTGGTGAGCCACACTTGCGTGCGAACGATGCAATGCTGCATCACTAGAGCCTCGTCTGGCCCACTTGATTGGACCCTGGCTGGCGTGTTTCGAGGGGTTGTGGCTCATGGACGACGGCGTGGTTACCGTCTGCCAATCATTCAAACCAGTCCGTGCCTGCGTGCCTCCCCTAGCAGGGTTGTTCAACAGTCCCAATGTCTCGTTCCATGCGGAGGTATGGTGAGGACTGGACATGGGATGGATGGCAACAGGCATCGACGCGAGGGTGGGCCGGTGCCAGCGCGGGAGACGAGCTCGACGTAGGTAGGTCGAGGGTGCGAGGGCGGAAGAGATAGGTAACTTGGCGATCTGTGATGCCTTGCTGACCTGCTTGTTGTTATCCGCATGCTCACCAACGTGTTTGGTTGGTTGGTAGCACGCGATGGAAGCAATAGCTGTAAAGACGATGACGTTGGTGAGACATTCCACGGGGTGCTGCTCCGAGGTGGCAGGCAGCTCTTGCGCGCCCTCAGATGCAGATTTCCAACAGGCTAGTGGTGCCGCTAGAGCTCGACGTCTCACTTATGTAAGCTTCCCCAAGTGAAGTACCTTTTTTCAGCAATCGCAGCGCAAAAGTACCTGCGTGTACATGCCCGGGCGCCCCTCCTCCTCAGGCCAGACACTGGCGAGGAGGAAAAACTTGGCCCAGAGTAGGAACTGGCCAGGCTGGAATGGTCACCTCCTACGTAGGTAGGAAGGAAGGAAGGAAGCACAACAACAAGAAACTGACTTTTTTGCATCAAAGTCCCCTTTTCATTCTCCTCCTTTGTTATCTTCTCTCCTCATCACCTTCCTTCAAGCCGACGACGTGGCCAGAGTGTCCCCTCCTTTCGCCGTCTTCCCACATACGACAGAGGCAGCGTGTCCCTTGACGACCTGAAGCAAAACAAAAAACCATCGCCATCCTGAAGGTAGATCAATCATCATGAACTCCTGGCCCCACAATCCTACCCCCAAAAAGTCCCAGTCACCACTGCCCACTCCCCTGCAATCCATTGGTGCTACCCAGCTTTTGGCCGCCCAGCCCGGCCTAGCCCGCCTGAACCGGCCCATGTCCGCCGCCGACTGGGACTGCGACATCTGAAAATCATCAGAGCTCCTTGTGCAACCAACCAGCCCGTTATCCTTTTTTCCCTATCCTCCCTCGACCTTGCTCCTACTTGACGTCTTCGCCCTCGACTTGTTTTTTTCTCTTGGTTCTTCCTTCCATCATCCCTTAACTGACCAACCTACTTAGCTCAACGCAGCTTCGAGTACCGCATCCTCTCGTCTCCGACGCGTGCATCCGGTTTACCTCGCCGCCCGCCCGACGCTTTTCTCTCTCCAACCTCGCCGGTAACATACACAAACTCACGTCACGCGCAAGCGAGCCGCCTGGTAATCTCCAGAACGCACGACCCTCCGTCATGGAGGCTACCAGTGGCTATGCCAACGGCTTCCCCAAAGTACCGAACGGAAAGATTAACGGAAAGCCAAACGGCAAGATGAGCGGACAGGCTGTGACTATCAAGAGGAGGACAACTCCGAAGCGAGGACCGACCCTGCTCGGCCGCTCATTTAACATGGTCGCAAGGTTGGTGCACACATCCCCACTGTCGTCATGGCGATAGTTACACTTGGCCAAGACCCCTTGACTGACGACGCAACCCAGGATCCTGACTTGGTATTCCATCATATCAATCCTCTTCCGCTGTCCTGCGAACCTCGAGGCCTGCGACGAGTCCTCTCCCAAGATTTGCAAGCCGTACTTCCAACTGAAACACGCCGTAACACCCCACCTCGAGCCTTACTATTATACCTACGCCGCTCCCTACGTCGAGAAGGCGACGCCCTACTACAACATCGCCAACGAGAGAGTATTTGTCCCTACCAAGGCCTACGCCACCAAGTACGGCGGTCCCCGCCTGCAACAGGCCCAAGCCTACGGCCAGGCGCAATGGGACAAGAACATCCACCCCAAGCTCGCTGTCTACCAGAAGCAGGCTCAGGAGAAGTATGACCAGACTGTCGCCCCCCATGTCGCCAAGGCTTCGACCACCGTAGGCCCCTACTACGACATCGCGCGCACTAATGCTCTGCAAACCTACCACGATGTCATCCTACCCTCGTACCGGTTCGTCCACCCATACGCCGCACAGGGCTATGCCGTCGCCTCTCAGTTCACTACCGAGACGGCTGTTCCGTCCGCCTACTGGGCCTGGAACAAAACGTACAGCTTCCTCGACGCCACTGTTTGGCCCCAGTTCCGTGTTTTGTACATTGAAAATGTCGAGCCCCAACTGGCTAGAATCGGACAGCGCCTTGGTCGCTACAAGAACAAGACCAAGGGATCGCTCGAGAACGTCTCTGAGAGGTAAGGAAACATTGTCCTCCATGTTCACCACCCGTAACGAGAGACTAACAACCTGTACAGTGCCACTGCTAAGGCATCTTCTTTCACCAAGCCTGCGGCTTCAACCGCCTCCACCGCCGCTTCTTCTGTTTCCTCGGCTGTCTCATCCGCTACAGAGAAGGCTTCCGTGGCCATGGAAAGCGCGCATATTCCAGACGAGTCCGAGGTCGCTCAGCACGACAAGTCGGAGCAGGTCCACGCGCCCCCGCCTGGCGAGGACGAGTCTGACCTTCGCAAGACCGCACGCGAGATTGTTGCCGAGGATCTTAGCAGCTGGCAATCCAAGTTCGCCAAGGCTGCCGAGGAGGGTGCTTCCGAGATTGAGGACCGTGTTCAGGAGATCTCCGAACGCGTGATCAAGGAAAAGGCCCATGGTCAGGGCAAGGCGCTTGTCGCCGAGCTCCAAAACGCTGCCATCACCGAGATTGATGCTTTGCAGAAGCAGATTATCAAGCTTGTCCAAAAGTCAGCCGACACCCCCGAGGGTGTCCAGGATGAGCTCTTTGCACATGTTCGGAAAGCTGGACTCAACGTCAAAGAGAAGGCGCAGAAGATTCGTGTCTGGAAGGACGAGTACGAGGCCGACATCGAGAGTGCTGTTACCGAGGCCGCTGATGAGCATTTCAAGATTCTTGAGAGCATCCGTGACTTGGCACTTCAGAAGATTGGAATGAAGTGGGCATGGATGGACGGCATCACCTACAAGGATTGGGCCAAGTACCATGAGCTGAAGGACCGCTTCGACGAGTGGACCATGGACCTGAAGAAGCTCATCATTACCCATCCCGGCCTGGAGAAGGCACGCGAAGCCTCGAACGAGGTTGAGGATTCAGGCATGGCTGCTGCTCAATCTGCTGCACAGGACCTCGCCAAGCTTAAGCAGGTTGGCCTCTGGAAGCTCACCGCTCAGGATTCTTCCGACAACTTCGACAGTGAAACTGCCCGCCTTGCCGCCGAAGAAGCCGAGCGCCTTCGTGCCGCCGAGGCGTCCGCCACTCCCTCTGAGGCCATCTCCACCCCTGAGGAAGACCCTCTGGAATCGGCTGCCAGCGTGATCGAGGACGAGTCGCCCGCCACTGACCTTGGCTCTGACGGAGCGGCAAGCTCCGTTAGCAGCGTTGCTAGCGAAGTCAAGGAGAGCCTCAGCAGTGCCATTCCCGCTGTGTCTTCTGCCGTGTCCGAGTCCGCCAGCAGCGTCGCCAGTCAAGCGTCGAGCGTTGTAGCCGGCAGCTCGTCCAGCACTGCTTCGGGACCCGACCTGGCATCCACCATCATTCCCGGTAAAGACCAGACTTACGTTGTCGGCACCGATGGATCGTCGCCTGCCGGTGATGAGGAGAACGCTGTACCTGGCGAAAAGCTCGAGGAGGAGATCATCCCGGAGTCTGCGGAGGACAAGCCTGTTGCTGCCGATACCGAGACTGTAAAGCCCGCCTTTCTCGGGGCTGCCGCGCAGTCTGTCTCGAGCAGAGTGCCCATTCTGGACGACGATGAGGACGCCGACAGCGTTTCTTCCAGGGCTCAGGAGGCCTACTCTGCCGCCATTTCCAAGGCTTCCGAGCAATATTCCTCTGCCAGCGCTGCCATCTCTGCCAAGATTTATGGCACCCCCCAGCCGACGCAAGAAAAGCTGATTGCCTCTGCTTCTGGTGCCTATGCCGACGCCATCGCGGCCGCCAGCTCCCGTTACGATGATGCCGTCAAGGCAGCCTCCAAGGCCCTTTATGGCACTGCCCCCGCCAAGTCTACCCCTTCCTATGATTGGGCCAGCGTTGAGGCCATCGCCTCCCAGCGTCTGAACGAGGGACGCCTGTGGGCTGAGCAGCAGTACGAGAGTGCTAAGATTGCGCTTGGTCTTGCCACTGCTACCCCTACTTCCCAGGTCGAGAAGCTCCTTGATCAAGCCAAGTACAACTACTATGCTGGCCTGGGTGTCGCTCATGCTCGCTACTCCGAATTCCTGGCTGCCGCATCCTCGGCCTTGAGTTCCGCGACGGCGACCCCTACTCCTACTAATGTAGCTGGCACTGCGTCCTCTGTTGCCTCCGTTGCCACTCGCTCGGCCGACGCCGTGGCTTCTGGAGCGCAGAAGGAAGCTGTTGCCGTAGCATCCGCCGTCAGCGATGGCTTCTCGGCAGCCGCTTCCATCGTCAGCGATTCCGTTTCCGCCGGCGTCCAGGAGGTTGTGGATGCTGCGCAGGCCATCGAGAAGGGGGTTTCAGATACCTGGGAGGCCGTGGTGAGCCGCGCCAGCATTCAGATCTATGGCAAGCCCACACCAACCGCATGGTACGATAGTGCCTACAGCGGCGCCGGACAGTACGCGTCGCAGGCCACTGCAGTCGTTGCTGAGAGTCTTGCAGCGGTTCAAGGCCAAGCTGCTAAGCAGTATGAGGATATTAGCAAACTTGTCTCTGAGCTCCTGGTCGGCAAGGAACCCACTGTCTCCGAGAGCGTTTTGGGTCGCCTGCAAGCTGCCTACTCTACGGGCATTGCCTCCGCCGCCAGTCTTGCCAGCGCTGCTTCGGCCACTGCCTCTTCAGCTGCTTCTGTTGTCACGAACGCTGTCAAGGAGACTGTGCAGCATGTCCGCGATGAGTTGTGAACAACTCGTCTCCAATACTCTCGATACACCACAGAAAGCATGATTGCATGAATAACAGCACACGAAGTCAATCTCAACACGCCTGTTACGGCGAAATCCCCCATCACTCTCTTTTACGTACCAGATACCCTCGCGCCTCGAGTATCGAGGCCGACTAGTCCTGAAGATCTCCTTTTCTATCCGGCTCTCAATTGGCCACCTGTCAGCCCTACTCCCGAAGTTACCGACACTGCCTGTCGCCATTCCGTCCTCTGTAAGAGGGTCTGAGCACCCGATTTCTTTTTTCCTCGTGTCTGAAGTTGAGGGAGGAGAGGAGGGCCCGGCGCGACGATTGTATTGCAACATGGCAGGGCACGAAGCTGGCGTTCGGCATTGGGAAACCGTCGTGTTTATTTGGGAATACAATGAGCGGCTGGCCCAATACTATTTCAAGTTCATGTTTATGTATGCTCACGTGTTATGTTTGCCTGTATAGCTACAGTATTTTGTCAATCAAAAATGTTCGACAACGTCGATTGCCAGTGACCCTTGGCGCTTGTGTATGTAGACTGTATTCATACGCTCGGTAATTCGAAATATGTGTCCATTCTTGTTTCCGGTCGTCTGGATGACAAAGTGGTGAGTGGCTTGCGCTGTAAGCTTTCAACTGTATTCAGACGGTTCATGAGAGAGAAATTGCTTTGAGGAGAGCAAAGCCAAAACGGGAGGCACTGATCTTGCGATATGTTGTCTGGGAAGAAGAAAGAAATGGTTTTCACATATTTGGCAACGAAAGTAAGGATGGTGTGAATTTCCGAGCCACATATGCTTCTACCATATTTTCTCAATCACAAGAGTCGTTTCGGCACCTGAATGGCAGTTCACATCCACGTCAATATAATGAATCTTGCTGGGCTTCGCTGTGCCTGCGATTGGCGGAGAGAAGCCCCTTCCTGCCAGGCCGTAGGGGATAAGGTGGGTTGGGTCAGGGTGTTGGTGAAGGGTTGAGCTCAGTGGGTTATTGTGTTGTGGCGAGCAGTTTTACGGAACCCGAGGCAGTTGATTCATCCACAGGCATTGTGGTTGTTTGCATGGTTTCGCGTAGTTTCAAAGTTCCAATATATTGTGTCTCGTGATTACATGATTGTCTACGTTTTCAATATTGGCTTGATTGTTGCTGGAAAGGAAATCGACGAAATCATTACTGAGTTAGGTACAAGGTGTAAAGGCGGCCAACTCACTCAGAAACACATCCATCTGGCCGTACACCCCGACGCAACCTTTGGGATCGCGAGAGGTCTTGTGTGATTCCTCATCCATTCCCAGCTGGTTGTGGCAAGGATTCATAACCCGGTTTACGGCTGGACTTGGCCCCAAGAAAGACTTAAGCGACTTTTTATTTTCTATTTTAGGAACCACAATGATGGGCGGCACCATGTGGTAGAGCGCTCGGTTTTCAGTCCAGTTCTCGACAAGGATGATTGTGCCATGCGTATCTCGACCTGCGTGCGCTCAGGGTAGCGACTTGATTGGTTTGGGTACGGACGCTGGCCAGCATCTATCTGCCTTCTTATTTTCAGGTATAATGCAAAGTTGGTCTATGTAGAAACTTCGCACTCTGTATGAAGCCATACCAGGTCTAACCATCAAACTGAATCCCGCAGTGCGGCTTCATGGGTGCAAATATGTCCAGGGGGCAAGGCTGTGATGCAGTTCGACTGTCGGCAGCCTGGGCTGACTAAGGGGTATACTCACTTATCCGGCCTCAGCTCTGCGATATTACATGGTTGCTTCTCAAGGAATCTTTTTCTTCAATATATGATGTGAGTGGACGAACACGGCTAATCCTCACACTGTCATCAAATGCAAGACGTATGGCTGTTGACGCACGACTCGACGCTGGTCCCCTACCCCTGAATCGGACACGATGGATCACGAGACATGAAATACAGGAATGGCATAATAAAACTGGTATGCTGCGTGCTGGCTACTAGCAGAGTATCACATCGGCACGGATACGGCAAGCCAGATGCAGTAACAAGAACTCAATCCAGCTTTGACTGTCACGCTTCTCAACGTCGTGAAATACTCATGCAATACACCCGGCGCGAATACCCGAGCCGACGACGCTGCGGCCTTGGAACTACCAGGACGAGGCCCTCATTACCTACGGGGCTTCCCCATATGACCTCGAAGCGGCCAGAAACGATGTCACCAGGAGGATCCTCCTGATCAGTTCATTCAAGGCATCGGATGTAAGGGTTACCAGATGCCCAAACACCGCAGAATGTAGCAAGGAGTCTTGCTTTGGTCAAACTACAATGGGAGCACCGCGCTAACACTATGGAAACGAAGAGACTCCCGCGAGAGACATTTCCACCATGGGCCAAAACAGAGGACCGAGCAGTCCGCTGTGATTTACCAACATGCATCATCGTGAGTCTCGAGTCGCAACACCCTGGGCCGGCATCCCAGTGGGGCCACAAGGGGAAATGGAGAGCTACGTGCGCAACTTGCTGAAAAGAAATTTCTTTCGTATGTATCAGGTTCGAAAACCACACTGGAACTGTCTTTGAGTGGGTTCCCTGCGCGGCCCGAACAGCCCGACATTGCAGCATGTGAAGGGTGTTGGGAAGCGTCTGGATTCGTCAGTGTGCAAAGTAAACAGTCTCGAAAGTGATCGCCGAGCAGGCAGCAGAATTGTCCCCATTCACACATGTCTAAGGAGCGGTCTGGTTGGACCGAGCGTATCAAGAGTGGCAGAAGAGAGGAGCAGATGTTATCCTGGCATGGTTGTCTCCAGAGTCCACAGACAGGCTTGGATTATGATTCCATCAATGTCTCCTACAAGCAGTGCAATTCGCCGTTGGCCGCACAATATGAAGGACAACAACAGGTTCCCCGATGCAGCTACACGACTTGGATCATCACACTCTCTCGCCTGGTGGTTCGGTCGGGCCAACTCTGCATTTCGACATCGAGGTTATTCCGTGCCGGCCACGGTACCAGGTTGCTTCCGCCAAGAGTCGACCGCAGAAAGCAGGAAGGTCCTGGGGAAGATCAAGAAATGGACATTCATAACAAGTACGGGAGCCCCTGCTTTCGCCGGGTTACTTGGCCAGAAGTCTGTCACTGCTTTGGGGAACAATGGGCAATTAAAGGCTGCTGGGTGCCGCAATGTGGATATGATGCACGTTGGTGTGTCGGAGACAATGTGGATGCCACCCGTATGTGTGACTTTTAGTGTTTAGGCAGCCACATAAAAAGACGCCAGCGGCCATGGCCGTGGGGTGACGGGCATTGGAGAGGTGCCATGTTGCCGGGAAGAAACGCCGCAATTGCCGTGCCACAGCGGATGGACTTCCGCAGTGGGATTCATGACTGCCTGTCTGCTCGAGTGGTAAGATCTTGACGAAGGTGGACCAAGCGATCTTCAAGACCTCAGTTATGTGGATTGGGGCCGGGAACAGTCACTTCATGAGGACGGGGATGAGGATGAGGATGATGATACACTCCAGGGTTCAGAGGAAGGATTTTTGGTGCTGAAGCATCGCCGTGCCTGGTCATCAAGACGAGTCAGTGAAATGACTACACGATCCATCCGCTTTCGAGTGGTGTACTTCGAGGCAGGTAAGGTAAGTTGGTGCGGGACAAGATGTAGACCCGGACACGGACTTGGTCGGGCAACCATGACGAGACTCACTGTTGTCCCCTTTAGAGGACAGCTAGTATAAGTTGGGACAACGCAACGGTGGTAACGGCAAGGTTAGCGCAGACGGTCCGCTTGGGCGCATACATAATGCCAACCGGGGTGTTACCACTTGATCAAGTCGCAGCTTACTCAGAAACGAAGGCGATGATGAGCAAGCAGCTAACGTCGGGCGCATCCAAGGAGGACTGTGAGTGATGAGAGGTTGTCGTCCGATGGCTACCCGTGGATAGGTGTGCTGATCCCGCGTGCAACACGTTGACTGTGGATGCCGCGAGTGTAGAAGAGATGCACCTGTTCGTGGAAAAAGAAAGGGGAGTGGTGATCAAGCATGGGAAAGACGAGCAGACTGGCAGATTGTGCCGTCTTGACATGGAGATCATCAGTTTATTTGGTGGACGGCAGTCGAACGAGTGCCTTGCGTACGACGACGACGACGACACATGATAGCCGAGAGAAGTACATGCATTGTCTCGGGTTCTTTCTTGTCTCCGTCCGCGAGTTTCTGTGTCTTGATGCTGGGAAAGAAGCAGCAGACACAATAACGAAATCTAGGCAAGTGATATGTGTCTGTCCTCGTCTCATTGGCGCAATCGTACATGGTGGTGGTGGACAAGAAGGAAAGAGTACGTACCGCTGCCTGTTCTACGGCAAGCCCCGACTGCCCAGCTGGCTCCACTTTGCAGGCTCCAAGATTATTCAACCAATTAGAAAGGATGCAATCTGGTGATCCACCATTAATAAGCGGGTCTAGCCGAGACAAGCCAGGCAAGCGAGGCTACCTTAGAGGGGCATCGCTCCGTCTTCAGGCAGCAGCATTCCGACCAGCAGCAGGAAGCCAGGAGCACGCACACCACACAGCACAACGGCGCCAGACCGCATCAGATCGCATGTTACGCATTGCCATTCCCCCATCCACAAGCCACAATCCGAGGACAGAGTCCCACGCCGGCCTTCCATTTGACGGCCATCAACGACTTGTGGATCGCTGACCGCGGACCGCGACCGTCGAATGCCTTTTGGCAACTCTGAGGGTCGGTGCACCCGCTGCGGAGCCTCCGTCTAGTCTCCCTCTTTCACCACACCCCCGGTAACCTGGACATTGACATTGGCATTGGATGCCACCCACGACCTAGTCCAAGTTCATCCCTCGCCCATCCATCCAGCCGTCCGTACAGAGTACTCCCGCCCGTGCCTAGTGAGTTATCGCCAGGATAGGGCAAAGACCATCCGTACTGTAGGCACCGAAATAACTGCATCCTTCCTCCCGCTGCGTCGGGTCTAAAGGCCAAAACGTGGGATCTTTGGTAGCAACCTCGGGGCCCTTCGTTCTCCTTGATCACCACCACGAGACCCACGGCTTCGACACCAACTTCTTCTTTTTCTTCATTTCCCTCTTTGTTGTACCTCTTGCCGGTAAACCGCAACTCCAATTCTTTGCAGGGGCTGCGTCCGACAAGACAAACCGACACTTCAAAGGCTGCGACTGTTGGAACATCGCATCTGCGTTGCAACGCCCGCGCAACCAATGCAACTCTAGCCGCGTAATCACCTCTGCCACATTCCGGACGAGATTGCGAACTCGACGTTGCAATTCATTCGTCAGGGTAGCCAACAGAGCCCCTGCCCACACAGCCTGGCTGATCCGCTCCCGATTATCGACGCCGACGCCGAGTCCCGATTCTTCATCACCACTCCCGGGTCTTTTTTCCAAGTCACCTCACAATAACATCCACAGTTATCAGATTATGTCACTGTGAACCAAGAGACCCAAAGACTCACAAAAATCGTTTCATCGGGCAGCCCTTGCTCCATTTTCTCCTCAACCCACCGACGTCGCACCTCGCCTCTCAGGTGAGGGCGGTCCTCACTGCCCTTAGTCGTCACCCGCATCAACCGTCGACATGGAGGGAATCCGTACCACCGGTGGTTTCATGCAGCGACGTCTAAGTCGTCTGTACAATGACACAAAAAAGTCTTCAGACTTTGTCCAGGAGCCTGCCAAGGCCCCCGAAGACCCCGAGATCAAGTCCCTGTTCAGGAAACTGCGCATCCAGAAGGACCGTGTATCTGTCTGGGGCCTCGAATGGACCGATCCTAACCAGTCAGATGAGATTGACAGCTCACTGTCAAAGGCCGGCTTGAGTGAGGTAGTCCACAGCATTCTGTCGAGAGTCCGGGAAACTCTGTCCGAGTTGGATGCCTTGTGGAAGAGCTATACGAATCCCCTCGGCAGCGTATCAGAAAAGTCGGCTGGAGACCGCAAGACTCCGTTCGTAACATGGGACAAGGCAGTATTCGCCGATGCCATCGCCGACCTCACCCAGTCGGTTGACACGCTTTACGACCTTTCCAGAACCCGCTCCTCAGGTCACATGTCATCACGCTCCAAGCTCGAAAAGTCCATGGCTTCCACCGAGGAGCTGAGGCCTTTCGAGTCCACCAGGATGCAGACGCCTCAGCAGATCGACCCGGCGACGCTGACCAACATTCGCTCCATGCAAGCAGAGCCCATGACCGAGTCCAGAGCCAATTTCCCGCCGAGAGACATTGTCTTTATGAGCAAACAGGCCTGGTCAGAGTTGTCACAGCACATCGGTCGTCAGCCGTTTGCGCCGCTGTTGTTGGAATACGCAACGTTCGATTCCATCTACTCGGTCACGGGCATCATGCCGCCCATGTCACGCTTCGAGAAACTGTCAGCCGGCTTGCAGCAGGATTCGCAGAGGGCCCCGGGTACCTGGATCGGCCTTCCACGGCTGTTGGGCTACTTTGAGGATCTGGAGCATTCCCGGCTTGGACTGGTTTACCATTTCCCGCCCAACTTTAACGCAGTCTCCTTTGAGAACTTCACCCAAAACCCGCTCTACAATGTTTGCACCCTTGCCGATCTTCTCTCGCGGCCGGACTTCGAGCCGACCTTGGAAGCCAAGTTCCGTTTGGCCTCGAACCTCGTCAATACCGTGTTCGACTTGCACGCTCGTGGTATCACCCACGGCTGCATCATCGACAAGAATGTGTCCTTTTGTAACATGGCCACCCCGGACCTCACGACGGGCCCCGGCGAGGTGGACATCCGCCGGCCCCTGATCTCATCTTTTGATCTGTTCCCAGACGCGCCATCAGATGAGGAGCCGGTTTCGCCATCGCTTCCTCTGTTCCGTCATCCCTTGGACCCTCGCACGACGCCGGCATCTCCGATCAACGACAAGATGGACTCTCGAATTCTTGACCTGTACTCCCTGGCCATGGTTCTGCTGTCTATTGGACTATGGACCAAGCTTGAGAACCTTGTACCCGACCCGTCTCAGCCTATTTCCGAGTCGATCCTTAATCAACTTGGAATTCGCTGCTCCTCCATGTACAAGAGGGCTGTCGAAACTTGCTGGAACGCCGTTGATACGCAGCTCCAAGGAGTTGCCACCGACGAGGAGCTTCTTTCCGCTGTACAAGTGACTGTGACGCGCTGCCTCGATTCATGCGCGATCCTCGACAATATGAATTCTCTCGAAGATCGCCTTAACCTTGACCTTGGCAGGAAGACATCTTCTCCTGTTGGGACCCCTACCAGACAGAGCACATCTGGACCTTCAAAGGACACACAGGCCTCTCGCCCGTCTGTCGACACACATCGCTCCTCATTCGACACCAAAGCCCCCGTCTCGCAACCCAGCCCCGCCCGCCGCTCGTATCCTTCAGCCGCGGAGGAGAAGCGGCAGCTTGCTAGAAAAGAAGCTGGAGGTGAGTCAGGCCCACGGCTCTGGTGTACTTTGCACACTAACCATATGACAGCCGCCCCGGCAGAGCTGCCTGCTGAGACAAAGTCTGCCAAGCCGCCTTCGTCCAAGACCCGGCTTTATCCTCAAATCCCGCTGCCTCCGGATGCCGTGGAGAGGTGGAACACGTTTGTGATGCCCCAAGTCAACCAGGCCTTGCGCCATTTCTATCGAAAGCACCGCGAAGAATCAGTTGAAGTATCCCTTGAGTCCATCGGCAGCTCCCCGACAAGAACACAGCCGACCGTTCTGGTTGTGTGTACCTCTGTCGGCAAGGTCAAGGCCATTCTGACACGCAAGTTGGGCGAGCTGTTTGACGGCAAGTCTGGGTTTGGCTTGAAGGTGTGCAAGGGACAGGTCATGAGGTCGCGGAAACAGCCAGGCGATGTCAAACGAAGCGCAGCACACGACGAAGATGAAGAGGGCGCTGTCAAAGCTGCTAACCCCGACTTCCAAGCGCGCCCCAGTAACGGCGCCAGTATTGGAGCTTGGGTGGGGGACCGCCACCTGCCGCCCGTTAGCTTGGGCGGCCTTGTTATGGTGGATGATAAGCCGTACGGAATGACGGTTCATCACATGTTGGATGACCCCGAAGAAATCTACAAGCACACCAAGGCACAGGATCCGGCGATGCGGAGCATGGCGAGGGACACGGATGATGTGCGGTTCGACTGGTACGCAGAGTCGTCGGCGGAAAGCAGCAGCGGAGATGACTATGCTTGCGAGTTTTCCGAATCCGAGTCGGAAGCGTATTCGGAGACGGACGTCACCAGCGAGGCCTCCGACGAGAGCGACGATGAGTCGGAAGGCGAGTACGACCAGCCTGGCGACATTCCTGGGGTTGAACCGGGTTGCGGGGATGGTTATATTATTACGCAGCCCGCCATGGACGACGTTGACGAAGAGTTTTATCCTTCGGAGGAGACAGCAAATGAGGACCACCTGGATAGTTTCACCGTCGGAGAGGTTTACGCATCGAGCGGGATCAAGCGCAGGGAGCAGAACGGCCTGATCCACGAAATCGACTGGGCCTTGTTTGAGTTCACGCCCGAGAGGTTGCCCGAGGATAACACCATCCCTCGGATACAGAGCAAGCAGCTGTCACCGTCGTACGGAAAGTTTCCATCGAAGCACGGCAAGGTCATGCACCCCATGACCGTGGCGCCGACATCCGCGCTGCCGGGCTTGGAGGTGCAGTGCATGGCTCGCACGAGCGGCTTGCAGACGGGGCTCATCCTCCCCGCCCTCACGAGCGTCAAAATCTTTGGACGGGTGACGCCCAGTCACACGTACCAAGTCAGCAGTGCCGCCACCGAGACGCCTACCGAGCTGGCCGGTGACGGCAAGAAGCTGCCCATGGGCATACCCGGAGACAGCGGTGCTTGGGTCATTGAGCGTGCCCACGGCCGTGTTTGCGGACATGTTTTGGCGTGGAGTGGGCGGAAGCGCGTTGCCTACATCTGTCCGATGGACGTGATGCTTCTCGACATCGCGGAGGCGCTCGAGGCCCGGGAAGTCGGGTTGCCGGGTGGCGAGCCGGTGGTCAGCCTCCGGGATCGACACGAAGAGGAGGAAGATGAGGGCACCTACAGGGACGACGAGCCTTCCTCGTCGCCCTTCTTGGACCCCAGGGATGACGATGATCTGGATGAGGTGTCGGAGGAGGGGGATGACGACGACGACCTGCCGGTACTCGTCAGGTCACGCGCGCCCCCACGAGGGCGGAGCGAGGGCAAGCAAGAACAAGAAAAGGGAGAAGAAGAGCAGCAGCATCAGAAGAAAGAAGGCGGCTCGGAGGAGCGGGAAAAGTTTGCTTCGGGCGACAACCATGATTTATCGCGCAGAATGGAGTCTATGGGCATCGGCAGGAGTCGTATGGGCATTGGCATGTGCAGCTGACTGGCTGAGGGCCTGGGGGTGCGCCCCGGCCTTGGAATACCCCTTTTTTGAGTAGATGGCGCTAATGAAGTGACGAGGCACAAGTAATCAACGCATTCCAATGAGCAGTCCGAGTAACGTTATTTGCAGTTCAGTATCGGGGACGGGGACGGCGGGTTCGGTTTGACGAGTTGAATTTGGAAAAACTGTAAACAACAGATGCAGACGCGCTACATAAAGTCGTCCTCCCAGTCGGCGTCGCGGTTCTGGTTGCTCGTCGACTCCATGTTCTCCTCGGTGAAGATTTCATCGTAGGCATGCTCCTTCTGCCACTTCTTCTCCTTGCGCTCCTGCGCGATGCGGGCCTCTTCTCGTTTCTGCGGGATGTCAGTAAGCCCACTAGTGAACGTGTGTAGTTTAAGGGTGATGGAAATCTAGCAAGGCGTGGAAAGAGGGAAGGAAGAAGTCGGCTCGGATCGACGATGGGAGAAAAGGGGGAACAGAAATGGAATGATAGCAAGAGGGAAAGAAAAAAGAAGAGAACAAAAAGAAAACATACCCTCGCAAGAATATTCGCCTGGTCCCTCTTCCTGAGCTCCTTGAGGCGGTCCTCCTTCTCCTGCTTGAGGTCGGGCTTCTTCTCGACCTTTGTCTTGTTGAGGCGGTTGACGATGGGGTTCTCGCGCTGGGGGACAAGGATCTTCTTGACCTTGCGGGGGTCCTTGAAGGAGACCTGCCCGACCTCCATGCTGCCGTCCTTTTTGAGGTTGGACCAGGGCGTGTAGATGACGGTGACGTTGTCCTTCTTGTTGCCCTCGATGGAGTTGGCCTTTGTGAGCTGCGCGAGGTCGACGAGGAGCGGCTCGGGGATGGCATCCCACGTCATCGGGGACGTCGTCGAGGGGTCCTTTGGGTCGGGCAGGCGGAGGTAGATGTGGGCCGACGAGAGCTTGTCAGCGTGGAACTGGGGGTGGGTGTCAGTGGGTGGTGTTGTGAGACGTTTGTGTGAGATGATGTGTGAGGGTGGTGGATAAGAGGGAGGTGAGTGAGTGAGTGAGATGGAATGCGTACCCTGGTGAGAGTCAGTATAGATCCGCCATGGGTGAAGGGGAACGGGCGACGAACCAGACGTCCTCCTCCCAGCCGTACTTGATCAGTTCCTCATCTGTTTCCCGCAGTCAGTCCATCCGCTCGGCTGAACGATTGCCTCCCTCTCTCAGCGCGTGTGCGCCCTTCTCCCCCGCGGACGAAGCACCACGTACTCTCAAACTTGTCCTTGCCGACGTAGATGAAGGCGGCCGGGTCCACCGCCTTGGAGGTGAAGTAGTAGACCATCGTGAGGAGGGAGGGGGGGTGTGCAACGCCGTCCGTCACGTCCGCTTGGTTGCCGTTGCTCGCTGTCGTTTGCTTGCGCGCGTGCAGGTGTCTTTCTGGTGCTGTCTCGAGCCGCGGGGGGGTCGGTCTGGCGGGTGTGGTTTTGCGACGCGGAAAGGAGAAATTTCGAGGTGGGGGTGGGGCGAGGCTCAAGTACTTATGGACTAACATAATCCTGGATACCCAGGCTGATACGTGCGTGACACGGGGGTAATGCCGATAGTGAGTAAGTAGCGTCCCTCGAGCACGGAACCGCAACCATGTGAACTTGACATCCCGTCAAGTTGCCGGCGGCGCGGCAGTCAAATAGCAAAGGTGTGAGCGAGGCCCGGTCTGACTTTTGCCTAGCGTGATGAGTTGCATCCTCTGACAACGACTTGCATTATGGAATTTATTCTACGTATTTGCTGGTGAACTCAGAAGAGAAAGCCTACGGCTCGTTGACCCAGCACCAATCCCCAAAGTCTAACGGTTCAATTCTCTAGCGGGTTGCTGTTGCGCCGCTCACTGGAATCCGATCGGCGCCGGGCTAAGACAGCGCGATCGGCAGGACGGGATCCCAAACGCACGCACTCCCCCAAACTTCTCTTGATCCCCTCAGAGAAGCTGGCACGATCCCGTCTTCGCCAACCTCATCGCCGGCATCCCACGAACCCACCCAAGATTGTGTCCCCCACTTTCCATCTCGCTACATATTCTTCCTCATCTGGCCAGGAAAGCAAGCCTTGTTGGCTCAGTGGTAAAGCGTCTCACTAGTAATGAGAAGATCGGCGGTTCGATTCCGCCACGAGGCATAACCTCGGACAGTCCAGCTGTCCACGACACCTTTTGCTTTTTTTTGTTCACTGTTTGTTTGACTTTGGATAAGTTCATCACTTTCATCGGCACTTTGGTCGTTTGGTCTTTTGGTCTCAGGACGTCTCAATTAGTCTGTCTAATATCTATCATGGCTCGTATATCATAACGCTTAAAACTTGGCAGTGTCGTAAATGTCATCGGGGTCTGCAATTGTCAGTAAACAATCAAAGTCAAAAAAGGGAAACGAATCACATACCTTTGCCGTGCTCCATGATGAATTCCCGAATCTCCTTCACCTTGGTTTCAACCTCCTTGATCTTGTCATCAAGGCTGGCCTTGACCTTCTCATTCACCTTGGCGCCTCCTTTCAACGCCCGGAGCGCGACGTCGTATCGGCTCACGCCGTTGAGAAGCATCATGTCAAACGGCGTCGTTGTGCTACCCTCCTCGCGGTACCCATCGACCGTCATCCTGTCCAAGTTGGGCCGTCCAAACAACAGGCCCTGCAGCTCGGTCGGGTAGCCGTGGTAGTTGAAGCATACGGCCCGGTCCGCGGTGAAGATCTCCTCGAACGCCTTGGTCGACAGCGCATGCGGGTGCTTGGCCTCTGCCTTGAGAACCATGAGGTCCGTGACGTTGACGACGCGCACGCGAAGCTCCGGCACCAGGGTGCGCAGCAGCTCCGCGGCTTTGACGACCTCGAAGGTGAGCTCCACGCCAAGTCCCACAATCACCACGTCTGGGTCCGCGCCGCCGTCGGTGGATGCGAAGGGCCACGTGCCCGCACCGAGGCGGCAGTGCTCTTCGGCGGCGTCTGCGTCTAGGTAGTTCGCTGTGGGCTGCTTGGACCCGATGACGAGGTTGACGTAGTTCTTGGACTTGAGGCAGTGGTGGACGGTGCTTAGGAAGCAGTTGGCGTCAGGCGGGAGGTAGACCTGTGTGTGTAAGTCAATGCGCCCGGTTGAGGGCGAGATGAGGAGCTTACTCGTGCGGCCTGGGCCTTGAGGTTGAGAACTGCTCCGATGAAGGAGGGGTTCTGGTGTGAGAATCCATTGTGCTCCTGACGAGTCCACGTGCTGGTCTCAATGTAGTTGATGGATGCCAGGTCTCCGCGCCACTTGACCTGCTTGGCAATCTTGTTGAACTTGGCATACTGCACCATCATCGTGTGGACGATGCCCAAGAAAGACTCGTAGCTGGGGAACAGGCCGACGCGGCCCGTGAGAGTGTATCCCTGCATGAAGCCCTGGCAGCAGTGCTCCGAGAGGATCTCAATAACCCTGCCGCCTTGGTTGCGCGAGTACTGGTCCCACTGGAAGTTGCGGCCGGTGTGATCCAGCACGGCGTCGAGCTTGTTGCTTTCCAGCTCGTCGGGCGAGAACATGCGGAAGCTGTGCGGATTCTCCTGCATCACCTTATCCAGAAGCTTTCCCGTCACCTTCATGCAGCTGTCCTGCTCACCGGGGTTAACTGCAAGCGGCTTCCAGTCGGGGAGTTTGAGGCCGATGTACGGGTCGTAGGTGGCTTTGAGCTGGCCGAGCTTCTTGGCGGCGTTCTTGGGGATCGCTCCGAGAACGCTCTCGGTCGGCTTGCCTTCCGAAAGGAGGTTTTCAATGTCGTAGCTCGACAGCCAGTCACGCAGCTTTCCGAGATGAACCTCGTCGGAGCCGGCCTTAGCCAAGGGAACCTGATGGGACTTATAGGAGCCTTCAACAATGACTCCATCCACCTCTTTTGGTCCAGTCCATCCCTAAACAAGTCAGCGTGTGATCATGCAATCTGTAAAAGGTGAGCCCACCTTGGGAGTGCGCAGAGCAATCATCGGCCATCGCGGCTTGGCAATGGCCTCACCGGAGCGGGCAGCCTTTTGGATCTTCTTGACCTCGGCCACCGCCCATTCCAGGGCGCTGGAGAGGTCGGTGTTGATGTCTTCAAGGTCCTCGACAATGCACACCTGGTACCCGTAGCCGGAGAACAGGGCGGTAATCTCCTTGTCATCCATACATCCAAAGATGGTGCGCTCGCTAATCTTGAAGCCGTTGATGTGGAGAATGGGAATCACAGCGCCCGACTCCTTGGGGTCGAGGTACTTGATGGCATGCCATGCACTAGGACTCATCAGCATGATTCTCCTCTACACGAGAACACGGACTTACCCAGCAGTAGGACCGCTCTCAGCCTCACCGTCACCGACAACGCAGGTCACGATGAGATCTGGGTTGTCCATGACGGCGCCAAACGACACGGACAGGGCGTAGCCAAGCTCACCGCCTTCGTGGATCGAGCCAGGTGTCTCGGAGTTTATGTGACTAAGGCATGTTAGCGCACGGCCACGACCGACACGACGACAATATCCTTACCTCGGGAAGCCTCCGGGGACGGAGAACCTCGTGATGAGGTTGTGCAGGCCCTGCTTGCTGACATCGTACTCGCCAGGGTAGAACCTCTCGAGAGAGCCTTCAAGCCACAGGGCCGCCAGAGCCGCGGGGGCGCCATGGCCCGGGCCAATGACATAAATCATGTCCATATCATGGTTGCGAATAAGTCGGTTAAGGTGGGACCATACCAGAATGAGACCGGGACAGGTACCCCAGTGACCTGACGCGTTGTTAGGGGATCGTCCCAAAGGGACATTAAGGTGTGGACTCACCCAGCAGCCGGGGCTTGATATGCTCGAACTTCAATTCTGACTCCAAGAGCACGTTGTCGCGCAGAAAGATCATCGCTGGGGCTTGTCAGCTGCGAACGAGCGGCAGATCTGGCGGCGGATGGAGTGGGTAAGATCGCCTTACCAGCAGCAATATAGCAGGCAGCATTCTGGAAGTCGCGCAGAGACTTTGCATCTTTTTCGTCCAAAGGCTTCTTATCCCTCTTGACGATGAGGTCGAGGATGTTGTCGGGGAGGTGAGAGGGAAGAGGCGGCGGGTTCGCCTCTTGGAGGACCTGGCCAGCCATATTGACGACGGACGGGATGGGATGTGCGTGATGTTCGAACGATTTGGCGCTGGGGTGTATCCGTGCCTGAACGTGGGAAATACAGATTTGCGTTCGTCCGTAGTCTCGGTCCGGCTCCGATGAGGTTGGGTTGAGCACCTATGTACTGCAAGGGTAGCTGACAATGATGTAGTAGATGAACTGGGATCTGAGCGACAGGATGCAAAGCCGTTTGATTCGCGGTTCAAGATATGTCTCAACCGGAAGCCGCGGCGAGATGGTGACTGCTCAAACAATCCGATAAATGGTTTCGCGCAGTATCAAGAGTAGCGTAGACGAACAGCTAGCTAGTTGTAAGCTAGACCGGAGTCTGGACCGTTGCGGTGCCGGTGAGGCGGGAAGTGGGTTCGTGTGACGGCGATCGGTGAGGTCTATGACGTCGGCGCTCAACCAAACGGGAGCGAAGGCACACAAACACGGAAGTGGGAACAACGGGGAGATGGTGGATACTCGGAGATGTCACTGCTTCAAGTTGGCAAGAAGTTTCGAGCTCTACAATGTTCGACTTGGTTTGCACAAACCCCGAGTGCTACCTTAAGTACGCGACGATGCCCGTGTATGGCATCTAGAGTCAGCCTACTTGCTGCAATGACGGGAATCATACCTGTCAAGTCAAGGTCGGTAGAACGTGAAGCTTGGCAGGGAATAACATCTAGCCGTTGCACTTGCTACTCCATATTGCGTGCAATTTGGATCATGCAGATGTCACTCCCACGTTGGCTGTCAATCGAACTCTGTTGAGACGGTAGCATTGAATGGGGGCCAAGGTAGGTACTGCGAAGGGACTGCCGGATCGAGGATGGGGGCTCCAACGTAAGAGCTGCAACAAATGGATACCGAGGAGATGGGCTTTTCGGAATCAGAGCCCCCTCCCGGTCTGGGTCGATGAAAGTGCATCTCGATGAATTACCGGGCCATGATCTCACCTGTGTTGCAAATTGTCGAATGAGGCGCGTCTTGTTACCAATGGCTTCGCTGCACATGCAGGTGGAGGAGGAAAAGAGAAAGAAGCTTGGGCTATTGAGGGGCAATCGAGGGGCATCTGGATCTAAAGGGGTACGTACTCCCAGAGTTTGGCGAGTGGCCCGCTTTATCACCTGGTGTGCCTGGCATGACGGGCTACCATTGGACAGCAAACTGGAGCATCTGCTCCTCTTCTCCACTTCCCGGACCATACGTCCGACTGGCAAGGCAGGCATGGACAGGGGCGCATGCTGTTTTGGGACGCGGCGACTTGGAGCTCTGACATCAACATGGCGAAATCGCGATGCGCCTGCGCTTTCTTTGATCTCTCTACACCAAACAATCCCACACATTCTGCTTCTGCTACCGCCGTGTCTGTCTCTTTCCACCACGCTCCTCGCCCAAGCAAACCAGGCTAGCGCACATCCACCATAACTGCCGTGGTACTCGAGAAATGTCCCGCCAATGGAGCTCCCTTCTGAAGCACGGCCCCTTGCCTGTTGAGGGGCGACTATCGTTGTTCTCGACTGGTTTGTGAGCATATGGTTGACGTCAGGCATCGCCAGTAGATCGACTTCAGTGTGCTGCTCGAGCAACAGGACATGGATCAAAGGTTGACGGCCCAATGGCAACACTTGCTTTATAAAGACTGGGTTGACTGGGGGGTTTGAGGAGGTGCCCGCTTCTTGATCTTTTGATTTCAACTTCCTTGTCTTCCCCCGGGTCTCAGATTTCTTATTTCTTGCCTCTCTTCTCTCCTCGTACAAGCCATTCCTCCTTTCCCAGTCTTCTATTTCAAGATGGCAAGCATTGTTCCTGATACCCTAAAGAAAGCCGGAAACGTAGTCATGGGCCAATCAAACAAGAAGAACGCTCAGCTCGCTGAGAACATGGTTGAGCCTAACTCCAAGGCTCCCATGACCACCGACTTTGGAGTCAAGATCGAGAACACAGACGACTGGTTGAGAGTCACCAACAACGACCAGATTGGTCCCACGCTTCTCGAAGATCAAATCGGGAGAGAAAAGGTTCATCACGTCTACTGTCCAATACCCCCAAGAATGGTTACTAACGTCAGCAGATTCACCGCTTCGACCACGAGAGAATCCCCGAGCGAGTTGTCCACGCCAGAGGTGCTGGTGCCTTTGGTACATTCAGACTCTTCGAGAGTGCTGCAGACGTGAGCAACGCCGGCATTTTGACCGACACTTCGCGCGAGACTCCTCTGTTCCTCCGCTTTTCCACTGTCCTCGGTAGCAGAGGTAGTGCCGACACTGTCCGCGATGTTCGCGGGTTTGCTGTCAAGTTCTACACGGAGGAGGGCAACTGGGATCTTGTCGGGAACAACATTCCCGTCTTCTTCATCCAGGACGCCATAAAGTTCCCCGATGTTATCCATGCAGGTAAGTTGCCGTGTTGATACCTAATCTGGGAGCACAGTATACTGACCAAAACCAGGCAAGCCTGAACCTCAACTCGAGTTTCCCCAGGCCCAAAGTGCTCACGACAACTTCTGGGACTTCCAGTACCTGCACACTGAGGCCACTCACATGTTCTGCTGGGCCATGTCTGACCGCACCATTCCTCGTTCCTACAGAATGATGCAAGGTTTTGGAGTCAACACGTACACCCTGACTAACGACAAGGGCGAGCGCCACTTTGTCAAGTTCCATTTCACTCCCACACTTGGCGTTCACTCGCTCGTGTGGGATGAGGCCCTGAAGCTTGCTGGCCAAGACCCGACTTCCACCGCAAGGATCTGGCAGAGGCCATTGAGAACGGCGCCTACCCCAAGTGGAAGTTCGGTATCCAGGTTCTCCCTGAGTCTAAGGAGCATGACTTTGACTTCGACATCCTTGACGCCACAAAGGTGTGGCCTGAGGAGCTGATCCCCATCCGCTACGTCGGAGAGATGGAGCTTAACAAGAACCCCGACGAATACTTCACCCAAACCGAGCAGGTCGCCTTCTGCACCAGCCACGTCGTTCCCGGCATTGGCTTCTCCGACGACCCTCTCCTTCAAGGCCGCAACTTTTCTTACTTTGATACCCAAATTACTCGTCTAGGCATCAACTGGCAGGAGCTTCCTATCAACAAGCCCGTGTGCCCTGTCATGAACTTCAATAGAGATGGCCAGCACCGTCAAACTATTTCCAAGGGCAACGTCAACTACTGGCCCAACCGTCACGAGGCTGTCCCCCCCGCCAACCACTCCAAGGTCTCTGGTGCCTACGTTGACTTCGCCCAGAAGGTGGAGGGTATTAAGCAGCGCACCAAGAGCGCCAAGTTCAAGGAGCACTTCAGCCAGGCCCAGCTCTTTTTCAACAGTCTGTCTCCCATTGAGAAGATGCACGCTACGAACGCTTTTGCATTCGAGCTGGACCACTGCGAGGATCCCATTGTGTACGAGCGCATGTCTCAGCGTCTTGCTGACATTGACCTTGGCTTGGCCCAGTCTGTTGCTGAGATGGTTGGTGGCACCAAGCCCGAGAAGGCTGGCCGCGCCAACCACGGAAACACGGCTAAGGGTCTCAGCCAGTTGGAGTTCCTGCCCGAGACGCCCACCATTATGTCCCGCCGTGTTGCCATCATCATTGCTGACGGTTTCGACCCTGTTGCCTTCGGCGCCGCCAAGGCTGCTATCGCGGCTTCAATGGCCATTCCTATGGTGATTGGTACCCGTCGCTCGGAGATCTTCCCCGCAGGAGTTTCCAAGACAGCTGGTAAGGGTGTCATGCCCGCTCACCACCTCGAGGGCTTCAGGTCCACCATGGTTGATGCCATCTTCGTCCCCGGTGGCGAGGAATCTATCAAGACCTTAACCAAGAATGGCAGAGCCGTGCACTGGGTCCGCGAGGCGTTTGGTCACCTCAAGGCCATCGCTGCCACTGGCGAGGCTGTTGAATTTATCCGCACTGCTGTCACTCTGCCTGAGGTCACTCTGTCCAACGACAGCAACGTTGAGTCAAGTTACGGTGTCGTCACGATGAAGTCGTTTGCGCCGGAGAGCCTGAAGGAGACTGTCGAGATCGTCAAGAACGGCAAGGGATTCTTGGAGCAGTTCTTCTACACCATCGCTCAGCACCGCGTGTGGGCTCGTGAGCTGGACGGTCTTAGCACCCAGCTGGCGTACTAATTTGTCGGTTTAATGAAACGAAATGCGGATGGCGTTGGGAACTCAAAGGATGGGATATTTAGTATAATGACCAATTGATCATGACTTTCAAGTTGCCTTATTTGCCATGATAATTGCGCGTGATGAGTGAAGAGATACAATCTTCATCTATTGGAATCTCGATACCGAGAGCAATTTACTTACACTTACACCATGTTGCAAAATATTTATTTACCAACATGTACGAAAGTAATGGGACATTCTGTATCATCGACATGAATTTTTATTGAACACTCTCGGCTTCTACGGTTATTACAATATTATGCACTGGCAGCCGCGGTCGTCGTGGGAGCGGCAGTCGTCACAGCAGATGTTGGCGCTACCGTCCCCGAAGCCGTCGAGCTTCCACTTCCAGTTCCTCCGCCCTTGACCACGGTCGCCCTCACGACCTGGCCGAGAGTGTTGAAGACGATATTGACGAGCGAGCTGAGCGGTGCGTACTCGAACGTCTTCTGCACCAGACCATTGCCGAGGTCCTGCTGGTTCCCTGTGAAGGTCATGTTCTGCTGGTAGTTTCCGATGATGGTACTCAACGCGCCGGTGGCGCCGCTCGCAACCTCCTGGACAATGTTTCCGAGGTTGTCAATTAGGAAGTTGATCTTGGTGTCCCCGTTCACAATAGAGCCCAGCAGTCCGTCGACGGCGCCAATGACGTCGTCGACCACGTCGCCCACGGTGTCGAGAAGGTTGATGAGCAAGGGGTTCAGGTCGAGCGAGGCCAGGGTGCGGTTGACGATGTCAACGAGGTTGCCGAGGCGGATGACAAGCTCGAGCTCGGCCTCGACGTCGACGATGGTGATATTGACTTTTTCGATGCCGATCTGCACGCCGGCGTTGATGGTAACGAGCTTGGCGACCTCGGCGGCGAGGTTCACCTCCGCCGACAGGTTGTCGACGTCGAGCTCGATACGGCCGACGGAGAGCTGGGGGACCTTGAGGTAGACGTCTGCGGGCGGCGTGCTGGAGGGGGCGGAGGTTGTGCCGCCTCCGCCGTTGCCGCCGCCGGACGACGCCGTTCCCTGCGCGGTGGTTGGGGTTGGTGTAGGTGTTCCTGTGGCCTCTGGCGTCGATGGGGACTGCTGCTGCGCGGTGCTCGCCGTTGCCTCTGACGCGTCCGTCGCAGTTGGGGTCTGCGCCGCGACGAGGGCGACGAAGACCGCGAGCAGGAGGGAGAGGATGGAGGACCTCATCTTGAGACTGGGCACGTGGGACAAAGGAGTGTGTGGTGGGGTTTGAAAGGAGCGACGATGGGACACCAGGTGAGAGACTCGGGGAACACTGGTGAGCTGCAAGAGGGACTGCGCTCGCGACCGACTGGGCTCGCCCGGGGGATATAAGGCGGCATCGTGTGCGTGTGTGCCGGAATCAAATCAAGGTTGTCAATTTACCTCATTCTGCTTTCCTTCAACCCCCCTGCTCCATCGCGGAGTGCATCCAGCTTGTCAAGTCACTCATCTCCATGGCGCTCACACATGGGCATCCATTAGCATGCATCCATATCCCTGGCGGGGTCTGATGCAACGCGGCGTACCCCATATCTAGGGCGGGTATTGGCAACGGTTCCGTATGGGCGGTGTCCACCCCTTTTCTTTTTCCGGTTGGTCAGTCGACTATTCGTTCATCATAGCTGTTGGCCTTTCATAGTGATGCTTCGTTCTCATAGGAGAGTCGGATTGTGAGACAAGCATGAGCCCCATGACAGACTGCAAGCCACCGGGCCGAAGCCTGAGAGGGGGGGACCGCATGTGATGGGATGACAGAAAAACCTTGGAATATTCCATGTTCATACCCAGGTTCTAGGATGGGAAATGAGCAGACCAGAAGAATTGCCCGTTCTCCTCATGCGTGCAGTATGCGTTTTCTGGCCGTGTTGCATCGGAACCAAGCTTGACAAACACGGATGGGGGGAGGAGTGGATATGCTCCTGCGTGAACTTTTTTCGATGGTAGCCAGTCGGAGGATTCGCTGGGGACGGGGGCACAGCGTGCGGAGGCGGCTTCCCAGAGTGAGACCCGGCCGTCAACTTGGAAGTGGGAGAGATATGCCCTTGTCGGTGACAGCCCAAGGATGTTATGTCGGGGGAGAAGAGGGGAGGGGGTTGTACTATGGAGGGTGGTGTTCTCGATGCAGTGACGGCCCCCGAAGCCTTCATTCTTGTCATCACGCCCGGGACTTACACCCCTCCCCTCACATCTCTCGTGCCATCTCAGCCGAGTCGATCGGCCATACTTGTATCGTTGGGCCCCCGACATCGTCAGACCTCGCTCGTCCCCGCGGCCCCTTTGTTCAGTCCGTCTCACACATCACCAAACGGCCTATATCGGCCATTCATTCATTCTTTTCGAGACTACCCTCTCCTCCCCAAACCACCATGATGGCCCGCTTTGTGACCAGGGCATTCGCCCTCCTCACCCTTTCAACCCTCGCCCTTGCCCAGGACGAGCCCAAGGGCGACGGCTACTTCGGCTACGACCTGAAGCGCCGCGGCGACAATGAGTCTGCCGTGTACGAGACGGCAAACACCAAGACGGGCATTGACACGCTGAACCCCATCCCGGACGTCTACCTCAACGCCTCAGTGTCGGTCGGCGAGATCAGCATCGAGGTGCAGAACCTCACGGCCAAGGTCAACCTTGACGCCAAGGTCCTGAACCTGCTTCACTTCTCGGCCGGCGTCGACGCGAGCATCGACCGCGTCAAGCTGGGCATCTACAACGTCTCAGCCAAGGTCGAGCTCGAGGCGCGCCTGGAGAATGTGGTCAAGATGGTGGACGACGTGCTCACGAGCATCGACCTGAACCCCATCATCGCGACGCTCGGCGACACCGTCAGCGACATCGTCAACAAGACGACCGACGTCATCACGGACCCCGTCGAGAGCGCCGCCGGCTCGGTGGCGAAGCGCGACCTGACGTACCGCATCGAGAACAACATCCTCTACTCGGTCAACGACTTCTCCGGGCGGACGCACACGAACCGTGTGCTGGCCCAGAACGGCTCGCTGTACGACGTCTACCTGGACAACAGCGGCAACGAGAGCGGGTTGAAGATTGTGGGCTACTACAGCCGCGACATGACGTTCAGCGGCCACAACAAGACCATCACGGTCGACGGGCAGGTCAAGGAGTTTGAGCTGCAGTATCTGTATACGCCGTACCCCGGGCTGGAGGCGTTTAGCAACATCTACGTAGACACCACGGGCAGGGTCGTGAGGACCAAGATCGTAGCCGAGGCCGAGGGCGGGGGCACGGCGACGATTAGCAACGATGACGGGAACGATCTGTAGGAAGCGGTAGAACGCTCGGGGTTAGGGGTGCCGGATGAATCGAAAAGGCTTGGCCGTAATCACTTCCCACTGACATTTGCCTCCTGTTGTCCCACGAAAGTATCAGGCCCAAGCGATTTCAAACGTCCAAATGCCGTTGGGAGATGGTGAGGCGTGCCAGTCTGGAAGCGGACTTGCTTCCGATGGCTGGACCGTCCGATTCGAGCACCGGGAAGCCGCCTGTGGGACGCGGGTTATAGAAGAGACCAGGTATTGACCGGGGGGCATGCTCTCGAGCGTTGGCTATTTTTTTCTTCTTCTTTTCTTCTCCTGGTGGAAACGCGGTCAAAGCTACGTTCAAAGTAGACAGCGAGAGGTCCTGTCCGCGCGTACGTGGGCGACGAAGTGACGTTGAAGGCTTAACAGCGCTGATATCGCCTCATTAACACCTCTCGATTATACCCGACCCAACCCAGACTCAGGACCAAATCCTCCGCGCGCTCGCTGTAACATTCAGAGTTTTCGGGCTGAGCCTTTTGTGAGGGAACCGGGGGGAGGAGATCATTGCCCCCATCGGGGGAAGCGCACGGCGCGCGATGATACCCTTGTCCTCAGTCGTTTGCGGCGGGTTTTGTGGACGCTGTGGCGAGGCTGTGAGGTTTGGATGCGACTCTTCTCCGCTGCTGGGTGCAATTGCCGGCCGGAAGGGAGACTCAGGGTGACGCTGCCAAAGCCCACGGCAACAGGATGCGGGACCTTCAGCGTCACACCCGTCGAGTAGGACATGGACAATAAGACGCCCTGCGACTGCGACTGTGATGTGTCGCTGGCTTTGCTTATCTCGAACCATTTACACGTCTGATAACTCATCAGTGTTCTAGGCAGACTCGGCTGTCAAGAAAGAGACGGGGCGGTGATTTCGGTAGAGTTGGCGTCAACCGTTCAACGTTGGCGCTAGCATCCAAATGGCGGGATCGTCTAGCCCCTTAACACCGTCGACATGCGCTTTTCTCGATTCGCATTTAACCGCGAATCAAGGCCCACAAGTTCCAAGTAAGCTAAAATCTCGAACTTGAGGCCACTGCAGGAACCACTCCTGCTAACAGAGGAGGGCCCCTGTTATGGAGCAATCGTTTCGGCGAGTTGAAGAGCTGAATGGTTTGGATCTGCTCACTCCACCTGTAGGCGCGTTGGCTTCCTGCTAGGTATAAGTCCTAGGCGGAATCGACCCAGCCTGAGCCCACTGAGTAAGGAGATTATCGCGCAGTCAGGATAGAGTAAAGTGTCCACCACCCCCTCTTTGGGCCTTTTTCTCGAAGTCGATCGCGCGGTGCTACTCACGGCAATTGGCTAGACCAGATCTCGATAGACTCCGGGTGTTTGAGCTGGCAGATGCAGGAATCAAGGCAGAGGAAATTTGCCATGCTTCACCCCTGCGAATCTGGGCCTTTGGCGATGCCGCAGTGCTGCCATGCACAGGAGAAGGATGCCGGCTTTTTGGCTCGAGTCCATGGCCGGCAATGCGGCATGCAAGGGCAGTTGGACGGTCCAAAAGTCCAGGAGGGCGGGTGATGCGTAACCGCTCATGCGATGCGACCCTAAGATGTGATGGGGTTCGTCACTTCTGTACGGATAATGATTATATGAGCTGCTTCGCTATAGGGCCTCCCCTTTTGCTTTACATTGGGATGATCCGATACCGTTGCAGCAAACAAGTATGATGGCATTCTGGCAATATGAGGGATTGTATGCGGTCGCGGCATAATAGCCAGCACGAACCGGCGCGGCCTGTGTAGTCTCTCATTATGCTGCCCCTGCTGCGCCGCCCGTCCGCTCGTTTCGTCTCATCTCGGGAAAAGGGGAACCATGACCGGGTGCAACAGCCGTCGCTTAACAACTCTCTTTTTTTGAATCTGCCCCATTGTGTCGTCATTCGGATGGCAGTTTGACAATTTGGGATTCCCTGTCGACGATGCCTCTGGTTAGTCAATAGCGCACAGTCTTGCCTCGATGCCCCCATCCGTGTTGTGGCAGTCCCTCGCGAATAACTCTCCGCAGTGGCCCACGAGTCGTTTTTATGGGTAATATAAGGCCTTTTCCGCCTAAAGTTCAGAGCCTGATCGGTTCCGAGATTTCATCGGCCCGTGGCAGTCTCGTGGGTTCTCGGGATGCATGTACTGGCCTTTTAAGGGCGCCGGTACAGACCCCTTCTCTTATTGATGTAAGCTATATCGAGATATCTAAACAGCGCCCAGATGATCTGGTTTTGTACTGTCGTACGGAGAGATATGCAAAGAAGCATTCGAATCTATTTGATGTCCTTGTAGAGAAAGTCCCCATTAAGCGACCGACCAACTGCTTCATTACTAGAACCAGCGTATAGAGAAGGTTGTCGAGGCATAGGTCCACACTAATACCACTGGGTGCAGAATACCGCGACAGATCAGTGAAAATCTTCCGCTCGCTGTGCCGGTACTCTGACTTAGAGACAACCGCAAGGCGTACATTCCATACAGTTGAAGCAGGTAACCTTCGGGACGTTTCTATTTTAGAGGCATAGTCTCAGAGAAGAAATTATTATGCTTTTATAACCCGATCAAACACAGCGTAGACATCGTTGAATGCGACGTCACCGAAATTATTCCGAATGGCGATAAAATCATGCGGATTGAGGGGGTTGCGAGTGATGCATTGACACAAGCCCTTGGACGGTGTACAACACGGTGCCTAGGGAAAGCTTCAAATCAGAGCAACGTGAAGGAGGTAGCACGTCAGTGTTATGCTATTCAAGCGCGATACAGGTTAGCCATCACTTTGAAATTATTCGACCTGGCCGGAAAGCAGGTATCAACTTCCTTAATCACGACTTAAGCCCCGTAATCGCGACAAAGTCTTCATTTACGATATAAAAACTACTGAAGGGTTTTCAGAAAGGAACAATAGTCAGCTTTGTCTGGTTTGTCGCGCGGGAACTGGGTGTTCACGTTGACACATGTCGCTACTCTCCGGCACTTGCCTGAGGCCCTTATTGTCAGACGCCTGAACGGCAAGTAGGTAGAGAATCGGAAAAATACGGCTCCTGAACCAATTCGCATGCATATAGGGAGAGTTTCCATGGAAGTCCAACATGGCCATTCGTGTTGAGTCCTGTGACGATTGGTCAGTACGTTCAACGAGTTGAGGATGTCGTTCAGCGCAAATTGCGACTTGTGAACATACTATTCATCCGCTGCGACGCGTGCACGTATCGGAGTTTAGCCCCATAGCTGTTGCTATATTTCGCCGTGTGGAGCTTGGACGTGCTGAAGCCGGATTGGCATGATGCCGCGGCCGCCGAAACTGCTCGACAACCTCAGGTTGCATATTATCGGGGACACCCGTCATGACTAGATAGATTGGCAGAATTCTCATCAACTCCGTCATTCGAATAACAGCTCAACCAAAATTCATGTCTCTCAGCCCCGGCTCAGAAGTGTCGATCGTGTGTACTCGCAAACCCCTGTTGGGGCCCTGCTATCATCTTTAGGTTCTGAACTAAGCTGTGAACAGGCTGCAGCGATCGCCGCTTTGGGCGTTGATGTTTTGATCCATCCCATCGATACATTGATTACTCGCACTCAGTCACTCGCCTACAAAACGCACTACAAAAACGCCAATGGATCGTTTCACCGGTCCCTTTTCCAGGGGCTGTATCAGGGCTTCGGCCCGACATTAGTTACCGGCATGCCATCAGCTGCTGCGTTCTTCACTATCTATGAGGGCTTGAAGAAGGCCTCCAAAGACGCCAAAGCAGCGGGGTATCTCCAGGGTGTGCCTCTGCCAGTTCTCCATGGCGCCAGTAGTGCCGCTGCCGACCTCGTGGCCTGTGCCATTATTAATCCCGCGGAAGTTCTGAAGCAGAATGCGCAGGTATATCAACAAGACGAGGGGTCGCCCAAACGCCAGTCGCCCACGTTGAAAATGCTGAAAAGTTTTATGAAACAGCCCACAAAACTATGGACAGGATATACGGCTCTGGTAACGAGCAGCATACCCGGGACGTGCCTGACGTTTTTACTCTACGAGTCTCTGGCAGCAAGATTACTAAAAAGGCTGGATCAAAACAGCAGGCAAGGTCAAGGAAGCATAACGCAGCAGATCCAGGTTCACACACTCAGTGCGGGCCTCGCTGGTGCCTTTGCTTCCTTCCTTTTCGTCCCTGTTGACGTGGTGAAGACGAGGATGAGACTGGCAGCCGGGGCCCAAAAGCCACGTCCCCGTTTGTTATTTCCGACTTCAGTCGGAATCAAAGGGGATGTGATAAGACATGTTGAGCACACCCCACCTCGCACGGTCAGAGGCCCCTTGCGTGTAGCACGAGAAGTTTTCCGCACCGAGGGTGTTCGTGGCTTGTTCAGAGGGGGCACTCTAACATGCTTGGCGGCAGGCGTCGGGAGCGGGCTCGGTCTAGGAAGCTACGAAGGCTTCAAACATTACTTTAAGGGTTCTACGCAAGAACAAGAAGAGGCGTTATTGTAATCTACCGGTTGGAATATGAGATCTCAGCTCAGACGTGTGTAATATTAAACCTAGAGTAAAGTTCGCTTGGTAAGAGATGGCGTGGATTTCAAGGCTTTGAAAATGTGTAGGATATCGGCATCAAGGTTGCGCTCACCGCTCAATGTGAGTTTAGAGAAGATGGGTTTCCAAATGGGCTAGAATAGAAAGCAGATGGTTCGCATCTAATCAGATTTGTTTAGCTACTGCAATATCGAAATAAACACTCCCAGTCCCCGACTAACCATGTTTACAACACAAAATTAGAAAACCCAACTGCTACGCAGATACGATGAGCCGAGTTGTGATCCAAAAACCAGCCCGAATGTTCCCTAACAGCGCATCTATCAGGCAGAGCTTGTAATAACATTCACCTCATCGTCGAAAAGAGACTCAAGTCTCCGGTTAGGAATGGCGCATGTGCTCGCAGCTGTAGGACAAAACTTGACGCAAGCGATCAGGATCTCTATGTTGCAAACGTGGGGGGGCGGTTTGAGTTGACAATGAGAATTGCCTCAGTTCAGTGTGGTTTCTGCGTACACGTACTTGCTGCTCACCCAGTGGAACACGGGTTCCATCGTTGTATCGCAGTTGCTCATTTCAAGTCTTTCCGCGCTGTCTTGACAGAGCCGGAGTGTCTCATTGTCGTGGTGTTCAAGTTGGCGCGTACTCTCTGATTACTGTTCGAGCCAGTTGGGAAAGGGGTCATATATGGTCACCTGTGAAACGGATTGGTAGCTACTTATACTGATGTGAGGGTGCAGAGCCTGCAGGCGTTCTGTGATGACTACACCAGACTTCCGTGGTTCGTGGACTTTTCGATTCCCATCTCCCATCTTGTGTGCATGATGTTATAACATTGGCGCCACACGCGCTGCCTTCGCCGGCGCCGTCTTTCTTGACGGTCCTGCGGTCAGGCAAATGGGAAGGCATTCAGTGCCCGGAAATCATGTCCGCCACGCGGACGATTTGATGAGGTATCCAGGTGATGACGAATCCCGGTATGTGGGCATTTGCGGCACTTTCATTGAGGAAGCCACAAAGACCGACGTCGGGGACATCTGTTTGACAACCGTAGCAGTCGATGGGCATCTTAGACAGACGAGGACGGGTAGAGTGCCACCATGTCAAGATTCCGAGGAGACCTAACAGAGCATGAAGAGTGCCACCGAAGGCCATAAGGGTAGCCCATAGGAGAGTCAGCCTTTGTCGGTTACAGCAAGCCACGATTAGGCAGCTGAAGATGGCGTCAATGCACATGACAAACGCGAACATGAAGATCATTGCTGTGCATAGTTTGGTCCGCAGAGAACTGTAGGCCCAGATTTGCTGTTCTTGCTGCCGCATAATTGCGACTGGAGGGCTAAGGGGCTTAGATGGAGAGTTTCTGAGTGTTAAGACGCAAGGAGCTGAGAGAAAAAGCACTAGGGTTCCTGTTGCGAACGTTGGAATTTGAGGCGTACGTAGAAGGAGTTGATAATGCTACCCTGAAAAATTGACAAAAAGTAACTAACCCGTAAGAGTGGCTATACCAATCGCGGTGAGGATTTGAGCCTCACGCGGGGGTCGAACCCGCAACCTTGAGATTAAGAGTCTCACGCTCTACCGATTGAGCTAGCAAGGCGGGTCTTGTTTGATGACGGCCTTTCCAAAAACACAAAATATGAACCCTCCACCAAATCACTCCTTACCGAAAACTAGACATTGACTGCTCTGCGAATGGATCAACGCATATTTACAAGCAGCTGTGTCCGTTAATTTCACTGAAATCGAGCAATTTCGCTGTTTACACGTTTGTGCAGTAGCAGCAGCCTTCTCTCCGTGTGAGCCCTCGTCCAAGGCTGCCTACCTTAGCTTTGGACTCAAGGCAGTAGCCCTTTCGGTTTGCTTTGCCTTGCGAATAGGGCATGTGACGAAATCACTCTAAGTTGTCGCCGATTCTGGCCGGCCAATATGCATATACCTTAGTCATTAAAATCGGGCGCATCCACTAGCGCTCGTTTGAAGATCTTGAAAGTTTTCTCCTATTGACGATGCGACAAGAACTCCGAATTCGTTACTAGCCAGAAGCGCGTTTTGCTCAACCCGCGTTTTCAATGTTGTCCTTCATGAAACTTTACAATTATCTACTATGATCAATCGTTGCACTGTTCGTAGCGTGATTTCGGTACCAAAGCAACCATACACCGAGAAGCAGTGCTTGTATGGAAAAACGAGAATGCTTAGTGCCACTAAACTCCAAAACGCCTCGCCTGTAGTTGATAAGTGGAAATACCGTCTCTTGTTAACCACCCATCCCTATCGATCGCCCCCTTTGCCGTAGAGATTGGCAGGAGCTCCGTCACCTAATTCGGCTCTAGGGGCTGGTTGCTCCATGCCGTCCAGCTCGCTGACCGGGTGCAAATCCACTCCTACACCGGAATACTGGCTCAGGTGCCGAGGGTTGTGGCCGCTGAGGGAGCTCACGTTGCTGTCCGTGTAGGTGGAGAGATGACGCTCATCGACTGACATTGGAGAGCCCGGGTGCTTGACGGGGAAGTAGGGTGACTGCGGCGGTGATGTGGACGGGTACGAGTTGGGGGCGGCGGTTGTTGCGTAACTGATGTGAGATGCTGCGCATGTCAGTTTCTTTGTCCTTACGAGCAGTGAATGCTTAGAGGAACTTACCACGTGCTGGATCGTACAGGGCCGGACTATGAGACGTGTAGCCCATGTCCGGATGATGACTCGGGTGAGCACTTTGAGCAGCAGGCTCCCACGCAGGCTCCCGTCTTTCATTACGCTTCCTAGCATGCCATCCACATCTCCAGATTACCGTCACGATGATGCCAACGACCACAGCAGCCCCGATGGCGATACCGGCGATAGCTCCCGCGGAAAGAGCGTTGCCTGAAGAGTTATTGGAAGGAGAGGCTGACGAAGAAGAGGAAGAATCTTGAGTGAATATTGTTCGGTTGACTGCATCGGAGCTTAGAGTCGTCCCGATGAGGTGGTCTGTTGGGCAGAGGCCATCGGGCTCTTGACAAGGGTTCTTGGCGCAGCATCCGATGAACGGGACGTTGTTGGTACATGTGTAGAAGAACTGGCTGGCCGGCCTCGGATCATCGCATCCCTGAGGCGGAATGTTTGCGTATTTGTCCGGGTTAAACGAGGATATTCTCAGGTCCTTGGTCGGGCACTTTCCACTGCCATCGGCGCATGGGTTTGAAGCGCAGCAGCCCAGAAACTCGGTCGTATTGCCCTCGCAGATGTAGAAATCGCCGCCTCGTGGGCAGCTAAGACCTAGGCTGCTACTGACGGACATTGTATGGGGTTTCGAGGAAGTGGTTGGTCTCTTGTGCGAAATGCTGTCTGCCGCTTGCTCTTGACTTTTGATGTACTAGATGCACATGAGAAAGGATACAGCGACAAGCTTAAAGACGCTGGTGAGCACACTCATGTTAAGTCAAGACATACCGTCACGAGATGTATATAAGCGTGTTCAAAGGAGGCCCACAGCTGGCATGCAGCCCAACTTCCATTTGGCTGATCAGCACGTCGGCCGGGGTGGTCTTTTAGGAACTCGCATTTTGACTGGGGCTGGACTGGCGATGCACCCGTCAGCATGCCCAGCTCTCTCTCGATCTGTTGTAGGCAGACGAATAACGTCCCTGCCGGCGCATCGAAGGATGTCCCAAATCTCGCACTTGCGGGTCCACAGCCTCTTTCGGGAGCATCACCCAAGAGCAACGGTTCACTTGGCATCTGGAGCAGGTTTGTAGACAGTGGAGGCGGGGAGTTTCTCGCCTTATCGGCTGCGGAACGACCAGCGCATGTTCTCTGGATCTGTCCAACGTCTGCGGCGCTTTTTGGGAATGTTCCAAGAGGGTTTGGGACCGCGATTTGTCCTTGAAGGCACAGTGGCTAAGACAATGGAACCGGTCAACCCGAGCGTGGAACGGGAGATGAATGCGATCATGAGACTTCTACCATGCATGATTCCATAAAGCCTCTTGGACAGAGACAAAAGGTCAGCACAGTGCAAGTATGATGGGCGTGTCATCTGTCGATGACGGACGCCTCGGTGCCAAAACTGCAGTTTGCCCGTTTCCTCGACCCGCGCATTGGTGCTGGGGAGGAAGGTGGCTTTGCACTTTGAAGGATTGCGGAGTTCTTGGCTGCTCAGCTGAAGGATCGCAGTGAGATAAGCCCTGCCAACTCTAGCGAGCAAGGCTAAAAATACGAGAGAGGTTTGTCACGGTTGTAAATAAGAGCCATCCCGATCGGGGAAAGTGGCTGACATGCTGACAGGATTCTAAGATTTGCAGTGTGGACACACAACTTCGGTTCAACATTGACAGCGCAACACTATTACGCAGAGAAATCTTTAGTGTTGGAAGGGCCAAGGAAATCTTGTGAGAACAAGGGACAATTAATGTCACAGGTCAGCATACAGGACGACCCGAACGGTCGAGGTGCGGGACGCATCTCGAATCATTCATTTAGCCTAAGAGACGATAATTACGCTTATTCCAGCGAATCTTCTGAGTCGACACCTGGCGCAAGCCTTCAGAGGTCGTCTTGCACCCAGAGCATCTGGGCGTAAAGGGATCGGCGATTACCTCAAGTATAAAGTCATCGGCTGTGCGCCAACCCGGGGGCTTTGATGGAAGGAGTGCGCCTTGGAGGTTTGCTCAAAAGCTATCAGGCTCGACTGCTCCGAATCGCTCTTGGCAGAAGCTTTCGTGTTCGAGCCTATGCATAGCTGTTGCGTTGGTGTCGTGCAGCTTCCTCATTCCCTTGAGGATGAAAATGGTCAAGGAAGCATGGCATACTCATCGTTACGAGGGACAAATGCTCGAGAGCCTTTTTTCCAGCCCATGTAGCGAAGAGGTTCGACTTGGAGCAAGTGGTCAATTCGAACTTTCGTCCATGACCGATCCAAAACGTACACGAGATTGTCTGGATGTTGGTGGCGAGCACCGTGAAATTCCGAAAAACCGCAGCAAATTGTCGTGTTTGGAAAAATTTTCAAAGGCCGTAGGGGAAATGCTCCGCCATGCCAGAAGTCTCGGAGTGCCGTCGATGGGATTGCCGGGATAGGAAATCTTCCCAGCGAGGGGGTTCCCGGCATCAGTGGTTTACAGAGGACCCAGCCCGAGGGAACGCAGCCACCAGGTCAAGACTTCCGGCCCGGGCCATGATCGGCTTGTCATATAGAACTCAGTGTAGGCCCGGAGTGGCTAGCTCTCCTCGGCTTTGCTGGTTCGTTCAGGAATGAGCCGGCTAGGAGAGGGTCTACTTCGGGTCCGGGTTGAACATGTTGAGTCGGGATGACATTCTCGCCGTGCACCTTGAAGCGTGTCTCTTGACGGCCCCGGCTTGGAGAGGGTCCTTGACAGGCCCCGGCGCCGTCGAAGGATCGGAAGCAAGTGCCGTGCCTAGAGAGAGTGAAGAACCCGAGCTTTCGGTCTCGAACAGTCGTAGCCACTTCTCGGATGACATGCCCTCGAAAATGGCCAAGTACGAGATTTCCTTTGCAATGCCTCATCATCGGATGGTCACACTCTTACGTCGTCATACACACTGTAGATGCGAAGGCCGAAAGCTTGCACAACCGCATAGTCATCTTGCACTATCGGTGAAGGATCGTCGGCGATGCGGAGCGGGCCCTGGTAAGACGAGCGGGTTTTCACTGAAGTCTATCCGTAGGCCTCCAAACTTTCGCATTCCTTCTTCCCAACACCCAGACGGAGTCACAGATGCGGGTGTAGCATTGATCCTCTCGGACGGGGTTGAGACTCGTGGCGGCGCCATGCTCAACAGCTGAGCGGCAACCTTCCATGTTGTGCTCTTGTGATGGTGATCCGTGCCGGGATGTGGAGGTGGAGCCCGGGGGAAGACCCCGAATCACCTGTCTCGAGACTATCGCAGCCGACACCTGCGGCCCCATAGTCCTCTGGGCGCATCGGGGAGCTGCATGTCGTCCGAACAGCGAAAGAGCGCGAGTAGGGCGGTCCAAAGCTCGTGCAGCCACGGGCCACCAGAGGGGTCGCGCCGACCGCGATAGCGAACAGGCGGCTCGCGTTGGTGATGCACTCCAAGGGAAGCGAATAATATCTTTGTGTTTACATGTAGGCGGAAAGCCGAGCAAAGGGGTCCGTTGCATTGGGACAAACCGCCTTGGCCTGCGTCCGGGGCTCGGTCCGGGCGGTCAAAATAACTCGTACAATAGGGGGAGCGGCCGTGTTGCCGTGGGAGCGAGTCGGTCGTGAGTGGCGCCAAGGGACCGGCCAGGCAACGCTAGCTCAGGGACAGTGGAGGGACATCAGGCGAAAAAGAATATGCATAGGCAATGTGGCGTGCATTCGGCTCTCGCCTTTTGGTGCGGGAAGCGATGTGCATGTAGGAACTAGGAGACTAGCAGGTAGAACGGTGTCGTTTCACGGACGTCCGATGCGCGCACGTCCAAGTCCGGTCGTCTCTCCACGGGCATCCGGGCGCAAGCAAAGGAACGGCCTCAGGTGAGGCGGGTCCAAACTGGCAGCGAGAATAGAACAACACATGGAACGGACTGAATTTCAATATGTCGAGATGTCGTACTTAAGACCCGGCAATCCAACCCAAATATCCAATCTCGAAACACCCCACAGAACTCAATCACTCTCTCATCCAAACGACTCCCGGTATCTCCACGATCCAGTTCACCGCAACCGTCACACCAACACTTCTCCGACACAAGTCAACCTATAAAACCATTCAAAATGCCTGGTCTTACCTCCGACTCTAAGGGTTCCAAGTACGACGCCATCCCCGGCCCTCTGGGTCTGGGCTCTGCGTCCCTTGAGGGCAAGGTTGCTCTTGTCACCGGTGCCGGTACGTCTCTAAACAATTCCTAAACGGGATGCACTCTGCGGGAGAGCCCGCAGCCGAACAGTAGCAAGCTTAGACCACACTGCGGGGCGCATTTTCAGGGTCCGTTCGTCTGATTTCTGTGCTAACATGATGGTTCCCAGGCCGTGGCATTGGTCGTGAGATGGCCATGGAGCTCGGTCGCCGTGGCGCCAAGGTCATTGTCAACTACGCCAACAGCGCCGAGACCGCCGAGGAGGTCGTCCAGGCCATCAAGAAGTCCGGCTCCGACGCCGCCTCCATCAAGGCCAACGTTTCCGACGTCGACCAGATCGTCAAGATGTTCGAGGAGGCCAAGAAGATCTTCGGCAAGCTCAACATCGTCTGCTCCAACAGCGGTGTCGTCTCTTTCGGCCACGTCAAGGATGTCACCCCCGAGGAGTTCGACCGCGTCTTCGCCATCAACACCCGTGGCCAGTTCTTCGTCGCCCGTGAGGCCTACAAGAACCTCGAGGTCGGTGGCCGCCTCATCCTGATGGGCTCCATCACTGGCCAGGCCAAGGGTGTCCCCAAGCACGCCGTCTACTCCGGCTCCAAGGGTACCATCGAGACCTTCGTCCGCTGCATGGCCATCGACTTCGGTGACAAGAAGATCACTGTCAACGCTGTTGCCCCCGGTGGCATCAAGACCGACATGTACCGGTAAGAACATTCTGCATACCTCATCATATTGGAGCGCAAAACTGATAAAAGCATAGTGACGTTTGCCGCGAGTACATCCCCGGTGGCGCTGAGCTCGACGACGAAGGTGTTGATGAGTACGCTGCTGGCTGGTCCCCCATGCACCGTGTCGGTCTCCCGATCGACATTGCCCGTGTCGTCTGCTTCCTGGCCTCTCAGGATGGTGAGTGGATCAACGGCAAGGTCATCGGCATTGACGGCGCTGCTTGCATGTAAACACACAATACCTAATATATCGGAGTAATGACTATTGGCGGGGACACTAGATTGGACCACTGTACATTTTAGATTTATCACATGGGATATAATGAATAAAACCATGTGCCCATAAAAACCCCCGCGAAACAATTCGCGTCAAGAGCCTTGTGTTGCGCATCTAGTTCCAACGAATGTCAGCCTGGAATATAGGCCTGTCCTCTGTCTTCAATTAGTCCCGGCGGTTCTATTCCCTTTGGGCATCTCTCTAGGCCCCGTGTTGAGTAAAAAGGGAACCGAAATGACCACCCTATTCAACCTCGTTTCCTTTTCACTGACTATCGCACTCGGCTGGCCAATTTGAGTTCTGCTACTAACATTTGCAGTCACAAAGATCGTTGTGCCCATCCTTTGCAGAGTCCACTGAGTCAGTCCACTGTTCGAGCCGCAAACTCCGACGCAGGAGTCTGTACTGGTAGCGCACACAGGGCCAGTCGTATGGGGTTGGTACTCACAATTCATGTTTCTGCCAGCAGCCACCAGAAAATTGGTTACCGAGTGTCTTTGAGTCAACTGCTCTGGTTATACGAGCTATCCGTACAAAGAAACAAAGAAACGAAAGGGATGACGACCCCGCTCTCTCTCCACCTGCCAATAATCAAACTTATCTGTCCACGGTTCCTACAAACCCACATACAGTTCTTATATTCTCCAGGATAGTAGCTAGACTAACTCATCTATCATATACTGCAAGGCTGGGTCCATTTCACCGTAATGAGGCCATTCACGCTCAACTAACCCCAACCTCCCATTATGGCTACGCAAGATGCCTTCAGCCGGTCGCGAATCAGCTGTCTTAATCAGGTTAATTCTGACCTGATCAAGTTTGGCCGCGATACGATGGATAAAGTAGAGACTCCCAGGGTTCTCGTGTAGGTATGATCAGGGTGCTGGTCATTACGAAAGACAGAAAAGATATTCCCTTGGTTCTCCTTTGGGAGAGAAAAGTCAGTGGAGTGTGTGTCGACTGTTCGAGTCTGATCTGAGATTCCCAAGCTAGAGAGGTTTTTATACACCTCATCAGACCATGCTGAGCTAAGAGATGAAAGAAAGCAACGCGAAGACCACCTAATGGGAGCAGGAAGCCCTGCCCCGTTCTCGTACTCATCAACAAAAAGGAAAATTTAGTGCATGGAGGAAAAATGCAATGAGAACTTATGTTAATTGCATATCGCAGTATCTGTAAGTGTAGTGCAGGATGACGCCCAGCATTTATGTCAGATGCACAAAGATGAACCTCACATAGAACCTCGCATTATGAATGTCCCATTCTTGCTTGAGTTGGGACCTGAAGACCCAAATTGAGTTTGAGCGGAAAATACGCTAACTCACTTTGGACAGATCTGCTCGCCATATTTGTGTGACAACTACTTAAGTCATGCTATTAACACGGTACAAGCATCAGCATTGCAAGAGCAGCAGCCAAAAAAAGATCAACACCCACTTAGGACCGGGTTTCCCAAGCATATAAGAACCTGAAGAATCGGCCACCCCGAGCACTCATTGAGCTCGTTCTTCTACCAAACCTGCAATCTAACAAACTCTTCCAGCTTCACACTCTTTCGATCTCACGTCTCAGTCATAATAATTCCCAAAATGCGTTCGACGTCCATTTTCCTTGCTTTCGCTGCCTTTACCGGCATGGCTGCTTCCAAGCGCGGCTGTAAGCATGATGAAACCAACCCTGGCTGGGGCTGGTACTGGGTCGTTGTGGGCGACAGTCTCAACGCGATCGCCGCCGACTTTAACACCACAGCCGTCGAGCTTGCCAAGACAAATAATATTACGAACCCCGACTTTCTACCAGCCTGGGTGACCATCGTGGTTCCCTGCGAGTCTTGACCGAAAGACCGCCTACGCCACAAGACACAAAACCGACGGACCAGTATCACCCACCTGCACTTGCTGGGACTTTGGCACTGAAAATCACATCGCAGCAACTTTGGTGGTTTGGAAAGAAGAAGAAAACAGGGTTGGGTGGTCAATATTGAAGTGCCGTCTGACTTGGAAGCAGATTGGGCTTAGTTTTTTTGGACCTGCTGATTAGACAATGTACAATATCTGCAAGATTGGCAGAATGCGATGGGATTTCCATGACTGGAAAAGTGTTTTGATTCATTAAACCATAGTACATGATTTGACGACTGTAAATACATATCTTGAACTTTTGATGATCCAAACCCTCACTGCGTCTCAAACGCCGAAGTAAGAGCCCGGTTTTTTGCCAAAGGTTAGCCTAAGATTCCCCTATGTTGTGTGACTGAATTGGACGCAAGCTGTTGCAGATGTCTTTTTGAACGAACGATACACAAAGATAACATATTTGGCATGGTTAACACAAAAGCCGATAGACAGCTTTGTTGGAAATCCCATAGGCCATCGACTACATAACAGGAAACTAGTCAGTTCACTGGCAGTGTACTGAGAGTGTTTGAGAAACAAATGGTTGATTGAGCAGGAATATTTACATGACGCATTGCGCTGCAAAAGAAATAGAGACACCTAACAAACAACACCTACGAAATTGCACCTTGGGTGGATTCCTACAGTCACTGATGTCTACTCCCTCTCAAAGTTCCAGTGGCAACCCGTTTACTTCCCCAATTTGCGTCATTGATCAAAAACCGAGGGTCTGGCCAGCAGCGCCGACAACCTTGCTTTTAAATCTGAGAATACATCGCGGTGGGCAACCAGGATGTTGTCGAGGATTCTATACCAATGGCATCGCCATTTGAGTCCTTGGCCTGAGAGATAGCCAAGTTGCGAAGAATTATCTTCTTAACATCCTTGCTGTGGAGACCAGTACGGAAAATCTTGGATCCCTTCTGGCCAACAATGGTCTTGTGGTGCTAAAAGCCTGCCGTATGCAGTAGGCCTGTGAGGTTGAAGTGGCTTGTATTTTCCAAGTGAAGTATTACGCAAGGCTACTACTTCAACAATGAACACTGGAAGATTCGTGCTGAAGCGAACTCTCGGAGTTGCCTTATTAAATTTGACAGGTACACTCGGAAATTACGCCGGATCGTCGGTTACGCCGTTACCGACGAGAGCCATAACATGATAAAGCACATGCCTATTGAAGACAAGGGAAGGCCTATCCTATCTACTTACATAACAGCGGTATTTCTAACGCAGTGCAAAATCAATGCGCACGTTCATGATTATCCCGTCTCATGGTTCATTGAAGGATAAGTACACGGTCCACTGTTATTGAGATACATCATAACAAGAGACTTAATTTTGCCTTCATCAAGAAAAACGAGGGTTCTGGTGACAATGACTCTAACACAAGCACACAGCCAGTTAGTAGTATTGTATTAATTGCTAGTGTACCCCGAAGCTGTTTACAAGATTAGAAGACTAAGAGACAACAAGCGAAAAGCGCGCCTTCTCACCTCCGCTCATCATTGCAATAAAGTTTCTATCTAAAACAATTCTCTTAATAACTGCTCTAATCCTGAGCCCTGTACTATGCGCGGTATTTCTTCCCCCGATTTGTTTGTGTGATTATGGTTTGTTGACTTGTGTCCGTCTATAAAGCTTGCAGTAGGAAACCTCCCGAATATCAACGAAGCGCTAAATTCTCATTAACCTTAGGAAACGAGGCCTATTGGGTCCAAAAAGACATCTTTGTCCCGACAGAGATGTCTACACGAATGGCTACACCCGGGACGTTGACCCTGTTGTTAAGGCTGAACTCGACCTTGATGAGGATGAGATCATAGTAAAAGCAGCATGGACCGCCTATGACTATACGAAGCCAAAAAACCTTCACCTTAACGAGATCCTAGAAGCCATGTGGAAAAACAGAGGCTTAAAACTTAGCGACCTGCGTTCTATACAGGATAAAAAGGTTATAAACAAACAAACTGGTAAGGCAATAGATGCCATAAGAAAACGCCGTGGCTTGGGTACTGACGCAGCATTTACGGTCACGAAACCAGAAGGAGGCAAACAGGTTGCAGATTGGACTGCCCTATATGAAAGCTCTTTTGGAAAGGTGTCCCGGAGGGTGGCTGAAGAGGGTGGGAAGGGGGTTAGCACATTCGAAGTCAGGAGTGAGGTGGTGACTCAACCACGTAAAACTATAGTAAAACTATAGTAGATGAGTACTTGACCACCCAGCTCACTTAGTATAAGCACAAGAGAACGATTATATCTACTCACTGGACTTAACTGTCGCTTGTATCCACTTATCCTGGTCGGGACTCGACAGCATGTCCTTTGCCAGTGTTGTGGTCTGACCCATGAGCATCAGAACAGTGTCCTTGGTGTTGTCGTACGTGTCGGAGTTGGTCTTGGAAAAGGCCGGCAGCGTCTTGAGAGCCGCCGAGAGTTTCAATCTTCAAGAGATCAATCAAAATGTTGAGCCACTGGTTTGTCTTGTCTTCGGGGATGGGCGAAAACGTGTGTTCCATGTTGTCGGCGCCGTTGGCGAATGGTCCGATCAGTTGCAACAGAGTCTCGCGGTATGTGTGGTACATCTTATGGATCGTGATAATGGAGTTCCCGATGAACTGCGCCGCCCACCCAGAGCTGTCGCCGTTGGCACCGGGCGGGGATTCCATCGTTTAGTCTGAGTTGTCCATTTCCCCGTTCAACATCTCGCAGCCCATCGAGAAACCCGAGTTGAGCGTTCGCTCGAGAGACTCGGAGAAGCTCAGGCGTTGGTCCCTAGCGGTACTGAACCACATGGAGAAGACCTCACGCCAGCGTTTCCACGTAAAAGAACGTAGAGAGTTAGGTATATGTTGCATGCCAAATGGTCATGCTGTTGGATTCGATGCGTGGAATGAGCAGCATGTTGAATAAGCATCTCGAGTGTCCTACTGAACTTACATTTCTTCCCCTTCCCCTTCGGACCCCATAGTCTAGCCTAAAAAAGCGACATATCATGAGGCATGTTCCTGCCAAGAACCTACGGGTACTGGTCATCAGACATGTCGAGTGCATGGGAGAAGAGGGAAGCGAGATAGAGTAAGCATTAGAGAAATGACCAACTGACTAGCTTCGTTTCATTGGATGCTGACCCTTGCACCTATACAACCGACTACATGAAGAAAAGAAAAATGCGGCACAGGGACCGGCTGGAACAGATGTTGGGGGAACGGAGGAAAGGAGGCCACCAGTAGTCATATCAGACAAGGAGGAAAGCGGCGACGCCGAGAGCAGCCGCGAGGGTTGCGCCCCCTGCGACGGCCAGCTTCTGGTAAGCATTATCCTTCTCTGGGCAACCAGAAGGTGGGTTCGGACGTCTGCATCTCCGAGCCTGCTCGTCAGCCTCCATGCTCTCAGCCGTAGCCTCGTCGATCTTGACTCTGCAGGGGTTCGAGGTCGGGGCTGGAGAGGGGGAGGCGATGAATGCACAAGTACCATACTGGTCGTTGCCGGAAAGGGGCTTGGGGACATCTTGTGTCTTGTCCGTCACGGCGATAACAACTCCCACATTGGGGGGACACTTCTCCTCGTTGGCCGTCGCCTCAACGAGGTCGGCTTTCTGGGCGCCTTGCTTGATGTCGAAGTGGAGCCGAAGTTGGTCACTGCTATTGCTGACAATGCGGACTTCACCGCCACTCTCGTCGCACCGTCTCCACCATGTCGTCCAGAGGAGCTGCAGAGGGCCCTCGATTTCGAAGTCCATGAAGGCATAGAGAAGGTAGGGCTCCCTGGTGTAGTTTGCCCATTTGAGGTCGAAGGTCCTCTCGTTGATCTTGTCGAGCATGGTCATGGAGCCGTTGAGAACGTCAAGGTCAACGATGGGCTCGAGATATTGGGCTAGCTTGGCGTTCTGAAGTGCAAAGATGATGGGAAACCTTTGCATTGGCGCATACGTCTCGTTCTGGCGCGGGAAGACGAGGCCGATATCCAGCACGCCGTCGGCGGCTTGAGATATGGCACCTAGGTAGGCCAACGCGCCCACGAGGGACCAGACGGTGTGGGAAACGAGACGCATGGTGGTATTTGCTTTTGTTGTTGCTGCTGCTGTTGGTAGCGGTGGTGATGAGGATTGTGACGGTGATTCTGACTCTGACGGCGATGGTGATCTTGCGGGAATTGCAGCCGCTGCACGGCGAAGTTGTCAATACCTGGAAATGAAAGTGACTACGGTTGACTACAGGGTGTATAGTCGGTCAAATCAGCTTTGTTTGTTATGCCCCGATTAGGAAGTAAAGTAAGTTTGGCCTCCCGCCTTGCAGTCCCGCGTAAGCGACCAAAGATGCGGGGAGAGAAAGACGAGGAAAGAAGATTTCCGCTATGCGTCCGCTCGGGATGCAACCTGACCTCCGACATGGAGCTCCGGGTCAAGCTCTTCCCGTCAGCGCGGAGTCTCCTTTTCTTTGCGTACCGCATCACCAGGATCAACAGTGTCGGCATGCTTGGCCCGCTTGGCTAGCTTGGCCCGCTTGGCGTAATGCCGTTTCCCGTCTCGGCCTGATCCTGCCACATTGGCAGCGCGTGCGTGGTTTATGTATGTAAGGGCGCTTTGGAGCGTGGGACGTCACGACCCCTGCCGCGCCTGGGTCCAACTTTTGCTCCCTGTTCAACACTAAGAGCCGCATACTCTAAGATGATCTCGCCCGAAGAACAAGGCCCCGTCAGTCTGTCTCCCTGCAGAAGTGCATTGCAGAGCCTTGGGATTGGGGGTCTTGGAGGGAAAAGTTCATCTTCGCCTCGCAAAGCCATGACTGCAGGCAGCAAACTATCACCAGACTTCATTTTCTTCAGTCAAACACAGGATATCTTCGCATTTAGCGCAATCCTACGGGTTCTGGTTTCTGATCAATTCCTTCGTTACTCACCAGACAGACTCTAGCAAGCATGCACTTCACGCGTCTTCAACTTATGGCGGCGGCGGCCAGCCTCCTCTTCGGCCCAGCCTTAGTCTCGGCTGGGGCACACGTACGCCGCGGTTTCGAGTGCTTCTGCGAGATGCCGGCCGACAGCGGCGAGACATGCGAGAGCCTATTGTCCGGCTGGAGCATCTCGGAAATGAGTTCATCAACATCAACCCCGGTGCCACCTTCTCCAACCTCGAGGCCGGTAAGAACTACTACGTCGTCGGCAAATTCACTCCTGACGGTCCCACCACTCCCCCAACCCAGCCTTTGTCTACGGCTTCTACTTCCACGAGGCCTACCACCACCACCTAGCCGCCGACCGCCCTTCGGACCTCCACCATGACCAGCGCCGCCACGGGCCCCACCGTTTCTCCCGTCATGCCGGGGCCACCGCTAATTGCAACCGTTACTACAAGTACCAGTCCGGCGACTCGTGCGATGTCGTCGCCTACAAGAGCAGCATCATTGTCTCCCAGCTGAGAGCCTGTAATACCGATATTAACGCCTCCTGCTCCAACTTCTGGCTTGACTACTACATCTGCACCCGTGTGCCCGGTACCGTCACGCCAACAACGACAGCAAAGACCACCACCGCACCGGGGCTGACCAAGACGGCCCAGCAGTCCGGTGCTGCAGGGAACTGCGATAAGTGGTACAAGATTGCCTCTGGCGACACCTGCGACACCGTTGCCGCCAAGAACAAGATCACCGTCGCGATGTTCCGCAGCTACAACGCCCAGATCAATTCCGGTATGTCCAACCCTTCATGCACACTCATCGTTCCTGGCTTCGCCGCTGACATTTTTCTTCCCAAAAAACAGGCTGCAACAACCTACTGAAGGACTACTACGCCTGCGTCGGCACCCCCGGCGCTGCCACGCCCATGCCCTGCATCGTGTCCAGCTGCAGCCGCTTCCACAAGGTTATCTCGGATGACTTGTGTGATGCCACTGCGTCGAAGACCGGCATCACCATGGCCAACCTTCGCAAAGGGAACACACAGATCAACTCGGGGTGCACTAATAAGTGGCTTGATGCTCTGATTTGCACCAATGCCTAGGTTCTCAGTCGTACGAGGACGTCTCGATAGTTCTGTATGAAGCCATAATATCACTCTAAGAACTCAGCGAATAATTCATTAATTATATAACCAATCAACCCAATGCGGTTCTGCTTTTGAGAAAGTGAGCAACCTAAAGTTTTAAATACCGCAAAGTAAACCCCGCCTAGCTATAAACGCATATCTGAGTCCTAAATAAGTTGTATAATACGTTCTACTCCTTACCGTCTTTCTATATACGTAATCGTACCGAATTTCGTTCGTATGGGGCGTTTGTTTTTACATTCTTAGCACTTCCAGGACCTGCTTACCAACTGGCCAACTCTTCGATGTTACGAGTGAGTAAAACCAAAGCGTCTGCCGATTGCAAATCCACGGGAAGTTGGCCTAATAATTTTCCACTTTCCCACGAAAAGGTTCCCCTCACACTATGTACTACTTATTCCTCGTTTTCTCCCAAGCAATTTCTAATGTATCCACTGACCATTAATTGAAGCCATGTTCGCTTGTCGCGTGACTCTAGCGAATACTGAACGTTGACCAATCCCATTTGTTATGACTAAGCTTCGTGATGTTGACTCTGACTAATCCTGATATGATAATCGTCCCCTCCGAATGAGGGGTTGGAATCTCTGAGTTGATACAGCAGGATACGATTAAAGGTAGTTCTTGGCAAGGCCTTGCATAAACACCAGTAATAAAATGGATCTCATGATTTGCGGTACTTGCGGCGTGCAGTTCGACAGCCACGCAATCAAATCATGCAAGATATGCGACGACCCTCGCCAATACGTCGCTGAAGACGGGTAAGCTCCAAGCGTAGTCTCCTTTGCCCTTCCGTTAGAAGCAGACTGACACTTGCAGCCAATGGTTCACCACCCTTCGCGAGCTCCAAGACTCCAACAAGTACACCAATGTCTTTACTAAAGACAAGTATAACTCGGGCGTTATCGCCATTCGCACCGAGCCCCAAGTCGCCATCGGCCAGCGTGCGTTTCTCCTCCGGTCACCCGCCGGCAACCTGCTCTGGGATTGCATCACGTACCTGGACGACGAAACCGTGCGCCGCATCAAGGCCCTCGGTGGCATCGCCGCCATCGTTATCTCCCACCCTCATTACTTCTCTACCGCGCTCCACTGGGCCGAGGCCTTTGATTGCAAAGTCTACGTCTCGGTTGAGGACGGCGAATGGCTTACGCGCCGCGGAGACGCCCATGTGTTATGGGAAGGACAGGAGACGGAGTTACTCGACGGACAGTTTCTGGCTGTCAAAGTCGCAGGCCATTTTCCTGGCAGCTCGGTGCTGCTGTGGAAGAGCGAGAAGAAGTTGTTTGTGGCGGACTCCGTCATGGTAGTGCCTAGCGGAGTATACCACGTAGACCGGCCCCCGGGGACTGCGAGCTTTGCGTTCATGTGGTCATATCCAAACATGGTGAGTGATTGCGCCCCTTGCAAGACGGGGCGATCAAAAGCTGACTTGAACGAACTGTGTAGATCCCGCTTTCACCCGAGGCCGTGCATGGCATCTGGACGGCCGTTGCGGGGCTTGACTTCGAAGACGCACACAGCGCTTTTGTTGGACGTGATGCCAGGGGTGACGCAAAGAAACGGCTATTGGAGAGTGCCCAGCTTTTTGTTAGATCTATTGGATATACTGATCATCCTATTCATAGTGAGAGTATTTAGGTCCTTCAACGACAGCGACCAAGACTGTTCAAAGACATCTTTTAACATGTTTTGCACGTTGGACGAGCCAAGTCATGAGGCATTTTCGGAGCATCTTAGTCTTTCTATATAAACGCCCCGCATATTGTTTCTATCCATGGGGTATTCTGATAATTTCCTGACCTTTAAACACAGACGCCTAAAAGGTTCGAGACACAAACTGAAATTTGATGTATATCGGGGGATTCAGCCGAAAAGCTTGTCCAGTATTTTCTCGAAAATGTTTCTGTTGAACCAGTCAGCAATTTGTTACTCAAAATGTTGCAAGAGATGATAGCTTACGCCGGCGGTGTCGGTACAAAAGTCCTCTCGTACTCATCAATTTCGTCCTTCAAGGAATCAGCATTACACATTCTAACACAATGTAGACTGCTCTTCAGCAAGCGCACCTTGTTGCGGTACAAATCAACCTCCTCAGGCTTAAAGATCTTGGTGCGTTTGATGATCTTCCAACCAAGATACAAGACGGGGAAGATGCCGACCATGGTGTATCTAGTTGTGTCAACGTTTGTCTTATATGGTTTGGAGGCAATCGTGTTGAACTTACGAGAACAAAAAGTCGGGGATGTTCCAATACCCGTCTAGGGGCAGAAAGACAGTGTATCCACTAACAAAAGTCATGATGAAGGTGCCGATGAGACCGTACCAGGCGGCATACGGCTGGAACCAGGCCTTGTATGGCAGCGAGTCGCGGCTGATGCCCTGAGCCTTGAGAGCGCGGTAGAAGCCCAGGTACGCCGTGCACATGCACGCAAAGTTGATCAGTTGCGAAGCGGTGACCAGACTGACGAACCAATTCAGCACGACGGCCGTGTTGGCGCTGAGCTGGAGGAAACTCAGAAGTCCGATGAGCAAGACGACGATGACGCAGTAGACCGGAACACCCTTCTTCGTGCACCTCTTGAACAGCGCAGGCGCCTTGCCCTCGAGGGCAAGTCCGTACAGCGAACGCGAAGCGCAGTAGACGTAACTGTTGCCTGCGGAAAATGCGGCCGTGAGCACCATGGCGTTGACAATATGGGGCAGGACCCCGATCTTTAGGCGGTTCATGGCTACAACGTAGGGAGATGCAGAGGCACCTGGCTCGCCGTCCTTGAAGGCGCGAGTGAGTTCCTCGTCATTGTAGGGTACCAAGATGCCGACGCAGAGAGAGCCGAGAACGAAGAAGGAAGTGAGACGGTAGAAGACGGCGTTGAAGGCGCGGGGCATAATCTTGCGCGGGTTCTCCGCCTCGCCGGCGGCCATGGAAACGTAGTCTGGCCCGGCGATCGTGAAGGATGCTTGGATAAGACACTGCAAAAATCCGAGAAATTTGCCGAGGGAACCACTGTAGTAGAGTTCCGCAAAAGCTCCGGGTTCATACCAGTATCTAAAACCAAATCGGTCTCCCAAGGGGTTCCCGCCGAGCATGACGATGAAGGTGAAGATGATGAGGCCGACGATCAGAAGGAACTTGCCGAGCGCTGCCCAGAACTCCGTCTCGCCGTACCACTGCACGGCCATGACGTTGATGACACCGTACAAAACGAGGATGATGGCGATGATGCCCCCGGCCGGGACGGCGTCGCTCCAGAAGTGGATGATGAGGTTGCATGCGACGACCTCGAAGGGGACCAGGGCAGCTTCGAAGACGAAGAAGTTCCAACCAGCAGCAAACCCGAAAGCCTCGTCGACGTAGCGGCCGGCGAAGCGGATGAAGGGACTCGAGATGGGGAGGTAAGTGACCATCTCGGCCATGCTGAGAGTCACGGCCAGGATGAAGGTACACCAGACGCTGAAGGCTATGAACAGACTCGCTGGGCCACCGTTGAGCAGACCCCTTCCGATTTGGACCTGCAGGAAATGTGAGTATAGTGCAATCGTCAATCGGGGAGTGCGCAGTTCCAACGTACGTAAAGAGCGGTTCCTATACATGTGTTAGTCTCACTTCTCTTGATATCGTAGCTTATGAGACGTACCGATCGTGCCACCGATGCCAATCAGCTGGATGTGGCGCGACTTGAGTTTGCGATGGGTATGATCCTGCTTACTGCTCGAGTCCAGCGAGGAACGAAAGCCGCCGTCCAGGGGCTCGCCGTACTGTTCGCCGACGACCTTTTCATCGGGGAAGCGCCCGTGATGGGAGTAGCCATAATTCGGCGGGTCGCCGTGGTGCCCTGCGCGCTCGATGCCCGTGGATGACATGGTGGAAGAAGTAGGAGAATGCGGGGGACTGACCCCGGTTTAGTGGGGGACTTCGGCGCGGCGTCGTCTTGAATCCTTTGGGACGGCTCACGAGCGGATGCTTTCGAAGCCGACAAAATATACAGGATCGGGTTGGGCAAGCCGGGTAGAGTTGGGAGCCTTGGTGAAGACGCAGGAATGCGGCCTTCGATTTACCGAATGGCTTTGAGGAGGAGTGAGAAGAACTGGACCTTGAATTCCATGTGATTGTTCACGATGTAGCGTCGAGAATCTCTGATTTAGTCAAGACTATTGAGGGCATACAGGTCAGACACACATCGAGCGATGAGAGCTGCAAGAGAAATAAAGAGAAGCAAGGAAGCCAAGAAGACATCTCTCGCTCGCCCAACGCCGGGGGGCTGCAGATCCCTTTTAAGAAAGGCACCAAAAATTCCCAGAGATCAGGGACCGACAGGACACTGCAGCGTCGCACCGAACAGAGCAACAATCAGTCTAACAGAGCGGCGGAATGGTGGGGGTAGGGGGAGGGGGGGGAGGGGGTGGAGTTGGTGAGTCTGCAAGAGAGCGGATTCTTCTTTTGGCGGATCTTTAGCGAATCACATCCAACGTGGAAAGGGTCCGAAAGAGGCCTGGATGCGACTGGGGGAGGATGGGGGCGGCGGCGGCGGCGAGCAGTCCCATGTTCGCGAAAGGTTACCTCCTCTCATCTCTGTGTATGGTGTCATGCGACTTCTCCCGAATGTTGCCAATTAGTTTTGGTAATGCTTCGTACACAAGGTATGCTCATAGTACTCATCCAATACAATCATAAAGTACCAACACCAGCCGGCACGTGTCATTTCAACCTTTGCAGGGTCCAGGCTCCCTGAGCTTAAGTTCTGCGCCAAATGTTTCTGGTCACGGCGGTCCCTGAATGCGAACCACTCAGAAACGACTGCTTAAAGACGGAGAAAGGTAAAGGATGACCCACTGCTACTTGCGAGGGGCGCCTGGGGACAGATGCGATATGACGCGATAGAGCCCCAGGATAGATAGTGACGGGGAGGGACAATGGGTCTTATCAAGGCACCCCGAGGAGGCACAGTGAGAGACGGTCTCAACGCGCCCCTGTATGACGGCCATATCGCCGTCCGCTAATCTGGTTGCATACGTCAAACTGTGCGTAGGATGCATGGGGAGAAATGAAGGAAGATCAAGAGTTGTCGAGAGTCACCCGGTTGGGTAAGCTGCAGGAAGCGCATCACTGTCCCATACTGATAGCAGTCTATCCATCCGGGCGCAGGACCATCATCAGCGTCGACATCATTCGTCAGCGCGTCCCGGCAGCTTGGCATCGGTCTGTCCGGCTCATGTTCATCCCACGCAGTGCAACGCGCCAGTTCGCGCCTGGTGCGATCGATAGAACGAGGGATTTACCTTTGCGACGAACAAAACCTCGAAGCGACCAACGAGGCCGGTTCGAACTGGAATGGCGTGCTTCGCGCGGGTGAAGGTGTCGTTCCCAGCTGCCGTCGCCGCATAAGTGGCAGCTCTGGTTATTTGAACTACATGCCTGGTCCCAGACTCAGGCCATCAAATAACATTGCGATGGATCCTTGAGCCAAGGGAATGCGAAGCTTTTTGGGATGAGCGACAAGCAATGAGGCTGGCTGCTGGGGGGGACAAGACACCGAGAGGGCCGCATCGTCGTGGGCCCTTGCCGTTCCGTTTCCCCCGTTGTCGAGGGATGCGCGTTCTGCCACAGGAACATTGGTAGCATCTTGGCTTTCGCGTGCTAAAATTCATCAAGCCTGCTTCTGATCCGCAACCCAAGGAGAACCTTTGCTCGTTGGTTTCGCGGGTGGCTGGTCGAGTCGGCTGCACTCTCGCGTCCCTTGCCCCCCGCCTGGCCAGGAAGCTCATTGCCATTCCCCGATTGCGTTACCGTTGGCTTTTTGATTGCGGCTCTTGGCATCTTGGCAGAGGTATGAAGCCAATGCCATGCCGTAGCAGCCCGTCAGGACTCCTTGGCGTACGGAGGTGCAATGGCTTCTACGTCGCGTTATCGAGCAATGATTACTCGGCAATTTGAGGCGCGAGTGTCTTATTGGGTGACAAGTTGATGAGCCAATGGCTGAATGACAGGCTTGAGAAGGACAGTCGGTTGTCGCGAAATGTGAAGGTGTGAAGCTGGTCAGTTTCTTCCTGACCCAGGGCATATCCCTGGCCATTGAGCTGGTCTGGCGAGATCCCTGGTGAACGCTCCCCTTCCCCCCACCTTTGACCTGTGCAAAGAGGCCAATGGCAATCTTTGAGACTGCAAGTCTACGGCTCAGTACTGCCGGTGATCACTATCCAGCATACCTTGGCTCGCGCGTGTCGTAAACTGCATCTGGAGCTGTCTGGGTCATGAGAAAAGGCAGAGGTGCCATTCGCCAACATCCGATGACAATCAGTCCTTTACCATAGGTCGCAAGCCACAAAAAATAAAAAATAAGAATAAAAAGCGCCCTTTCCTGTCAAGGAATTGAGTTTGAACGCCATTGTCTTGGTGGCTGGGTTAGAGGGGTCATCGGGCCGGCCATGAGCTTGCGGTCTAACGGAAGGGAATTTCACGGATTGTATCAGCATGGAGATTGATCTCATTCAAGAGTGTTTGCAGAGCACGTTGCTATGTTTCTACGCATCTGGAAAACAAGCAAAGAGCCCAGGTCATGTCAACAGCAGGTGATGGGGAGGCGGGATTTTGGCCGCGGCCAAACTGGCGGGGAGTTTTGTGTAGCTTCTCTTCGCAGGCGCAGGAACCGCTCCCCGCCCTAAGAACCCAGAGGCATTGGTAGACGACCCGCAAGTCACCGAACGGCCCTTGGATCTTGGGTGGGCAGTGACAAAAAGCGTATCCACTTGCGCGCAGCGCCCCGCGGGGCAAAGGTTTTCATCATTCTAACATTGTTAGCCCATGATCCGTGAGTGGTGCTCACATGCTTTTCCATAGCAGTCAATGGCCTTGTTTTCATTTATGAAAGAAGCCAGCTGGAAGTCTCTGGGTTCTAAGCCTCTGTGCGGAGATCGTAAACATGCGGGAAATATGGTCGCGAGTTGAACAGCTTCAAAAAAGCCGCAGACTCGGTTCACAAAACGGCCAGCCCTGGAGGGATTTCCACTGCATCTTTCCATCATCCCTTTTTCAAAAATTTCGGCAGTCTTTTCAATGTCCTCATACAGTCAGGTGTTACTCTCAAGTGCGAGCCAAAAAGTGCTCCACGCTGGTCGTCGGGATCAAGGGCTTCATGATTCCACCAGAAAGACGTCCTAGCAACAACCACCAATCAAAATGGTCTATTAGTCTAGTTGGTTAGGACGTCGGATTCTGATCATACTCAGTCTCTTCCGTAGGCCCAGGTTCGAATCCTGGATGGACCTCATTTTTTGAGGTTCTCAGAGACTCGCACCGCTTCACGAGGAGCCCGAGGTCGGTCATTGATTCTGTTTTTCTTTTGCTACAATAATTTGGGTTGAAGACTTATTTACTATAGTCAAACCTATAGCCGATACTTACCTCGTAGGGTTTACCACTTCGCAACCTTCTCATCAGACCAGTACTCTCCAGTCGCCCCATCGATATCCGCAATTGCCAGATGAACTGGAGTCTGCGCACCTTGGTCTGGCGTCTTGCTGCCTCCCCCTCTGGTCATATCAGTCACTACGTAGCCTGGATGACATGAGTTGACCAAAAGCTTGCTTCCCTTGCCTTTGAGCTCTCGAGCAATCGCCCTCGTCATGCCAATCTCGCCGGCCTTGGAGACAGCGTACGCTGCACTCGGCCACCCGTCCTTCTCATGTGTCCCCTCCTCCACCGCGACAGTGAATTCCTCCATGAGTTTGGTAACTTCAGAAACCGATGATGCGTCGAGAAAGCGCTGCTTGATCTCGGGCGAGTACTTGCTCAGTGATCCGGATATCGACGCAACGTTGACGATGCGGCCGTCGGACTTGAGCACAGGGATCCAAGCTCGCGTCGCTTCCAAAGTGCCATAGTAATTGCATGCGAGAGTGTTCTTCACCACATCTGAGTCTAGATTTGCATCGTCAGAAGTACAATCGGAAGAATACGTCGGTTGATCACTTACCGAATCCTTGCATCGCAATGCCGGCATTATTGATGACAAAGTCGACGCCTTCGGGGTGCTCCTTTTTCAAGAACGAGGCAAGATTTGAGATGCTGTTGGAGTCTGAGATGTCGAGCTGATGGTATCTGATGTCGGCAGCACCGCCGTGCGCAGACAGGGCCTTAGCCTGCTTGATATCCGCATCACCTTGGATGTTGCTAAGCGCCTCCTCGCCGCGAGACTTGTCTCTGGCCGTCAGGTAGATGAGGAGCGATCCGTTGTTCAAGTGAGATTTGGGGTATTGCAGCGCAAGCTGTCGGACTAGTGTTCGGAGATGTGAGCAGATGGTCATGACGTTGTCCGGGGATAGGAAGAAGGTTACCAATCGCGTATCCAATGCCTTTGTTGGCGCCAGTCACCACACCGATTCGTGAATATGTCATTGTTAAAGTGGGTTTGTGCTTGTGTCTCCTTCAGTGATTACTCCAAGCTATTGAAGAAACTCTGTTTGGGAGATGACTCTGTTTTTGTATCTCACACTCGATTGCTGGTCCATGACATCATTAATGCTCGCCCGCTATTAGTCATCGATTCACTGGGGATCTTCAATGATGTCTGTTTCTGAGGGCATCCATCAACCCAAAATACGTGAGGTTTCTCTGCCGGCCGACACATTGACCGTTGGCGCCCCGGTGCCAATAAAACCAAACCCGGCACCTGGCCGCTCTAAATCGCCGACCGATTGAAGCCGGGAACACCGCAAAAGTGGGGAAACGGATAGTTGCCAGTGCAGTGGCGGTCATTCAGCTCGTATGCTACGGGAAGATCTCTGCCCACGCTTTGTACCAATTTTCCCGCCATGCCGGAATCTTTAAGACACACTTTTGCTAATATAGATCTCCTCGCTTACTGTTGGATTGGCTCACAAGGTCCTAGAGAAGTTTGATCACGGTCACAGCGCAACCCCTGAATTCGGCTTTCAAACCATCTCGTCAGGTGCTCAAAACTACCTCTAGTGAGCCGGACTCTGTTGCATGCATCTTGGTTTTTTCTGTAAAACGCTTCAGAGATCTTGAGAAGGTGGAAGAGACCTACAGCTACCCACAAATGATTTCTTGGGACGTCCTGAACACGGCGCTTGTGTCACAGGCATCAACGGAACTTTCATTTCCACCATGGAGGCAAGACATAGCAGCTCAATTTCTCTAGGTTCCAGCAGCTGATGACCTCCGTTGAGTTCCAATAATTGGTATTGTCTAATTCCATGACTCGCATGGTCCTTACCAGAATTGTCGAACGTATTACGTAGAGATACTGGCTTTTGTCATCGCTCTGACTCTCATCGCCCCCTGATCTGCTACAAAGTTAGCAATCCGCAAGATTCAAAGTTGTCGTAAAAGATCACACCCAGTCTATCAGTGGATATGAAAAGGTCCGAAGGCCGAGGAGCACCTCAAACCGCAACGGTCATCGACAACAGAAGCCTAGACGGAAACATCATCTCCCCTCCTGAACCCAGAACTTGGAGTCGACCTGGTGCCAAATTCTGGCGATGATAGACGAATTGAAATGACTTTTGGGCGGCGTGGAATCCAAAGGTGTGTTGGCAAAGTAGAGATAAACTGCTTTACGAGTATTGGTAGCGCAGGACACAGATCACTAGTGGGATTACAGCCAAATACAGTCTGCTGCTGCAGACCGACACTCATTTTTAGTAAGCCCCTTTACGAGACAATGGAGGGGTAATAGCGAAGACGGGTGTCCTGAGAGATAGTGCGTGTGTTGCCCAGTGTGCAACAAGAGCGCCCAAGGTAATCTCGTTTATCATAAACACGACTGTCAGATAGAAAGTACCTTAGGAATTTCATTGGGCTAGACGTATACATCACAAACTATTTTACCATCGGGGGAATGGAGACGCAGCCAGGGCCCTCTTATGGTTGTTCGACATGGTTTCCTTGAACGAAGCGACCTACAACAGCCCACAGTTGGAACTCGCCCTGGCACGTTGCCAGATGTCTAGACACGCATATAGCAAATGACTATGTTGAGTTTAGAACCGCAAACTGCAACAACACTATTGAGGTCTTCTCAGTAACTCGTTTAATCCCTGCAAGACTCAAAACCAACGCTTGCTTTTACGTATGTAACTACCCTATCATTTCCTATCACGGCCCGTTGATGGCGACCAACCACGAGCGATGATCCGCCCCACAGCAATATACCGTCCGGAAAGGTATCCCGGGGCGGGGCAAGATGCACAGCAGCTTATCAGCTAAGATGTGAGGCTTTAAAAGCGGCAGATAGGACACGCGACCATGGTTGTGTGACTTGGCCCTCCGTTTTCAGTCGGTAGCTAATCTTTTCTACATGGCCTGCAGTCCAAAAGGACCTGATCAAACACAAGGTTCATCCACTTATTCGAAGATGCAGCGGGCTACAGTTTGGTATACGATGGTGATGGGCCTCCAAGCCTTAGGGGTCAGCTCCTATACTGGTGTTAGTACATGGCCTGGTAACTCATCGTCAACGATCCCTTCATTTTTTCCCTTGCTAGAAAATGCAGGTTCCGTGGACCTATTCCCGATGCCACTGTGTGGGTCATTCTCGTTGGAGGAGGCCACCATTGACCAGATGCAAGCTGCAATGGACGCGGGGACCTTGACCTCACAGCAGCTAGTTTCTTGCTACATTCAACGGACGTACCAGACGCAAGAGTATATCCAGTAAGTAAAATGCCAGCAATGCCGATTTCTGTTGGAGAACTTATAGTCGGGGAAATTGACTTGAGAGCCAGCTCTATTTTGCAAATCAACCCGGATGTCTTCCTGATTGCCGAGAAGATGGACACAGAACGAAAGGCTGGAAAGGTCCGCGGTCCTCTCCATGGGATTCCGTTTACAGTCAAGGACAACATCGCAACCAAGGACAACATGGAAACAACAGCTGGAAGCTTTGCTCTTCTAGGTAGCATCGTTCCTCGCGATGCTCATGTGGTTGCTCGCCTTCGAGATGCAGGCGCAGTCTTGTTCGGCAAGGCAGCGCTGAGTGAGTGGGCTGATATGCGCAGCAACAACTACTCCGAAGGCTTCTCTGCACGGGGCGGCCAGTGTAGAAGTCCGTACAACTTCACCCTTAACCCAGGTGGAAGCAGTACGGGAAGTGCTGTTGGTGTTGCTGTGAACGCCATCGCGTTCTCGTTGGGCACGGAGACGGACGGGAGTGTCATCAACCCTGCGGAGCGCAACGCCATTGTAGGATTCAAGCCCACGGTTGGCCTTACTTCTCGGGCTGGGTATGCTGGACTTTTGAGATAGTGAAATGGAGGGTGAGCTAACTTCAGTCAGTGTCATTCCCGAAAGCGAACATCAAGATTCTGTAGGAACTTTCGGACGTACTGTCAGGGATGCGGTGTATGCTTTCGATGCAATCTATGGAATCGATCCACGAGATAACTACACATTGCCTCAAGAGGGCCATACCCCAGAGGGAGGATATACGCAGTTTCTTTCAACAAAGGAAGCTCTGAAAGGGGCCACTTTCGGTCTGCCTTGGAATAGCTTTTGGGTCTATGCAGACGATGAACAAAAGGAAGTTCTGGGAAAAGTCCTCAAGCTCATCACCTCTGCCGGGGCGACCATCATCAACAACACTGAGATCATCAATTATGAGAGACTCGTCAGCCCTGATGGCTGGGATTGGGACTATGGCACGACTAGGGGATACCCGAATGAATCTGAGTACACCGTTGTAAAGGTCGACTTTTACAACAACATCAAAACCTATCTCTCGGAGCTGGAGAACACTGACATGAAGAGTCTTGAAGATATCATCGCATTCAACTATAACAACGATGGAACCGAAGGCGGAAACCCTTGGCCACTCGGCACTGCCGCGTTCTACTCCGGCCAAGATGGGTTCCTTGCATCCCTTGAGTCGAAGGGCATCAAGGACGAGACTTACAACCAGGCTGTCAAGTTTACACAGCAGTCGACACGAAACGGCATTGACGGTGCTCTTGCATCGACCAATGGCTCAAGACTGGCCGGACTTCTGGTACCTCCCGACGTTGGCCAAACGTACCAGATCGCTGCCCAGGCTGGCTATCCTATGATCACCCTACCTGCGAGTGTCCGGTCCACAGACGGCATGGGTTTTGGTCTCGCTATTATGCAGACTGCCTATGGGGAATCAGAGTTGGTCAGATGGGGGAGCGCCATTGAGGATTTGCAGTTGACCACGGAAGGAAACCCGTACAAAAGGACTCTGCCAAAATGGCATGAGTACTTAACAAGGAACGTACCGGTCTTCTAAAGATGTACAGACCTGTGTCTATCCACAACGACGGACACGTGCGTGCCAGGGAGGGGCTGATGGGGCAAACGTGAAGCCATTAAGAAATAAAAAGATTTTCTTCCAGCATGAATATCCAAATCGTTTCTTTAGCTGGAAAGTCTCACTCATCATCCATCTCAAAGCTTGATTTTCCAAGTGAAGCCCTCAAGTACCGACGTGAAGGCATTGGGCCAATCATGCGCGCCTGGTTGATTTCCGATTTGGAATCACTCGCAAATCGACCAGCTGAATGAGTGTACGATCTTTCAGAACAGGGTTATAAACGAGCAAGATGAGTTGTTGGGATCAAGACCTACTCCGATTGGGTTGTTACAAAGATGGTCCGAGGAGTCCGAGGGCAGGATTATCGATCAGCCCAAGGTCAACAGTGCATCGGTGGTAACCAAAGCGAAAATTAGCCGTCATCCTAGCTAGCAACTTTAGGCAATTAAATTGGCGGATCGCATTGGCGCGACGGATGCGCCCGCCGGCGTGGCACAGCCATCTCGCCCGATGCCGCGGGCCGCCAATGCAAGGGTCTCTAATCGTCCAAGACACATGACGGAGCGTTCCATCATTTCCCCATCGCCCAGGGCGCGGCTGTCGTACGTGGGGTGTCAGCTTTTGGTGCTCAGCTTCGCCTCATTCAACATTTCCTTGCTAGGAAATATCGAGTAGCTCCTGGGCCCATTCCTTGGAGGCTGGAAGGATGACGCTAAAATCTCACAATGGGCCCTGTTAGGGAACATGAAGGTCTTGGGCTGATCGCAACATTCATGTCTGCCTACCAAGCATTACGTGAATCTCTTTAAGTACACTTTCTGTCCTGTGTTTCTTCGTATGAATGGAGCAAGGAAAGGTGAAAGGAAACCAGCGACAAGAAGTTCGCCAAGAACTTCAAGATGAGCCGCCAAACATTTGGGTTCAATGCCAACAACTTACCTCAGGACCCGTTTTACCCTCAACAAGATCCCCAGGGCCCCAGTTTCCTCGACAATGCTGGATGTCTCTGCGCACTTCAGACCACACCAGGAGGCGGCGCTCCGGAACCAGCCTGGCAATGCATTGGAGACCAAAAAGATGACGTATACACAATTAGGAATGGAAGATGGTTCAAAACGCTGAATGGAGTTGGCAATGTCAACGGAACAATTCATGACGATTCCAATCCACCAGACACCGATCATCCGATGAGATGGTTGTCTGGTGCTTTGAGAGATTCACCGGGTGATGATGGGCTCACTGTTGAAAATAGCGCTTGCACTGGCGAGAACAACACAAGGTATTCAACCTCATTCTACGAGGCCACAGAGCAGATCAATATTGGCCAATACCCGCTGAGTGGTGCTCCATGTTTAAGAGGAGGGGCCATGCCAATTGAGATCCAGCCCTTAGAGAGTTGGCAGGCAGATGGATGCAGACCTGGATTTCTGTGTAAGTGCAACTCTTCAATTCAGTGCGAGCTCAGGGAATAAATCTTGCTGACATTGATAGGCGAGAACAACACCATCAACTCACTACCTCAATACTGTCCACCACTGGACGGATGTCAGCAAGCGAGATTGGCAGGGTTTACTTGCACGTTCGAAGGCAGGAATATCGGAATGGGCCCCTTCGAACCAGTCATTTGCCAAGCAGGCAATTACTGTCCAGAAGAAGAGAATGGGAAGGTCTCTCGTGTATGCCCTACTGGCTCCTACTGTCAGCCCGGAGCGGCCACGCCGACGCCGTGTTTGACTGGTAGCCGGTGCCCGGAAGGCTCCTCTTACGAACTCTTCCTCATCCCCTTCGTGATTTTGATCATTGTCGACGTCTTCATGATCATGGGCATGATTATCTACAGGGTCCGCAAGCGCTTTCAAGAACGCCAAGCCAACAAGTCGGCAGCTGTAAGACCGCCTTTGAAGCATCGCGGAATGGGCAGTGTAAGGGCCCAGATCACAGGGTACCGCGCACTTTCCAACGACACCGATCAAGAGATGCTTCCTGTAAGCGCAACTTATATGCCAAAGCGCACCGACTCCTTTGGCGGTGGATTCTTGGCCGCACTCGACCTTGGCTCTCAATCTTCTGTCAACACGCGACCGACTAGCGAGCAACTCAACCCACAACTCATGGCATTTGTTTCTTCGATGCGCCGGGCAACGGATGCCACCAACTTTGGTCTGTCTTTCAGCTACTCCGAGCTCAGCTTTCAACCCAAGAAAAGCTCCAAGAAGATCCTGCAGAATGTTACTGGTTCCATAGATCGCGGAACTCTCACAGCGGTTATGGGTGGTTCCGGTGCTGGCAAGTCGACTTTCGTTAACGTACTGATGGGCAAGACGAAGAACACGGGAGGCACAGTTGCGGTCAACAGCAGTCCTGACAAATTGAAGCGCTACAAGAAAGTCATCGGCTACGTCCCCCAAGACGATATTGTTCTGCCAGAGCTTACGGTCTACGAGAACATTGTCCACTGCGCCAAGATCCGACTGCCCCAGACCTGGTCAATTGCCGACATTGAGTGCCACGTCGACTCTGTCATCGACTGTCTAGAGCTGTCACACGTACGAAACTCGTTGGTGGGATCGGTCGGGAGACCTGTCATCAGCGGAGGGCAGCGCAAGCGTGTGAGCATTGGTATGGAGCTTGCAGCAGCCCCGATGGCCATTTTCCTCGACGAGCCGACCAGCGGTCTCGATGCCACTGCGGCTTCGTCCATGATGCGAACGTTAAAGGCTGTTGCGCGTCTTGGAATTACTGTCATTGTTATCATCCATCAGCCTCGGACGGAGATATTTGATTTGTTCGACAACCTGATCCTCCTGGGTAACGGGCAAACCATCTATGAAGGACCCCAGCGCCACGCACAAGATTACTTTGAGGGCATGGGCTACAACTTCCCGGAACACAGTAACCACGGCGACGTTATCACAGACATCATCACCGGAAACGGCCGCGACTACAAGCATATCGGTGAAATATCCAAGGATTCTCTCATTTCGAGCTGGTCAAGTTATCGCCAGGTCAATGCCAATAAGGAGCGCCATGCTTCATCGATCATGAGCAATGATGGGATATATTCTGCCATCAAGCACCGTGGTGCTCCACTCTGGAAGCAAATCTGGCTTTGCTTACGCCGCGCAATGATCCAGCAGTATCGAACTAAAGCAGCCTTCTGGGCTGAGATGGGGTTGGCCGCACTTGCCGGTCTACTCCTTGGATTGGCTGAGCATTCGAAAAAAGGAATTCTGTTTGTCGGCACATTCAACGAGCCATACTCTATCCTGTCTACAGCAGTCGATTTCAAATCTGCGCCTGAGCTGGCGCTTCTTGTCGCCATCGCCATCGGCCTCGTCGCAGGTGCACCCGGTGTTAAATCCTTCTCGGAAGAGCTGTTGGTGCAACGGAGAGAAGCCGAAGCTGGACATTCGCGACTGGCGTACTTCCTTGCGAAGGTGCTTTCCGTGCTGCCGCGGATGCTGTTCGGCTGTTTGCACTTCACGACTTTTCTTCTGCTCCTGACGGTCCCAATCATTAGCTGGGGCCTCGCTTTCCTGGTCAACTTTCTCTACTTCTATTGCATATATGGTCTAGCGAGCATCGTCAGTATGGTAGTCCGACGAGAAGATGCCCCGCTATTTGCGACGATGATCAGCCTCATCGTCGCTATTTTGTCCGGTGCTGCTCCCCCGCTGGCCAAAGTCAGGGAGTGGCATATGGAATGGTTATGGCGTGCTTCACCTGGCGTTTGGCTCGCAGAAATCTACTTTGGCCAGCTTGTTTCGCCCTTCGGTTATCTTTACAATATCGAATCAGCTGCAGCGGGCTCTGGCTTTCACTTGGATTGGGTCTGGCGTAATATGGGCGTTTTGGTGGGCATTGGTACCGTCTATAGATTGGTTGCTTTCTTCGCGATGCTTTTTGGGCACCGCAGGCGTAGGTAGAATGTTGTTGCAGGTGTAGTTTCAAAAGTACAGAGCATCAGCCAGGAACTGGCCGTCATGTTTTGAGAGACGGTTCAAGCATGCTAGCATAGTGCATCTATCTATCCATTGCCATCTATTAATTGTGTACCTGAGCTTATTAAAGTCTATTGAGCACATCACCTTTGTGAACCACATCAAAACTGGGTAGGTTGCCTGCTAGGAAATGGAGAACTAGGGTGTGCTCTAGTATAGAACAGGCAGTTTGCACAAGTTGTGAAGTGGTAGAGTGGAAAAGAAACGGGCTCAGAAAGCCGCAAATTGAAACGTGGCTAGGTTTCAAAGTACACATCTTTGTGAGCAGCATAATTGTCCAGGCCGTCAATACCTTCTTGAAAGCCCAGAGATTTTCATTGGGACTTCTTCTTGCTTGGTTGCATCACCTTCATCGCTGGAATATTGGGATTGCCGATGCATAATGGTCTCGTACCCCAAGCACCGGTCCTCACAGATCCTTTGACGGTATACAAAACGGATCTGAAGATAGTTCCGACTTCTGGAGGCGAAGATACGGAAATCAGACGACCGGTGGTCATTGCCACTCATATTGTTGAACAGAGAGTCTCGCACTTGCTCATGGGCCTTGCGTTAGTCGGCACTATGACTGGCCCTCTACTTACTGTACTTCATACAATGCCTTCATCCGTGTTTGCTGATGCATATTCGTTGTAGGGGTAAGGCTTCGGCTGTGTCCAATTACTGTATATCAGAAGCTAACTTCGTCCATCTAGTAGGGCTCGATCGAACCGAACGGCATTCTGCAGAAATTTCTTTATCTTCAAGCAGAAAAACGTTTCGTACAGCGTGACGAACCGTTGTTGCAGGTTCGTCGTCGAAAGATCTGGTTTCGTATTCCCCTTCAGTTTGTGGATGTTAAAGCTTGCGTCCCTAATTCTCATACGCTTGGTGCCATCGGATTTCCAATTCTTGTCACACTTCTCAATCCTCTAAGAGTGACACTGGTTACCAGATGGTTCTCACAGAAAGAGGTGCAGACACTGGATGACTTCACGGCCACGAACAAGATGGTTCTGGCAAGCTTGGGCGGTAAGCCCAGGCTGCCCAAAGGCTCCCGCAAAGAAGACTGGGGGCTTGAGAGAGGGCTAACGAGCGCAATTATGGCGTGCCGCGACAAAGAGAAGGAAGCCTGCATCTTTAATCGCACGGAGTTAAATGTAGTTGCACGCATATAGATGGCATGGGCGGCATGAAATGCCCAGTGAAAAGGAAAAGAGTCCTATTGCATGTGGTACGTATCAATGCAGACATTTACATTACTACATTTTCATGAATTTGGCCTCAACGAAACAAAGATCGTCGGGAACTTCAAAACTGTGCCCTGGAGCTCCTAATTGTTGCACCACGATATACTGCAATAGACGACCGTGTTAAGGTTCTCGTGAGGTGAACTACTATTCACTAGCACGTTCTGAAGCATTGTTCCTGTATTAAATTTAGTTTGTATTTCGTTTTTATTCCATATGCTCTTTTCCAACTTTCACTTTTCCTTTTCTTCTTTTTCCGTTCGGGTGATAGGACAGGTACTTGCAACAGAATGCTTTGATATCGTGTTAGTAGTTGAGGAAAGAAGTTGCTCCTGGTGACTAAATTTATGGTGTGAGAATAGATAGTTACCACAACCTTCATACTACAGAATATATGCTTAACTTCACTGAACATTTTCAGAATCAATATGATGGCTGCCGCTGATATCAAGTAGGAAGGAGTCATATCGTAGCACTGGCGATAGGACTTGAACACACATGACGGATAAATGGAACATCACGAAAGATCTAACATCGCAGTGATAACATGAAGGCAAATAGCGTGAATTATTGACCAGGGCATCATCATACGTGGGGCATTTCGTATCAAGCTCATTCTTCCACTTAGCAGACCTCACCAAATGTAACGCATCATTGCATTTGCGTGAGCTGTCAATGCATGAAGCTCCACAGATACTCCACTTGATGGAGTCTTATATGTATGCAAGACGCAATTGTTTGAAGATTGTCATAAGCAATGAGGGGTTTCTCGTTGCCCTCAGCGGAATTAAGAGTTCGTGGTTTCTCAAAATTGAGATTTGTTCCTCTAAATCACAGGCCGAAATATTGTCACCATGGTCCATGTTTTCTTGTGAGTGATTCTTATTATATACCTTGTTTCCGAAACAACCAGCAAGACTGAACCAATTCTTACAGTGTTGGCGGCACAGGCCATATTGGTGGCGCCGTGCTTGACCAGCTCCTCCAGAAGCATGCGGACGCGAAAGTAAAAATCTTGGTGCGAGATGAGGCCAAGGCTGCGCGCTTGGTCGATCTCTACCCACAAGTTGAATACGTCGTTGGTGACGCGAGAGATCTCGAGACTCTAGAAAAATGCAGCCAGGTGGCCGACATCGTTATCAACACGGCTCCGGATATCACGCACGACGAGGGAATTAAGGCGATTTTATCAGGTCTGAAAACTCGACGCAGTACTAATAATAAGAAGCCATACTACATTCATACGTCAGGGGCATCTCTCATCTGGGATGAGCCCACTGGCTCCAAGGACGCCCGCTGGTGGGACGATATCGCCGACATTCGGGACATCAGTGCGTTCAAGAGCGTCGACGACACGCACGCCGTGACCGACAACATCGTGCGAGATGCGGCTCCTGATGTCAACGTGGCGATCGTCTCGCCGGGTTTTGTTGGGGGCATGAGTCCCTCCATTGAGCACCCGACCCCGATCACGATGCCTGCCATCCTGCTCACCGCTCGTGCTTTCAAGTCGGGCTGGCAAATCGCCGAGGGAGAGAATACGCACGCCTGGATCCATGTCTTAGACCTTGCAAGGATGTATTTGATCCTCGTCGGAAAGGCCATTGACGTTGCGTCCGAGTCTAAGCCATTTTCCATCTGGGGACCAGATGCCTACTATTTTGGCACCAGCGAGGACATCTCGTTCGGAAACTTCATGAGACATCTTGTGCATGTTATCAAGGACCAAGAAGTGATTGAAAGCACCGAAATAAAGTCGGTCAGTGTGGCCGAGGCTGCGAGGGCCAGCATCGCTGGTAGCGACTACAATCCTAACACCTCGCCGCCCCCACCGGACACCTGGGCCATGCATATTGCTATCATGTACGGAATCAACATGCGCATCAGCGCGTCGAGGATGAAGATGCTTGGTTGGAATGCAGAGATGGGCACCATAGTCGATAGCTTTCCACAAGTAGTCGCCGAATACTTGAAGCGGGAGAAATTGGGCGACAGAAAATAGTTGTAGCGGATACATTTGACACGCAACACCCAGTTTTCAATAACATTACAACCGTCGTCAGAGACTGAATAAACGTAATGTGATTTTCAAGCGATTCTCCTGTAATATAATTAACCCCAGAACATCTTTCCGCGAAAATACCTCTCCAAACGCTAATTTGGTTATCCGTTGCTCTTTCAAAAGCATGTAGAAGAATGAAGGCAAGTGATGGAGCCAAAATGAGCTTCTTGAGTAGTTTGATCGAAGGCAAACACTTACTATAGAGTTTGCCCGTTGATCCTTACTATCTTGAGAGACAACCATGACTCCGACCAGTGAGCTCGGTATCTCCAAAGAGATGGAGTCATGATAGAATCCTAAACTACCATATCAGAGTGACGAGATTTATGCCACTGATCAACAGCCGAAGATGAAATGAAAGTCTAGCTTTTTGATTCCAATCTTTGCATTGGCAAGATAGCCTGAATGCCAATTGCGATGACAGAGTGCGAGGCTGAGATAGTTGACGAGACTGCCAGGCTTTTACCAAAAGTGTCCCCTTGTGTTCACTGGTTTGTTATGCGCACATGTCAATCTGTCAAGTGGTGTTCCATCAGTTGTATAAAGTAATTCTAAGTGCTTTAAGGCTAAGCCAGTGAGTCAGACTTGGAGATGGACAAGGCCCTAGGCCAGATTGTTCACGTAGCAATACATGGTGATATTTGGCTATTCGTGGATTTTGATTTGTTCAGGTGATGAACAAACAATCATAGCATTGAGGCATCGAACCAAGTAACAGTGACAAACAGTGGAATCCACCCAAAAACATGTATTCAATAGATAAGTAATCCAATATGTAAGAAACCTCGATCGTTCACTTTAGCGATCCGTTATACTAGATCTTCGAATACTGCGCGCTCTGGGTACCTGGCTGTTCCGTTTGACCCTGAGGCGATGAAGAGCTTCCAGAGAAAAGCTGCTCCTGTTGCCTGTTTGTAGCATCGGTGACCAGATCAATGAACTTTTGAGCCGCATTGTCAGCGAAAAACATTTCTTCGCTAAGCATGCAGCGATTGATGAAATCTTGAGCACGCCCAAACATCTCTGCCTCATACTCTGCCAGAGCCTGCTCAATTTCGTCGACATCTTTGTGGTTATCGTCTTTTAAGCTCTTGCAATGCTTTAGGAGGCTCTGCGCCAGCTTGAGGGCGTCATGCATTGCCATGTTGACACCTTCGCCGACAAAGGGCGTCGAGACATGCGCGGCATCGCCCAGAAGCGTGACTCCAGGAACACGAGCCCAACAGAGAGAGGAGACAGGCATGCGGTAAAGCGGCCATGGGCGAAACGGTCCTTCAGCATCCGCAATGAATCGACGTAGGTCAGGAGCAAAATCCTTGAAAAACTCTGTCGAGGACAGAAGCTTCTCTTTGGTGGCCTTAGTATCGTCCATATTAAGGGCTGTGCGCGTTAAGGTCTCAGGAGCCTCCAGGCCCATATAGACTCGATATGATCGATCTGCTACCTGTTGGACCCCAAGAGCCCGTCCGTGACCCAAAGCCATCATGTTACCGGGCCCTGAAAGTTCTAGGGCAGCTTCATAGCTTGGGTTGCCGTGAGAAATTCGACCCTCGATAAAGATTTTACCCGAGTATTCAGGCTTTGCAGAAGTAAGCTAGAACAACATATCAGCCATCTGGAGTAATCATCGGGTGCATCAGTAGAAGGCGTTTTATCATGACAGGGCTAATCATCACTCACTAAGGGTCGGACCTTGCTCCACGCACCATCAGCACCAACGACAAGTAGAAATCCAGATGCAGAGGTGCCATTCGTAAAATTGATAGTCAACTCTGGAGCCTTGGACTTGCAACTCAGGTTTCTCTCAATATTTCGCACGCCATGGCCCCATTGAACCTTATGGGAAGGGATAGAATCCAGAAGGAGTTGGCGCAATTGAAAGCGGTCAATTTCTGGAGCATCGCGCCCCTCCCCAAATGTTGCCTTGAGGGTACATTCTGGATTCTGTATGACAAACCGCGTGGCATCCCAGCGGGCTAGCTTCCTGAACTCTTCAAACAGCCCGGCTTTCTTGATTGCTTGTTGCCCAGAGTTGGCGTGAAGATCTAGCGTACCGCCTTGATGCATAAGCGTTGGGTTTGAGTTTGCGTCCCGTTCGAAGACGACATAGTCAATGTTTTCGTTTTCCAGCAGGCGTGCAAAGGTCAAGCCGCAAGGGCCAGCGCCGATGATTGCTATTGGCGTCGTAGCGAAGCGGGTTTGTGTGTGTGTCATTGTGTGTTGGGATCGACGAAGATAAGACTGCGTGGACGGGAGGATTGTTTTTTTGTTCTTGAGCAGTTGCAATGTAAACATGAAGGGTGATTAAAGTAGCAAAACGGATGGTGTGTTGTCCGACTGGAGGGACAATTTTGTTTGCAACTCTGGGAAAGAAACCTCGATACGATTCGAGCAAGGTTGGTTATGCGTCATCGTGGTGGCAGGAAACGAGTATGCTATTTATATAAGATATGGTTTCCAAACCTCTAGTAAGAGATTTTGTTGCCTGCGATGCCATTGCTTTGCGGATACCGGAGTTGCTACGGCTGTAAGCCATCAAGATTCCACGTGGGATTCTGATTGGGGGTTCTCGGATTGAGCTCGGAAGCCATCCTCAGCTTATTCCGGAATTGGGGCGAGTAAGGGTGCCATGTCCCGAACCAAAAGCTTGTGATTGGTTGGACCCGGAATGTCAGCAATTTGACCTCCGAACGCAACCAGTCAACAACTAGCGCTTCGGTGCCTTACTTCCAGCGTAATCATCCTAATCTTGTGAATCAAGCATCAATCACCCAAACATCATCGGAAGAAGCCTGGAAGCAAAACACGATCGGATAGCCGACTGTCAAGCTTCAAATCTTGACGCCCACGACAATTCAAAGAGAAAGCAGCCATCTGTATCAGCATGGACCACAGCGGTGATTTAGCGCCGCCGACCGTGGCTCGTTTTGCAGTAAGCTACAAAAATGGTATGGCGATGGCTGTAAAACTCACCTTCGGGAATGCAGTGTGACTATTGCCGACAGAAGAAGTTCAAGTAAGTGATTCTCCCCTGTGTGGTTCATTACTAGCATGCGTAATTCGTATGAGTTTGTTTTGTAGTCGCTAACATTCTACGCCTGGTGGAAGGTGTTCGAGGGAGCTTCCCAAGTGCAGTGCTTGCAAGCCATGGCCTAGTAGCTGCAATTACTCGCGAGACAAGCCAACACCGACATCAGCCTCACGTCCCATGCAGGCTAATGATAGGCAAGTTCATCTACAGTGACATCTGTAGGCCGCTTTGTGATAGCTTTTCAATCTAACGAGTCTAGGTCGAAAAGTTCAAGCCCGGTAACCCCTTCCAACATCGAGCAACGGCTGCAGAATATTGAGAGCGCCATTCAAAAACTGGCCGAAACAGTAGGAATAGCTCTAAAGGTTGCAACTGAACCTACGGAGCCCTCACTTGACAGCGATGAATCTCCTCTCAGAGAAACGCAAACTACTACCAATTACCCTTTGGAAAATGAACCTGTACCGGGGTTGTTTATTGGACCCTCTCATTCATTCTCTTTTCTAAAAGAGGCCTCAAACAACATTGAGGCGGCTTCACGGACCTCCACACCTTTACCCTACCGAAACGCTCAATCCGAATTGAAGTATCTGTCGACCTCGTTGACCACTGCAACCGTTGGTATGGATGGTGCTGGCCAAGAGACGGGCTTTTACATCCCTCCAAAAGCCGCAGGCTACCAGCTCATTGGTGGTGAGTCCACCTATCGATTGATCACCGAACTTGCGCCGCTGACTGTCGATTTCGAACTGGCCAGGCTTTCTGGAACACGCGCCAACCGGCGAGCCATTTTTCAGTACTCCATCAGATGATCTCTTGAAACAGATCGTCTTTAATCCACAGCAAGTTGCTCAAAAAGCCTGGGTCGTATATTTCAACTACATCATGCTGGCACAGGCTTCTGCCGAAAAAGAAATCCAGGACAATCGAATTGAGAAATTCCGTCGTAATGTGCGAATTGCACTAAATGACAGTAGTATTTTCCTGGAGCCGAGAGAAGTCAACGTACAGGCTCTGTCTCTTTTGGCATTTCACGGCGAAGACTACGCATCTCCGAACCTCTCTTGGATGCTAGTTGGGCACGCTTGTCGTCAAGCTGAGGCATTGGGCCTACATATGCCGCTGCATCCCGACTTCGAGTCTCGTCAGCGGAGCCTATCTAATTTTTGGCTTCTTTTCATAGTGGATAAATCCTGCTCCCTCGCGTTTGGTCGGTCTCCCTTTCTTCCAGTAAATCTTTACCAAGACGTCCCGCTGCCGGAATTCAGCCACATGCTCAAGTTCCAGCCACACACCGATCCTGTTTTCAGCGACTCGCAAACGAAATCGAAACCCTCTCAATTTGGGGCCCATTTCTTCGTTAAAGGTGTAGAACTTGCTAAAATTATGGGGCTGATCATTGATTTTCTGGCTCCTGGTCCATCCGCTGTCTCAAGGCAGGAGATCAGAACACGACTCGAAAATTGGTATGAAGCGACGAACAAGGTTAGTAATTATCCATAAACTTGGGGAAACCCTTTCTTTACTAACTTAACTCTGTTAGATCTTGACTGAGATTATGGAGGCTGAGAGACAATTTCTTCAAACTGCCCATTTGAAGGAAATGTCCCTTGGCCTAAACAGCTTGAAGTTTCAATACTTACATATCATCATCATCCTTCTCAAAGGTGATGAACCCTCTGTGAATCTGAGACTGGAAGCTGCTAGGGAGGCTTTGTTCTTGCTTCCATCAGTAGTTTCCAATTGGTCATCCGTCTACAATGGAGTTATTTGGTACGTTTAGTTTGCCGTCTGTTCCCGTTCACCTTTCCAGCGCTCCAATAAAAACAAGCAAAATCTAAAAGTTATACACAACACTGACATTGAATTTCTACAAAAGGCATCTTCTATATTACCCTTTCATCCCGTTTTTTGTCGTATTCGAAAATCTGGTCCATAATCACACCCTTCAATCCGCAACCACAATTGATCAAGACCTTAAGCTACTCGCAACGACGGCATCATACTTCGCGAGCATGCGAGCCCAGATGAGTCTGCTTGCCACAGTTTGCAGTCGTCTAGAGCGAGTCGCCAGTGTTTTTCTCCAATTGGCAAAAAACTATCTGACTCAGCGAATGTCGTTGCCTGACGAACGAGGTAGTTACTCGTCGACCTTCAGCAACTCCCTCTCTAGTATGTCATCGGCGCTCACACAACCAGAGAGTAGCTTTGGAGCGACAGGTACATTCAAAGAAAAAAACAATCCCTTTAGCTGGAACGTACCTGAGGCTGGCCCTGTTCTCGGAGATGATGTGGAGATTGGGAACTTTCTCAACTGGCTTCCGGCTGACACGTTTACTACCGAACTATTCATGGACAGAAATCAACAGAATGAAGTCGTCTCAGCTAACACAGCAGAGTTCATTGCGGGAAAATCGTCCCTTGAGGGCCCTCGAGGTCGGAAGCGGGCGTTTGACGGCACATTTGACTGGTTTTCGTGGGATGCATACTACACAGACTGGAATCGTCGATAGATAGCGCTATGTAACTAGGTTGAATACTGCAACTACCCACATGTCCGAGATAAATGCGGATGTGTACCACCTCGTGGCCATGTTAAATCTGAAGTACTTCGAGAGTTTGAAATTCTTATAAGGAAGGTCAAAGGTTTCCAATCGGCTTCTAATAAATGCTAAGGGTCTATTGTGATTCTCAGCTGGTCATGGGAGGAACTTGCACCTCTGCTCTCTGCTGCTCCCTCAAGGCTCTAGTAAACCTTTCCTCAGGATAATATCCGCCTTCGGAGCAGTGATGCATTCTGTCTCGCGATTTTGTTCAAAGTGCACACTCCCATAGCGCAGCAACTCAGCAAACGTTCCGGGCGCATGGTCCTTGCCCTCGTTCTCGCTCATGTCCCATAAAGTACCCAGTGCCTTAGTCGAAGTCATGTTTGCCGCATGCGTGATTTTCTCCATGGTTGAAGTGGTCAGGAGAGTCCAGACTAGATTGTACGCCTTCTTGTACTCTTCGGATTCCGGAGGAGCATCCAATCTGACTGAGAGCAAGTCGAAGAGATGTTCGCCGTTCCAGCCGATCAAAGCCTCGGCGGGCCAGTCCTCGATCAAAGCATCAAATAGGAGCACCTTCTTCTCAAAGTACTCAACGCCACTGAAACCCTCGTTTGGTTCTTCAATCATGCTAACACGAATCCAGCAGATGATCTGCGTGAGATATTCAAAGAGTTTTGTGGTTGAGACCTCCCAGTTCCACCGATAGTTTCTGGCCTCTGCTTGGTCAAGACTAATACTATTCGCAAAGGCAATGAGTGGGTCTTCGAGAAGGCCGTCTGGCGATGTGCGGTCCTTCCATAAATGCATGAGAAGATCGTGCCTATAGAGTTGAATGAGATTGATTTTGCACGTTGTTGGATAAAAAGCTTACCAGTTCTTGATGAAAGGGTCACCCTTGCGACTGGCAATGAAATGGTTTGCCACCACGTTCCCATACATCCAAGGACCGGCGATCTGGTATGGTAACTTCGGGTCTTCCAACTTGTTCCAACAAAGATCGTCAATCTTTCGGAACAAAAACGACCCCACATCCATCCAAACGCCACCGTAACGGTACAAGCAGATCCCACGGAGGAAGTCAGCGCTGTGTGGGCCTGTCCATGGCCCGCCCATCCTTTTGGCGACGAAGGCCTTGGGGAGCTCATCCTCCTTGACCCAGTTCAGCGCATTGCTTGGCGAGTCTGCGACGTCGTCAAGAACGCGAATCGTCCAAGAGGGTCCACATATACGGGACCAGTCGGCAACGTTTCGCTGGCACCAGCTCGGCATGTTGTGGATGCCTGAGTCCCAGAAGGCCCAAATATTCTTCTCGGAAGTGACAGGTGGGGGATTGGCAATTGAGTCAAGGATGTGCTTGTCGGACCGTTGATCAAGAGAGTCGACGTATTGAATCTTGGATTGGAATTCTGGGGGTATCTGGAACCTTGGGGTAGCCATCGTTGGGGTAAAAGTGTGATATATCGTTGGGTATGACAGTTTTCTGCTCATTTGCAAGACTGGATACAGTTTTGGTAAGATCAAAGGCGTTTTAATACCTTTATTGTCGCTAAGAAGAGCGGGCGCTTAATTGCTTAACGCACAGAAGGAATAGATGGTGCTGACGCCAACCTGTATAGTAAGACCGATCGACATAAGCTACTACAGAAAACAGTAGACAGCAACAAAGTACAAAGTGCCCATTGACGTAATGTGTTAAACTAGCGCTGAGGTGAGCGCTCGGCGACAGAAAACTGAACGACGACTGTAGTACATCAAGCTCAACCGCCGGACCAGCAAATAACGGTAAGCAATATAAATATTGAATGGTGGAAATGACAGCAAAACATTCCGGCTTTCTGAGCTTATAGAACAACCAGCAACGAGATCCATTGGATGGAGAGATTTTCGTTGACTCTCGAGGCCATTGTGTCATAACCATCTCATTAGTCTGAGTGTGAACCCGTGTGTCTATAGACTTCCGCATCTGGATCTACAGGCTGCAAGCTGTTTTGGATTGCAAGAGCTCTGTTCACATCAGAATTTCCATCACTGCTAGCGGAAGGTTTGATAACAAATGATGTCAATTCAGAGATGCCTCTCGCCCATCTTGAATCGAGTCATCTTCAAACAGACAAGGCTGGCTCCAGGAAGAGCTGTATTTGGACCCGGTTCATCCAATAAGTAATCAGCATAGACAAGATAGTGTCTGCCGTGAACTACAACGTAGTAAACCGCATTCTCATAGCTTTTACAAGATTCAGTCCCTCATACGAGGATTCTTTTTTACCATCGACTTTGAGCCCAGATATTCGTAAAATGCACCAAGCAATTCCGCCATCAATTAAGTTCAATAATCCGATTCAGCTCCCCAAGCATACATGCCGTCCCAATGGTCATCCACGTTCTGGTACTTGCCCGAAAAAAACACGTCGGCGCAATGCTAGAAACCGGTTGACCCTGCTTGTTTTTTTGACATGGTTCTCAGTTTCCACAGAAGATCGTCGTTGATACTATACTCCCAAACACCAGCGAGATATGTAAATTCGTCTCATTCGCGTGTGCTTTGCAAGACCACCAATCGCTGGGAGGCGGTCTGATGATTTGGTCAACTCTAGCTCGGTGTAAGAGCTCACCAGTTTGCGCCAGAGCCGAGGACTGTACTATCCAGCTACCTCCTCCAATTCCACCACTTTAGCAATACTATCCAGGCCATCGGCATACGCTTTAGTAATAGCTGTTGAAGCGGAGTATGAAGACCCATGCCGTCTGGTTCTATTCTGCCACATTCACAACACAGGTCCGACCGGCACTCGACACACACCTCGTAAGACCCCATACGAAAAGAAAATCTGTTGAAAGCATGCGGTCCTGATAAATCAATGCCCTTGTATAGAGAGTGTGGAAAGCTTCTGTAGGATTTTCAGCTTCGGTGGGGTTGATGTTCGTAACCACCTCTAGGTGGACAGCAGTCAATCCTGTGACGGAAGAACAAACTGTGACACCTTCTGGAAGGAGTGGCTTCATACATAATCAAAAACCGTTTTACTGACGAAAAAGCGGTCTTGACCATTCCGTGATTGTGTTGCAGCCATGGTACAATGGGCGTTGCTGTAGATATCCGCCATATTCGCTGAAGCCGCCCCCAGTCCACTCGGCTGTCATGGACGACGCACAGAGAATCGATCCAGATGTACCGTACTCCAAATTTCCTAGCCAATAGTATGACGTCACGGAACGTCTTTGAAAGGGTTTCCAACCGAGTGCCTTTCTTGCAAGCTTCCAGAGTCTATATGGTAGTTGTGATGGTTTGGTCGCGTCCCCAGCAATGACTCAAGCTAAAACAAGTTCCAACCAGGCCTTGAGACTCAACAAACCAACCTATTCGATCATGGTAGCTAGCGTTGATGACTCGAGTTGGAAGCGCAGGTACCTCAAGAGATTCAAAAAAATCCTGGGTCCTCAAGACAGTCACCAGCCTAAATACCGGTTTCGGCAAGAGAATTCCCTGAGTCTATACTTGCCGAAGTTCAGTTGGAAAGAGGTTTCGATTCCAATTCGTGTTCTAGTACAAGCCTCTGTGCACATAAGTGACTAAGCAATTGGTATGGAAGAAGCAAAAGGCTGACCATTGACAACGGCAAAAAGTCTGGCGTCGAAACGAGTTCCGTTCTTCAGAACAAACTGGATCTCTTTGCTGAAATTGTTTCATGCCCCTGTTCAAAGTCGGACCACAGAGTGTAGAAGAAAGTGATATGGTAATGATCTATTTCCGGTCTTGGCGATGCCATGCTGGCTGAAACAACCCCGGCAGTTAGCTAAGAAGATGCCACAGATGTAGCAAGAAGCACTGGATTCCCTGACGTCGTCCCGACAAATCTCGGGTCCCTTATCTCTTTTTATTCCTTGTCTTAAAACTTCGGATTATTCATGACTTTCACCAAGCTCTTTGAAGTCGTTGCATATTGGGCACGGCATGGTAGCGTCGTAGGCGTCACAGGTTCTGTCGCTGGTCGACGGTGTGGGTCAGGTGAAAAAATAGTGCGAAGACCTCCAAGAAGTGCGGGCCCTCTCGCAAAGATTTAAGCGAGAATGAGCTGGTCCTTGATTTGTCTTCGTTGTTCTCGCTCTATTGCCCGTTTGGCCAATCTTGACCTGGACTTTATTTGTTGCCAAAGTTCCATAATCAAGCTGGAATACTCAGTATCTACCTCTTCCAAAATCACAAAAAGGAGAGTTTAAATCGATATGACCTTCCAGAGCTCTTCACCAAATGCATGGACAAATATCAACCCCGTTGTGTTCCATCTCCCTTTTTCCCTAAGAAAAACGCATCCAAAAAAAGATTCTTACATGTGCTTTTCTTATTAAAAATTCGATACAGATGCACAAAGGCCGTGCTCAGTGATTGCGCTTACCACTAGCTCGTGTTATTACTGAAGGCAAGATTTGACATGTGTACGTGTACTATGTTTGGCTGTTCTGCTGGATACATTCAATCGAATCTACAGTCAGGAAGTCCAACGTGCCACGGCGGGGCACAGTGATTCCAACAGCAAAGGCTAAGGACGCTCTGTGAACAGCAAACCACAACCCAGTACAATGTTGCCTTGCATCTGGCCAGTGCAACCGCCCACTTTCGGCCCCTGCCACCACCCCGCTACAGGCAGCAACACTCAATACTTAGTTTCGGGCAGGCTCAAAGATTCATGTGGCCCTGGGTGGTGCAAAAAAAGGTGCGTAGTGGACCTGAGATCTACAATTATCACGGCTGGCTAGAGGCTATTCCTTTTAAGGATGCGCTAGCGTGGGCGCTTACTTTAAGCTGAGATCCCTGGTCATCAGGGCCGCCTTGCTCCTTGCGCTCCGAAACAGGCAACTCTGGGTCGCTTCGGGGGCGACGCTGGGCACTGGGGGACGATGTTAAGGTTACTTCTAGGGCTGTGTCAACATGGGTTGCACGGCGTAGTAAAGGGGCTGTGGCGTCGAGCCAACACACGAAAGACGTTCCAATAAATGAGCCAAGCGAGAGAGGCGTTCAAGGGGTGCGATCCTTCGTGTCCGGGTTCATTTACTTTAAGAAACCCAAGTTTTCGTGACGTTGAACTTCGAATTTCTTCGTCATTCGTTGCGAGTTGAGATCTATCAGGCCAAGCGCCAATAGACAACGTCATCTCTACTATCACCAGCGCCAACAACCCCATCCTACAACAGACGCAAAGATGACCCAACCGTATATCGTTGGCGACAGCTCGCCATTCCTCAAGCGTGTGCTGGTTCCCTTTTGGGTCATCCGCATCGCGATTATGGTTCTTGAGGTTGTTCTTTACGCCGCCACAATCGCCATTGCCGCAACCAACAAAGACGACCTGAAAGACGCTGGCATTGACGAACGGGCAGCAAGCTCTGTCATTGCCATTCTTGTCGTCATCGTCATCATCATTGCCGGCTGCCTCATCCTCGACATCATCTGCATTGTCAAGCGCTCACGACGCACTTTGAGTCCCCGATTCTTCCTTATCGCCAACGTAATCCAAACCACGGTATGGCTGATTCTGTTCATCTTGACCATGTTGGGCGGCAGCACAAGTCCGATTGCGTTCATTATCGCCATCGTCATTCTGTAAGTTGGCCCAAGTGCTTCAAAACCAAGTGGCACGAAACTAATTCCTGTTCTTCCAGTGGCTCCTTCGTTGGTCTCCTCATATACTCCAGCGTCATCTACCACAAGTTCCGCAAAGGCACTCTGCGCGGGAATTACGCACCTGCCAACCAACCTTCTGCCTACACTGGGGCGTACTCCGCCAACGAGCCCACAAAGCCCTACGACCCAAATCCCTCCCGTTACGAGATGGACAATAGATATGCATAATCACTACGGAGGCGCTAGGATGAAAGTTTTGTTCTATACAAGAAGACAGTTTTAAGAGGAGGCTTATGATCAAGCGAAATAAGCTTACTGGATGTGGCGCATTTATAAGGATGGCATTTGTAGGCCTTTTCTGTGCTTGAGTTTTGTAGCGAATACCCAAGATACCATGCATGCGTAGTTTAGATTGTTTATATCGTTCAACCTAGTTTTCGTCATTTGCTCTTCGACTTGTGAACAAACCCATTTGCTACAATCGCTTGCTTCGTAGCCAATGGAATTTAATACTGCGGGTGCCTCACCACCCAGCAGCCCGTGGAGTGTAAACTCCAGCTTAAAAACAAGGCCTCCTGGCTACGTCATGCAGTCTTGCCAAGAAATAAGGCATCGAAACCTGGGCAAACCAGCTACACAGCCGCCTCGTGCCAAAAAAGCCATTTTCTTGTCATCTGTGTCTGCTTTGTAACTCACTTCATCCCAACCATCGTCGGGAAGTGGTCAACGGTTGGCTTTGGGATTGGTTAATAACATGCGGTCAAGGCATTGAGCTCTACTCACAAGGTGATTCAGCGGTCGGGGATATGAGTGTAGACGGCTAGACTGATCCCACCGTGCCGACGTATATGGGGTAGGGGTTGTAGGTTATTGCTTCTCATTGCCTGTCTGACCAGGGTCGGGAACTTGACCGTGCCATCGACCTAAATCCCATCGCGAGCGGATTCCGTGCATCGCCCTTAACTTCTTTGTCGCGAATGAAGCATTTGATCCGCGTGACAAAGATAAAGCAGGAAAGTGTGACTAGAAAGCTTTGAAAAGTAGTTTTCATCCCCATCATTACTACATGATCTTCTGTAATCTTGTAGAAAGGTCGTTTAGCTATCTGGAAGTCTTCGAGACAGTTGGGAGGTATGCCCTTTAGTGAAGCCATGCTCTAATACTAGTAGCATCCCCAATTGTTCCTGATCGAACACCCAGTCGAGGGAGAAGGAAATTGGACCGAATTTTGTCTGCTGTGGGTGTATTTTGGCAGCGTCTGTTCGACGATGGGTGATATTGGCTTTGCTGCCTGTATCCTGATGGCTACTATCGGGCCCATGGTTGGCTTATTATCCCATTCCTGGCTGTACTTCTGCGACCAATGGATCCAAGGCGGTTCAACCGCGATCCTAGCCACTCTCTTCAATCCAAACGACATACCTCGGGTCATAGTCAGCCGAATTCTACTTTTCCAGACCCGACACTTTGCGACATCGTTCGTCAGATGCGGCATTTTGTATCTCCATCTTGGCGGACTTCCTAATCCCGTGTTTCTGCCCAAATGGATCGAATCTCTCGACTTCCCCGTGGGGTCCATGCGGGGTCTCACTGATGGAGGCGGGGATACAGTCCAAGGTTGTCTCACTCTGTGCCCCTGGTTGGCTCTCTCGGCTCACACGAATGCAATGTTTTCTGGAACAGATCCCGTCGAGACCGTCTTGGACCTTGGCGGCTGTTGAAACTTGTTGTCCGATTAATGATATAAGAGTGAGGACTGAACGACGCAACTCCAGTGCAAATAGTGCCCTTCACACGTATCAGTAGTTAGGTTCTAGGATCAACCCAGCTGCTCTCGTCATGGAGAAGCCCACTTCGGCCACAGAGTATCACATCGAGGCGTCGACCTCCGCTTTCGACAACGATAATAGCGAAAAACCAACCAACCGCCAAAGAAAGCAAGTCAACGTTCAGTCTGTTGCGCTCGCGGATGCTATAGCCAAGGATCAACCTAATTACAAGTCATTGAGCCAGCTCAAACTGTATGCCATGATGGCACTCTGCGTTCTGAGTATGTGCCGCGAGATACACTGTACCTTCAATGGAGAACCCAGCTAATCATTCATAATGCAGACGGCGTGATGAACGGCTATGATGGATCAGTTATGAGCGCCATCAACGCCATGGACCCTTTCCAGGACCGCTTCAAGATCGGCACGACCGGCGAGTTGAACGGTGCTGTGTTTTCCATTTACACCGTCGGCAACATTGTCGGCAGTTTGGCTTGCGGTTACTTCATGGACCGATGGGGCCGTCGTGCCTGCATGTTCTCCGGTGCCTCTTCAATCATCATCGGGTCCGTCCTTCAGGCCAGCAGCTATCAGCTTCCCCAGTTTTTTGTTGGTCGCTTTGTCGTCGGTGTTGGAACTCCCATGTGCGCAACTTCTGCACCCGTGTTTCTTGTCGAGATGGCCTACCCTACCTGGCGAGGACTGGCTGGTGGGCTATACAATGTTCTTGGTTGGTATATCGGCGCGAATGGTAAGTCCCACTTCAAGCCCAGCATGTTTCCCCTCAACGCTTTCTACGACTGAACTCTCCTAGTCGCTGCATGGACCTGTTACGGCACCAATTTCATTCCTAATGATTGGGCGTGGCGCATCCCCTACATTGTGCAGCTCACTCCAGCCACCATTGTCGTTTCCGTAGTCTGGTTTCTCCCAGAGAGCCCTCGCTGGCTCTGGTCGCAGGGGCAGAAAGAGAGAGCAACAGCCATCTTAACTAAGTACCACGGCAATGGTAACCCTCATTCGGCTCTCGTTAAACTAGAGCTTGATGAAATCCAGGACTCTCTAGCGGCAGAGCTTGAACTAAAGAATGGCCATTGGAACTACAAGGCCCTCGTCGATAACAGACCTAATCTGTATCGGATGTGGCTTATCATGCTCGTAGCCGTGATGGCTATGTTCATCGGTGGCAGCGTCATTTCTTACTATGTATTGTGTTCATTTCTCTTCAAACCTTAAACCATCTGAACGACTCAGTGGCTGACTTATCCCAGTTACCGGGTACTTTCTTGCCTCTAATTATACTTCCAAAACATTCCTTTCTATCCGTCTAGCTAACTGTTGCTATAATCCAATTATTATTGGGTAGTATGACTAACTTCTTGATAGTTATGGTTAAGGGTGTCGGTATCACTGACTCGAGCCGTCAGCTGCTCATTAACGGACTCAATACGGTCACATCCTTCATCGCCGGTATCTTTGGGTCGTTCTTTGTCGACAAAGTTGGCCGACGTCCTCTATTCCTATGGGGCACTCTACTTACCGGCTTGGTATACGTACCAATCAACGTGCTGGCGGCGAGGGCCGAGCAGTTCGATAAGAATGGAGGCACTATACCTACAGCGCAGTCATATGCGTTTATTGCCATGGTATTCATGTACGGTATCTTCTGGTCCTTTTGCTGGACCCCACTACAGGCTTTGTATCCGGCCGAGATTCTTAACAACGTGATCCGCGCCAAGGGTATGGGGCCAAGGGCTTTATCTCTGGCGTTGCCAGCTTCATCAACACCTACGGAACTTCTGTCGCCCTCAAGCACATCGGCTGGAAGACATACACCATCTTTCTGGTTCTGCACTTTGTTCATCTCGGCTTGATGTACATGTACTGTGTGGAGACGAAGGAGCGGACCTTGGAAGAGCTCGAAGAGATTTTCAACGATCCCAAGCCGGTCAAGAGAAGCTTGCAAAAGACTTGGGTTGTCATTGACGACGGTCTGGGAGTAAAGATCAAGGACGCTACTTGATGATTGGGTGGTTTTCAACGGTGTTACTACGGTTTTACCTTGAGACCCAAGGTCATACTTAATCAACTAGGCGCTAGGTTGATGGCAGTCCATGATGAATTTGAAGCGCTCGAACCAGGAAATGTTTCAATAGATTCCGAGTTCCCCGAGGTTGATCTTGGTTAGGAGGACTCAGAAGCGTCGTTCGCTAAGAAGCACTACTATGCTGAAATTTGTAGATTTCTCCTTCCAACAACATACCTTGAACCTTGAACCCCCGGATATCATTCCGAAGACAGGCGCACATTTAAAAGGACTCGTAAGAGAGCGATGAATTAGACAGGTGTCTTCCAATGTCAATGGGACTCAGCCTTTTGAACCCTTGCGCTTAAATCACTTGTCATGAGTATTTGGAGATCCGGCCATTTGTGTACTGTCGCAAAAACGACGCCGCTAATTGCGGTCAGCAATTAACGCCTCATATCTATTGTCACATGTACTTTTTGTAGACTCTCATTATTCAAGTTGAGATTCGTGTCAGGAAAATAGACAAAAAAGTCATGATCCAACTTCTGGGCCCACGAGGAAGGAAGTGAAGGTGTCCAGGATGATGCGCTAAACTAGTCAACCCACTGAATGTAACAGCAAACGAAATGAGTACTGATTACGTGGTCTGAGCCAGTCTGGATAGAAGTACGTAACTTACTATCTCTAATTACAGTATGATGGTAGTTAGTAAACAACAAACAGTCTCACCTCTATGCTCTCTCTTGGCTCCTTCGGCATCTGCCCCGGCAACGTAAACGAAGTATGAGCCACCACTTGAGCACCATTAGAATCATGCTGCAGAAATAGCAAAACCTCCTCGGTTGTCTGATCGGCCATGAACCACCAATCATGACTCCTGCCTGCATCTTGGGGCTTTTGCAACCAGTAGCCCTCAACACCGGGCCCGACCTCGGGCTGCGGAACGATCAAGTAATCTTTCCACGCCATTGACGCTGTGTTAGCCACGGCCACAGGGCTCTTTCGCACCGTTCTCAGTGGCCTCCATGCATTGACCATTTGCCAGTGCTTTCCGTTGTTATGCACGTCGGCGTGCATGTCTGGGCAGTCCCAGCTCATAAGAATGGGAGCGAATTCACTGGTCACGTCGACGTGTGGTCTTCGGGCCGGGCAGCGATGCTTGCGGGTATAAGCCATCCCGTCCTCATAGCTAACGTTGCGGACCACATGATGGAAAGCTTTTACTTCAGACGCACCAAGCCTGTCAAGCGAAAAAGAAATCTTGTCAGCACTGCATTATATCGAGCTTACGCACACACGAGTGCACATCCAGTCTTGAAGTGATTGCGTGGTTCTTTGTCAAGAGGGAAGTTAGCCAGAACGTACTGTTCTTTCACCAGCTTTTCAAGCTCCGGAAAGTATGATTTTTTCACTTGCTCTTCGTCCAAGTAATCGATATCTGGAGGCCTGCCTAACCGCGCATATTGGAATCCAGTCGTGGATATTGAAAACTTTTGATCAGCTACCCGTGCATTGCGGACTTCTGCTAGCTGCACATCTAGAAAACCGGCGTCATGGGAGAACATTTGCGCATGGTTCGGGATTTGCCCGTCATGGTTTCGTTTGACGTAGGGGATTTCCGTGGTTATTGCATCGTGCGCGGCCATTTTGTCTTCAGGCGGCCTGTTTTGACGGGCAGAAGAAAATGACTTGTGAGAAGTTATGGAAATGTTAAGTTTGTAACTATATGACAGAAAGTTTTCTAGAACAGCCGCCGGAACGAGCTTGGAAGCACAAGACAGAGTGAGATGTTATTTACTGTACAGCGTGATTCATATTTACCACAACTAATCTATGCGCGAGTCAAATAGAAAGCTTGGCATGAACCTTAATTAAGTAAAGCCTCCACAAACGGTATTTGTATAATACAGCGGGGGACGTATAGAAAAGCTAGGGCCATTGTCAGATGGCATGGCCGACGTAGGCCTGAGTAAAAGGACCCTGTGGCAGTAGTTAAGAATGCAGGTGCACAATCAGCCTAGTTGTTGTCCCAAACACCGTTTCAAGTGTAAGAAGCTTTGAGGCTGTATTTAGAAGATTCTCAGTCAAACATGATTAGTCATTACAAACATTTGTATCTTAAACAAAACAATAAGCATTTGACTTTGTTACGCGCCCCATGCTACCCAAACCAACCTTTTCTCAACTCTAACTTCCTGGACTAATGAGCTTGCCAATGAGGGTACTTGTATACTGGGTCTTTCGGCCTTCCACGCCTTGTAAAACACCTATGATCCAAGATTTAAGGGTCGCATTCTAGCCTGCTGTTCTTAGGACTCAGGTAGAGAAAAGCTTATCAGACCCACGATGTAGGGCTTTCCAAATGCGGGCAAGCTTCGCAGTTAATCTCAAGGTCTGAGCGGGGAGTAGCTTGTTTATCTTATGGGGTAGAGCCACTTTTTCTGATTAATTATTAGCTTGCAATTTGCTACTGATTCATGTGATAGCATGGGCATATGTAAGATTACAGATTACAGCAACACTGTTCTATTCTTCAGTTTCCTGCAAAGATATCTTGTTCTCGCCGCCCCCCCGACCGGGCCAACCTTTGGACAGGGAAGCTCCTGCCGTACCTGAATCGTAAGTGGCACAACTTCCAATTTGGTGAAGCCGTTCGAATGATAATAGCGCATGTCTTAGGGAAGGCGTTGGTCGCATTCTCTTATTTCCTGTATGCTCTTTGAGGATTTATCAGCGCGTTGTATTGACAGATTTAAGAGAATAATGCAAGGCATTTCGTAATGATGATAGTGTGCTGTTGTGTTCTGGTTCTGAAACAGCGCGAAAACGACCCCGGTAACAACATTCGGAATTTCCTTTTTCACCTTTGGAACTGAGCTGTCGTCGCTTTAGCCTGATCTTGGCTAAGCTAGCTTGATCCGAGAGTGAGCCGGCTTGAGTCCGCCTGAGCCCAGGATATACTAGCTAAGCGGCGTCTATCCGTCTTTGGTGGTGACTATAATGTCTGCTCCATTATCAACAAACAGCTTGAGCACCTCGCGGTAGCCTCCGTATGAGGCTGCACTCGATGGCGTCTATCCACAAATGTGCTCAAGCCTCAAGTTACGCTCGATTTGAAGCACCAACTTGTCCATCATAAAATGACCATTCAATGTTGCCGCATAGAGCGACGCTCCTTCAAGATCACGATATTTGATGTCTGTTCTGGCTTCAAGGTACATTCTTATCATTCTTTGGCTTCTCTTTCCGCATGACACTTCAAGCGCTGCTCCTCCCAAATTCGACTTTGTATTCAAATGGTGCTTCTAGTGTTGTACAAAATAGCGTACCACCGCGCCAACTCCAAATGAGAACCCTAATATAGCGGGCTTGCTAACATAATCGTTTGTGTTGCCTCTGGGCTCAAATGCTCACTATCGACAGTCACCACTGTATCCAGGACTCCCAACTTAAGACTGGCAGTTAAATGAGGCGTTAACTGCCCCCTTTGGTGCCTAATTCTTTGTGTTGCTCAGGTTAGTACATATGTTAACAACAATACTTCGCAGTATATTCCCTAAACGATATCCTGATTCGATCTTTTCCATCGGGAAGTGAACCATCCCAGACTTGTTCGAAATCGCTGTAGCGGAGACATAGCTTCGTAAGCGAGACACTGTCGATTACCTTGTTGGAGATGAGCAAGCTTTCGTTGGCGAACAAGGCCGCCCCTCCCCCCTCAAGTCATGATCCTGCAGAGCAGGTACTGCTTAATTGGATAATGGTCTAGGTGTATCTTCCTCAATTCAGCAGAATGCTTTCCTTCAGAGCGTCCATTAAGCAGTAATACCATTCGCTTTCTGTTCCACAGTGTACCATGAAGATCCGCCTGAAGCAAAGTGATGTAGAGGCCCTGGATCCCCTAACGCATTGTTTCACAATACTGTGGTTTCACCAGTCCTTGTCGGCTCGACCCCGCAGCAGAGGTTTCTGGCGTCTTCCTGCACTCGATGGCATACAAGGGTTAAGAGAATTGCATTGCATCGCAACATAGGGAGTTAGTGGAAGGTGGAAGAAGGCTTGAATCATAGTTTGACAGCTTTAGCATGGAATGCATCAGTTTGTATTACTTTATCTCATGGGTCATACAACTGAGTAGCTAATGCCATCTCTAAGACATGAGCCAAGCAACAACTAGAATCAACAGATTTGGGGCTGGAGGAAGACATTCATGCACCTCTGTGCTCGTCGAACGAAAACTTCTACATCCTCCCGCTGGTCTTGTACGGAAACCTCTCTGGGGCCGACATTTAGATAGGAGACGCCGGCCTGACTAATCCAAGTCAGATGCTGAGAGAAGCTTCTAAGAAGAAGCGTATCGGAAAATGAGTTGACGTGCTGGGCAATAACACTTTCGTACAGGTAGGGTTGACTTCCGAGAATTTCGATCACTGCGTCTCGTATATCTGGGTCTTGATGCTCAAGCTGTGTTGCTACTGCTTGGAGAATCTCTTTGGACAAGTTTGATTGACCCTTGAGAACGCTGATCGCCGCTTCTTTTACATACGAGTCTTGATGCTTGATCCTTGCTACTACGAATTGGACAATCTCTTCAGATAGGGCTGATTGACCCTTGAGGACGTTGATAGCTCCTTGTCGTATTGACCAATTTTGATTTTCAAGCTGTTCCACTACTAGTTGTAGTATCTGTTCAGAGAGGTCTAATTGACCCTCAAGAACATCAAATGCCGCTTTTTGTATATAGGATTCTTGATTCTCAAGATGTGCTGCTACTGGTTGGAGGACCGGTTTAGACAGGCCTGAATGACCTTTGAGGATGTTGACAGCTGCTTGTCTTACATAAGACTCTTCATCCTTAAGCTATGCTGCTACTGATTGGAGTATCTCTTTGGACAGGTCTGATCGACCGCCGATGATTTCAATCGCAGCCTCTCGTACATCGGAATCCTTGTGCTTAAGCCGTGCCGCTATTGATCGAAGCATCTCTTCGGATAGGGCCGATTGCTTGATAACGTTGACCGTCGCTTGTCTTACGTAGGATTCGTGATCTTCATGATGTACCACTACTGTTCGTAGCATCTGCTCAGACAGATCTGATTGACCCTCTAGAACGTTAATTGCCGCCCATCGAACATCTGAGTCTTGATGCTTGAGCCGTGTCGCTACTGATTGAAGAACCTCTTCGGACAGGTCCGATTGGCCCCTGAGAATGTTGACAGCTCCTTGTTGTACATACCACTCTTTATCATCAAGCCTTGCTGTAACTGATTGGACCATCTCCTCGGGTAGGTGTGATTGAACCTCAAGAATGTTGACCGCTGCTTGTCTTGTATACGAGTCTTTATCCTTAAGCCATGCTGCTACTGATTTGAGCGTATCTCCAGGCAGGTTTGATTGACCCCCAAAAACGCTAACCGCAGCTTGTCGTATGTGCCACTCTTGATCTTGATAAATAGGTTGTGTTGCTATTGATTGGAGCATTTCTTCAGACAGATCCGATGGGCCCTTAAGGATGTTGACTGCTGCCGATTGTGCATCTGAATCCTAATTGAGCTGTGCCGGTAACAATCGGAGCACCTCTTTGTATAGGTATGATTGACCCTTGAGAACTTCGGCTGCTGCCTGTTGTACATACCATTCCTGATCCTCAAGCCGTAGAGCTATTGATTGCAGTATCTCTTCAGATAGGTATGATTGGCCCTTGAGGACGTTGACTGCCGCGTGTCGTACATAAGAGTTTTGTGCTCGAGCCGTGCCACTATTGATTGCAGCATCTCCTCGGATAGATGTGGTTGGCCCCCAAGAAGGTCGACTACTGCTTGTTGTTTTTACCAATTCTGATACTCGAGTCGTGCAGCTACTGATTGAAGCATCTCTTCGGGGATATTGTAAGCTCTCATTGCTCCCATTTTAAGACAAGCAAGTTGCAAGCTGTTAGAGATACTGCCTTCTATCCATGAGAGCGCAAGATGAATCGTGGTGAAATGCATTGTTGCTCGATGGCTCTGAAGACTTTCTTGTCGGGTTCACTTCGCTTAAGCAATGCATAAGCAGTCGTTGGTGAGTCGGCCCTAAGAGGTCGCGCAGTTCCTGTTCAAGTATCTGGAAAAAGAGAGTCGGTCCATCTCTGCCTTCAATGTCCAGCAATCCGGCAACAAAGCGCCACATGATGTGGTATCTTGCGTTATATTTGTGCTCCTTTAGGAAAGCGACAGGCTGTATGTCTCCAACGCGCCCTTTTCCAAACGCGAAGTACTTCAGTGGCTATTTGGTGTTCCATTGTCGTACGAAGTACCGCGCAGCGAAGTATTCCTAAAATGTCAGGTGTAGAAAGTGATGTTGCTGATGTTGAGCCCTAGACGACGGGTCTGATGTGCGTAGGAAGGAAAGCTGTGCGAGTATGTCGTCAACAAAGAATATTTTCTTGGTGTCGCACTGGTCGAACACTGCGTCTCGATGCTGTGGCTGAAATTCGATCACATCGGTGTACATTCCGCTAAACGCCAGGGCTTCCAGAAAATTGAGCTCATCATCCATGAGTTTCTTAACGTCCCTTGGACGGACGCTGTGTAATTTGCCTTTTGAAAGATTGCCGAGTTTCACTACGTCTTTTCCCCACAACTTGTCCTCTATAGCTTTGTAAAAG